ATGCCATCGCTTGCATATCCTTCAAGCTGAGTCCAGATGTTCTGCCTGCATACTTGGTACTCGCACATATTTTCGCTTGACAAAACGAGAGTGAAAAAATACGTGCTGAGGCTCATTGCCGCGTGGAACATCGTCTTGTTATGCCGTAGGATATCCAACACCCACGCTCGTCCGCCTTGAATCATCGAAGGGGCGTAGAAAGGGAAGAGAAACGGGAAGACCTGATCCATGTAGATCATGGTAAAGTCCACGTCTAGTCCCTGAAAGGCATCGACAGCAGGGATTCCTTCAAACTTCCAAACCGGGGGGTCATCGTGCTCATTGTATCTCTCTGCACTCGCCGCATTGGCTGCACCTCCAATGTTGAGAACTTGGACATAGTGTCGCTCTTTACCCTGCTTCACCTGGGCCTTTAGCCGCCGCGTCATCTCGTCCTGCTTTGCGCCGCCATCCATCCAATCCGGTCGATCCGGGCTATAGTAGCACTGGATGTTTAGCGCCGAGCATGCTTGGCATGCCGGTTGCCCCTGGTCGCACTTCTTGCGGCGAAGACGACATGTCCAGCAGCTTTTGACCCGTGCCATTGCTGGATACCTGGAGCCTGCGGGATTATTACTTCGCTTTAGGTTTCTTTGCGTTGGTTAAGAAATGGAATTCGACCAAGTGACGTACTAAGGTTAAATGATGGAGCCAAAAAGGGCGAGCGCGCGATTTCCTAAAAGAGTATAGCGGATCTCAGCTAGGTTGTCCATCTTGATATGGTCTCCACTTAGAATGCCATAGGAGCGTAAAGGTAAATGATGTCGAGGGATGATAGTATTGGTAGACACGTCCTCGTTAGACGGGATTCTTAAGTAAAATTTATACCGGAAAAATTGAGAATTCGCATTTTTCCTTTCTAGTTGACATCATGTCATCCGGGCACTTTTATACTTTAAAGATTAAACATTGCTCGGACCGGTTTACGTGAGATATTCAGTATACGGGCCATTTGGAAGAATACCAGCAAGTTTCGGTTCGAATCTAAGCACAGTGAAGAAGGAGAAAGGATTTAAAGCTAGATGAGACTCCAGCCTATAATCTTTATGTGTCGTACCAAATACGCGATACTTAACAAGTGACGTTGTCGAGCGACTAATCCAACAGCCATCAAGATCCAGCTACATAACTCATCCGCAATGTCAGATACATAGTTCCAAGATTGAGTGCATCACTGCCACAATCCCAGTACATCCTCCATCTTCAACGGCTGGATATCCGGGAGTACCTTATTCAGAGCCTTGTCCGTCGGCATATCATACTTTCCCTCCAAGGCATACCGGCCCCAGAGTGACATGAGACCTTCAAGCACCTTCTGAGGTAGACCGGCCGCGTTTATGTTGAAAGGAAATTCAGTAACCTCTCCCTTCTCCAGCTTCTCGACAGGATCATACGAGACATCGAACTTGGAGCCTATCGTCTTGTCAGCTTTGAAACCAGTAGTCTTGGGTCCTGGTCTTACCTATAGCATTCTCTGCCTGTTTGAGGACCTTATTCCACGTCGTCTTTTCGCCGTAGCAATACATCAACTCCTCCCACTTGGGCAGATCCAAAGCTGCAACCACAAACTTGGCGACGTCGAAGGTATACGTGAACGTCATCGGTTCATTTCCCGTCCCAGGAATTCCGGCCTTCTTGTTCGCTATATCAATAGCCCAAGCGACCCTCTGCATGTAAGATTTGAACGTCGGCGGGCCATAATAGTCAAGAAAAAACCCGTTGTCGAAACAAGTCCACTCTAGGTCTGTCTTGCGGAGTTCGACTAAAGTGCGACCTCGCGCTTCGCCGACCGGTGTCCTAGCTTTTGTCAACATCATGGCACAGGAGATGGAGGGAGAGAGCTTACGTGTCGGCATATTCGATGCCCCAAGCGCTTGCGATAAACCGTTTCGGAGTGTTGGCCTTGGCTGTCGCTTTGACGAGGTTACTCTCTGCCTCGGAGGAATCTGGATCAAAAACACGAAGGGCCGAAATGACAGTGTGGACATTGTTGTCATCGAGGGCCTTTGCCATCGTGTCGATGTCACTGTAATCGAGAGTGACAAAAGTATCGGTCGCTTGAGATGTAATGGGGATCTATATGGGTTTAGACAATTGTGTATGGGTCTGTAGTTAACGCTGGATATCTTACCTTGCGAGTTAGAATGATCATCTTATGGTGAGGGCTTGGGCGAAGTGTGTCGACGATAGCGCCGCCTATGCCACCAGTTCCTCCAGCTACAGCAACGACGACCATTTTCAGTCTCGGAGAAGGAATGCAAGAGAAGTTGTCTTTGTACTATTATGTATGGCGTATATGAAACTTTCTTTGACTGAAATGCTGATGCAGCACGTAGCTTGGGACCAGCCAGCTTTATACCCAAGAGTTCAGCCAGTCTAGACCGACAATTCCTAACCTCAAACACGTGTTACCCGATATCATGGACTAATAACTTCTAAGTGGGTGTCCGAAATGATCCATAAATATCCGTAAGTATCCTTAAATCCAGCTAAGCTTCATGCCAGAAAGCGCGCGTTTTCCTAATCGGGCAGCGCGCGGGGTTCAAAAGTAATCAAGACGGAATCTTAAATTGATCATTGTCCGCAAAACAAGTTACAGGCCCAGGAAAGCCCTTGATGAATGTTAACACGGCATCTGCCCTAAAACGAGACTACCGAAGGTCCTGGAATGATGTACTTCGCATCACTCCACTCATCCACGAAAACATTGTGTAGCAACCCCGGATCCTTGGAAGAGTAAAGATCAGTTGCAAACACACCATCAGGCTTTGCGGTGCCATCTCCCTTTACAACCAGGTTGATACACTGAGGATACATTTGAGTTGACCCCTCTGCACCTCCCGCGTGAAGGGCAATAATCTCATGTCTGAGGACATAGCTTCCAGGAGCCAACTTAGCTGGGATCGTTATGTTCCATGAAAAGTCCTCATCGCGAAGCTTATTGTTTGCCCAGTACCCTGGTTGCCCAGGCACAGTGCCCCTCGTCAACTGCCCCAACTCATCGATCTTGAAGAACTTCAACTTGGTCTTGTCAACAGTGGTGCAGTCGTCGTTTGGACAGCGCGCCATGTAATCCAGAACAGGGCCCCAGTGGGCTTGAGGCCAGTCCGACCAGCGAACCGTAATGGTCGCACCAGCGTTGGCATCGGCGGTCAGAAGCCCATTGGTAGCGTTGAGGTGGCAGATGATGTCTGGAGACGCCAGTGCGCTCGCGGTGGAAGTGACGAAGCCATTGTCTTTGGCGCCGTTTGTCCAAGTGATGCTCTCTGGCTGAGTTACATATGGGACTTTAGTGGGATCGTGGCCGTAGTAGCTTTTGCCGTTGATGAGAACCTCGGATACATGGCCATGAGCCAAAACCTTGCATGCGAAAAGAGCACTGAGAGCTGCGAAGCGAACTGTCATGGACAACATTTTGTGTTTATATTCTAGGATGAGAGTAAACTGGTCAAGTTGTTTTTTCTTGTTGCTATCAGTGGACGGCTCTCTTAAATAGCCCTCTGGTTGCTATTAGCCATAATAGGCAAAATGGCCAGCAACTGACTGTTTCATTCGGTCCACTATGTTCCGTATAGCTCTTTTGGAAGCAAAGTGATGCCTCTTTTAGTGAGTTCCCCTCACGAGTGACCATTTTCAGAAAAAGGGTAGTATTACGAAAGGTCTTCATAAATGTTGTCTAGCAAGATGGTTGGGTCCACACGGCTTTTGTGATACCATATCCTTCCCTCTCGCTTCTAGCGTATTTGGTTATAGTGAAGTGCCCGCCAGTGGTGACGTCTTTTGGTATGATACCTGTCTCAGCCACTGGAGCTAGGTTGATAAGTGACAGTCCCGACTGGAATAACCAAGGAATAATGAAAGCAAATCTATGGTCGACTTCTGTTCTACAAATCCCGATCAGTTGCTAAAAGTACATGTCCAAACTCCCATTTTCGTAACGCCCTGGAGAGCTAATTACACTCCATCAACAGTGTCACAGCCGCTTGACTCTCCTGAAACACTGACCTCCTCTAACCTATCATAGCAGTACTGCAGCCATTCTATTGATGCCTGTCGATTAGGATGGTCCTCCGATAGTACGACTGCCTCGACTGCAACCACATGTTCAAGCAGTTCGATTACCCTTTTTGTTTGCCTGTTCTCTTGGTATGCTACTCCAAGTGAGTGTTCTGATGAGAGCCGATCAGGATGGTCCTCTGATAGCACAACGCTCCGCGCTGCAACCACATATTAAACCAGTTCAGTTGCATCCTTTCTTCTTCCGTCAACTCTATATGCGATTGCAAGCCCGTGTTGTGATGACAGCCGATCTGGATGGTTCTCTGGGAATGTCTCTGCCTGAACTGCAACGACATGTTCAAGCATTTCAATTGCCTCTTTTATTCTTCCGTCAGCTATATATGTGCGTGCAAGCTCGTGTTGCGATACCAGCCGACTTGGATGATTCTCTGGCAATGTCTCTGCCTCGACTGTAACCACATGTTCAAACAGTTCAGTTGCCTCTTTTATTCTTCCGTCGGCTGCATATGCGCTTGCAAGCTCGTGTTGTGATGCCAGCCGATCCGGGTGATTCTCTGCTAGGTCTGCGGTCATTGCAACCACATGTTCAAACAGTTCAGTTGCCTCTTTTATTCTTCCGTCGGCTGCATATGCGCTTGCAAGCTCGTATTGTGATGCCAGCCGATCCGGGTGATTCTCTGCTAGGTCTGCGGTCATTGTAACCACATGTTCAAGCAGTCCAATTGCCTGTTCTGCTTGCCCGTGAAATATATATGCCAATCCAAGCTGATGCTCTCCTGTCAGTCGATTACTGTCATTTTCTGCCAAGGTTGCCCTGCCGACCTCAACCACAGACTCAAGGATATGCACTGCCTGTCTTGTCTGTCCGTCGATGAGCAAGCATCGGCCAACCTTATATCCGAGTAAGCATCTGTCTCTAGCATTGGCACCATACGTGCTTGTTAGGAGTCTGAGTGCATGTGGCATATACTGCCGCCATAACTCACGGTCCTCCCAGTCGTTATATAGGAATGCCTTAGCAACGTGTGCGAATGCCATCTGTCGTGTTCCTGCCTCGAGTCCCTCTTCTTCATTCCATCTTTTGACGGCAAGGTGAACGAGGCTATGAATGTCGAACGTCTCCCCATCTTCTCGTTTACTCAAGAAGCTGTATCCGCAGAGCGTACCAATAGCACGAGCCATCTTTTGGTCAGACCCCAGAGGCGGTAATAAGGCACGAGGTATCGCTTTCGGTTCAAGATAGGCCGTGACAGAGAGAATCTTTGCAGCGTCTTCGTGGAGAGCGCGGATTTGCTTGAAAGACACAATCCAGGTCGTTGCAACTGCGCCTTGGGAAGGATCGTAGTGAGTCCTATCACGAAACCCACAACTGAGCAGCTCTACCATATCCTGATCGGTATTTTGGAGGAGGTGGAGATACTCGTTGACTGAGATCTCATTAACTTTCATATATGCTGAAGCTTGGGTGATAGCAAGAGGTAGATAGGCAAGCTTTTGTAGGAGCTTGTCGATAAGAACAGTGTCCTCCATCTGGCCCTTTTCAATCAATGAACTCTCTAAGAGGGCCTTCGCATCCTCATCATCCATTTCTGACAGCTTAACGACATTATTCTGTGCCACGCTAACAGCAACCTCACGAGATCGGGTTGTGTATAAAATGTAACCGTGCTCGCAGTCTGGTATGAACTCGTCGATGCCTCCCGGGGCATCCGCCGTTCCGTACAGAGTCTCGATGCTATCAGCATTGTCGACGATAAGAAACCACTTTCCAGCCTTTTTTGAGCTTAGGAACCTCTTGAATGTTTTTTTGGAGCCCTCTTCATTAGCCCGCTGGATGCCGAACTCCGTAATCATTTCGGTGCAGGCTTGTTCGAAACTCGCCATGCTCAACGCGGGCATCCATATGACCGAGTAGCTGCAATCTGCCTTTTCTTCTTTCTTCACAAGATGTGCAAGCTGGAGGGCAATCTGTGTCTTGCCAACGCCGCCCAAACCGCCCAAACCGACTCGCTGTCCATCAGGGTCAGTGAAGAGAAGTTTTTGAAGCTCAGCGATTGTTCCCTCGCGACCTGTAAAGTTCTTGTTCCTCTGCAGTGGTAGGTAGTGACACCTGGATTCTGTGGTGGGTTCTTCAGCGAGTCTTTTCCTCTGTTCAATATATTCTTGATCTGCTAATGAGCAGCGTCTCTTGAGGTTTGCAGTCAGACGCACGACATCTGGAAACACAATTAATTACATTCATTAAATGCTAGTTACTACGAACCTTGAGTGACTGATGGGGTCCAGAAGCCCAGAAAAGCCTTCGCACAAGCTGCAGCTGTGGCTGCTGCATATCGTTGCCAGACCTTGCTTTTATGACTATCAGAATAATCACAGCCGCCCTTGATGATGATACACGGGAAGCTATTCCAGACACCAGCGCCTTCCATCTCAAAGGCAATGACATCTTCCGTCGAGGCTATACGGTCACGATCTTCGCCGGACTTCATGACTGTGTCTGCAGAAGCCATCAAACCAAAGTGGACAACTGGTTTTGGAGGAACATCTGAAGTCGACAGGCGGTCTCTCTCAACCAGGTCGCCTTTACATCCAGCCTGCTCACACGGCTTTTGGTCATCCACGTGACGATAGGTAGCCTCGAAGAGCTTATCTTCGTTAGCTCCGGGATACTCAGCGTGAAGCTCCGGATCCTGACGGAGAATATCTAGAAAGCTTTCGATCTTAGCGCTTAATTGGCGGCGGTGTCGTAGGCCTTGCAGCTTTGTTAAGATACCCTGAATCTCGAGGTTGGGTCTGCCAGGGACATCTAGTAACGTATCTTTACGAACCAGGCGCTCGGGAAACTGTCGACCAAAGTCATACTGGATGACTCCGTTGCTGATGATGACATCGCCCAGGATGATCTCGTCCTTGGTAGGGCTGAACGGGACGACGCCACAGATACCGACCACGAGAGCAAGCTTGATACTTGGAAAGCTTTTTCCACAGTTGGCAGCGACGGTGGCGGCATTGACTTTGCCCGTTCCTGGCATGTATGCGAGGACCACATTGAAACGACCAATTACTCCTGTTGAATATGCATTAGGGTCGCCTGGATCCTTATCAAACGGCGGGCCGTCGTCTTCCCAGTGATGATCGAACAATGCTTCGATAGCATCTGCTTCAAGCGTCAACGCACAAATAATAGCTATCTCGAAGCCACGGCGGTCATCAGGGCGAGGCGGTTGGCAGTTTGCTGAGCTCGCATGGGTATCGGAGGTGTTGACTAAAACCCTAGCATCGTGCTGAGAGTTCATTTTGGGACACCGTTGACTAGGCGAGACTGCCCAGTCGGTGATTCAGCATTGAGATGCGCAATTGACGCCCTTTGCCGCCGTCTGGACAGGCAGGGTCCGGCGATCGGCTCTCAGTCAGCCACAGCGATCTTTGATGCCTCAACGAGGCAACAGAGCCAATACAATAGCAGAAAAAGAGCGCTTATAGCTGCTATGTCCTTTGCTGATGTATCGAAGTCTGTCTGTTGTGTTGCAAGAGAAAGATCGGGTTGAAGATGATGGAGCGGGGTAATTTTCAGCTCTGTCTGTTGGTTATGCACTTTTGCAGGCAACAGTCTCATGATCCTTGCCAGAATAACCAATGCCCGCGATTTGCATCCAATCATCGCAAAGGTGGCGCCCTACCGGTCAGACTTTGTCTGATACAGTATCTGGGTTCTCGTGATCCAAATGAGCACGAAGTTGCCAGGATTAGAGATATTACTAGAATCCGGAGTGTCGTATACAAAAGACACAGAGAAGCTCATTCGTTAATGACTCAAGTTGGCTGCGAGCAATTTGAGGATGTAGGTAACGAGTTCTGCGATTTACGCTTTTATCCAAGTTGTTCCTAGCATGCTAGGCCCGGCCCGGTCCGTCGACAGATGACCAATGATGAAGTAATTGATGCCCAGTCGAGAAAGCCTGTCGCTGTAACATTTACTACTAGGAGCTCAAAATATTCCATGGGGCTCTGGATGCCTTGAATAACATGGCTTAGGCATCAGACCATTCGAGGTCTTCTCTGCCATATTTTTATGTCACTTGCTGCTCAGATAAGAGATGGTCTACCATCGTATAGACATCTTTCTATGTATTTTTATCTATTCTCCCTGCACAGTATTATACATGAATATTAAAGATCAAAACGCCAACGCTTGCTGTTTTCCTTGACAAACCATCTCGTCATAAAAGCACCTTCTTCCGCCCACTCCGCAACATCCCTTCCAAACCTCTGTTCCACCTCCTCCAAGAACGATTTAAAATCCAACGCCTGTACAGGATTATGTTCATAAGGATCCTTCGTCAAATCCGCCAGCTTCCACGCCACGTGTTCTATTATCGGCACTACAAGATGACGCTCTGGATACCTACCATCTCGGATACTAAGCATAGCACGCCCAGGATTGGTGATTGTGAACTGCCATTGACCATTACCCGTAGCTAAAGGTCGAAGAAGCGATTGCCCTTCGTAATTCCGTATTAGGTCCTGGGCTGCTTGTCGGCTTGTTTTGCTGAGGGAGCCTGTTTCGAGGAGGATGTCTAGGATTGTGGGGAGGATTTGAGTTGCGTGCACGCCTTCTTCTACGTCGAAGGCTGGGAGATGCGGGTGGGAGAGGACAAGGGGGACATGCTCAACACCGACATTGGGGTTATAGTATGGCGAGGCGATGTCATTCTCTGGGAGAGATACACCGTGGTCGCCTTGAAAGATGACCAAGGTTTCATTGGCAACTCCTTGTTTGTCCAAGATATCGAGCACCTTGCGAATCCATCTGTCTTCGTATCCGATTGTGTTGATATATCGTGACATCATATCGAGATGGCCACCGTTCGCTAGAGGTGTATACTTTTCTCTCTTGGGCATGTGAAACCGATGATGGCTGGTCGATGTGATATGGCTCAGAAATACACGGTTGTTCTCCTTGTTGGCGCTTTCGAAGACATCAGTAATATAGTCCTCCAGTGGATCTTCTTCAAAGGCAAAGTCATTAATATTCTCCAACGTGACAGGTCCATGCCTTGCGTTCGCGCTGCGAAGATATTCCTGGCCAATAATCCCCTCATCCGGGAAACCCATCGCCGACATCAAAGCACCATGGCTATCGTAGTTGAGTTTCGCAGCTTGGAAAAAGTACGACTTCCACTTGTCCTTTTGGCTGGCTTCCTTTGTGCGGGCTTGTCTCTCCTCTGCTTTATTGAGTGCGTTGAAAATATGCGGCAAGCAAGGCTGGTAGATGTGATGGCTGTAATCGAGGTTGAAATCTGCTGCTAGAGGGGATAAACCGCAGATTGAACCTGTTAGGCTTTTGAGGGTGTATGTTCCTGAGGTATGTGCGTTTGTAAAGCGAATCCCTCCTCGTACCGGTTTGCTGGCGTGTTCGAAACCGTCTGCGTAATCGCCTGTGATGTAGTTTGCTGTTGGTGTCAAGTTGGCAAGTTTCTCCTGAACTTCTTGTGGCAGACCATGCGGAAAGGTCTCCGCAAAGCGATTCCAGACTAGTCCATCTTTTTTGATAGGAAATACATCGTGTCGGGTACTCTCCAGGAAGAATAGAACTACATGTCGAATGTTGAGCTTTTCTAATTTTCCTTTCAGGGAATCCCGCAATGGCTCGTCTAGATTTGACACTCTCATAGGGTCCGACTTGGCGCTATAGTGCGGTTGATCGAGATACCAGTCTTTGAATCCGTCCAGAGCTGGTATGTCCATCGGAAGCCAGCTGAAAGGGGTAGGTTGTACGAGTGCGGTTCGATCGTCCCAGGTTCGCTGTACTCCCTTTCCGAAAACCAAAGGGAGATTGTCGAGGAATGGTGACGAGGCAAAGTCGACGAAGGGTAAGAGCCCAGTAGTCCAAGAAAGAAAGATCAATGAAGGGTCCTTGGGTCGGATAAAAGTCAGGATAAAAAGTGCCGTTAATAGAAGAGTAACAATCGGGTAAGGAAGTATCCGTAGAAAACGCCCGAATCGAGAGCTTCGTACTGGTGAACCTCCTCTTGAGCTTCGTGGTGAACTCAACAGCGAGACTGAAGGTGAGCTGAGCTTTCGCTTGAGTTCCTTGTCGTGATACGCGCTGCTCTCGATATCGAGCCATGAAAGGTCTTCTCCTTGCCATACCGCATCGTAGCTAAATCGATGACCCAATTTGCGACAGATGAAGCTAAGGGGCCAATTGACGAGGTCTCCACCCCAGCCGAAGAGGGTGTAGCAAGGGAACTGAAGCAGTGCGGCTAGGCAAGCGAAGACACCAAAGACACCGATGAAAGCAGTCAGACCCGATAGAATAATCGCTTGCGCCGTAGGATCAGCCATAAAACCGATATTGCGCCAGTGGATTTCAGACCCCGATACTAGATAAAAAGAAACTGAGACAGTGCAAATGATAGTGTTGTAGGTCATCAAGGAGTATGCAAGTGTATTGACGACTCTCCGTGGCTTGGCAGCACCAGGCACCCAATGGCTCAGGAGAAGTCTGATTAGAAGGAGCAAAAGGACATCTTGGGTAAAGAAGGAGAAAAAGAAGAGAAGCATGCGCTTGGGCGTCACTGAAGCTCTGTGATTATGAAGATGCACTCCCTTGGCAGCACATACTGCCAACAGGGTCAAGGTGAACGCCAGGCGCTGGTTAGCTAACTTTGAGGCGTACAGCAAGCATATCCTCCTGAAGGGTGCCATATTGAACAACGCGCTGACTAAAAAGCGAGAAAAGGGAAGAGAAACTAGAAACAGGGAGCCAAGACCCTTTTTCTTAAATAAGGTCCTCCCCTCCCCTCCCCTATCACCCCATACTCCATGTGCCTAGCCTCATTACTTGACCGAACATGGTTTGGGCAGTGCATTATTGCAGTAGAGCACGCGAGCAATCTGGACCGTTAATAGCGCTTACTTGTCCGTAGACCGCGCCGCAGACGAAGCATTTTGGTTTGTCGAGTCGTATTTTCGCTCGTATTGGATTTTCAGGTCTAGTACGGACTGGGCTAGAGTCAATGCCAGCGGAGTGGGTTTTAGGGGTCTGGGTCCGGCTAAGTGGCAGGTTTCCCCTGACTTGATGGGATGGGGCGTAACAGACGGCAAGTTGTGCCGTGTGTCGTCGTGCAAGATTGAGTTTGGAGTCCTTGCCGACAGCCGGGTTAGTTTGGTTGGGCTGACGTCGAGGGATGTCTCATTTCTCTCATGTTTCATCAACAGAGACACAACTGTACACAAGAAACTTTGTGTCTCTGGAAAGGGGCTTGGAACAGATCATGGCGCCTGAAGGATTCTTCTTAATGTTGAGATTGTGTAAAATTTGTAGGGCTGTGCTGAGTTAAGCGAAAATGTCGCATTGGACGAGCTAACGGCTAAGACGGGTTAACTTGTTCCAGACAGATTCTAGACCCCCCTTGGCGGCACAGACATTTTGTGGCTTCAACGGATTGTGGCAGTGCGCAAAACGGGATTTCGGCAGCTTCCCGTTCTGGTCATTTCTTGTCGGCTTCCGCGCCCTGCGAGTGAAGGATTCAGGGCTGATTTAGCTGACCAGGATCCTCATTCAGCTCCTGCCTGAACGATGATCGTCTTCCGCAAATACCCATTTTATCCTCGGCTGCCCGCGGGGTTATAAAATACATCTGACACGGGAATCCGCGCTCACCATCTAGATTCAGATCATCCGTCACATCAGACGTTTTCCAATACTAAAGTTTACCAAAGTGCTGATTGAACGATTAGATGATGTCATGTACACTTCGTTCCTTTCAGGGAGGTCACAAGGTATTGTTCCTGTCCGGAATCTTTATCGTATGAGTTTATACTCCGTAGTATCCTCTTCATTGACAGATATTATTAGATATTCATGCATGTGTCTAGTGGCTTTACTTTTAGAGCTACGGGCTGTGTCGATTGATCCTTCCTCTGGGATTATACGAAGGTGCGGCTGTGATTGGTTGGAATCTCAAGGACCCAATTGTGTAGGGTAAATCACCCAACGGCACATGCAGCTGAAGAAATCACTTGTTATTTCCTTAGCAATAAAAGGCTCTGGTTCAACGGTGACATTGGCGATGGGAGTTTTAACGCCTCGAACTTCATTGCAGCATATATGATACTGGTTTTGTGAAGCGTTCCGATCAACCTTTTACGGCGCCCTACTCTTTGGGCCGTAAGTGTACTGTGAGCATGGTTAAGCGCAGGGGAGCAAGCACAGTCAGAAATGGGCCAAATGAGGAGATGTAAGAGGTGTTTTATTACCATTATGCCATTATAATCTAACCGTATCTCTTGCGATGCTTCGAAAAGAATCTCTAGGAATTAACATCAGGTTGTCAAGCGTTGAGGCACCAGAATGTTCCCCCGCCATCGTCACTCCCCGCATTGAATGAATGCCGCTTACTCCGGATCACCAATCTACCACTGAATAATGACATAATTTAGCTCAACCAGGAAATGATGAGCGCCAAGCTCGGGCCGACTTGGCAGTCTTGAACAAATGCCGTTAGTAATTTCACGACTTGCAGAGCTAATTTGCGGGGTTAACCAAGATTCTGGCATTGTCTTGATTCCCGGTCTTGGGCTTTTTGCTTATTTTCATCAACATGTTAAATATAACATTGAGCTCTTGTTCTGAGTCTTTAAGACTTATTTTCCAGGTCGTTTACATATCGTACCGTGCATCTGTGAGAAGTATCTAGTAAAATCAGCCGGTACTGAGTGTAAACCACCAATTGGTGTAACTGACACCATGCTTTCTTCGGTATGTCAGGACTCGGCACAAACTCTTAAATTCATCAGGCTTAAAATTCTCAAAATACTCTTTTTTAAAACTTCCCATCACTCGAATACTGATTCCTCCGATGTAGTATCTTAATTATGCCCTTTTGGCACTTCTCTCTTCAGTAACGCTGGCAACCAGCACTCCCGACCATGACCGCATTAAAAACTGCTATCAACGTCATAGCACATCAAACCACTCAACCAAAGCCAGCAAAAACATCTACAACACCTCATTCCCCCGCGTAACATGGGACAACGACAATTGGCTCCTCAGCACAACCAATCTCGACCAAGGCCACTACCAATCTCGCGGATCCGTAGCAAACGGCTATCTCGGCATCAACGTCGCTGCCGTCGGCCCGTTCTTCGAGATTGACCTCGACGAAGAAGGTGGCGTCATCAACGGCTGGCCGCTCTTCTCGAGGCGTCAGACCTTTGCTACCATTGCGGGCTTTTACGATGCGCAGCCAAAGACGAATGGAACGAATTTTCCGTGGCTTTTGCAGTATGGCTATGAGAGTGTCATCAGTGGTGTTCCGCACTGGAGTGGGCTTATTCTCGATCTTGGAGATGATGTGTATCTTGATGCGACGGTGGATAATCGGACCGTTCATAACTTTACGTCTACCTACGACTTTAAAGCTGGAGTTTTGGAGTGGTCGTATACTTGGAAGCCAAAGGGGAAGGGGTCGTATGAGATCAAGTACCGACTGTTCGCGCACAAACTACACGTCAACCAGGCTATCGTGGATCTAACAGTCGTTCCATCCATCGACTCCGAAGCGACGGTTGTCAATGTGATTGATGGATACTCGGCAGTGCGCTCAGATTTTGTCAAGTCAGGCGAGGATGATGACGGCGCCATATTCTCAGCTGTACGACCAAACGGGATCGCCAACGTGACCGCTTATATCTACGCACAAGTCAACGGATCGAAGTCGCTAGACCTATCCCGTCGCAAATTGGTCCATGGAAAGCCGTATGTGCACACCAACGAATCATCCATCGCACAAGCCATTCCTGTCAAGTTCTCCGCTGGTGTCCCTGTTCAGATCACCAAATACGTGGGTGCCGCTTCCTCTGACGCCTTTGATGATCCTGAAAAGACCGCAAAGGAAGCTTCACGTAAAGCGATAGAGGAAGGATACGAGAAGACTCTTCTTTCCCATGTCAAGGAGTGGGAGAGCGTCATGCCGAGTGACTCTGTGGATAGCTATGCCTCTCCCGAGAACAAGACACTCCCTGGTGATGAGTACATCATCGACTCTTCCATCATCGCCGTCACAAACACCTACTACCTCCTCCAAAACACAGTCGGCAAAAATGCACAGAAGGCAGTATCAGGAGCCCCCGTCAACGTCGACAGTATCTCCGTCGGCGGGCTTACATCCGACTCCTACGCCGGCCTAATCTTCTGGGACGCAGACCTCTTCATGCAACCCGGTCTCACAACATCGCACCCCGAAGCTGCTCAGCGTATAACGAACTACCGCGTGGCCAAGTACGATCAAGCCAAGAAGAACATCGCGACTTCTTATGCTGGGTCTCAAAACAAGACCAAGTTCTCTGACTCAGCGGCTGTATATCCCTGGACTAGTGGAAGGTTCGGGAATTGTACTGCTACTGGTCCTTGCTGGGATTATGAGTACCATCTGAATGGCGATATTGGAATCTCTTTGGTAAATCAGTGGGTTACGAGTGGTGATACCGACTTCTTCAAGGAGACGCTGTTGCCGATCTATGACTCGGTTGCGAACCTCTTTGCGGATTTGTTGAAGCCGAATGGGTCATCGTGGACTATCACGAACATGACTGATCCGGTAAGTCCAATCGAGCATTTGTCTCGATGCGAATACTGACATGATATAGGACGAGTATGCGAACCACATCGACGCTGGCGGCTTTACCATGGCACTTGCTTCCGAGACCTTGATCCAGGCCAACAAGATTCGCCGACAGTTTGGAATGACGGAGAACAAGACGCAGGACGAAATAGCCTCTGATGTGCTTTTCATCCGAGAAAACGGCATAACTTTGGAGTTTACGACGATGAATGGCAGTGCTATCGTGAAGCAGGCTGACGTGGTGCTCATGAGCTTTCCGTTGGGCTACAACGATAACTACACTGATCAGAATGGACTGGATGACCTCGACTATGTAAGCTCATTGAAACGAGTAAAGCGACTAAATACTGACTTGAATGTCTTAGTACGCGAACAAGCAATCCCCTGATGGACCAGCTATGACCTGGGCAATCTACTCCATCGTTGCCGATGAGCTCTCACCGTCCGGTTGCTCAGCATACACCTACGCACAGTACTCTTACAAGCCCTATACACGAGCTCCCTTCTATCAGCTTTCCGAACAGTTGGTCGACAACGCGACCACAAATGGTGGCACGCATCCGGCATATCCCTTCCTGACTGGGCATGGAGGCGCTAACCAAGTGACTATCTTTGGATACCTCGGCCTACGACTCATTCCTGATCAGGGCCTTCATGTGAATCCGAACCTACCGCCTCAAATTCCGTATCTCAAGTATCGAACGTTCTATTGGAGGGGTTGGCCTATCTCTGCTTGGTCGAACTACACGCATACTGTTATTTCTCGACATCCGACGACTAAACCTCTTGATGTTGCGGATTCGCGGTACGCCAATAAGAGCATTGCGGTCTACGCTGGAAAGCAAGGGGAGTCTGCACTTCATCATCTGTCATTCGACGAGCCTGTTGTCATCAAGAACAGACAGATAGGCAGTGTCAACACTGTGCACGGCAATCTCGCTCAGTGCCGACCGGTCAAGTCTTCCAACTCCTACGAGCCAGGGCAATTCCCCCTCGGAGCTGTGGACGGAGCTACCTCGACAAAGTGGCAGCCCTCCAAGGCCGCTGAGATCAGCTCACTGACTGTATCCCTTGCGAGAAAGGATGTTGGATCTGAGGTCAAGGGCTTCTATTTCGATTGGGCCGATGCACCACCTGTCAACGTCACAGTTCTGTTTCACAACAAGACCATTGATGATCCGGCCAAGGTCTATGGGACATCAAGCCATGACTCGGGATATGATGTCGTTGTGTCTATAAAGAAAGTCAAGCTCTCGGATGCATACAACGCCAAGACGGATAATCTGGATGCAGTCGTCATGCCTACTGGGAACACTACCAATGTCACTCTTCCAGATCCTGTTCCTTTATCTCGATACGCCACGTTGTTGATCGCGGGGAACCAGGCATTGGATGCGGTGGATGTCAAGGCTGGGAATGGTACGGGCGCGACGGTCGCCGAGTGGGTTATCCTTCACTGAAGGCGATTGTGTACGGTATAAGGGTCAATGGTGGCCGTAGGACAAGAGAATATGTTTCTTTCTAAGAAGGACACTTTTGTAATCTGTGCTGAGGCTATGCTTTTAATACTTCCTGGCTGTGCCTAGCTTCCTCCTTCAAAAATTTACTCTGAACAGTGCAAGGCCGTATACTTAATGCGCAAGTAACAAGCTCAGTTCAAGGCACATGACTCATTAAGACTCTGAAGCCGCTTTGTAAGGGCGGACGAGTCGGAGTTCAAGTCCGCTTCAGTCGCCTACGGCAGAGAAAGAGATGAGAATGCTTCGGCGTTGAAGTTTACTACTTTTGTTGGGCATTTGGGTCACCATCACCTCAGAAGCTTGATCAATGCATCAAAAGAATTGTTGTAAATTGAGCAGAGAATCGAATCTATAAACACAAGCCTCTCCGCTGGTCCTGAGACAGACTTGGCTGAAAGTAGCTAGTTACAGGTTGTCCCTCAAGACTGCTTGCATGTATCATAAGGCGGGTTAGGCTTGTCGCACGCACACGCTCCATTCGGATGAGCCTTGTCGATCCGGCCATTGCCACGGCCTTGATCATGACAATCCTTGTTGCAAACTTGATCGTTGGCAGCGCCATGGCACTCAACGGCGTAGTAGTACTTCCAAGGGTTGCTACCACTCTTGAATCCGCGTTCCTGGCAGTACGCATCCATTGCCTGCTTGTTGGCCAACTACAAAGTGGTCAGATGAATCTTTTGTATTAGAGAGGGTAGAACCTACGATGCAGTAGCAGTGATGAGTGTCAGTGACCTTTGGAGTCATGTGGTCGTCGCAAGGGAACTGATCGAACTTGCACGATGCATAAGAGTCGCCGCAAGCGGGAGGGTCACTTGGACCCTGAGAAGCAGGTGTTTTACACTGAAGAGTATTAGAACATTGTATCTATAGAGGTTGCACTACTAGTAGGACATTTCTTACCATGGGCCTGGGGCAAGTGCTACCTCGGGCACTCAAGCGACTCGGGGGCCAATTGGGATGTTCAAGTTGAGACCTCTGGTCCGCGGATACGAGGCCCACAGTGGCTAAAGCAGAGACGAAAGCGAGGAGCTTCATATTGGCGATATTGAACTTGAGGAGTAATCTTGAAGAAACTTGTCAATAGTAAATAGTTAACGGAGAGTGCTTGGTATATATATATATATCCTGTCCCCTTCTAAGGGGTGCAATTTCTTACATAGCGGTAAAGAAAGCTTAAGTCAATAAGAAATTAAAAAGTATGTTATACGGAGGAATAATAATGCACTTATGGGGTAAAGTTCTAAGCTACTGGGATTTACAGAAAGTATACAACTGCCGATTGACGTGGACCGGTCCCTCGGTGCCAAAAAGCTTAAATATCCTGATGCAACGTCAACACACCGCTTTCCATATCAGTCATGTTTAAACTGATTGCCGGAATTACAGCGAGAACTATAAATCATTAAAAATTTCTCCTGTCCACACGGGCGTAATTCGGTCCAATTGGAACCTCGAGGACTATGGAGGATGCGTTCGTGTCTCGGTAGATGGGGACTAAAATGCTCATGCATGGAGAGCCGACTTCCGAAATTACGAGTTGATTTAGGTTAAACATGGGCGAAACCTAATGCAACTGATCATCCTCAACAGTCTGGACTGAGCTCCGTCAGACTCGTTGAATACCGTCATGGATTCGCCGTATGCCTCGTGCAATACAAGCCGGCAGATACTTGCCAGATCCGAGTCTGATCAAGAGAGCTCTGGGTTTGTCAGGTAGGAATGCAACGCGGCGTCTTTGCAGTATGTTTGGGACAAGAAGAGGACTTCAGGCGGGTTTTCGTTAGTCTTCTTCCTGCTATGTTCGTTTGTTATCCAATATGTAGTCTTCTGGTCACTCCCAGGTCCAAATCCTGTCATCAACGATGATGCAACAGAGTTTAAGGATAGAAGGTCGACATACAATACATAATAGCTTCTTTCATAGCAGCATAAAGAATGCTTCAGGCGAAGAGGTAAATACATACGTCGTGCTCTACCTACACTTCACCAGAAGAAAGTCCACGCGCTCGCCCCCATAACGCACAGTATCACCCCCCATCTTACCAGCCCTCTAGTAATGTGCTTCTTTGCAAAGCTATCAATAGCTTGACTATCATTGATCCTTGGGAAGGGGACATCCTTCGGGACTGGTAGATCCAACGCCTTGCACAACGGCTCCCAGCCATCACGAACGTCTATAAACACCAATCGATCCTGTGGCACATTTTCCTTCAGCCACGTGATATGCTGATTGTACGAACTACTCGTCACCGGTTCTGTTTCTCCAAACTTCAGAAGCCACTGTTGGCGCAGCGCATTGATGTAGTCGACAAAGTATCGCAGTGAAGGTAAAGGGAATAAGACGAAGCGAAGAAACCATTGGGTGGATTTGGTACTGACGGTCGCCATGCTTCGTTCCCACGCTTCGACATCGCGCACGGTGCAAATGACTTTGGCATCCGGGTAAATTGCCATCAATTCTCTCACAAGCGTTGACCCGGGTGAATCAGTGATGGCGACGAACCCGTCAACGCGTTCCTTGATGAGATCTAGATTGGAATGCCTTATGGAAATTCCTTCTGGCCGCCACTGATTCAGCACCCGAATCCATGTCTTGATTTCGATTTCTGGGCCGAGAAAGGCTTGTGTCCCACCGTGATATACGGGACCGTCGAGAAGAATCTCCAGCGCTCGGCTGATGGATGCAGTTCCGGTGCGGGGAAGACCGGCGCCAATGACTTGGAGCATGGTGCCTGGTCGAGGTTGAGAGTATTGTTGACCCATGGCGGGGACGAAAGAGACAAAAGTGGAAGGTCGTACAACCAATAGAGGAACTGAGTCAAAGGTTTTCATACCACTAACCAGGCACGGGCTACGTGTTTTATACAGCCTCTTTGCGATCGCCAAGAAGCCTGACCGCCTTTGGTAATTTGTAGCGCTGAAGTACACTGCCTATGGTTGATCAAAGGGGTAACTTACCCCGGGTAAGTGATCTTGGGGAGAAAGAAAACTCAAGAGCTTAGCCTAAGGGATGAAAATACTTAGGTAAATTTAGCCTAAGCTCAGGTGTCCTCTACTAACTTTATTTTGACACCCTAAATTTAGGTTTGGTATTTTCTTCTCTCCTGAGAGTGATGTAAGAATATTACGCCCAGGAGAGTGAGAGCGGTGGAAAATACCCTTTACGGCTTAGTTCAATTGGTTCCAGGCATATTTTCGGGTGTCATCATCTTGGCGATGATCTTCGATTCATCTTGTGATGTCCGATTGGTTAAAATCTTTAAAAGGACATGCAAGTCAGACGCTACGGATAATATTAGCACAGTAAGCAGAATTAACCATATTCTTGGGGTAAAACCGGCCGCTCAGCTCCGCCTTGTTTGCACAGCTCTATCCTAAGTGTACTGCTTACCAGAACGTCATCATGGCTATGCTATTCTTCCTCTGGCCTGAGCTTATATAAGTGTAGAGAAGATAACGATGTTGCGCTACCATCTCCCCAATCTACATCCATTCTAAAATAGGAGTTACACGATTTGTAGAGCCCCTACTTGTTCTTCTCATCGTCTTGACGTTTTATCTATCTATTTTCTAAAGCCTCCAAGTCTGCGTAGTTTCGTGCTGTATACCATCATCATGGCTCCGAGCGCTGTCGGGTCGAATCTCTGTACATCAGCATCTTGCGTACACATCGCTTCCGAGATTCTCGGAAGTTTGGCTTTGAACTACACCGACATTGACCCATGCGAAGACTTTGAACAATGTCAGACTCACCACACACATACCTCCTCATTTCAAGTCTAACCTCTAACACAGATGTTTGCGGCAATTGGGCTGCTCGCCATGAGATCCCCGCTGGTGGAGTCTCCACAGATGGACTCACGCTTGCTCAGGAAAATGTCGACAGTGCCTTGAGGCAAATCCTCGAGAGCCCGTACCCTTCCGGTGAAGACGCTGGATGGATCACAGTCAACCTGACTAAAGAGCAGTCCGAGGCAGATAAGAAGATCTTTTCTAAGATCCAAGACACGTATCAGATCTGCAGCAATTATACAGCACTCGAAGAAGATGGTCTCCAAACTCTGCAAGACGTTTTAAAGACGGTCGCCGAGCTGTACCCTACTAGCCCATCAGGTAACCAGACAGCTGCAAACACGACCCAGCATTCTGCTGCCCTGGGCAAGACCTTGACCTTCTTCGAGAGCGTTGGCATTCAGACCTTCCAGCGGTTCATACAGAAGCAGAAGGACACCGACCCTGATGCGGTCCAACTAGTTCTTTTCCCTCTGCAGCCCGATGAGTTGGTCCTCCCCGCTACAGAGCAGCATCTCGAAGAGTACATCAAGATCGCGTCCCAGCTTTTGGCCACTGTCCATCCCTCCAACATCAGCACCACTGCAGCTGCCAAGCTCGTCGCGTCGGTGATTGAGTTAGAAGGAAAATTAGTCGCTGCTTCTGCTTCAGCCGAACAGAACGGACCGCCATCGGAAATTGTCACGATTGCCGAGGCCCAGAAGCAATTCCCTGAGCTGAATTACGAATACGTGATTGAGCAGCTTGCTCCCAGCAATTGGAAAGGCGATGTCCAGTTTATCGCGCCCACCTATTTCGCCTATGCATCCCAAATTATCTCTGAGACTCCGGCTACAATTCTCCAAGCATACTTTGTATGGAAGGCCATTAATTCCATTTCCATCTACGTCGAGGACGATTTGACCAACGCGTATAACGACCTGGTGAACAAGATCAGGGACAGAGACCCAGAGAGCCCAGCACCACGATGGAAGCGCTGCATCAACTTGATGAACTACGGCGTCGCATGGACCCAAGGCTCTCAAATTACTTCACAATTCATCGGCCCAACGGGCTTGACATGGATACTCTCACGCTTCTTCGTAGACAAGCATTTTAGCCCTGAGGCTAACGAGCTTACATCTGACCTTGTGCAACACATCAAGGACTCCTTTTCAGAACGCATTGAATCGCGGGATTGGGCTACGGACGAGGTCAAGAAAGCGTCTATCGAGAAGGTGGAAGCTATGGCGAAGATCATCGGTCTTCCTACCTTCCCTGATGCCGTTGATCCAATTTCCCTCCAGGAATACTACTCGGATGTCGAGATTCAGCCTTCTCTAGCCTTGACTGCGCTGAGCTTTGCTAAGTCCAAGGTTAAGAACAACTGGATGACTTTGGGAAAGCCATACAACAGAGGTCAATTTGTTCTGAGCACTCTGACAGCAAACGCTTATCACGCCCGTACTCTGAACCAGATCGTTCTCTTCGCTGGATTTCAACAGTTTCCTATCTACGACGTAGAATTTCCGTCTTATCTTCTCTACGGTGGAATGGGCAGCGTCGTCGGCCACGAGATCACACACGGCTTCGATAATACCGGCCGTAACTCTGATGAGATTGGAAATGCGACAGTGTGGTGGGACGAGCAGTCGATCAAGGCCTTTGAAGAAAAGACCAAGTGCTTTGTGGAACAGTATAACAACTTCACCATTCTAGCGCCCAACGGCACAGACGTCCATGTAAACGGAACCCTCACTCTTGACGAGAATATTGCCGATGCTGGGGGTGTGTCTTCCAGCTACGAAGCGTGGAAGAAGTGGGAAGCCGAGAAAGGCAAGGCCAAGAATCTTCCTGGGTTACAAGGCTTCACGCACGAGCAACTCTTCTTCATCAAATGGGGCCAGACTTGGTGCTCCAACGTTCCGCCCAAATTGGCCTTGACGCTGCTTAAGGACGACGTGCATAGCCCGGCACCCGCGAGAGTTTTGCTGCCTCTGAAGAACACTGTTGGGTTTAACAAGGCATTTAACTGCCCTAAGAAGGAACCTGTTTGTGAGCTCTGGTGAGGAACTACCTTTGGGACGGTAAATTGGGCAGAAACGGTTCTGTGTAATTAGGCACATTTTCACTGTTTCCCTCATACCACATATGCTTTTGTCAGTGGTGCTGCCAGTAAAAGTGAACGTAACTCATTGAAGTCTCACTGAGGCTGATGATTTTATCCACATCAGCCAGTTCGTCCTGGTTAGAGATCTGTGCATTGAGGTTTGACATGTTTGTATGTTGAAACTTCCCCAGTTAAAGCACTGCTTTCAGTTTATCTGTTCTCAGACGCCGATTGGTCACATGCTCCGAAACGTGCATTCCATTGATAGAGTCGTCATTAACTTCAGATCAATTTGACTTTCGCAGACTAACTCACAAAAAAGTCAACCCAATTCCTTCAAACCTTCATTGCGGTAAAGGAAGAAGATTAACACAGCTGCCAAGGGACAGTATCTATACTACTTAATCAAGGCAGCAATTGCACCACGAAGGCAGATAAACCTTATAAGATATTGACCTCTGTGATGCTGTCCTACTAAAGAAGCCTTACTGTTTAAGCCTCCACATTGAAAGTTAAATGCTTGGTGGCTTTACATGACGCCAATAGCTAGGAGGGGGGAAATGTTGAACCTTAAAGTAAGCCCTAATGACAAGGTTTGGTTGACAAAGATATAAAATGCAACTCATCCCCACCTCCTCATTTGTTCCCTCTACGCGAATCACATAAAGTCCATCAACTTCACTCATAAAATCTCACGCTAACGGAGCATTTAACCCAGCTGATTTATTCATCCCAGCCTACTAGAACATGATCTCCGCAGCCGGTCGAGAGAGCAATAAGGGCAGCCCTTATATCGCAACAGGGATCAGCTCCGCCCTTGAGTTTCCTGAGACTCTTAGGAGAAGGAAAGTAAACGCTATATCGCCGCAATCATCGGGCAGAACATGTACACCCAAAATTGGTTCAACAACAGTCTGTATCTACCAGGACGAACACGATGCAGAACCCCCCGATGATCCCGTTCGCACCACATACTATATCCATTGTATCAATGCAAGAGATACTCTAGGATATCATGAACGTGTTGCAAACCTGATGAGCCGTCTGTGGTGCTCAGGCTGCGAAGCCGAACACCCCGCGGTGCAATTCTCCTTCGCGTCCCGAAGGGCAAATCCCTCTTCCAGACTTTGCATTGCTCACCAGGGTCATTTTACCGTCTGTCCCCACTTGCAGATCTCCTTAGATGATCTTAGGTTGTGGCGAAACGTGGTCGAGACACAATCGATACACTGTACAGAGAAAACCTGTCCCTGTCGCGGTATCGCGGTCCGATACACAGGGATCAATGAGGAGTTCTCTTTTCTTGATAGTACCGTCTGTGTGAGTTGGATCATTCCACTCGAGGGCTCAAGCCGTGATACTCCTCTGATGGATCGATGTATAGCCAAGACAAAAGAGGTACACAGAGCATATCCACAAGCTTTCTGTCCTGCGTTCAATGTAACTCCAGGTCGTCTGCTACAAGCTAGGTTCTTCGGGGAGCCTGAAGCGGCAATATCAGGGATATCAGGGGAACATTGCAGATGCTCCGACAATTGTACAGTTGGTTACGTGTTGGGATTCAACAATGACAGCGTGGAACTGGGACGTGTACTGTACATGCCGAATGGTGCCTATGGGTCTATTCCGAAGAACTGGATTCACAATTTAGACCCAGAGAGCTACGGCCACTTTCAGGATCCAGAATCTATGCACATTACCTGGTGCTGCGATCCAACTTGTGCAACCACAGCTGAGCTTATCAAGTTCAATACAATGGTTACTATGGATGAGAGTTATTGGAGTGGACCTGATGAGCCAACAGCAAGATCAAACTTCTTGGACTCTCTTATCGACAAAAATATTAGATATATAATGTCGGTATAGAGGTTCTCATATTCCATCTACGTGATGCATACTGCATGTTGGTCATCAAATGGTAGACTTTGGCGCAGGCTTTCTCAACATACTTCAGGTACGCCAAGGTTTTTAATGCTCAAAAGCCAAACCAGATTTTAGTTCTAACAAGCATTTATAGAGTCTAACCCCTCGGGCTTTCATCATCTCAACCCCATTCCTCCTTATCATCCACGCGAATTTGCAATCCGACATTCCAGAAGCTTCAGTTGCCCAGTAACAGAAGAAGAAATCTACCAGAATCCCATCAAACAAACTCCTTTGCCAAGTCAAGCCCTCAGTGCGAGCATTATGTCTGCTCCAAATGCCCCTGCGCTAGACGAAATCAGACAGTATTACGATTGGCGATGAAATACGACGAGATGGTGCTTGTAGTAGTCACAGTTTCCGAGAAGCCACCTTTTTGAGGTGTCTTTGGGTGCGGCAATGGGCATTGTAGGCAGCCTTGGTTAGGAAATTACTAACTTTGCAGGGATTACACGGGAACTTTGAGCTTAGTGGTGCTGAATGAGGTGATGAGCGGATTGCTTCGATCTCAGGGTCAATTGTCCCTCCACTGTCGATGATCTTTTTCTCCTTAGTGGGGTGTTTGGGATCTTCTGGTAGCTCTTTTTTAGGTTGTATAATGTATGGAAGGTCTGGTTATATCTGTCAAAACGAAAGAGTGACAGTAACTTTGCCCGAGTAAAGCACTGTATTATACGTGAGAGACCAGAATACTGAGGTATGATGTCCTGAATATTATAAAAGTTTAGGTAAATTCAGTAAATATTTGTCAGGTCTTAGACTAATCTTAGACTAATTAGGATAGCAGTCCTAATCTGTTGACTTGGGATCAGAAGATGTACAGAGCGGGTCTGGAATCTGGATTTCCCCACACGTCATGGATGAGTTCCTTGAGCTTGGTAGCATTACAACAACATCGGGACTTCTCCGACTACTTCAATACAAGTTATTGAATGGCGCGACTTGCTCAATTGATCGTGGGCATTCTTCAGGACGGTGCGGTCTTGGGAGGATTGACTTTTGCTACAGTTTCAACTCCTCAAGAGCCTTTCTCAAGCGGTTCTTCAGATTCTCATGCTCCTCTCTGGTAACTCCCTTCGCAACTGCAGACGTGTTGTCTTTTTCCTTTTAACGCCCTTTACTATCTATATCTATGATACTCCAGGAAGGGTGGCGGTGATTGGTTGAGACATTTTGATGGGCTTTGACGCTGGGAATACGAATTCAGCGAACCGGCGGTTGTCTAATTGCAAGGCGCAGACCTGTCGGGGGCGCAAAGCTTAGGGCAGTCATCCTAAAACTCATCAAATCTTTTACAAGTGTATGCTAAGTTTACCTAAGACTTTACATCAATTAGGGTATATATCCTAAATCGTCCATCCATTAGCGGGGATGTGGCCAAGAGTAACAATACTAGGTAGGCCTGGGCAAGAAGCCGCAAGGCCACAGTATTCAGGTCCGCGGGCAAATGCCTAAATGTTCAACGCCATTAGCCATAACTCTGTTAATGCACTACTCTTGTTATCTGACAGAGGTGCTGAGAATGTGCTTGATCACACAAAGACCATTCGCTCAATGCTACCAGAAATGTAGTTATTCTTGTTAATCTGCCCTGGTTTAAATTAGACCTCAGAGATGCGAGGCTTCGAGAGAACGAACTAGGGAGTGTTAAAATCTCTTGAACATCTTTAGTAAAGATGAGTATTCACACTAGTTAAGACCTGTACCCCAATGCTCTCTGGTCTTTTGCTCCGTCTTCTTCTAATCTCCTGCTCCCCTCCAAATTGGTGGAATGCCTGATCTGCTGTGAATCTTTCCGACAACCCAGCGAACGTGAATTTTTCCAACTTGCAGCTCTCTCTCATGATGCACCCACGGCGTTGGTGCCAGAGGTTCAGCTCTATAGAGTGAAGTCAGAAGACGCGTTCAGTAGACTTACTCAACGAAAGATTCTTACATACAAGCTAATAGAGCTTGGCGCCCTGGGCATACTGGACAAGGGAGTGTCCATTGATATTATAGCACTGCTTTGAGTGGAAATAATCTCCATTGTTAGAGTACGTATCATAGATGAACGACTCCTGAGAGCAGCTGGGCTGAGCATAGAAGGCAATTCTCTGCCCGTTGCCTGGTCCGAATCCGTTCTCCTTGTAGGACTAGAAACGCTGAACTTTGGGATTGCAGGCTGCGTTGTGATCGACAGTGAGAGTCTGTTCAGTGCCGGTGCAATCACGGCCAGTGTAGGTTTTGATACCGACGGCCAAGGTGCCCTGGGTGAAGAGGGCGGCTGCGGCGATGAGCTGGTAGAAATGCATGTTGAATGAGGTGACAGGTTTTGGGCGCGTTCGACGACTATGTTGCCGAACAGGTAGTTCGATGTTGTTGATTGTGTTCTGTTCTGGAAATGGACGTAGATGTGTATTTATCTGCAATAGTCTTGGCTATGGTGCGCGTGAACAATTACTAATTGGCAATTAAGCATTGCACAATGAAATCTCATGGATTCTTTATAGCGTATTTTCTCTTGGGGGCGTATTAACTGTTTCGCGTATTCGATCTCGAGCGTATTCAGATGCCGACCTGTAAGCAGCCTTAACAGGGGTTGTTGCATAATTATGCTGTAGGATCTTGATCACATCGAAATTCACAGCTCATATTCACGAATGATGCCACTTCTCACAGCTCAATATTTTACGGTTAAAGGCAATACTTAAAATTCGTTATTTCTTGATATTCGTAATACCCTCCAGGGGTAATCGTGAGTCATCCTTACCTTCATCCCACATCATCATTTCATCGTACAATAATCCAGATACCTATGTAACCCCACTCAAACTATCCTAACCACATCACTCTTCCTCCGAGTACGCATTTCCATCTTGATCTTCTACCTCTTGCATACGCATCCGTCGCGCCAAGGCCAAAGCTCTCCGCTTATCCTGCAGTCTTTGCGATTCCATATACGCTTCTTCCAATTCCGCTTTTGTATGCAGCTTGTTGTCCCCCGAGAATCTGACATAAGTGCTATTGAAATGGAACTCCAGACTCTGAGCAATCTCATGTACCTGGTCAACATCGTATTGGTTCAGCTTCAGTTGCTTTTGTAGCTTCTCGCGTCGGAATGCCTCGACACTGTACTTCGCTTCAAGCTCTTGACTTCTAGCTTCTTGACGTTGCTTGTCAGCTTCTAGAGTCTCGACCTGGACTTCTAGCAGGGCTAGTCGGTGTGACTGTGCTTCCCGCGATGAGTCTTTGGTTTGTGAGGCGTGTAGTAGCTGAGAAATGAGAACCTCCTTGTCCTTAAGAAAATCCTTTAGAGTTTCAATCTCAGCTACTTGATCATCCTTCTGGCTTTGCAACTCCTTGATGTAATCTCTCATTTTCAGTCTCTGCTTCAGATGCTTGGCGCTCAGCTGTTCCATCTTATCTTTGTACTCTGACTCTGCCCGCGTAAGCTTGGACTGGAGGAAGGAAAAGTTGGCTTTGACGCCTGTGACGTCGCAAGTCTTCGCCTTCTGTACCTCGGCGATCTTCGCCGCTTGGATCGAATTCTGCTTCTCCAGGTCTGAGATATGAACGGTATATTTTAGCTTTTCGCTCTTTTCCTGGGTCTTCAGCGCCGTGATCTCGTCCTGTTGCTGTTGAGACTTTTCTTTCAAGCCTTCAATATTGGCTTTTTGGAGTTTTACTTTTGACTCGAGAGCTCGAATAGTGACTTCGGTTCGTTTGAGCTTGTGTTTCGTGGCTTCATATTTGACATTCTGATCTTCATTTTGCTTCTCCAAGTCCTTGATCTTCTGCTCTTGCTCGTGGTTGATGCGCCAAAGACCTGTAACCTTTCCCTGAATCTCCCGAATTGCAGTTTCTAGCTCCGCCCTACTATCCACCAGTTCATCAAAATCCATGATCAGGGGTTCTCGTAGGAACTAAAACCAGACAGCTGCTTGTTCGGGTGACCAGGGCAAGAGTCACGTCACTTAGTGTTGTAGCGAGAAGCTGAAACGCAGTCCTAGTGCCGGAGTCATGAATGTATTTATAACCGAGGAGGTTAAAGTTTCATGTTAGTAAAGACAGTGGATTGTCCGAGATATGAGGTAAGTGTTCATGTCCAGATCCTTGACCACTTAGTCGCGTCGTGTCCTGTGAACACTGCATCGTATATTTCAGTAATGAAAAGATTGTCCTGGTTCGCATAGGTTCTAGCCCATACGCACTAGCAGCATGTTCTTGATTCCATACACGAAAGATGTGCAGCGGTGGATATGTTGGAAAGGATATAAAGCGCAGACAACCCGAGCTTCGCTTTATGATGATCTCAGTGAGCCAGTTTACTACAGTAATCTAATCAAAGAGTATTAAGCCGACTATTGGTCAATTGATCTATCTCATTCGTAAATTAACGTCTAACTCTGGAAGTAAATTACCAGATCTGAAGTACGATCTAGACTGTCCCTATGCGACCATTACTTTCGTCGAGTAACAGGTATCAGGAGCACTGCTTCCTCTTGTTAGCTACCAGGTAGGAAGCAGATAGGACAGTGGCAGAAAGGCTGCTGCCTATTTCATAGCTCGAAGTGAATGCCGGAACATCTAATTTCTGAACATGCAGACTGATGTTATATATAGACAATTTCTGCCGCAATGTTACCCATGTCAATCCTTTCCACTACAACACCTTCCCAACTTACTCTGGCAACTGTCAACGACCCTGATTTCCTTCCCAGACTGGAGGCATCTGAGATTGGCCTGCATCTCATCATGGCTACAACATCTGTTGAGAAGCCCAAGTCAGGGGCCAACGTTGACATCCTGAAGGTGGCACAACAACTTCAGCATCTTGCCCATTTCTTGTCCCAAGGCCATCCAGTCCCAGGCCTCAGCGTATCCGAAAAGGATCTCAAAGTTGCGCGTGTGCTCAGCCCCGTCACGAACCTCACATCCCACCGCCGACACTCAGACTTGGAGTTTCCCCGAGAGTGGGTTGAAGATGATGGCGCACTAGCCATTGCACTTCGCGACTGGAGACGGGATATCGACCCGAAGCAACTGAGCAGTACACCCTTTGTGGAAGAGAAACCTCCGCAGACAACAGATACTCCTACAGAGGCTGGACTAGCAGAGGTTGGCATTGAGGCTCATGCGAATGGGCCATTCTCGTCATCCTCCACGGAGCGAGAAGCGCACAGGGTCGCGAAGATGAAAGAGCTTGAGAAGAAACTCCGACAAATCGAGCAAGAAAAGGAGACTGTTGTCCGGGAGAATGTCAAGCTTCAGCGCGACGTCGAAGCGCTTCAGCGCCAGTCGGAATCTTTTCGCCGTGCCCTTTTCGACCCCAAACGCAAGATCCACGAGAGAAACCTAAAGGAGAAGGTGAAGCTCAATGGCGATATTCGTCAACTTCAAAGTTCACTTGCTACAGTGAACAGCAAGAATGAGTGCCTCGTGGAGAGGAACAAGGAGCTGAAGTCATGCAACAAGGATCTCGTTACTGATAACGAAGAGCTGGTTACGAAAAACAAGGAGGTGGAGTCGTGTAACGAGACACTCGTTACTGAGAACGAAGATCTGGTTAAGAAGACCGAAAAGCTGGAGTTGAGTAATTTTGATCTCCTTACTGAGAATGCAGCCCTTGATGCAGAAATCAAGCGTCTGGACTCAGATAACGAAACTCTTATTACTATGGCCCAGAAGCTCCTGGATAAGCATACACTCTCGAGAGAGGGTATGGAGAAGCACGAGGAGACTCTCGCCGCAGAGAACCAGGCCTTGAAGAGAAGAAGCAAAGCTCTCATCAAGGCAATTGCAGCCATGAAGCTCGACAGCAAGCGCTGCGCCGCCCAGGTCCAGGACCTAGATAGCAGTAAGGATTTCCTGGCTGCTCACAACAATGACCTTTCGATTCGGAATGCAGCTCTTGGTGATAAGAGCAAACGACTTGAAGAGACTCTTAACAAGATTGTTTTGGATGCGAAATATTCACTAGGCCGTCAGTGAGCTGGAAATGACAGGCATCATTTGAATCAGAAGGTGAGTTTCGAGGGAGTTGGTTTTCTTATTATTGGTCCGGAGTTTTGCTTTACAGGGGTTCGGGCATTTAGGGCGGCATTGTGATTGAGTGTTTTGTTGATGACTGGGCGATGCTGATGATAACGAACGACAACGAGTCACGTTGATGAGGTTCAGGAAGTTAGTGGTGTTTGTAATTTGGAGTATAGTCTCGTTGATAAATAACTTATCAAAAACTGTCCTTGATTCATTTCGATAAAAGCGATTACATTCATTTAAGAGAATGACTTCTAAGCCTGTCAGCTTTGTGAAGTTGATGAAATTTAATGCAGCTAGGGTAGGTAAGTCGCGCTATAATAATAATTCCAATGTGATAATTGTCTTATCCTTATCGGTCGGCAAGATAAGATTAGCGCTATTCACAAGACATCACGTGAACTATCAAGCACGGACAATGTTCGGCTAAGAGTAAGTTAAGATAAACCTAAGATAGAGGTAAGATAAGATAAGACATGTGAGAAATACTGCACCTTTTAATGATAGTTTACTGGAGCACTATAGACCTCCTAATTGGATGATGGCGAAGGCTACTGAGGTAGTTTGCTATAATTAATCCTTAGGTTGTCTAAAAGTCCTTATCTATTGCTTTATTATAATATTCCATACAGCACCCTGTCGCTTAGCCCGACAATCAGCCACCAACCAGTCGCCATCACCTCACTCACCAGAGCCTAGGTACAATAGGCCCACTGTAATAATCGACAGAGACTTTTTGCGAGCTCTGATCTGTTAAATCCCAGCCAATGATCGATACATATAGTTCTTTATTAATATACTTAAAGATGAACTCCTCAGCCAGCCTTTTGGCCATTCGTAATAACAAAGTACTTCTTCGTAAACGGCCCCACGGAAGTCCATGTAACCTTCAAACCGGATGGCAGCGCAAAGATATCTCCGCCCTTGAAGCTGTGTACCTTTCCACTCTCGTGCTCCTCAATCTTGATCTCACCCTCGAGGACCATGATAGTCTCATCTCCAAGAGGAGAGCTGTACTCAAAGGTAGTTGTCCCATCGGCCGTAGCGCCTGGCAGCCCTCGTCCACTTCGCCAGACACCGACATTAAGGAGACCTGTAGACCCCGTCTTCCGAACTAATCTCAGCTCACCTGCCGTCTGTGATCCTTTTCCTGGCTCATCCCAGGTATACGGCGCCCAGTCATCAGGGTTGTCGTTAATATTGCCGACGAACAGCTCGTCGCTCTTGGTACCGTCGACAGGGGCATCCCAAATAACCCAGAACTTTTTGAGGAACGGTCCGTGGACATGCCACTTGAGGTCGAGGTGCTTAGGGTGCGCTAGGATATCACCCGCCTTGAAGTGATATTTCTTGCCTGAAGCTGTAGCCAGGACATCTGCAGAACCCTCTAGCAGGACCATGGTCTCGTCACCAAGGGGAGCCGAGTAGACGATATCGACAGTGCCATCATCGTTACATCCAGCAATGCCAGGCCCCGTCCGCCACAGACCAGCTGCCAGATTGCCGCCAGTTGTGCCTCCAGTGCGGATGGTGACAACCTCACCCTTTGACTGAGCACCGTGGAGGGGGTCATCCCAATTGAAAGGAGTCCATGTGCCGGTTGAGTTGCGAGAACCGTGCTCGAGCTCGCGTACAGGGGCGGGCGCTGCCATGTTGAGTAGCAATTGAGATAAGAGGAGAGATGATAACTCAGATGAATTGGTGTGGTTGAGCTTTGACCTTGACGGCAAGTTATTGCTTTTGAAGGCGGATTCGAGTGGCTAATAAAGATTACTGGAGTGGAGAGGCGGTCAACTCCTCATTGTTTGCAAGGATGCCCCCATTCTCTCTGCAGCCCGAGTCAGCACAGGGTTACATGGGAGGTCTGCATGGAGACCCTTACGCATGTACGTTTGACTAAGGCCAAGCATGCGCTGCAGATGACAAGGGTGCAGAGTGCAATGGTCGATTAGAGGATCACAACGGTTCGCTCTCTTCAGAAATAAGCAGCCGGCTTGTGGATTAGATCTGCTCGCGTCAGTCCGAAACATTGTAGGAATTTAAATACGAAGTTGCGCGGCATTTTTCGCTGTAACCCTACCGCCAGAAGGACGCATGGAAAATCTCTTATCATAAACGTGATTTGTTATTCCATGCAAAAAGTGATAAATGAAATGCATGTTGGTTCAAGGCTGGCATGGACCCTGGTCGGTTTGTGAGCCAACAGGTAAGGACCAGCCTGAAAGCTGAAAATGACCACGTAAACTATCTAATGAATGTTTTCGAAGTGTTTCGGGCTACGTAGCACGGCACGGGACGTTAATTAAGCGTTGGAGATAAGAGACATTATTATGTGCAGTACACCCGGCACTAAATTATTAGAGACAAGAGACAAGAGACAAGAGACAATGCAATTGTTTGCTCGTGGGATGAAGATTTTAGAGCCAACAGTGGAACAAGGGTCTTGTCCGGGGTATGATACGAGATGGCGTTGATTGCCATCCAATCGCAGGACGTTGCATTGATGCACTGATAAACAGGTAACATTGTGTTAATACGAATATGCAACCGATAATTCAACTATCAACTGTTTGGTCCTTTTACTCCGAAAGTATATCTTCCGCAATCGCTGTCGATATCAGACCAGAACCGAGATACCAGCCTTATTCCAAGCAAGGATCGGAAGTTTCTTCAACTGCATGCAAGGCCCTGAGACCAAGTATCGTAAGGCATGATACAACGGTTTGCAAGAGGTAAGACAGCCGAAAGTTTATTTACACGACGAATCATACTGTATAAGCACTACAACGCTACGCGCGGCACAGATGGCTACGAGTTGGACGCCAAATGCCGCTCTGCCAGCCCTGCACGGTCAAGGGTTCAGATCCTGCTTATCCACACGCTGAAGCGTAACTGGGCGGGGTGACCTTCCGGTACCTGTAGCTGCCGCTGCGGGTAGCAGTGATCGTCGTTCTGATCATGCAATTGTGCCTAACTAACCCCCGCCAACCATCCCGTATTTAGATCCTACAAACTTTACAAAGTGGACAAGCGACAGTTTCCACCCGTCGCAGTTTGAATGCTAGTACCGGGATCGCGTGTGGCGTTTGACTTATTCTCTCTTGTCTCTTATCCCCGGGTTTCGCCTCGAAACACGGTAATTACAATGACAAGAGGCGTTTTCCAGGATTCAAGTTTCCGATGGAGTGCCGATCTGCCCCTGAAATCCTCGGGTTCATTCGCGGTAGTTTATATAACAATTAAAGAAGCTTTTCGTATTAATTGCCTTCCCCTTCTCGTACATGTCTTCCAGCGCCCCGGACATTTTTGAACGACTATTCCCAGCATGGCACTTACGGTTCAGCCTCATGGGCTCGCCATGGTGCAGCTGGTGAGCTCCATCATCTTTGGCATCTTGAGCACGATTGTCATATTTCTGCGGGCCCAGATTCGCTTTCGGGATAAGGTTTTTGGCGTGGATGATGCACTCATGACTGCAGGATACGTAAGCAGTCTTTCTGGCCGTTCATCACTCGAGCGATGCTGCTGACACTCTTGGCGCTAGGTACTCTTCTCATGTCTCGTTGGTATATCGTGTCAAGCTACCTATTATGGAATGGGTACACACGATAATGAATTACCAGAAGGGATAGTACAACACGGCAGGCAGGTAAGACAAGACATTGGACCCCCTGGTCTACCTCATGGCTAACAAGTCATCGTCTCTTTTAGTTCGTCTGGCTGTTCCAGATCTTCTACTGCGCCGCCCTCGTTTTCATCAAAGCCTCGATTTGTACCACTCTCCTCCGGATCGCCGTCGCGCCGATACATCGCATCATCGCTTGGGCGACCTTGATTATGTCTATTTGCGCAGCCCTCATTGTTTTCATCAGCTTGTTTGTTCTTTGCAGACCACTACCAGCTACGTGGACAGGCGAAGGAACTTGCGCGACGCCGTCGGCCCTGGCAATCCTGAGTTACTTTGTGTCGGCGGCATCCTTGGTCACTGACTTGGTATGCGCAATACTGCCTGGTTTTATGCTTTATAAGGCCCAGATGAAGACAGCAACCAAGATCTCGATCAGTTTGGTTCTTGGAATGGGTGCTCTGTATGTAAAACCCTTGCATTTCCGGGGGAGTCTATCAGAAACTAACTATGAGCAGTGCATCGATAGCCACGATCATACGAATGCCTTACATGAAGTTCTACTTCCATCCCGAAAAGGACTATCTATGTCAGTCCCCGCTCTCCTCTCTTCTCGAGGTATCCAACTAATACATATTACAGACCGAGTCTGCAACGTCGCCTTATGGTGTTTGTTCGAAACGGGAATTGGTATCGTGGCTGGGTGTTTGCCGCCACTACGAAAGCTAGTCAAACGCTGGGTCAACTTCGACTCTTCACATGGTCATTCTTCGGGGAACACACCATATGGCAAAAACAGTTCACTTGGAGTCACGACCAAGGTAGGGACAACAAGCCGCAAGCCAAGAATTCCGACGACTGGTGGGATTTCTACTGGGGGCGAGTGGGAGCGACTTGATGATGATTCGTCGAAGCGACGGATTCATGTCACCGTGGATATGGAGATGCATACCATGGAGAACGGTGCCTCGTCCGTGGGGTCGCAGGATTCTATTGAGGAACTCGCCAGACCGATTTGATAACGACAATGTTAGATACCACTATATTAGAGCCTTTAATTACTGGAAATAAAAGCGCCAAAGCTGCAATTGGGAGTAACAAAGATGGTGACTTTTGCCATGCTTATGGTCTAGCTGAGAAATAAACATAGCAGATATTTAGATTTATCTACATCTGGAAAGTCAGGGACTCATCGAATGAGACTGGGAAAAGTGATATATTTGTCTAGAATTCTTAACTCCCGACAGAAATGCTGCACTAGCCTTCAATTTAGGATTATCTAAATGTCATTTCAGAGTAACAAGCTCTTCTATATTTCTCAAAATCGCTGTTCATCCATGTAATCTATATATAAGCAGTACGCAACAAGTACTTAGCCAGCTCACTAAGAGGCCTTTAGTATCTTAAGTCTTTGGATAACTTTATCTCAGAGCGTAATGAAGACTGATAAGTCCTCTCCACAGATGATGTCTCAATCCCAAAACCCCTTGCCACCCCAGGTATTACCAACATTAACTCTTGATGACTCTGTAGTATTAACCTCATCCACATGATTGACTGTACTAACCCGAATCCCCTGTGAATTTGAGAACGACCCTGTTACAAATGAGTTGCCGACGTTGACCATTCCTGGTCCAGTGATCTTTCCAGCAGTGTTTTTGCCAGCGATTTCCATGATCTTATTCTTGGAGGCATCAGACAACAAAGGGTCTAACCCTTCAGCGGCATCGTGGATCACTTCCAATTCCTGCTCGTCATTTACCTCCTCAATCTCCATCTCGACTAATTGACTCGCGACCTGTGAGGTGCCAGGAAAAACCTTCTCCAAGTCTTCAATTGACGCGATAATGTCCTCAATCACTCTTCCCATATAGTTCTTATCATAGAGTGCCCAGCCAGTCTTTTTCATCAATCCCAGACTCTTATATCGCTGTTTAGTAAACACGTCGAAACGACTATGCACACGCTGCGAAACAGCGCCAAGATCTGCTTCCGTGCAAATACTCAGACCCTCCTCTCCCGTTCTGGGTTTGTAGCGTCTGGAGACCTTGTACGCGGCCTCAAATCTGGCCACTATTTCTTCTAGAATGCCTTGAGCGAGAACAACCGTGGGATCGGCTGGATCGGTCAAACTAAATCGTCGGTCATTGTTGATGTTGATTGATGCTCCCCATCTTGCTAGTCGGCATTTGGCGACGTCGAGCCGGAGTTGATAGCGCGAGAAGTCTTGGCTGAAATGTTTAGCGATCTGGATGTAGTTGAAACAATCGACGCAGTTGTTAAATAGGCCAGCCATGCTTATGGCGCCAGCGACAGTGCCAAATATCTCAGCCATGATTTCTTTTGTAACTCAAGGTTATCAGTCGAAGAAACGGACCACTTTGGTGAGCTATTTTCACTTCAAGCCGTTGGTTGTTGGTTCCAAGTGGGGCATCTTCAGCCACGCAGATTCAAGGCAGACACCTTCAAATCTCTGTTGTGATTGGATATAGTCTTGTTGCCTCTTCTCTCCCCCTCTCTTTCAACCCTTGCGTGACATTCTGCCTCAATCTCTCTTTCACTTGCCTCGCTGAGATTGACTATGCCATTTCGATCACCGGTGTCACAATGGAGAGTTCAACCTCCAGCACTGTGCAGTCTCTGAACGCATCTGGCTCTTCCAGAGTGCACGTCGGCAACAGCTACAGCATAACGCACCACCATGGCAGAGGCTCCGATGATGATGGAGCAAAGAAATACCTGGAAGAACTGCGCTCGACCGATCCCCGTGATGACAAAGCCAGGATTGAGCAGACTAATGGCGGTTTGTTGAAGGATTCGTACGTTTGGATCCTTGACAGCCCCGAATTCATTACATGGCGCGATGAAAGCAAGGCTGGTCGGCTTTTGTGGATCAGAGGAGACCCTGGCAAAGGGAAGACAATGCTACTGTGCGGTCTCGTCAACGAGCTGCAGCCTTTGACGAGGCTAGACGGCTCGCAGAACAGCAAGACAGTATCCTATTTCTTCTGTCAAGCTACAAACTCTGGCCTGAACAACTATACAGCAATCTTGAAGGGTCTCATCTACTTACTAGTAATTCAACACCCAACTGCTGTGTCTCATCTGGACGACAAGGAAGACAAAGACCACTGGAACTATAAGGTGTCCCTGGAAGGAACCTTTCGCAAAATATTGGAAGATCCAGGTCTTGGAGAGGTATACTTGCTTGTAGATGCCCTGGATGAGTGCGTCGAAGACCTTCCCCTCCTCTTGGCACTGATTTCCAGTACATCCTCACGCGCCAAGTGGATTGCCACCAGCCGCAATCGCTGCGAGATTGAAGAGCTTTTTGGAGAGGCATCATCAAAACTAGCACTGTCTTTGGAACTCCACGAAGGGTCTGTTTCTAGAGCTGTCGATAGTTACATCAACTACCGAACTCGTCAGTTAGCTGAGAGGAAGAAACTCAAGAAGAGTACTTTACAGCAAATCCATGACCACCTATCTCAGCACGCCCATGGAACCTTTCTCTGGGTGGCATTGGTATGCCAGCGACTAGAGAGATGCCGAGCTTGGGAAATTCCCAATCAACTATCACAATTTCCCCAGGGCCTTAACCAGCTCTATGCGAAGATGATGGAGCAAATCCACAAGTCTGTCAGTTGCGACCTCTACATTAGGATCCTTGCTGTCGCATCAACGGTCTTCCGCCCTCTCACCTTTGCAGAGTTAATAGCTATGGAGGATCTGCAGATAGATGAGGAGCTAGTTCCTGATCTCATCGTGGAATGTGGTTCATTTCTGACGACAAAAGAGAGCTCTGTTGTGTTCATCCACCAGTCTGCCAAAGACTTTCTGCTCAGGGAGTCAAGCACTTTACTCTTTCAATCTGGACTTGCGCATCATCAATACAACCTTTTTGAAAGGTGTATCGCTATGCTACAAAGCCTTCATCCAGATATCTATGGCTTGGTCTATCCGGGAGTCTCATTGAAGGAAGCTCTTCGGAATTGTCCAGATCCAGATCCACTAGAGACCATCAAATATTCATGTGTTTTCTGGGCTGACCATATGCAAGAGGCATATAAACTCTCCATTCAGAGCGAAGAGAACAGCGACATCCGATGGATTGACACGGTTCATGGTTTTATTAATGAAAAGTTCTTGTTCTGGTTAGAGGCCCTTGCTCTATGTCGAAACCTATCAGCAGCACTGAAAGCTTTGGTATTCGTGAGGGACTTACCAGTTGTACGTTTCAAATTTATCCACATGGCGCAAAGTCGGCCTTACTAATCGATTCTAATAGCAAGGGCAAGGAAGCTACAAGGCCCTGATCGAGGATGCCCTCAGATTCTCACACTATTTCTCCTCTATAATTGAACGATACCCGCTTCAGGCATACGCCTCTGGTTTGCTCTTCAGCCCGAGCGATAGCCTTATTCGCCGTCGATTCGAACAGTACACCTCGAAAATCTTCTCCCAAGGTCCAAAAGTCGACAATAAGTGGAGCCCAATTCGGAGCGTTTTTGCATATGACGGGCTTGAAATTAGGAGTATGAGCTTTGCGCCAACAAGTCAAATACTAGTTATAAACGCATGGGATACATTGGTCAGATGGAACGTCAGCCAAGAGCCTATACCCAACGTCATGGAAAGAGAGGGTGTCCATGAGAAAATTGCACTGTCATCAGATGGGAAGTGGTTAGCAATTATCGATTTTGACCCAAGCTCCGAGTTCGAGACCGACCAGTCATCAGCTCAATACGAACTTCAAATTCACGACTGGACTTTGAACAGGATAACTTGGCGTCAAGAGCTTGACAACCCTGAAGTTTTGGGCATGGCGATCTCACCTGACAGTCAGTACCTGCTACTGTGCTATGAGACAATTTTGGTGATCTATGATATTGGCGGTGGACTACGTCGACGGTACACCCTCGAGAAGGCACTGCCTTATTCAGGTCCCGCTAGATATTTCGATGACATATACTTCTCCTTCTCATCCGACGGTTCTTGGGTAGCGTTTCACATGCGCCACAAGACGCAGATCTGGGTCCTTAACTTGAGAACAGGCAAGCAGTACAACAATGGCAACTGGAAGGATATTTCGCCTATAAATGACACAAAATTCATCCCCAGTACACACTTGCTCATGTTTTGCGATAGTGGAAACAACATTTATCACTGGAATGTTGTTGAGCAAAACTGTGAGATGTGGAGTCACATTGACTACTCTTTCTCTCATTTAGCAATCCCACACTCTGATTCTTGGATGCTTCTGAGTGGGCCATATGGACTCTTTATATGTGATCGTTCTTGCCGCCGTGCTCGACAGGTAGTTGGCTTGCCGTGGCTACCAGATTGGGAAGCAATTGCGATTTCATTCGATGACCAGGCAATTGCATGTGGCTTTCAAACCGAGATATGGATCTTGAATACTAATACCCTTTTGGCTGATGAGCAATCTGCAACACAAGATACTTACAGAAAACTCCACATCTCTGATAACGGGCAATTGATAGCGCACGATCTAGGTCGCAATGTTGAAGTATGGGACGCATTGACAGGCGACATGCTATGCTCGTTGACTCTGGACGATGTCAATCGTCCAAGCATCCAAAATATCACCTTCGCACCCAAGGATCGCTACCTATTAGTCAGCGGCCTGCAATCAATCCTTGGATGGGACTTAGACGATGAGAGCTCGCAAAGAGTCTCGGGTGATTTTGGCAGTGGACCCATTGCAGTCTCAGACAGTGGATATAATGGCGACCGGTGGGCAGCTGCACGTCAATCTATGGGCGACGTTTCCGTATGGAATCTCACAACATTAGAACAGAACAGGATTTTCAGACAACCGGACAATCTATCACAGGAAGCTGCCTCAATAGCCTTTGCCGGCAACCAATTGGGGATCCTATGGATCTCTAAGAAGGGTTCACCAGGTACTTCCCCATTTCTCCTCTACGATGTTGGCACCGGGCAACAGCTCTCTGGAATCAATTTTGTGGAGTATTATGGCGGCACACGCTTGTCCCTTTTCAATAAGCCAAAACTTAAATTGTTTTTGAGTGGAACTTGGGTTATGTTTCATCCCGGCCCAAACACTTCATTATTCTTCTTGAAAATGAGCACAGATGGTAATAAAATCGAAGTTCGCAATAGGTTCTGGCACGTCTCCCTTCTTGACGACTCAACAGTGTCCACTGATCAAGGAGTATTTCACCTGAGTCTTGCTGGCTCGAGTTCGAGTAAGCCTTCTGAAATATATACTTTGAACAGGTTTGGAATGGCCAGGATGAGTCGGGAAGTCCCAGAGCCCCTAGGGATCACTTTCAGTGAATATGCTTACTATGAACCCTCTGCATGGATATGGTTTGACGGGAGGCCGCTATTATGGAGAAATACACAGTACTGGGAAAATATTATAGCAATAGGCCATGATTATATCATGCTTCAGTCATCCAATGGTGTCGACTTTATCCGTTTTGCAAAGGATGCAGATAAAGTACTACGCCAGGCTATAAAGAACTTATCATGATTGGAACTCGAGCTTTATGCATCAAAGAAGAGGAGTGCATGCGTGAAAGAAAAGTAGATACTAAAAGCCCAGGAAAGTTTCGAAAATAGATTCAATGTGGTTAACTTAGCCCCGGCTTTTGATGAAACACGGTAGCGAGTTGGCACAGAAATGTGTCTGACGGCGGGTCTAGGGAACTTACTGCAAACCTGGTGGGTGTGACCGGGTTGCAAAGAGTGATGTCAACGATATTGATGAGTACGATTATCGGTATCGTACTAACCGATTCAAGAGAGGCCGGTCATCATTCACCTCATTAGAGCCAATGCTTTCATATAACCTCAAGAAGTGGTAGCTCCTGGATCGCGCGGTGAAGGTGAAAGGAATGCTGACGATGGTGAGTTCAAAGGCGTAGGCGAGACGCGACCCGCCAAGCGCGCTGAGCCACGTGAGTGCATCTGTCGTTCGGTTTGGCCACGTGGACTCGGCATCGATTTGCCGGCTTGGCCGATGAACGGGTTTGAGGCTGAATGGCTTGGATGATTAGCTAGACTGTTGGGTGAAGCCCTGTTTGAAGCAGAACTGCCAGAATGGAGACACAGTAGTCATAGCACATTGCGCATCGTGTTGAGGTTCTCGTAATTATGATCTGGTTAAACATGTGAGCCCACCATGACTGTCGTGAACATGAACAATGGCCGAGACTGTTTGCTGACAGCTGCGTTTGTTCCCGTGCCCAAAGGCGAAAAATCGACGCTAACCAGGTAGGATGATGATCTGATGCAACCCTGGGATCTGTGGAGCCTGTTAAGGAGGGGAGGCCAGAAAACCGAGGACCTAATCTTAAACACTAAAAAAGCTCAGGTAAGTTTAGTTCAATTCCATAGAGCTGTAGACCACTTTATTCTGGCACCCTAATTACCCTGATTCCCGGCGTACTGTCCCCCAACCTCACGTCGTTATCCCCAAGCGCATGCGGATTTACGAGAGATTTGCAAATGGCATGCGACCGAGAAGGTTCCCGCTTATTACTCTTAAGTCTAGCTTACAGCGTCGCACAAACAAACAACTCACATTCCGAGTTCTGGAAGGGCCGAATGCGACACCAAGTCACGTATGCGGTAATACCACAGAATAATCGAGCTGTCATCATTTCGTTTTTAAAAATGGCATCAAAGTAAGCGACTTACCCGAGGCTACTCGAGAAAATACGGTAGTACAATGGGCTGATTGGGGAGCACGGGGTAGCGTGATACGGGTTTGCGGGGGATTTTTCCGCCTCCAACGGGCAGCCGGCCCGTCGAATCATGCGGCTCTACGAGTTTTTCCCTCTATTCAATGGAGCTAACCCCAGATGAGGGTCGTCCTTGGGGAAAATATCCGCTTTATTAGGCTGGTCGGCCCAGTTTAGCCTATATTCGCGGGCCGGGGTACTGGGGTAAATTACAGGACCCGGTTAATAGGTTAATTTGTAACGACGACTGACAGGGCCATCTCATATTTAATGTCCAGCTTGGCGCCAAGTTTGTCTTTTACTCTTTTTGCTATCACACTTGCATTTTGTGGCTTTTTTCTTCCCTACCAATTCTGTTACATTCTATATCACAATGGTGGGCTTCGCCGTCGGTACGGCTACGACCAAGCAGGACCTCGCCGTCGCGCAGGCTGAGGCTCCTCAGCTCGCAAAGGTCAAGTGGTGGGCTGACCCTGGAATGCGCGTGCTGTACTTTTACGCCGCGATTCTGTGTGTCTGCTCTGCCACGACTGGTTACGATGGGTAAGAAAGAGAGCCAAGCGATCGCCCAGATACTTGGCGATGAAATCAGGCTAACGCGGAGGTTTTTTTTTTTTTAGATCCATGTTGAACACGTCGCAGGCCATGGACGACTGGCAGGATTACTTTAACCATCCTACGGGCTCCAAGCTTGGCATTCTCAACTCCATCTACCAGATTGGTAGCATTGCCAGTTTCCCCTTCGCGTGCGTTGTTTCTGTCTGCGGGGTGGCAATTGGTGGAAACGAAACAGAGAGACTAACTTTGTTGGGCGTAGTCCATTTATGGCTGATCACTTTGGCCGAAAGATCCCCATCGCAACGGGATGTCTTATCATGATTCTCGGCGCTTTCATCTCAGCCTTCACCGATGGCTTCGGCAGTATGTTATTAATCAACTGAGGTATTAAATAGCGCTGATGGATTCTTTACAGTGTACCTTGGTGGTCGATTCCTCGTCGGTTTCGGAAACTCTCTTGCACAGCTCTCTTGCCCCGTTCTCCTCACCGAGATCTGCCATCCTCAGCACCGTGCCATCGTCTCCGCCATCTACAACTGCTTGTGGAACTTGGGTGCCACTCGTAAGTAAATTCTTCACACGTTTTGCCTCAAGCAACTCCTAACGAATATCCACAGTCTGTGCTTTCATCGGTCTTGGTACGATCAACATCAACAGCAACTGGTCATGGCGATCCATCACCCTCATCCAAGCCGTGCCATCTTTGATCCAGATTTCCTTCATCTGGTGGATCCCCGAGTCTCCCCGTTGGCTCATGGCTCACGAGCGTCATGAGGAAGCCCTTAACATCCTTGCCAAGTATCACGCCAACGGCGACGCCAACAACGCCACTGTGCAGTTTGAGTACACTGAGATTAAGGACACAATCGCCCTCGAGTACCAAGCTCAGAAGAATGGCAGCTACCTTGACTTCCTTCGAACCCGTGGTAACCGTTACCGTCTCATGCTCTTGATCTCCCTTGGTATTATCTCGCAGTACTCCGGAAATGCTCTCATCAGCAACTATTCCAACATTATCTATGAGGGCGCTGGTATCAAGGACCAGGCCCAGAAGACTGGATTGAACGCTGGAGAGAATATGCTCAAGCTTTTCGTCGCTATTGGCTGCTCCATGGGAATTGATAAATTCGGACGTCGTCCTCTCTTCCTCACTGCCACTGTCGGTATGTACAAGTCCCCCCTCAGTAATTAGTTTGTGACGCTGACTTTGCAATTTTAGGTATGCTGTTGTTCTTCTTGGCCTGGACCATTGTTGCCGCCCGCTTCGAGGCCGGTGGCGAGGTCGAGATCAAGCGCCTTGGATACCCCCAGATCGCCCTCATCTGGCTCTTCGACGTCTGCTACTCCATCGCCTGGTCTGGTCTTATCGTCGCCTACGCCCTGGAGATCTGCCCCTTCAGACTCCGTGCCCGTGGTCTCACCATCATGAACTTCTTCATCCAGGTTGCCCTCACCATTGGCAACCAGACCAACCCCATCGCCCTCGAGAACCTTCCCAACAAATGGAACTTCTGGTGCTTCTACACTGTAAGTGCCCCCTTTTGACTTTACCGTAACATTCAGAAGACTAATAGAGAAATAGGTTTGGATCGCTGTCGAGCTCGCCTTCGTCTTCTTCTTCTACGTCGAGACTAAGGGGCCTACTCTGGAGGAGATTGCTAGAATCTTCGACGGTGATGACGCTAATGTCGCACAAGTCGACCTCAAGGACACTGAGAAGCAGGCTGTCCTTGAGACCACGGAGCAGGTGCATCATGATGAGCGCAGGGACTTGTAATTGTCTCAAAGTTGGAATGGAACTTTATCAACACCGGCGTCATTGACGTCGGACACACCTAATAGTTTGATGCCTTCTTGCTAGAAGTCCGCAAAACGACTGGACACCTTTATAAATACACCACGTCTTACTGAATCTACCTTACAAGCCTGAACCTTGATCTTGATCCTGCCTGGCAACTATCGCTGCTATTAGCATTATAACTCTATTTTAGCCAGTTAAAAATGTCTTCTAAGTTAGGTAACTATATTTACTATTAGTATTTCTTATTACCTATATATTAATAAAGTACATCTTATATTAATTTAGAGAAATAACTTTATAATTCTTTTGAATTATATAGCCTTAGGTATTGTTTCTTTATATAATTTAAATCTTAAGCTCATATTAGCATAGACATTTAACTCTCTAGTATGTATATTTTAACCTTCTTTATAAGAGCTATTTTTTGATAAATGTAAAGCCTTTTTATATAAGGGCCTAGTCATATTGTCCTTCTAGGAATGACAATACAAATGTGTCCACAATTCCAGTCTTGCTACCCTCTGATAGCTTTGTTGCATACTGCTTGTAATTCATCAAGTCCGCACACGCGTAGCCTGACTGTATAGTATTCCAATTGTGAACAGTCCAAATAAGCAACATGCTGACACAGCAATCCAGCCAGGGACGAACGCATATGGAACCATAGCCAAGGATAGAAATAAGAAGGCTGTAACCAGTAAGGACCATAAGATTGCTGAGGCGATTATTCCAATACACTCCCATCTTCTACTCCAGGCTTCATCAAAAGTACCGTTAGCTCTGTGTTTGTAGATAGTCAAAAGGCTGGAACTATAACCAGCAACTGCAATGGCAAGGATAAAACAGAGCCATGCCGCACCAAGAAATGTTCGAACGCGGTGCATTGTAAATGGAGGTTGCTCCGGTTCCCAGATCTCGGCAGGATCAGTCATCTGCCCAATAGCAACAGCGAAGGTAGAGGCGCCAAAGATCGACACGCCAAATACAAGTGTGATGAACATTTTGTATTCTTCAACAGACGAGGGTAAGCTGGCATGGGAAACCAACGATGGTGGCGCCGGCGAGTGTATCCTTGGCGTCTCCATGATTTGTGACGTTTCGGTCTTGACAATGGTCGGCTTGATTGTTTTAGACACATCAGGTGGATGAGTTATTTCGGCCATTCTGACTAGCTCTGCCCGAAGCATGTAGGAGAAGACTGGAAGGAGGAATGAAGAAAAGTGAAAGCCTGATTTATAATCTGATCGGTCACTGACAACAGCATCCTGACGTAACACGCTACCAGCGTCAGCCCCAGCCAGTATCAGGGATGCTGCATGTACCGAGCCAATGGAAATTTGCCACGAGAATCCATCTGGGCCATCTGGTAGGCCTCATGGTAATCGAATGAGGGTATTTTCAACAAAGAGACAGCCTCACTTTCATGCGGCTTTCTCTCAAGCTTGATTACGCAACAATATCTGTTACTCAGCCAAATCTGACGCAACACAAGGTCATCATTAATCTCGAAGGACAAGTGGTTGTCATGGATAATATACTGCGACTCTTTTACAGGGTCGCAATATACCTATATGTATGCATATACATGCTTATCCTGGCCCGATAACCTTGCTAACGAGAAATACAAGATAATATCTATATTTGGAGAAACCTCCAATTGCCAACAAAACACGAAAGGCAGGGCCTCTCCTTCGGGTACAGAGGGATTGAAGATTCTTGCTGATCCTCACGATCCCTCCATTGAGTAAGCGCGTTGACAAGAAACTATGGTTGTGTGTCAATTTCTAACTCGGGCACAAGTATTGTTGCTGTTCACGGTCTTGACGGCCACTGGAAAAGGTCATGGACAGCGGACAATGGGACTTTCTGGCTTCAAGATCTTCTTCCATCGCTTGTGCCTAAAGCTCGGATCCTCGCCTTTAGTTACGACTCACGCACCCGAGGTAGTGATGCGCCACTCACACTTGACATATCAGAACATGGGAGAGAGCTGGTTTCAGAGTTGAGCATTACACGCCAACTGACACAAGTACGCTTTATGACCTATCTCATCATGGTAGGGATACATACTGATGGTAACCAAATAGACTGAAAAGATCCCAATAATATTCATTGGCCACAGCTTGGGAGGGCTCGTTATCAAAAGTGTAGGTTGACAATCATGCAATCTTTTACCTCTGTGGCTGCATCTAACCTTTTTACTGCTAAAGGCCCTTGTGCATTCAGACATGGCTCGAATAGGCCACCTTGAGCGTTATCGATCCATAAAGCTCTCAACGTATGGTGTATTGTATCTCGGAACTCCACATCAGGGCGGTGAAGGTGTCAATATTGCAAAAGTTGTGACCAGGGTCTTATCAACAGTCAGTCACACAAACCTCAAGCTACTCGAACAGATCACACCAAATTCAGAATGGCTTCAAGACCTTCAATCTCGCTATCTCTCCATCAGCCAAGAGTTCGAGACGGTATACTACTACGAGACACAAAAAACACCACTACCAGTAGGGTCTCTACTTGTATGTCTGGTGGAGAACTCCTGTCTTGACTACATATATCCTAATTCGGAGAATAGATTGTGCCTAAGTATTCTGCCGTAGTATTCGGCGCCACCAATTCTGAGGCAGTACCATTAGCGGATAATCACAAGACCATGGCAAAATTTACTGGCATTAACAGTCCAAGCTTTCAAAAGATTGTCAAAAGGGTATTAGCATTCAGTAATCTGGCGACCGAAAGGGTTAACTGGAACTGGAGGCTCTGGAATAATGAAAAAGGTATATTAACCCTAGCGGCCATAAGAACTTGACAGCTGACATTCCATCGCCACAAGAACTATGATTGTCGTTCGACCGCCAGAAGGCTATTGAGGAAATTAATAAAGCACACATGGTCGACAGGGAGTTCGAAATCGGGATTACCTTCCCAAGCATTCGCAATCGTAACTTTGTTGGGCGAGAAGATGCACTACGGCAAGTCGAAAGCCTGCTTATACAATCTTCTAACCGTGGACAAATGAAGCTACTGGTTCTATATGGCACTGGTGGTATGGGCAAGACACAAATAGCACTCGAATATGCTCACAGAACGCGAAGGAAGTACTCGTCGATTTTCTGGATTGATGGTGCACGTAATGACACAGCAGCAGAAAGTGTCTTGTCATCACTGCGGAGCATCAAGCGACACTATATCGCCAGAGGGTTACAAGAGAACCCACGGTTCCACCTTGTTGAGCAGGCTCTCACAGATATGACGGCGAATGATCAGAGCAGCCTCCAGCAGACCTTTCGCAACTGGCTATCTTACGACGAAAATTGTTCTTGGTTAGTCGTTATTGATAACGTCGACGATCTTGAGGAATTTGACTTCAAAAGTTGGTTGCCATCAACTCCCTGTGGATCCCTAATCGTGACCAGCCGTCGATCAGACTTGGCAATTAGTTGGAACTCACTCGAAATTAACGAGCTGGATGAACAAGAGGCCCTTTTGCTCTTAAACCAGACAGGCAACCTGGATCTTGCTCGAGGAACGAAAGGTTGGTACCTATCTATCTACTCCCTGCAGCGATCTAACGTTAGGAATAGAGTGGGAAAGCTCATTAACACTGGTGCGGACATTGGGATGGTCACCCCTCGGGGTATCTCAGGCTGGAGCCTATATCGCAATGTCAAAGACGCGGGAGCCAGTGTCCCACTACCTTGATCAATATAGAAGATATCCGAAAGACCTGTTGGCTCAAAGAGCGACAGGAATGCCTTGGGACATGGGGACAGATACTATTTTGACAACATGGGAAATATCTTACAGCACAATTGCCTCCAGGGACCAGTTGGCCGCCCGAATCCTATTATTATGCGGCTATCTATCTCCGACGGCGATTCAAAGAGAGATCTTCCTTGGCCAAACTGTTTTAAAAGCCGAAGGTGCTTACACCATTGCAAACAAAACTTCACCTGCTAACAGCTCCCAGAATTTGAAATAAATCAAGCATTCAACTTACTCTATGCCTTTTCATTCTTCAAACTGGCACCGGGTTCTTGTGCTGGACCCATATCTATGCACCCGTTGGTGCACCTTTGGGCACGTCTTCGGCTAGGAATAGTCGAGCAGAGACAGGTAGCCCGAGAAATGGCTGCAATACTTCACAACGTTTCAGCAATTCGTCATTCGATCCAGTCCTACCAGACCCATGTGGCACAGATCTTTGAAGTATTTCGAAAATGGAGTCCTTGTGATACACCCCCAATGCAAACCCTTAAAATCACCCCTATGGATTCAAAGGAGCTAGCATCGATGCCGATCCGGAATCTTAGCAACTGGGATAGAGCTGAAGGTTACCTCATGTACCTCAGAGGCCGAGCAGAAGCGATTTGGCGGTATGTGAGAAAAATATATATAACAGATAGATACTCCGGGCTAGCCGACTGGGAGCTTATGTACACATTTCAAGACTATTGGGATGGTAGCAGAGGGACCAACTTTCTGGAATGGGTTGTTTGCCATCACCTCAGGAATTTACCTGCACACCATTCTCGTGTGCTAGAACTGCTGGGAAACTACGTGAACGATCTTTATTACTACGATTCCGGTGATTTGTCACAGATTCGAGCTTGGTACCAATGGCTTTTGCACGCAAGGCACGAGTGCTTGGTCCGGAACACCCTGCAACAGCTGGAGCATACATGGGGCTTGGAACGTCATCTCCAAGTTGCAAGGAAGGGATGAAACTTTTACAGAGGGCCTCTGAACTACGTATCAAAGTCCTTGGGTATAATGATACACTTACCCAAAATGCAATCAACTCCTTCATCAATCGTGCCAACGACTGCTTCAGAGACTATGAGAACCTGGAAAGGGCACAATGGTTTATTGATTACATGGATATCAAAGGGGAAGAGTCGGTTAGGGAATCATTTTCAGCTGATATTGTGGGTTATGAGCGAGGGATTCGATGGGAGTCCCCCAACACATCCCCCCCTGCCGTGCTAGCTGCCCGCTTGATGGAGAATGGAAGATTTCTGACGGCAATGAAGTTCCTACCTAAGGAACTGTGGGGGTTTAAAGATGTCCTTGAAGTGTTTTTTGAAAAGCTGCCGTCACTCAACAAAATTCAGATGCGCGTCGTCGCGCTGAACCTGATCAGGTTTGCTGAAAACGAAATTGCGATACAATACGTGGTCGTTGACAGAAACGGACACTACCTTCTTAAGTCCTATGAGGGTACATACACCCTACATGTTCACATGGCGGCGTTGTATAGATTGGGAGGATTCCAGCTCCTTATCAACCCCTTGGTCCTAATTTCGGAGCCGGATTCTGTGCGATGGGCTCTCGACGACATGGCATGTAGTCCGAGGACTGGATGGGCTGAGGAACAGTCCGAGGCCTGGGAATGGGAGACTGTTTGGGGGGAATGGCAAGAAGGATTCCTGATGATGGTCGAGCTTTCGGTTAAAGAGGAAGAAGGGACCGGGATGTTAAGGTATACCCTTGTGATTCCGTTGTCGAAATTGGGGACCGATAGAACCATGGAAGCTTCAAGGGCAAAGTGGTACGCAACGCTCTGTTCAATGGGTAACAGAGGCCTCCAAGTGGATTCCTTCCTCGTCCTGACGGGGAAAGCATTGCCAGGGTCGTCACGATTCCAGCAGTTGAGGCCTAAAATTTAAAGCATGGGCAATTGTGTTGGGTAGCTGGTATACTGCCCGGATTGACTTTGATAAGAGTGTTATTTTGAGTTGATAGTCCTCACAGCTGATGGCTCACATCACGCGCCTCACACATACAGTAGCCAAGACGTTCGAACCTCAAAAGAGTCTTGCACTTCCTTCGGATGAGATTTACAAACTGGCTGGAAGCACTGAGCCTGATAAATGAACTTTCTAGAGCAATCAAAACCATAATGGTTTTAGAAGCTGCACTGGTAAACACATGTCGGTTCGATAAGTACATTACCAACTAATACTGAAATAGGCAGACAAGGATATGTCGGAGCTTACTGACTTCGCCTACGATGCTCGTCGGTTTATCTACTATCACAAGCCTGCTATCGAAATCGCCCCACTTCAGGTATACGCATCTGCCCTCATATTTAGCCCCCAGTGCAGTGTTGTTCGCAAAAGATTCTCTTCCCAGATGCCGGAGTGGATCGTGATGAAGCCAGAGATGGATACCGATTGGGATACTCTAACACAAACAATTTCTACTCCTGCGGACCTGGAATATGCCAGCTACTCTCCTGATGGTCGCAACCTAGCTGTTTCACATCGCGGGGGCTTTTTTATCTATAAGACAGTCTCAGGTGATTTGCTTCACGAAGAATACCATCATACGTTTTGTCGTATACAAGGATATTCCCCAGATGGGCTATTGCTTTGCTGTATATCTGGTGACGACATCCTTATTCTTGATGCAACCACGTTTAAGGTGATGGAGAAACTGAATCTCAAGGTCGATGCATGCTTTTTCTTACCGGATGGCAACAGACTTACAGTTGTGCAAGAAGAAGACGTTGCCGTATTTGACTGGAAGACTGGAGAATGTCTTTCCAGGCTCAACCACATTATCGGAAAAGCTCGTAAACCGGCCCTGTTGTCAGCAACTCAAATTGTAACCATCTCACCAGGTGGGACAGAGTTCAGAATTTGGGATTTATTTACAAGCGATTGCAAGCGTATATTCGATTGGGACGCCAGAAGGATTCATACAGTGGTCTGCTCAGGAGACGATATTCGACTTTGGTCTTTGGATGATACACAGACCTGGGTCCACAAACAGTACTTGAGCTACCCGCACAACTGGAGCTGTTTCACATTCTCGACCAATAACAGCACCCTAATCTCAGGCTCAGTTGACAATTTTATCAGGGTCTGGGATAATACAGGGGTGTGTGTTAGGGTACTCAAGGGGCACTCTAAGATGATCAAGTTCTTATCAGTGTGTGAAACCCAGCTAGCATCTATCAGCGAGGATGAAGATATCAAGCTTTGGAATTTGTCTGATATTTCCTCAGAGCGAGGCAGGCAGAAAAGACGGTCATCGGTACTGACATGCAGTTCTTCCTTTCGATCGTCACAGCAGACTTTTTGTTTTGACAATGATATTCCGATTGATAGCCTGTTTTTCTCTCCTACTGGCATAATGTTGGGGTCACTATGGTACGGAAGGACGCACATTTGGGACACGGTGACAAATATCTGCACAAATATCCTTCTTTGTGGCGCCGCTTCAGGCCCTGACGGGGTGAGCTTCACGCCTGATGACAGACTATTGGCAATGAAGGACCTGGATGGAAATTTAGTCGTTTGCGAAACGAATCTCATGACGCAGACTCATTCTTTCAAGTCAAAAGATTTCGCGTATTTGGCCATATCTGATGATGGGGGGCGCGTGGCATCATTGTCTAACTTCCCCACTGGCGGAGAATGGGTCTTGGAATTCTGGGGTTTGATCCAAGTTGCTGGAACGCAAAGTCATAGTGTCTCCGAAAGTCTGCCGATTGGACAATTGAAAACGGGCAGCAGATTTCTGCACTCGGAAGATTGGAAGTTTCTGGTCGTATCCGAGACCTTTACCAGATTAATGGTCCCGTATCGGAAGTCGCATTACTGGGTGGGTGAAGAGTTTCGATACTCCACTGCATTTAAATCCGAGGAAATGCCTTTGGCATTTTTCCGAGATAGTGAATGGCTCTTGACATGCGACAAGGGATCAGACTCCTTTGCTTTGAGATGGATGATCATCCCCTTTATCCCCATCCTTACGAAAGTTCTTGGATCCCTTCAAACAGATGCTCCACCATATAATGGGCCGGAACTCAAGGAAACTCTTTGTAGAATACCGACTCGGTATGGCTTACCGGCTGTTGGCGAACCTAACGACTTCAAAGGCACAAGACGTATTGGATGGGGCTTGTCCATCGACATGAATTGGATTCTGCCGGGGGGGGGGTGAAAAAATGCTTTGGATACCTACCGAATATCGCCGTATGGCTTTGGATGTTAATGCTTTGCGAGTAGCCTTTGTGTGCGCTTCGGGACAGATAAAGATCATGAGGTTCCAACAGGAACCTGGTGCAGGAAGATTAGGGTTTTAGTAGTGTTGGTGGCTATAGAGTCTGGTTCTTAAGATAAATGCGTCTTTGCTCTTATGGTGGTTTTATGCGAGGCCCAGATATTGCCCCAGGCCGGGGGGTCCTCGTTGCCGCCTGCGAGGCTGGAATGATATACAGATCGCGTTTTAATCCCCTTCGTCGGTCTATCTGAATGTCATCTATGTACCTTTCTGATATTACGTATCCGTTTAATATTGTGAAATATATATTTCGTATTGTGACTCAGCGTCGACGCGGCAGAAGCAAAGACCTGACGTGAACTCAGATACCAAGGGTATACTACCCAAGGTCTCGAAACTCTGCAGCAAGCCAAGTTAAACTTGCCCAAGTCTTATTGGCATCTAGACGAGATATCTCAAACTGTCTTGTCTCCTCTTGGCGCTTGTTACTTTCATTCCTTATGTCACAATAGATGGACAATATGGCTGCAGAAGTGGTCATAACAAGTAGCTCCATGCAGTCGAACATTGCCAGTGCGCTTTAAAACATGACTTATTTTCATATAGAGGTGGAAAAGCGAGACATTCAGTTGGCTCCTAGAGTGATTTGGGGTCCTCGTATTCCGGATCTAGATAGTCTTTGCCTTGCCTGGAAGCGATTTCAGCAACTCCAGAAGTGCCCGGATACCAATGTTATAAATGTTGAAGGTCCACCATGGCTCTTGGTTCTTGTACGATGTTTTATCTCTCAATCAAAACAGCCCTTATAAAACATACTAAGGATTTTGAAAAGAATGCTGTGTGATATCCGGCTTCCCTCCCGGTAGCATCATACGAAATGGCCAACCTTGGGAATGATATATCTCAACAGCTACTCTCTGAAGCCAAGTAGTAGGCACAACAGGAATCCAGAATTCGCACTTCTCACACGCCAATATTTTCAGTCCCGTTGTCCATGACCGATGAGCCTCGCCTTTATCGCTGATAGAGAGTTGGGCATGAGCCAGGGACAAGTAACACACAGCGGCTATGAACCCACTAGATGATCCCAGCGCCTGCATGTGGCTAACCTCCTCTAGCGCAAATGTCCAGCGGCGTATGGCTTCACCAGGGTCTACCCTTATATGTGCTATGCGAGCTGATGCTAGTAGTGCCCTTATATGTAGCTGTTGGTCGTTGATATCATCTCGACAGAGAGGTAGATCTGCCAGTAACTCCCCCAGTGCTGACTCTGCTGCATCGATTCGTTTCAGACCGATGTTTGCCTCTACCTGTGCCAGAATCACCCTTCGGATTCCGCGACGCACGCGGTCGCTTGGATCAATACGCCCAAGCTCAGGCTCCAGTATCCCCATAGCTTTGCCGTACTCTCCCATCTCGCAGTAGACATCAGCTAATCTCCCAAGCAAGACTCGACGCGAGTTTCTAGGTATAGGTTTGATTCGACCCAGTGACAGAAACTGCTCTAGAGACGCCCTCGCTGCATCAAAATCGCCTATGGACTGGAAGTAGCGCGCTGCCGTACTCTGGAGCCGAAAGGTCACCTCCATATCCAGAGTTGATAATGGCTGCTGTGCTTCCCACTTATAGGCAAACGACGGTACATCAGTATCGTAGCACTTGATCTTATTTTCCATTTGAGAAATATGTAGGCGGCCCTCAAGTGCATGGTCCCGACGAGTACTCGGGCGTGGCCCTCGCCACAGAAAGTCGCGTATGTGCGTTTCCGACTTAGCGAGCTCTCCGTCAACTCTATAGAGTATACTGGGAAATAGTACGACAGAGGCATGGAGATAGTAGGGCATTGACTTTCGTAGTACCAGTTTGGCTTGGTTAACTGCAGCACGGCGGATGGCAAGTGAGTCTCTTTCGCAGAAATACAAGACGGCTTCGACAACATGGGTCCTGAGGGACGTTGATATCTCGCATGTTTTCAAGAGCCTTTCTAGTATTGGCCAGACTTGTTGTTTCATCGACGGTGACCTGTGACACCAGGATCAGTGTTGTTGTAGAAGGTCCGGGATATATCCTACCAGTCCGTGTTCCCCTTGTAGCACAGTGGGCAAACAAAACAGATGAGCTTCAGAGCTGTGGTCTCGAGAACTTCCATCGTTTGTGGCGTCAAGGCTTCCTCGAGGCTCGACATTCGTTCGGGACTGAGGGACTAAACTCTAGTATTGTCTTCCTGGATTCGATCGACGACATTCAAATCTGTTATGGCCTCGGAGACCTTTATTTCATCGCACAAAAGATCTACAAAGGTTTCAGGTAAACCAAACTGAAGCGCACTGGTTTGGTCAACCTCTCCGTCGGCGTTCCATCGTCGTGGTGGCAGGCGAATACTCTTTAACAACACAGCGGGTATGTCGGTGCCGCCGAGCGCGTACATTATGAGGCGTAAATGATCTTGAGTAGGAACAAATGAACCAAAGTCGTTAAACAGATTGTGATATCGTACCGGTGAGGCAGGGTCTATAGACTGGCTCAATATCATAACATTTTGCACGACGTTTTAGGTTACCAACCGCTTAGCTGGCGAAGGACCAGGCGCTGCACAAGTCCATTGTATTTCTGAAATGATGGCTGGAGGGATGATAAATGGGCGAAAACTTCTTCATCGTCAACACTCAGATATCTCTCATAACTACATAGCATCAGCACACTCGGACACTGTATATGGCGACATCACATACGTTGAAGCCGGGACGTCAAGTGGAAGTCAGAAGATTGCTCCCACGCCACGTAGCTTTTGGGCTATCTGAACATACTTGCTGCCAGGACTTCTCAGATATGCGAATCTTTGCACTCCAGGAAATACCTCAGCGACTTGAGGAGAGGCCAGTACCTGCACATCCAATTTCGATCGAAGAAATATCACAACGCAAGCGAGTTGCCGCCGCAGCTCAAGGTGAACACGATCATCCGAACCCGCCCAGAATCCAGTTAAATCGTTCTCGAACCTTGAGAAGACCCGATCGACAGGGCTGAGGTCAACCTTTTCTACAAAGAGCGCCTTGCTGGTTCGTTGGGTTCGAGGGGTGATCTGATACTGCACCTGACGACTGAGAGAAGTCGCTTGCGCTAAGAATTGGCGTAGATCTTCTAGATGGCTATTCAGTCCAGGGATCAGTTCTTTGGCATGGGCCTCGTCGTAGTTCTTTGCCAAGGCATGGATTGTGTTGCAGAGGCAGCTGTCCATGGTGCAGCGTCGTGTAACCTGCGCGTGTTGGGCCAAGGTCGTATGGAGAGATAGTTGAGTCTCGATCTGCAAACCCTGAAATGGATTGTCGTGCCATGCGCGTTTCTCGGGTCTGTTCGTCGAGCAGTACAGGACTGTACGTGTATTCGCTGTGGACATTTCAGTCGAACCAATGATCAATCTAGCCTGACATGATCTTATCTGATCTTGTGGATCCTTGTGAAAAATCGGCTCATGCATGTCCCAGCTAGTTAGCGCCCTCTCCATTCAAGGACAGAGGAACAAGTGTTTGTCGAGCAGGGATCAGGAAACAGACTGTTTCTTCACAGTGAACAATTCAGCATCATGAACATACCTGTCACGACCCATAATGAAAAGAACAGCCTATCAGGCTTGGATTGAAACACCGAGCCTAGCTCTCTTGGGGCCGACGCCGACGGAAAGCCGACGGAGATTGATAACAGCCAAGCTAAAGGACCTAACGCGTGCTAAAAATTAAGAATCACTCATGACACCCTCTTCGCTAAGATTTGGTCCAGTTAGAGATCGCAGCGACATCGGGGGAATTCGTAGCTCGACTTCCACACAGCGTGACCAGGATCATGCGGCGGGGCTCACGCGTAATGCCCGCTTGACCGAGAGTCTGTCTGGTTAGACTTATTAATCGAATTTTGACGCAATCTTATCAATCAGGGCGAGATCTGTCGTTCTTCCTCCATCACACCCCGATCGGCTCTGGCGAAAATGGAGGGAATTAAACCACCACCAACAAAGCAGGGCAAGAATGAAGAGGCACTGACCAAGTATGCCGCCTTTCTCTGTGGTCTCATGGTTTTAGTTATCGCCATTCGTTGCTTGCGCAGTCGTTGTTTCACATCTCCCCACTCGAAAACGTCGGCTTCATTATCGACTTACGGACGTAAGGCCTCTTTCGTGGTATTCCAGTATGTTAAGATCTCCAGACATCTGTTCAGTATTATACTCATATTCTCCATAGAAATTTACAGAGACGGCTGCCAGCCTCATGGTTTGGCCGACCTTCTTTGGGGTTCATCGTAATGATCAGTGTCTATCTTATCGGCAATGTCGCTTTCTGCTCAAGTATGCTTGCGATGCCTCAACTCTTGAATCATTGGGCTTCTCGATTTGGGTGGTAAGATACACCAATTCTACGTGGCATTTCAGGCGAAATTGACTGATGGCAGGATGTGCGTTGGCAATATGGCGCTATGTGTCTTTTTCGGCCTCAAGAACACGCCTGTGGGTCTCCTAGCCTCAGTTTCGCACAGCCAACTGAACATCCTTCATCGTGTTGTTGGTTACACAACTGTATTTCTCCTCGCACTTCACGCCATCGTTTACACGATACATTTCGGCCGCCAAGGTCGCTTGGTACAGTTGTTGAAGAAGGAGGACATCGAGGGCATGGGTGCCGGTATTGCCATGCTTGTCCTACTGATGGGAGTGTTTAGACACAAGCACTACGAACTGTTCTATGCTAGCCATATCATGGGCTTCATGGCGGTTGTGCTCTTGACAGCGCTGCATAGGCCAAACTGGGCAAAGAAGATCCCCACAGTGATGCTCACCATATTTAGTATGTGGACAGTGGACCGACTCATACGGTTGAGCAAGTTATTATATAACCTGGTCAACAACTCGGCGACATTATATCCTCTTTCATACAAAGGAACACGAATAATGCTCAGGAAGCCTGGTATGGAAGACGCTTTACCTGGATCGCACTGCTTTTTGTGGATTCCGGGACTTCGATTATTTGAGACTCATCCATTCACTATCGTCAGCAACGACTCCTCTGGTCTCGAGTTGGTCATGAAATCGCATGAGGGCTTCACCAAAGCTGTCGGCACTTTTGCAAGGGTGAATCCCAGAGCTACTCTATCAGTATCTATCGATGGGCCATATGGGTCACTGCCAGACGTGAACAACTACGAAAAACTGGTTCTTATAGGTGGTGGAAGTGGAGCTGCATTTACCTTTGGAGTCATGAACCGTATCATGATGCAGCGCGAAAAGCTTGCAATCCAGTCTATCGAGTTTGTATGGGCTGTGAGGCACGTGGGTATGTCTATGCCAAATCCCAACTATCCAAAAGGCGCACCTGATGACTGACGAACTATAGAGCAATTGAGCTGGTTTCGCCGACATTTGCGCGATATTGCGAACTCAGAATATCCCATCAGTGTCAATGTCTACGTTACAGGCGAACGGTCTGCATCTGGGTCAGTAAATGACGACATCGACCCTCTAACATCTCCATGCGGAGCAGAAAGGGGAATTCTGCTAAGAGAGGATGCTTTCGACTACCAAACAATCTCTGAGACTGACGATTTATGCGGGTTAACTGACGATGAGCCGAAATGCAACCCATTATTTGAGAAGCTAGACGTTGATGAAACAGTTAGAACAGCTCTAGAAGCATCAGCAAGTCATGACCGAGTGTTAATCTTATCTTGTGGACCCATGTCGCTCATGGATGCCGTGCAAGATTCAGGAAGTAAATGGCAGAAGAAACGGAATATTAGAATAGACATCCACTGTGAGGACTTTGGCGGCTGATGGAATTATATTGGATAGACTTCGAACACAATTTATCGAACGTGGATATTATTACTCTTTCCCAGTTATGCATTTGGCAATAGGGATGCCTGATCGACTACTATGCCTAGCCAGTAGGCACTCGAGTGTTGTAGACTGATATTTCTGTAATCTACTGAGAATCGAAACTTTGCGGATCACAACGGTAGGAAGGGCGAAGCACCATCATCTATCGTGGTATCATCTCCATGTAAAAGGGATAATATGCGCTGGGTTTGCCGACCCCCACGTCTATGATCAGACCTCCTGAGCATCCTCTGTGAGGCATACCGCCCAACCTAGCCTCAGGGAGCAAGAAAATATGAGACTTTAGAAGAAGGTGCCTAAATAAATTCAACAAAGACTTACCTAAACTTGCACTAAATTACATAAGCCTTTTCATTACTTAGGATGAAGCTCTTAAGTTTTCTTACCTCCCCCTGCCTAGCTGCCATATTATGCAGATGCATCCAGGGTAGTTACCTAGAAAAATTGGATATTTGTTTGCATCAATGATAGCATGTCAATCGGCAAACGTCTCCTGAAAAGCAGGCATCGAACTGAATGGCAAAGGACCCAACTTCTACAGCCCTCGTGCCGAACTCGGAGTTTGCATCTCACACATCTCGAAAGTCTAGCAAGGTCCAAAGACGACGAAGCGTCATCACAGTGGAGAAATGGTCTGAAAGTGGCTCCATGGGTGAACGGATTTTCTGGGTCTGATTCTTTCACAGTGAGAAAATCCTCAATGTAACCTCGCTAATCCTTTCTGAAAGCTAGCGTGTTCCTCAACATCTTATCAATCTGATTGCCGCGGACACGCTGACTTTTGGGGTTAGCTCGAGACTAACATCGTTAACATTTTTTCAGACCAACTCAAATATGTAAAACTTCCTCCGTCCTCTGGTCTTGGTCCAACTGAACCTCAACTCTATTGTCTGTCTTCATCCATTGAGTAAACTTCTTTTCAATTTTACACTCATGGCTCAAACCCAGCCGCCACAGAGCTTCGCCAACGAAGAGAAGCTCGAACCGTCCGTCAAGGAAAATCACGTCCAAACCGAGTCGCACATCTCCCAACTGGAAAATGACGGTCGTCAGCCCGTCCCACTGTCTTGGAAGCTCGCCTCCATCGTCCTCGTTACCGCAATTGGCTTCGGTTCGCAATGGAGCTCAGGCGTGACATCTGCCATGAAAAGCACCATCAAGAAAGAACTACATATCAACAACACCCAATTCTCCCTCTTGGAAGCCAGCGAGGACTTTATGGTCACTGCTTTGATGCTTGTTAGTGGTATCGTAACTGATAGAATTGGTGGAGCCGGTATGTCTGAATCGAAGCTTGCGAGAACTTGACGCTGACCAGAAACAAGGCGCGATGCTGTATGGCAATCTTATCTATTCGGTCGGATCAATCTTGGTGGCTGGAGCGGCTCAGACTCGATCGTACAAGTTCATGATGGCCGGCAGAGTCGTGCGCGCTCTCGGCGACATCGCCACGCAAGTCGCCCAATACAAAGTCTTCTCATCATGGTTCGCCCCCGGAAACGGATTCGCCTCGACTTTAGGCTTCGAATTAGGTATCGGTAAGATCGGAGCCTTCGCCGGCAAGTCCTCAGCCAACATCATCTCCAAGAGGCTCGGCTTTGCCTGGGTTTTCTGGATTGCGGTATTTATGAACATCTTCACCAACGTCATGACCGGCGTCTTCTACTTCTTCACCAAAGTGGCTAATCGTCGCTATCACGGTATTAACGATCCGGCTACTGGTGAGAAGCTCACTGAAAAGACGCGCAAGTTTGAATATCGCAAGGTCTTGGAACTTCCGTGGACGTTCTGGGCTGTCATGGGCTTTTCGCTGTTTGAAACGAGCGCTGCTATTGTGTTTCTGCAGAATGCGACTGAACTCGCTGAGCAGAGATTCGGTACCGATTCTATTGCAGCAGGATGGTATAGTTCCGTTTTGCAATACTCAGGTATGCTGTCTTGTCAACATTTATCGCACTGGACTAGCTCTGACCGTTCTTTCAGGTTTCTTTGTCGTTCCTTTACTCGGAGTATTCCTTGATCTTTACGGAAGCCGTATTTCTGTCTGTAAGTAACTGATTAGTTCGCCTGTTAAGAGCAAGTTTCTAACTGTGTATAGTGGTGTTCTGTGGCATCGGCATGTTCATCTCGATGCTTTTGGTGTGCTTCTCTGGAGCTGTCAAGGGGACAGCCGCATCATTCGGCGTCTTCGCTTTCGCATACTGCTTCGGTCCCACCACGATTATCGATAGCACGCGTACATCCATGTGGGACAGCACTGTCTTTGGCTCTGCTTACGCCATCAAAATCACAATGAACAATGCGTAAGAGCCACCACATCATACCCTTTCCCATTCTCATTGCTAACACGTACTCTAGGATGAACATCATTGTCAGAATCATCACCGGAAAGATTCAAGATGCCGATAATAACTCGTACGACAATGTGACGATTGTTTACGTCGTCCTCGCTGGACTGTCCGTCGTTGTATCGCTGCTTCTCGCGATCGGGGCGTGGAAGTCTGTGGACCTTGGACACCTTCAATGGTCACGAAAGAAGAGAATTGCACGCGGATCCTTGCTCAACGAAAGAAAGGAGATTTTTACCAAGGAGAACGGTGAGAAGAATAGGCGGGTGTCGCTGGCTTGCTTCGCTACCTTGATTCTGTTGATCATCGGTAGCTGGTGCGGATACTTCTGGGGCATTGCGACTGGAAATAATGATTGATCTAGTTATCAGAGGCACCATTGTTCGCAGCCTAAAGCCAAGTTTATAGGAAGTAGTTAGATACAGAGTTAAAGAAACAAGAATGCCACAGATTACCCGAAAGATTGACGCAGTCGCAGGTTCGCTAGTGAAATGATCACTGTCGCCAGTAACAAATGGGCTCAGGACGTGAAAGTCATGTTGTGCACATGCTCGTTTGCATATGCCGGAATGAAATCCGTGGTCAAATACCAGCCCGGCTTCTGCATGTCATCCGAGATGACCTCTCCATTGATAACCAGATTTTCGAAGGTAACATTGCTAATCGTCCGGTCCTCATCATAACCGACAAAAATGGACATGCTGGCCTTTGTCCCAGTGTACTTCAAATCAAGCACTAACACGTCCTTGATCCCTCGTCCCGGTGACGTGTTGTATTTGGTGTTGTACATGACACGAAAGTTGAGCAATTGACCAACACGAATGTCTTCGACGCGCACATCGTCAATCAAGACGTCTTGGATGAGATTGCCATCTCCAGGATTCAGTGCGATGGTTCCCTGGTAGTCGACCTGTCCCTCTCTTTGGTCGAGAATGTCAATGTTGCGAATAGTTAGACCTGCGATGGTCTCGGGGTCCTCCGTATTGCCATGGGTACCAATATTAATTGGATGCGCGACATCAGCCCATAGAATTGAGTTTTGAATGGTGATATTCGTTGAGTTCCCGTACCATTCATCGCGATGAGCGTAAACAGCGATACAGTCGTCTGAATTGCGTAAGAAGACGGAATCGATAAGAACGTTTTCGCAGCAATATACGTCCATGCCATCCCCCCCACTGCACGGCGCTGAAGTCACGCCAATGACTGAAAGTTACGTCTTTTGACTCGTAAGCTCTAGGGAGAAAGTTGATGCCGACCAGTCGGTCGACCAAGACGTTGTTGGAACGGTAGACCTGTACAGAATTTCCCTTTGGACTGTACAAGAGACCACGTCCACGTATGGTCACATCGGTCGCGTTGGTTACAGTGATATCAGGAGCTGAGATCACTACTCTGCCGGCGACATACAGAGTCTTGCCAGATCCGACCTCGAGGGTAGAGTTGAGCTTATGATAGCCAGGGCCGTAGTTCATGAGATCCTTATCCTCCTCGGAGGGAACGTTTGTATCTGGGGGGTTGGTGAAGATGTGCAGAACATCAAAGATGTCGTCGTTAACTTGAACAATAATATCTCGCGGCTTATCCAAGGTAAAGGTAACAACCGAGCCAGACTTCTCTGGGGTAAGGTTGAGGGAGTAAGGTCTAATGACCGCCTTGGAAACTCGATCTTTGAGATATCTGGCTTGAATCTCTACGTACCGTTAAAGTCGAAATAAGCCAGTGACGAATTGTGCTTGATGGAACCGCCGGTGGTAAAGTTAACCTCGTTGAGAACAGGTTGATATGTTTCAATCCTTCCCCACTTGCCACCGGGGACGCGAGCCTTGACGTCAAAAGAGGTTGCGACAGGAACACCTTCAGGAATGGGCCAAGTCTGAAGAAAGCCCCGAGTGGTCTTTGCACTTTCAGCAATGGTGCTTTTGCTAAGAAGAAAAAAAAATGCTGTCTTGACAGCGGTACTGACTCTCATGGTTTGGGTGGGACAAGGCAAGGTGTAGGTAGGGCGGTATACGAGTGACGTGACAAATAAAAATATAAACAAAAGAAGCTATCACGTTCGGGTTTGGCTAATCACGTATCTATACACGGGAATGGGATGTCGCCAAAGATATAGGAAAGGATACTACCTACATTACGGAGTCCCCCGGCACTCTGATTCTCCGCCTCCCCGGACTGGAAGGCTCGCGCTTAGACCCGCCTTGAAGCTCACCATGCTGATCTCGGAGTCATTGCCGATACCTTTTCCATCGCTGCATCCTGATTCCTGACTGGGCACAAGCACATACTGAAGCACAGGTAGTAATTGTATCGCACCCGAGAGCCAAAAATATGTCGAGGGCCGATGAATAGTCCGACCTGAACAACCCGACTGACGGAGGGCTGGAAAAGAGTCAACTGCTGAATCTCACGTGCTTGTCGGAATCGTCTCGCAATAGTGGACTCTTGTAGTATAGATCGGCCCACTGTGGGTTACGAGCGCCCAATCAGAGTGATAAGTGAGTTTGATAAAATTGCCCTTGAAAGCCTTCTGCTCTTACTGTTGGCTAGTTTGTGTTGTATCTTGTATCATGGCTTGCAGTAGCGTAGGACTTATCACCAGTGACCGAGAATATTGATAGCGAGGGAATGATGATGCGGGGTATAAGTAGCAAGACTTTGCCAGTTAATCACATAACAAGCAAGGATTAAAAGACTAATAATCCCGAAAGACCCCTCAATACCATGGGCTATATTGAAGTTTCGAGACGTTTCGAGGCGTCGAATTGCAGGGATAAGATATTCGCCTTGCGAGGTCTGGTATGCGACCAGGACCGCCTCTTAGAACCTGATTACGAGCAGCCTGTTCCCGCGGTATTGATGAACGTCGTTGAATTCCTTGTCAGGTCTTGGGCAAACCTGCATATCTTGCTCGGAAACCGCTTTGAAGTGAACCCCGACAGTCCAAGCTGGACGCCTGATCTTGGAAGCCGGTTGAGGGGAGACACCACTTTGAGAATATTTAACAAGACGTTCAAAGCAGATAATGGCAAAAGGCCGACTGTTAAAGTCGACAAGAGTTTGGGAACTCTAAGCTGCAGAGGCCTTTTACTCGCAGCCACGACAAGAGTCATTGGTCCTTTCATACAGGGTCAAAAGCCGGCAGATGAGGCTGCTTTCTATCAGGAGCTCAACAGCTGTTTTGGAAATCATCAATTCTTTACGGAAATATGTGATTTCTCTCGCTCCCTCACGGAAACGGACAAAACTCAACTATGCAGGACTCTTGTCATGGATCATGACTCAACTATACCTGGGGAAGATCCCTTATACCCGGCCCCAGCCGAGTTTGTTAACATGATGCAAGCTCTATTCGAACAGAAACCTGTCCCCGATAACTTCATGCCTGAAGCGAGCCGCATCGATCGATTTATACAATATGTTACCCCCTTTTCGAAGTCAATGGAAAATGCGAGCTCTAACCGTTGCTTTTTTGTCACTGAGAGTGGGGGCATGGGAATGGGGCCATTCTCGACGAAGCCTGATGATATAATTGTGGTCCTGTTTGGAAGCCCCTTCTGTCTTGTCCTGCGGTCGGTTCAAGGAACAGATTGCTATAGCCTTATCGGTGATGCATACGTTCATGGTGCGATGGACGGCGGATTTGTCAAAGCAGCAAAGCCAGATGACCATCGAACCTTCGTACTTGTTTAGTGGAATAACACGTCGATGTCAATACAGGCCTCAAACTTGAATCCTATCATCGCTAAGTGATGATCCCATGCACAATAGCAGAAGATCTACGAGTATTCAGCTGCGCAACAAAAGACTTTGGCATTCGCGACTGTGATCAGCGTAGCGTGGGTCTTTATGATTCAGCCATAAATGACTACTAGCAGATCACCATCGAACTGAAATATGTGTCGGCAGTTGGTGTCTCATAAATTGCCATAGTTCATTGACTAGTTTCGGTGTCTCAGCAGCGACAGGTTGTTGGTGTCTCAGATTCCAATTGCCTCGTCCGGGTTTGATCTTCCCTTGCACCTTTTCTCCAAAAGCCTCTCATCTGAGCACTGTTCCAGCTGTCACCTGCATTCTGGAGATTCGTTTAAGAATAATAAAAGAAGATTTAAAGATTATGTAATGTCTAGAAGTTTCCGACGCAGTGACATACTTCCGACAAGCAACACAGACCCAAGCGCATCTTGTTGAACTGCTTCTCACCCGCCTAGATAAAAGAAGGAGATGATGACCTAAATAGATAAATGTCTCAAGTAAAGTCAGCGTTGGTCCCTAGTACAACTAGAGACACGACTGTTCCTGGCTAACTACCGGTACTGTCTTTCCTCTGTCAGCTGGCTATGACATAGACAGCCGGCCAAAGGCTCAAAAGATCAACGATCATCATCCGAGTTACCAAGTTGAACAACCACATACCAGAAGGTAAAGTTTTTATCTAGCCTAGCGAACCAAGGTTCGCTTCCAGGATGTTGCGAGTGCGTACACCAAGACTTTCACAGATGCTGACAAAATCATGACTTGTAAGGCACTGATCATACACCATGGCTTGCATTCCACAGAGGAATTGAACCACTTCATTTCTACACTACAGCATTATCAAGAATGGCTAATGGTAGCTGCACTGAAGAAATTTGAAATAGCCATTGAAAAGTATAAAGCGGCTGCATCTTCCCTTCTCATCACCCAATCACCAGCACTCACAATCAACACTTTGCCAGCACAACCACTTCAATCGCACAGCTTCTATCAAGTCATCACCATGAAGTTCTCCACCATGCTTGTTTTCCCCGCCCTTGCTCTTGGAGCTGCCACGCCCAAGCTTCCGGTTTCTTCTATCGACCCTGCCTGTCTTGAGAGTATCACCAGCGTCGCCGACTGCATCAAGAACCTCAAGCCCACCGGCGCCGCTGCCCTCACTGATGTCGCAACTTGGTAAATCTAGTACTCTCAGTTCAGCTTTGGCATAGATCGTCAACTAATAGGATACAGCCTCGCCGAAATTGTGGCTGGGGTTCAAAAGTGTATCCCTGGTGTTCCTGGCGGCTTGCCCTCTGGTTTGCCAACTGGCCTCCCTACTGGCATCCCCACTGGCCTACCTGTTCCTCTTCCAACTCCTCTCCCCGGTGGTCTTCCTGGAAATGGTACCCCTGGAGTTCCTGAGGTCCCTGGTATCCCCAGGCTTCCTTAACTGCCTTCCAGCATAAGCACTGCCCTGGAGACTTTTATTCACCTGGGGGATGGACGGGATACCCTTGAGAAGGGTGTCTAACATTTACTTGGATATTGGTCGTGATAATTGAGGGTTTTGGAGAGGAATCAACTTGTTGTGCATACCGTCCATAGCATCAAACTCATTGGTTTGGCCATGAGCAGTAAGGCTTTCGAAGCACATTGCAGTAGTGATCAGAGAAGCGATAAATGATCTTGGTGATGATCTGTGTGAGCCATATTGACCGCCATTCTATGATTTCAGCTGATAAAATGGCGCTCTATAAAAACGAAGTCCATATCCTGTTTCCAGGCATCTCATGAGCATAAATAAAATCCTTTCGAGGGTTCCGGTCCAATTCAACATCTAGACAGCGTCCGGCATGTAAACCTTTTTGAGAACTGCCTGACATAAGATAGCCCGTTAACAGATAGAGTTACTGTCTGCTTCGACTCACTCAGTGCGCCCAGTTCAATTCCAAGCGGCTGAGAACCCAGCTAGACAATCCCACCTGCCTGAATATCGTTTCAACGATGAAGATCCTCAATAAAGATCAGAGCCTTCAGTTCGCGTAGCACCGAACGGTTCAAAAGCTTCTCATTGACGAGGCGAGAACAGTCATGGTGTGTGGGTCCCGCATGGATGCAATGGGCATTCTCCACTCTGAGTCCTAGATAGTCCATTATCACCTTCAGCCAGGAGAGTAGCCCGTGTATCGAGGACTAGGGCCTCGATCTTGCATAACTAAAAGATTCAGGGAAGTTTAGACCAGTTTATTTTGCTTGCTTGAGACAACCAGCCATCTACCTATATCTAAGCTCCAAGCCATTCGAGTCTTTGACTAGCCTAGGTATAGTTAGCCTTTCATCGGTACCCGCTTAGCTGTATTTGTCATCCTCCACCTCGGCATTCTGTTCCGTCATATAAATGACTGACTCACTGATCTTCAGAGGCCTTTTCTTTACTTCATGATTAACCGAATCTCTACCTTCTCCTCTCACAACTCAGCAACACAACCAACCAGACAGGTATGTCTCACCTTACCTACACAGCCTACGAAGGCTATGGCGAGCGCGCCAAGAAGGACCTCTGGTACAGCCAAGCCGTCCGTGTCGGAGACATCATCGAATGTTCTGGCCAAGGTACGGTTCACCCCTAGAAATGGAAGTGAGGTTGCTAAAATATCGCCAGGCGGCTGGGACCGAGAGACAGAGAAAATCGACCCGAATGTGGTGATTCAGATAGAAAAAGCGTTCGATAACGTGGAAGCTGCTTTGAAGGCAGCAGGTAGTCGCGGTTGGGAGGATGTTTTCTTCCTGAGATCACACCACCTGCCCTTCAATAACGAAGCACTCGAGACAATGGTTCGCTGCCTGAAAAAGTATTGCCCGAATCATCAGCCGACCTGGACAGCCCTGGGGGTTCCTCGCCTGGCTCTTGATGATATGCGAGTGGAGATCGAAGTGCGGGCGCATGTCCCCAAAGACCGAGAGGAGAAGTAATTGCGATGATTAAGTATACTGAATAGATGGATCTTAAAATTGAGTATAATTTCATCCACTGTTCGAGTCTCCCAAGTCTGGTTTGCGGAATCTTACCATCAGTTGTCTCTGGGTCCCCTAGTCTCCAGGCTTTTACTGCCAACAGTCATATGCGCCGAGTCAGTTGATCGGTATACAGTTAGAGAAGGAACAGGGCAACGAGCTTTGGTCCCCGGCTTATGAGAGTGTCTCAATCAGGGCCGATAAAAAAGCAGAACTCGACTTGTTTCATTACCAATATATCTCGTTTTCGAGTCGTTTGCTAGATATTCCATTGCTCTCGACTTGCTATCGTTATCAGCATGTCTCGAGCTGATAAGACTGTTCTAGTCCTAGAACGGCCTAGTGGGGACTTATCTAGAGTGCGTCATTATAGTTGCGCACCAACAGAGGTGCCGAACAAATTTGACACTGGGAACCTTTAATTGTGCCAACTGCCAGAACGATAATAGGCAAGCTTGGTATACTAATAAAGCGCGCATCTCATAACGCAAGACGGCGATACAAGTCCTGGTGATTACGAATCTAATGTCTTTCTTTATCATCTCTAACGTTATGACAACTAGCTTCTGTTGACCTCGGCATTGCCTTGGCACTTTATTGTTTGGTTTGGCACCTGAAGCCTATGATACCAAGTCACTGTTAATCATCAAAGTTGATGATTTTTAAATTACCAAGGACTGAATCGTTGATCAGCCGGGAAGATTATACACAAGTCCATCTGTCGGTCGTACCTTGGCGAGCATCCAATTGGACCGGTTGCCAGTTTCAACACTCTGGGGCTGCGAATGTGAATGAGGCGGATATTGCGCTGCGTTCCACTGCGGGGAGCCCGCTCGTGATCTTGCTTTGAGGCGGCCACCAAGAGCAAAGATTGGAGCGCTTCGAGTAGCGCCCTCTAGCGCCCTTTCACAGATCCATCAGTCATACATGCCTAGATAGCGGGGTTCGAGGTAAAATATCTCGAACATAAATACTCTCCCGCCTTTCTCTTCTCGTTCTTTTCATCTCATATACCCCTCAAAACACACAATTTCACAATGTCTCAAGGAAAGACTTTTACTCTCAGCACCGGCGCCAAGATCCCGTAAGTCAACCCGCAAGCCCATATGAGACGGGTGAGCTAATTGTTACCAGTCTTTTGGGTTACGGCACATGGCAGGCTTCTCCCGGTGAGGTCGGCCAGGGAGTCTACGAGGCCCTCAAGGTTGGATACCGACACCTGGATCTCGCCAAGGTCTACGGAAACCAGCCTGAGATCGCCGAGGCCTTGAAGAAGTCCTTTGCCGAGATCCCTGGCCTGAAGCGCGAGGATGTCTTCATCACCTCTAAGCTCTGGAACTCGCAGCATGACCCTAAGCAGGTTGAGGCTGCTCTGGATGACTGTCTGCAGGAGCTTGGTCTTGAGTACCTTGACTTGTACCTCATCCACTTCCCCGTTTCTTTCAAGAACTCGGGTGCTCCTATTGGTCAGGATTTGTTCCCTCTCACTGGAGGAAACCAGCCTGATGGTGACGTCGTCATCGATGACAGCATCTCTATCGTCGATACATGGAAGGGTGAGTACTTATCTTATATCGGTCTTTGATACAGTCTGCTGACCTCTATTTGCAGCTGTGACCGAGCTTCCCAAGTCCAAGGCCCGCGCCGTCGGTGTCTCCAACCATACCAAGGAGCACGTAAGTAAATTCCCTCTGTTACACTGAAACAAATACCTAACGCAGCATGAAGCTCGAGGCCATCATCAAGGGAACTGGAGTTGTCCCTGCTGTCAACCAGATTGAGCGTCACCCTCTCTTGATCCAGAAGGATCTCATTGACTACTGCAAGGAGAAGAACATCCACGTTACCGCATACTCTGTAAGTTCTTGCATACTAAAACCAGATTTAAAATGCTAATTCATGTCTTAGGCTTTCGGTAACAACATGGTCAACGCTCCCCTCCTCTTCACCTACCCCGAGATCAAGGCCGTCGCCGAGCGACTGACCAAGGAGAAGGGTCAGCCCGTCTCCCCCACTCAAGTCCTGTAAGTCACCACCAAATTCCAGACTACTTCACCTAACTAACAGGATAAAGTCTCGCCTGGGCTCAGGTTGGTGGCCACAGCGTCATCCCCAAGTCTGTTACACCTAAGCGTATTGCCGAGAACTTCCAGGAGATCGACTTGTCCGAGGACGATATCCGCGAAATTGAGCAGGTCGGCAAGGAGCAGCGCCGGTATAACGTTCCTTACGTTGCTAGTAAGTTCAGCTTCCGTAATCTTGAATAAGTTTAGTGCTGACCTTCGCAATAGACAAGCCTCGCTGGGACGTAAACATCTTCGGGCATGAGGATGAGAAGCCTGCTACTCACCAGGTCATTATTTAGATAAAAGTAAAAGTAGAAATAGAAATTCTTTACTTGTTTTCTCGCACTATGAAGAAGCATATTTCGTGACTATACTTGGGACTCAACGTGATTTACCAAGGTTCACATACATATATCCTGGATATTCGTCACCTACTACTATCTCGACCTCCAAATGACATCTAGATCACGGCAATATCTCAGAGCATACGTCATTCTCGTGACCTCCCACGATGCCTCAAGATCTTCCTTCACCACCAGCCTATCCTCAGGGGAAGAAAGAAATGTTCCCAAGGTATACGCTGGCCAATTACCCGCATATGATCTTGCCCATTCTCGACTCCCTTGGTGACTCTTAAGAATTTGTAAGAACAACCTTATCTGCCACTTGTCTCTGGATACCACTGATGGCATAGTCCCTCTACTCCCATTTTCACTAATCTGCTCAAGCAGAAGGGACGCAACTATCGCATATAGATATGTTTCGTCCCTGATTTTTAAGCTGGGTATCTTTCTGACCGTATCAGAGGAGAGGTAAATCGATTCTGAGTTCGGATCGCAGAGTTGTGCTTCCCAGTATTGTACCTCTTGTCGTATCCTGTTGAAGACTTCTGGTTCGAGACTGACACCTGAACGGTAACATTCCCGCAATATTATAGTCGTACGGAAGAAATACAACGGCACTCCTAAAACAGGGCTTTCAACGTTCCAAGGCGCTCCTGATAAGAGTGTGGACCTGTCGAGAAGCTTTTCAACACCATCCCAAAAGTCTGGGTCGAACACAAATTCGGATTGGTTGCTTTCTGTCCATAGGCCTGTTGACAGGAGGAACTGCTGGTATATGACACTTTCGAGGGCGAGTCTGTCGAAGAGTCGTTGAATGCCGGCTGGCTTGTCAAGTAGCCTCAAAGTGACTATACGAGTCGCGGCATTGACGTGCTGTGCAACGTCACTCTGCGTACCCCATCCCAAGCACTATTACTGTCAGTATTTAACCTTGCATCACGATAGCCGGATACATACCCCATGGAGATAAAGCAACATCACAGACATGAGCAGCGCATCATGATTCTCATATTGCGAAACCTTCCCAAGCAAAAGCTGAAGTTCTTTCACCCCTTCAGCATAGTAGGATAACGCAACAGGATGCATTTCCCAGACGGAATCGGAGAGAAAGATATGTGATGCAGCACAAGCCAAGACTGAGTAGTATAAGCTCTTGTGAGTCACCATAAGCTGCTTGATCTCAGTGAGCCAGCCGTCGTGGAAGCCGCGGTAGCAGTCTGGTAGGAGGAGAAGGGAGAAGTATTTATCGGAGAAGTGATCTGAGACTCGCAGTTCTAGGTGGTTGGAGAGTACGCGGTGTACGGTGGCGGCTTGCGATAGGAGGTCTAATGGACAGACGGAATCTGTGTCGTAGGTGGTTGTTGGGCTGGAGGGGGAAAAGGTATGTTGCACGGTGGGTATCAATGAGTTCCCTATGTCATCGTCGGGTAGTTGTATTTGTTCTTTCAGAGCACGATCTTGGTGCCGTGAATCGCAATGATGGGAGTAACGACGGTCGAGTAAGTCGCTTGCTGAAGGCCATATGCATTTTCGCCCAGAAGATCGGCACAAATCGCAGATCGGTGACTTTTCGTCGCATTTCTTTCGCCTTTGTCTACCTGTTGCCAAATGTTAGCAAGACAATACACGCTGATGCTGTAGACTTACATGTAAAGCACCCCGTCTTTGTGCGCAACTTCTTCCGCGAAGTGTTAATTTTATCCGTCATCGTCGCATCTTTGGTCGAGACATGAACAAGAAATCGCGGGCGGGGGCATTTGTTGGAGTCGGCAATGGGCAAGGGAGGAGCTATTTGAATCTCAACGTTGGCGTGTGACCAGGGACATCTTGTCCTAAACGGGTTAACTAGTGTTCCTGGCGCGCGTCAGCGTTATCTGGGGCTGATTATTTCTATCGTCACTGGACGATAACTTCTTGGTGGAGTTGTTGAGATGCGGGGTTGACATGGATGGTTATCCTGCCTCACGCTTGGCACGACGATAGCCGATATCAAGATCCCATTCGCCCAATCAGTTCCTTGCTGCGTATCTTGAGCGACTGGATGCTGTTATCAAGACGAGATTTATCAGTGCCGGGTAGACGGAACTGGAAGAGGGCAGTGCACATGGAAAAGGCCTTTGAGGAGCTAGAGTATTTTTGGTTTACATCAATTCAAGATTCACATCTTGGTTGTTCTAGGCACTCTTAAATGCCAATAGCTACAAGGTCCAGTGATTCTCTCCTCCATTAAACTACAGAAGTAACTAATATTACCATATATCAATCAGTGGCCTTGACCATCCTCCGACAGCTCATAATATTTCTCAGCACTACGAGTTCTGAACATCTTGCCATAAACCATCATAATAATGAACGCAGAGGATGCTGCCATTCCAACAAATGCTGCTGAAATGAAGCAGTTCTGGTAACCAAGGTGAGTTATCCAAGGAGTAATGCTACCAAAACGTTAGTAATCATTGACGAGATTTGGTGGAATGAGACTTACCCGTAGCTAATTGCAAAAGACATGGTGTTTCGAATGAGAATGACAGTGACGATAGCATCGCCACTGATGCCGTGATAACTATCGATGAGATAGTTGACGCTGAGAGTAACGCCTACAGCGCTGGTAAACGCGAGACATCCCATCGCAAAGACAAGTCCAAACCAATGGACACTATGGGCAGCTCCAACGCCCCAAAGGATAAGTGAACAGGGCACCATAACAACACAGATAGCAAATGGCCAAAGGCGACTTTCCGCTTCCATGATACCACCATTGCGACGCGCAAGCCTGATGGTCAGAATATCACTGAGTCTGCCGGAAACCAGAGCTCCAATGACGACACCGACGCAACAAGCAAGATAGCTCAGGCCAACCATGGAAGAACTAAAGTTGTATGGCGGTCCCGAAAGAATAAGTGAGGCTGTGGCGTTGAGGACGTTGAACCAGATGAGGTATGAACCGTAGGAGAATCCGGCGTAGAAGATGACAGGCCAGGTCAGATACTTCAACGATCGCCATGATCGCGTCAGCATGCTTTGTCCTGGCGAAGGCTGCCAAAGCGACATTTTCTGGATAAAATTCTTGGGGGTGTTATAAACCTCTCCATTCTCCGCAGCCGGCGCGTCTGCAGCTACCGAATCACTCTTCTCATTCTTGATCTCACCCTGGGAGAACGTAACCTCAGGAGTCTCCTCAGACACGGGTTCGCGTGTGTAATTCGTCTCTTCCATGAAGAGGAACAGAAAGACAAACACAGCAGCGAGAAAAATAGCTGGCCAGTAGAATACCCATTGCCAGCCTTGGTGGTCGGCGATGAAGCCGCATACAACTGGGGCGAAGTAATTGCTGCCGGCGAGGGCAAAGGAATAAATTCCCATGTATGTACCGCGCTCGTGAGTGAAGTACTAAGCGTGTAAGCAGAGACTTTGAGGAGGGGTTTGGGGACTTACGATATCGGTGACTGAGATCTCGGGAAGAGCTTCGATGGGGGAGATGAAGAAGCCCTGGATGATGCACTTCGCTAGCCACTCGCCATTGCTGGTAACATATGCACTAGAATGATGTTAGTCGAAGGATAGATAGCAGGTAAAGATCGAGACATACCTCCAAATACTAGTTCCCTAAGAAATGAGATGTCAGAAATGTGTACAGGGCTTACACGGAAGATGACTTACTATGGCACCAAGGATAGAGATCAGATACGTCAAGCGTTTACCATAGCGCAAAGAAAAAGGCTGCCAGAAAAGAAGACTCCACCCCAGAAAGAGAAACATATATCCTGTGCCCTCATTCAGAGTCGCGATAGAAACTCCAGATTTAGCGGAGAGGGGTACGAGGACTGAGTAGACGGTAGACACTGCAAAGCCAGCGAACCAGGTATATCTACATTATGTTAGATGCATCACAGCACGGTGGAGTAGCACGTACAAGTTCTGGCAAATCAGTGAGAGTAGCTTGCGACGAGGAGCCCAGTTCAATGGATCATTGGGGTCCTTGGATGGAGTTGGGTTAAGGACAATGTCGGCAGATGAACTGGCATGACGAGCATGCATGTCGTGGTCCAGATCCACAAGGTGGACTGTACCAGGGATGCTGATGGATTCGGTCATTGTTGGTAGAAAGAAAAGCGGGTTGAAAAGAGATCTGATGGATACTGGCAAACCAAACGTGCGTTGAGGCCCGCCAATATATACCCCAACCTCGACTATCTACCAAGCATGAATGATACAGCTGATATGATGAAGCTCTGAATATCGATAGTTATCTTCGTTTCCGAGATTCGCTTCCCCGCTAAGAGCTAATCGTGAGGGGGGCCGGATAAGCTAGTGGTGCATTGGTGCAACATGATGGCGCAAATAGACGTGAATGGTCAGTCTTATCAACATGGTGGGACGCGGGCTTGAGCTAAGTTAGGTTGATAGCTGTGGCCAATGATGTGTATTTGCGACGGATCACTCGTGTCGACCTACCCTAAGAGTCTAGGAATGCAATTCCGAGCGTTACAATCATGATCAAGCGGGCGAGGGGAACGAGACGATCATCCCGTTGCATTTTAGTAGTATTAATACTGAAGCTATCTTTCAATCTATCTGACCTGTCTATATCTTCTATCCCAAGTTCATTATCTCTGCACCCTTTGATTCTTATCAACATCCTCTTCATTCCATCATGAGCGTCGTGTCACCAGCCCCTCTTCCGCCATCTCAGCCCCAAGCCCTCATCAAAGATGCCTCCATTGTTCAAGTCAGAGCCACCGATGATCTAGAGCAAAACACTCCATTCACTGTCCAGCCAAAGCCTGTTCCTCGCGGAACACCCGCGTTTGAAGCTAGACGCGCCGCTCTTCTCAACACCATCAAGTCCAAAGTCCCTCAAGAGTACTACCTCCCCGCCGAATTAATCGCCAACCCTCCCCTCGACGTTTCCAACATCCCTTCTTCCTGTGGCATCCTCACTGAAGATGAGGTCCGCATCACAGAAGATTATGATGCTGTTGGTCTACTGCAAGCACTCGCTAGCCGTGAATTTTCGACTGTTCAAGTCGCTACTGCTTTTGCTAAGCGGGCTATCATTGCGCATCAACTTACCTGTTGTTTAACGCAGTGGCTTATGGATGAAGCTATTGCGCAGGCAAGAGGTCTTGATGAGTATATGGCTAAGCACGGGAAACCTATTGGTCCTCTGCATGGACTGCCTATCAGCATCAAAGAGCACATGGCTATAGCTGGGACGCTGTCGTCTCAAGGTTGTCTTGCAAGCTTGAGAGAGGATACGACAGATAGTGACATGGTTGCGATCCTCAGAAGTCTCGGCGCTGTGTTCTATTGCAAGACCAATCAACCGCAGACCATCATGCACCTTGAAACCGACTCCCTTTGGGGTCGTACTCTCAACCCCTTCAACATCAACCTCTCAGCAGGTGGATCAACCGGCGGTGAAGCAGCCCTTATCGCAATGAAAGGTTCTGTCCTCGGTGTCGGTACTGATATCGGCGGTAGTATCCGTGGTCCCGCAGCCTTTTGCGGTATCTACGGATTCAAACCTACTTCATATACAATGCCGATGAGAGGTTTCGATGCGATGCCGTTTCCAGCTGAGTTGACTGTTTTGGCATCTACTGGCCCTATGTGCCGGAGCTTGAGAGACATGGACCTGTTAATGCAGAGCGTGTTGTCGTGCAAACCCTATCTGAAGGACCCGAGATTGGTGCCTATTCCTTGGAATGGTCTCAAGACTCCGATCAATGGTCGTTTGAAGATTGGCTATGTCAGTAACGATGGATTTATCGTTCCTCAACCTCCTGTTGTAAAGGCTCTGGAGTGGGCACGAGAGCAGCTCTGTGATCCAAGATACCAAGACCTTATTGAGCTCAAGGACTTCAAGGTGTTTGACTCGGCGGGCGCTTGGTCCAAGATTCGACGCATGTATTGGCCTGACGGTGGACAACCATCACGAGATGCCATTCAAGCGACAGGAGAGCCCATTCATCCTCTAAGTGAATGGATCTGGAAGGATGCAGAACCACTTGGCATGAAGAACGCCGTCGACTTGAGTCTCATGCGTCGGGAACGAGATGAATTTCGCTGGGCATTCGCAAAGAGCTGGGAAGATCAAGACGTGGACATACTGATCGGACCGGCATTCGTCGGACCTGCTTCAGCTCATGACACAGCGTTCTTCTGGAACTATACATCGCTGTATAACCTTGTGGATTATCCTGGTGTCGTGGTACCTACACCTTTCAAGGTAGAGGGGAGTGAGATGTATGCTGGTGGGTATGAGCCGTTGAGTGAGGCTTGTGGACAGGTGAAGAAGTTGTGGGAGGAGTCAGACTTTACTGGTGCCCCGATTACTCTTCAGATTGTGGCGAGGAAGTATCATGATAACGAGTTGTTTGGGGCGCTGGCGGTGTTGAAGGATGTATTGAAGCTGCAGTAGTAACTTGTGACATAAATAAATTGCATCTCTTGAGCTAAAATGAAGTCTATTATCTTGTCACTGAAGACACTGAGACGTGATTGAATTGAACGAGCGAGCAAGACAGACGAGGCTTTAGAGGGAGACGTCATACCTCGGTCCAAGCAAACGGTTAAAGTTGAAGCTAGCGGTGCACTATCCTGCAGTTGACGAATCATTTATAGCGCTTTCTTTGCGCTTAGACCACTGAAGATTAGCTTCCGAGTGCCTGTGTCGATCATCATGTCCTTGGAAGTGCATCATCGACTCGACGCGCCATCATAGGGAAAATAATAAATAGCCTGCTGCCCAGTCCAACTTGGTCATTGTACGACACAGGACGATTGAACAAGAGCGACACTATGGCAGCAGCATTCAACATCGTGCGCCAGAGCTTATTCGCCGGCAGCCCAAAATACACAGAAAATGATCTACCCGACCTCAAAGGCAAAGTAAGTCTCAATCGTTCAACTCCCCGAGGGCCCTCACTCACGATTTCTCTCAAAATTGCAGGTAATTGCCATCACAGGCTCAAACACCGGCGTCGGCAAAGAGATCGCCAAAATGGTCTACAGCAAAAACGCAAAAGTCTACATGTTCGCACGAACAACTACGAAAAACGAAAAGGCTCGCGACGAGATCAAAGCTGCCTTTCCAGAGTCACACGGCGAATTAATCTGTATACAACTTGACCTTGCAGACCTTGATAGTGTTCAAGCAGCAGCTGCGGAATTCACCAAAAGGGAAGATAAGCTCCATGTTCTTTTTAATAATGCAGGCGTTGGATTCCCTGAGTATGGATCCAAGACAAAACAAGGCTACGAGCTTCAGCTGGGAACCAATTGTCTTGGTAGTTTTGCTCTGACGCAGAAGTTGACGCCTGTATTGATCGAGACGGCGAAGACATCTCCACCAGGAAGCGTTCGCGTGGTTTGGGCATCATCAACAGCTGCGTTTTGGACGTCCACGAAGAAATACATCGACCGAGTCAAAGGGATCGAAAAGCAGAGTCTGTTTCAGCAATATGCCATTAGCAAGCTTGGGAATTACTACCACGCCACGGAATATGCTGCACGCCATAAAAACGACGGTATTATTTCTGTGCCGCTTAACCCGGGCAATCTCGACTCAGAGCTTTGGCGTACGCAGGGGAAATTCCTGACTTGGATCCTCAGAAAAACTGTTTTTTATCCATCGCACTATGGTGGGTATGTTAATATCTTTGCTGGGTTCTCTCCTGATGTGACACTGGAGACTACGGGTAGATTCAGTAAGTGGTCCAACAGATGCTGTTTGGTGGATGTACTGACGTGATGGACTTGTAGTTTCGCCATGGGGAAGGCTGTGGCATGCACTTCCGGCCATGGTGAAGGGATCAAAGACGGAGGCTGAGGGAGGAACGGGCCATGCGAAACGGTTCTGGGAATGGACAGAGGAACAGGTTTCACGATATGGGTCTGCTACTGGCGTTAAAGAGCCTCTTGAGTAGTGGTTGATAGAGAGGGAACCTATGATGCATTTCTTGTTACTGTTTCGTAATGCTTTTGATCGGTTGCTTTATTCACAATTAGTATGACTTAGAGATACCTCAGCATATAGGCAAGATTCAATCGCATTATTTAGTGGCGTTTAAATGATCTTGCCGCGTCCTACACGAATGATCAGATGCATTGGGTGGGCCTTAGGAATTAAGAAAAGTCACAATTTAAGATAGTGGTACTAGAATAAACTTGATAAAGATTTTCTAAGCCTAGGCTAAATTACCCAACCATCTTTATCCCTTAGTGTCCATATCCTGACTGTTTTGCCCTCCTCTCATCCCGACAGCGTAATATCAAGACGGAATATTGCTCTACCCAAACCATCAACAGCCTGCCTTTACCAACCCTTCATCCTACCTCGTGGCTCAAGTCCGCGGACCCAAAGATCGCTGCAGGGATTCCTTGATGTGACAAAGACCGCGATAAAACAACAACAAGAGGGACACCTTGAAAAACAAGTTGATGAAGTGCCCAAAGAAGAGATGGGGAGACTTCAAGGCATGAAAAAACAAAAGCCCAGTTAAAAGGCCCAACAAAAAGGGCATCTGGAGGACCGGCATGTCAGCGGCCAGTCACTGAGATACCTACGCCGCTGAACGAAACAAGTAGAATACCAGTGCGATGCCACCCACTGGGATGATACAGTAGTACACGGCAGTGAAGAAAAGGTTGAGGAGAAGTCGGATGTTCTTCAGGATGGTGATGCAGAAGGAGAAGAAGATGAGAAGGGTGAAGATCAACATCAAGATGATGGATAGGGGAAGGAGTTCACGTTGGGCGGTCTTCATGGTGGGTGGATGTTATGAAGGTGAGTGTACTTGGGTGAAGTTCTGGGATAGCGGATTCTGCAAGAGGTGACTCTACTGTGGCGGGCAGTGCTGCTTTCTGACGATTTTATACGATTTCTAGGCGATTGACTTCCCAGTGCCAGTTACCTATTCTACCTGGTCTTTGGGCGTATATCAAGAACACTGAATCCCGTACCGTGAACAAACGGGCGCCCTTGAACTTTCCGCTGAGTGGGTAGGCGAATGGAGAACGTAACTTGAACAGTATTCTTACATTTCTTAGCCCTTGAGAAGTCGTTTTGCAATTTTGTAGTAGAAGCTGTAGCATGTCTAAGAAATGATGAAGCACTATGGATATTTACCTTGAGTCTATATGCTGAAATGAACAACTACAGAACTGAATAGAGCGTTGAACGCCTCTCTGAGCAATACTATATCGTTGACTGGGAGCACATTAATACGGATGTCTTTAGAAGACCTGCGCACGGGAACAAGACCTCTTCTGCAGACGGCGTCCCCCTATCAGTGGTGATGGTCGTTAATATCATGTCTAGGCCTTGTGAGCGAGGTACATGACTTGGTAATCTGGCTTTCTTCGCTGGTCTGCAATTCCACTGGCATTACCGCTCCCGGTGCCACTGACCCAGCAAGCGTGGCAAAAGCGTCCTGATCTAACTATCTTTGAAGACAAACTGGACTTCCAAGTCAATTCCAGCGTCAAAAAATCGGTATTTAGAATTGCATTAAGAGATTCTCGGAATAAGCAGAGTCACGATAGTTAAATACAATTTGGACAGTCTCTACGCTTGCTGGACTATTCTGTTGTGATAGAAAAGTCTCGAAACTGCACCTTCAACACCCCATCGCTCTCACTCTCATCACCCTTGGGCATACAAGCCGCAACACCAATCCAGATATCATTCTCCGGAGCCACATCAACAACCCAAGTCATCTTCCTCACAGGCGTCCTCCTCCCATCCCTCTCCGTAACATAAATCCAAAGCGACCCCTTCACCTTCTCCATCTCAAAAGTAGCACAACTATCCTCCAACCTAACCAAACTCCAGTCCGAATACGGTTTCGCAGCAGCGACAGAAGCAAAGAATTCGCCGTCGACTGTCTCGATACCGGCTTTGATCCATGTTCGTGGTGATTCCGTCAGGCCGGTTTGAGTGGTTTCGGGCATGAAGAGGATAAGACCCCCTTGAGAGTAATTCCCGGGAAAGTCCGAGGATATAGTGACTTTTGCGCTTTTGAATGAACTTAGGGGGAGGGGCGTTGCGTAGATTGGTCCGGTGAAGTCATCGCGGCCTCCAGCGCAAGAGGGAGTTCTCCAGATGTCGGGGCCGGGAATAGCGACGAGTTCGAAGGGGTCGGATTGTGGGTTTTCTGGAAGAGGTGATTGGCCCGGCGTGCCAGAGAATAGAGTGAATTTCATCTTTGCCTTGAAACTGGGACTGAAGCTTTGTATCTTGAACAATAGTCAGGTCTCAGAGGATGCGATGTTCAGAATCATTGATCATGGGAGATCTGAACAGCTTATGTTTGCAGTGTGCGGGGTTCGTTACCGGTGAAACTACCCGATTAGGAAGTAACGAAAAGGCACTTGTAGCGTTTAGGGTAGCCCAAAAATGATCAGACTCATGAAACAACTCACAAAGTCCAGTTCAATTCAGTCGGATAAGACTCCTTCCTTTAAAAGGCCAATAATATTAACTATACCTCCTTTTACGCCTCCTTCACTTATCTGCTATCGCAACTGAGTATTAAACAAGATGCGCCTGAACATCCTTCGTAAGAATCTCATACATCTCCCGCGTATTCGACCCCGCCAACACACACTGACATACCTTGACGGCGCGGAGGAGTGCAACAAATATACACAACTGCTCAGCCTCATCGAGCTCTTCATCTGTAAGAAAGTCCATCACGTTATCAGCTAACCCCTGTATATCCTGATGACCACCCTCCTTAGCAGACAGATCAATGTTCATGAAATCCACTTCAAAGTCTGCCTGAAGCAGCAGCACAAGCGCTGGTGCTCCCTTCAACAAGTCCGTGGGCCCATTTGCAATTCTTTCTGTGCGACCGACGTACGAAAGCCAAGCGTCGATTCGCATTAGTTCAATATTCAAGTCTTCGCAATAGCGCTCTTGGTCATGCAGATAGCTGGACACCTGCCATTCATATGAATGCAACAATTCCAGCGCTGGAACACTGTACTGGAGTGCTGGAACTCGTACGCCCTTGTATGAACCCCTAGCAATAACACCACCACGGGCATTACTTGCGTACGCTGGGTATGATATACCACCGTACGTAATCCAGTCTCGAGTTGTGTAGAAACGACTGGGATTGCAGTATACCAAGCTGACATTGTCTTCCAGAAACTCCAGCAACGCTTCCAGAATGACAGTGACGGCGCCGACTAGTGATGTATCTGTCGGTACGTCGGGTCTCCACGGTGTAGCCCGGAAGCCCTGGTAGATATCCACCTGGCAGAACCAATACATATCCATTCGATTGAGAGAAACAACGTTGCCTCGAGATCTGTTCCGTCTGTCGCGTTCAAGCTCTCGCTCTTCTCGTCTGCGTCGTCGTTCTGCTTCTCTTGCATGAGCTTTATCTTCTTTTGTTTCTGGCTCCGAGCCTAGTCCCTCTCCCGAGTAGGTCAATAAGAACTGAGGCCTGCTGTCGCTCGTCCCTGACTCCTCGACGATAGCCTTGTCCTTCTGTATCTTTCGGCTACGTTTATTCCTCCTCTCTTGTCGCTTCTTGGCGGCATGCCCTCGGTCCAGTATCTCCGGACCTAGCGGTCTTCCGGGGTCAGATGCGAATTCATCGCCGCTATCAGGTACGTCCTCGACCGTGGCTCTTCTCCGAGGTTGGCGAATGTCTGGTTCTCTGTGACTCGTGTTTTGCGGAGTTCCTTCTGGCAATGTATCCCAGTGTGGTGTCTGCGTCAGAAGGAGACGAGTGACCGGCCGAGCAAATGTAGCAGGGATGCCCCCTCCATTACTTTGAGCAGCGGCTACATTCAGCTCGTCAGGTCTTAACGGGGTCCTTTGAGAACGACGTCCATCTTGGCCCGTGTCAAGCGCTGTTTGCTCTTTCTCTGAGTGGCCATATACCAATGGCTCGGTAGCTGGTGTTGCTGCGATATCATCTCTTTGCCCCTTTCCTTTTGCATCGTGATGAGATGAGTTGTCGGAGTCGCCTGGATACATTTCGGACCACTTTTCTCTCACTGGACTTTGGCCACTTGGCTGGCCATGTTGGGAGGTTAAGTTGTCTCCAGATAGCTCCTGGTGCAGTTCTTCCGTAGGAGCCGTATCTTGTTCCTTGGAGGAGTTGAGTTCAGCTGCCGACGGAGACTGGTGTACCGGTGTCGCCCGCCCTTCGTTATCATCCCCAATTCCTCCGTGGTCTTCATCCTTCTCGTTATTCCCATTACCCTCCCTAGCAGCTGCTTGAGCGGGCGGGCGTGGCGGCTCTATAATGAACCAATTACCGTCTTGGGGCCGGCGACTCATGGACACAGTCCCCGTCCTATCTGATCTCTTGACTTTTGTCTTCTTCTTCTTCTTCTTCCGGCCGCCCTCGTGTTGATCCGCATCGACTGGAACAATTCCAGCCATCTTGAACCCTCTTCTCTCCTCCCGATGCCTGTAATACGGGCTGGGATCTTGATAACTGGTCCATCGGTCGTCAAGACGTCTAGTGGTACGTCTCTTGAGCGAGTTGAACGGCACCTTGGCAACAGTGCAGACATCCCATGTCCGAGCCAGCCAGCGTTTATTTACGACTCCTCTATCATCATCGCTCCATGGAGGCAGTGATCGTGGCAAGGGTGAGGTAATGGCTCTGGGAGTGAAGTGAAGTATCGGCCCGAGAATAGGATGGTTGGAGCTGGTGATCGTGCCGATGGCGCCTTGCATCGAGAGGGACTTTTCCGTGAATGAACAGTCTGTGATTTTCATACCCGCTGTCAATCCCATAACGGCAATGTCTCTCATGGATATTTGCATCGGTGCCGTAACGAGATCAGAGGGACATCTGTCGGCGTCATAAGTCACAGAACGGTATCTCACTGATCCTCCACATGAACTGTTGATGGCTTTGCAGAATGAGACCCAGGATGCCTCGCCCACGGAGGCATCATGGGATACAGAGGCTGGATTTTTCTTCTTTGCCGGCGGCAAGATTGAGTGGGCTCTTCCAAACTTGCGACGCAGCCAAATGCCCAAGAAGTCCCAATAATTGTAGTCAGAGCCAGTCGATGAGCTCCAAGAGTCGCTGCTGGTCTGTATTTCGCCAGAGCCCTTGTTTCGGAACTTAAGGCGCAGCCAAAGTCTTACCGAGTCCCAACAAGCCCAACAGGTTCGATTGAGGCGTGAGCGATCTGAGGAACTCCAAGCTTCGCTGCTTGTCCGTGAGTCTCTACCTGCCGTACCCCTCCTGTTGACAGGTACTCTATAATCCGATACAATCTCGACTGAGGAGCTTGACGCCGAGTAGTCAATCAATGAATCTGGTTAAAGGTTAGGTAGCATCTCGGACCCGATAGCATAAGACTTGATATGCGGGCTTTCCTTTGGCCACAGATCGGCATCGAGATTGATCTGAGGAATTGAGTACAGTACTCGGAAGCGAAACTGGGAGAACTGCCAAACGCGGTAGCCCTGGCCTGGCAAAGGACCAAACACGACGCTGTCGCAAAGACGGATGAGTTGACCGGTGATTAGGTATTGCTGCAGTGCTTGAGCAGTAGCGACTAGAAGTGCGAAGAGTGCGACGATTAGAGCGGCCACAGCCGAAATTGCGCTTGCATCCCAGCCATCAGCCATCATTGGGCTTGGGGTACGATAGTGCAGCCAGCGTTACGATAACCGTGAATGGAATGAAATGTAGAGATTAACAACCGCGGCATAACCCGCTAGGTGGCTATTTCCGGAGAATGTACGGAGTAGTATTGGGTCACTAAACTTGGCGAGAAATGAAGAAGAAAGCGGTGCCGGTTGAAATGCTTACCCCTCACTTATTTATCGCAGCTGATACATGCAGGTTGCCCAAAGCGATCCTAGACTCGCTGACTTGCATCAAAAGTGCAGCTGTGCTTACTTCAAACTGCCTTGCGCGACGCCTTGTCATAATGAGGGCTGATTGTCCTAGGCGAGCTGACGATAAGACAAGGTGCTGACAGTGCTCCATTACTGGCTCACATTTTAACTAGTGGCGATCACTCACTGCAGCGGCTCTATATTAGCGCAATTATTAGATGTGACGTCGCACCTCTTCCAGCTTGCAAAATAAGACAATCATCAAGCTGCTCTGGTAAGATATCTGCCCTTGTACTCTCGCTGCGTACAGCCCTGCACTGGGGCACGTAATTGAACTGCGATTGCCGTTTTTCTACGAAGACTCTCTATCTATAGAGTGGACTATCGTAACATTTGTCCCCATAGACCAAGCGACGTCATGCGAGGCCGGCCGTGGTCAAGGTATGACTTCAAACAGGAAAAGAAGAGAAGATGGTTACCATTTATGAATCCAGTTGACTAAATTTGAAATAAATAAGTAAAAGTTCTTTTCGCAGTCCACAAGTAATAGAGCCGCAGAATTGATAGCAGACACTGAACTATGCAGCATCATAGCAACAAAATAACAGAAGACTCTTGAATGTACGGAGTACCGTTGCCTCGTTGCAACGCCATTCGACCTCGCTTGCAACCTTAATTCCACCTTTTAGACAAATGAACTCTCAGTGGTCAAAAGCCTGTTTAGCCCCCACTTACATGTCACGCATTTGCCGAAGCTTCGAGCTCATGCAACTACCGTGCCGAAACAGCCTAGCATCGGAGTTAAGACAACCATACGGGACAATCCACGATTCCGAGCCCGCCATTGCTACATATATGACGACGCTATTGCAACCATTCTCCTCGCCATTCATTCTCTCCCAGACAAACGGCAAAATGGCTGTCAAATTTTCTCCAGATACTGACATCCCCAGCCAGAAGGGCAAAGTCATCCTCATCACGGGAGGAAACTCGGGACTTGGTCTTGAGACTGCCCGGGCGCTTTTGAAGCATGAACCTTCGAGGATCTTCCTCGCGTGTCGCAGCAAAGAAAAGTTCGAGCAGGCAGTCAATGACCTTAAGCAAAGCGGCTCCAACACCGAAGTTGTATCTTTTCTGGCTCTTGATCTCGCTTCCCTATCGAGCATCAAATCCGCCGCCGCAGAGTTCCAAGCATCTTCCTCTCGACTCGATATCCTCATAAACAATGCCGGCATCATGATGACGCCAGAGGGTCTCACCAAGGAAGGCTACGAGATCCAGATTGGCACGAACCACATGGGTCATGCGTTCTTCACGCATCTCCTCCTCCCCACTCTCGAAGAGACCGCCAAGACCAATCCTGACGTGAGGATCGTATTCGTTTCGTCAGCGGGGGAGACTATGGCTCCAAAGAATCCATATCAATTGGATCAATTCAAGACCACACTGCCTAACATCTCCACGATATCGCGTTACGGGATTTCGAAACTCGCAAACATCCACTACGCCGCTGCCCTCGCCGAGCGATATCCCAAGATCAAAGTCATCAGCATCCATCCAGGAGTCGTACACACAAATCTTACGGGTCCCATTAGGGAGAACAGTCTTATCATGGGGACGCTTACCCGGGTTATTAATAGCTTCGTCGCTGTTGATGCTGCCAAGGGTGCGCTGAATCAGTTATGGGCAGCGACTGATCCAAAGGCTGAGAGTGGTGTTTTCTATCATCCTGTTGGTGTGAAGGGCAAGGGAAGCAAACTGTCTCAGGATAAGGAGGCGCGAGAAAAGCTTTGGGAGTGGACGCAGCAAGAGATCAAGCAGCACCTCGGTTGAAGTTGTTATGCACGGAAGAGAATGTTTGTCAGAGTAGTTTCATTTTCACTCTTAATATTAATTGATGATTGTAGTTACGCTGCCAAATTTGTAGTTTCGTGAATAACAGTGCATGGTTGTGGAACATTGTTGTTTGTGATTGCTACATATGTCACTGCTATACATCAGTGAGTCACAGAACCTTCAGATGTATATAAACCCCGATCGACACGCCAACATGCCCGGACACTTTCCAACTTCACTTCTAGGTATACCGCCAATTTGGAATCCTCAAAGATTTACGTACTATATCTACCGCTACTCGCAACAACATGCCTGCTCCAGCAAACCCAACTCCCCCTAAACCAAAGCCTCGCCCGGGGCCCAAACTATAATCTCGAAGGGAACACAATTGAGATGCTAGATACTCTGAGCTTTTGAAGGAGATCCGGATATGGAAAAATGACACGGGTATCTGGCCGGTACTACTTTAATGGGCTTCTCATGTAGCAGATTGCTAGCTTAACGCAATACAACTTAGATTGTTCTTGAAAATTTGGATCCTGTTAGAGTGTCGTCTCGAAATTCTGACCATAGTATGTTTCCTTCTCTACTTATGTAGAATCAGCTTAATACAGGGCCAGAGTGATGTCGAGGACGTACATCCTAGCTTGTCGAGACCCCTAATCCTCCATCACTAGAACACCCCTGTATCGCATCTCACCCTGGCGAAGCTTCTCCATCGCCTCATTAATTCCACCCTCGGTGAATGGAAACGCCTCGATGACTAGTTGCATTCCATGCAGCACCGAGAAGCTGAGCATCTCACGTTGGACATTCGGGGCGGCAGGTAGACTCCCCTGGATCCTGATCGCGTTCATCAGAAGCTTTCCGTATGAACATCGCAGGTCGGATGAGTCCACAGTAACGGCACTTATCACACCGCCCCGTCGAACCAGCGACAGTGCTTGAGACCATTCCGGCTGTTGAGCACCTGTTAAAAGCAGACAATCAACAGCACGAGGAGAAGTGGAAGCATCACTCAAGACCTGGAAGTCTGACGCTCCCAGATTTCGAGCGGCTTGTTCCTTGCCAGGTGAGTGCGAATAGACTATGACATGACATCCCATCTTGGAAGCATACTGAACAGCTAGGTGGCCTAGCCCGCCGAGGCCAAGAACGCCCACTCGGTGATACCACTGGACTTGAGCGCTACGTAGAGCCGAGTACACGTCTGCCCCGGCGCACAAAGGAGCTGCCTCAGCAGACGGGATGCTTTCTTGAATACGGAAGAGAAAGTGCTCATTCCAAGTTGCATAAGTCGCGAACGAGCCCTGATCGAAGTCGTCAAAGCCATAAAACTGTCTCTTTTCGCAGTAAAGCTCTTGACCTCGATCGCAATACTGGCAGGTAAGACAGCTTCCGTGACAGTAGCCCCAACCAACTCGATCTCCACTACATCAAGGGAGTTGTTAGCATCAAGGCCCAGGTTGCGCTCAGGTCACTTACACTTTCAGAGTAACGACAGAACTGCCGATTGACTCTACTATTCCAACTCCCTCGTGACCGAGAACCACCATGTCTTGGCATTTGTAGTGCTCGTCGGTGCCACAAATACCGGAATGAGTGATGCGAACTGTGACTTGATGTGCTTTTGTAGGATCAGGCCATGAGACTGTACTTTCTTGCACTCTCCCGCTTGCAGTTCCACGATATACAGTGATCGATGACATGACTGGCAGATAAAAGAACGGCGTTGTTGGTCTGCAAAATACTTGAGTTGGTCCAGTCTCTCCCACACTCGATGGCTATTTATAAGGAATGGATTCCTTAAAGGCTAGGAAGATCTATTAATCGACTTCCCCTTGGTTTCATATCCGGCTTGCCGCCAGAGACGGTACTTGTTTCTCGGACAATTACAGTGCCAGGCCTCTCAAAGGTGGAGCTTTGCTCTCAATATGACCCATCATACTGCAGGCTTCTTTCGCAATTTCTCTATGACGTTCTTTTCGTGGAATGTTGCTTTCGAAGCGACCAATCACAGAAGATCTTGATTGCGTCTCATGGAAAACCTGGAGACGTTGCTATTGAATTGGCTAATTATTTTGCAGCAAGACTGTCTATCATGATCTGATGGCTCTATGCCCCCGTACCTTCGCTGGCTCCAAATTAACGCGCTGAGTTTCCGAAGAGGTGATATTGCTTCTGAAGCAGCCAATCACCAAGTCCAAATCCTTGGGTAAGGTGAGTACGGTGGATTGCAAAACTAGTAACAAAGTGGGCTTCTCTGTCAGGTGTCGCTTACCCATATCACTATAAGAACCATAGCCTTTTTCTCGACAACAAGACGAGCCAACTTCACCGATCATACCGATACAACAGCAACACTCCTACCTAATAGCATCACAATGCCCACTCAGGAGGAGACAAAGAACCTGGAGGTCGTCCAGGAGTATTTCACCGAGTATTGGGGCAAAGGCAACCCTGAGATCGCCGACAAGCTCTGCGCTGATAACTTCGTCATCAACTACCCAATGCACGGCCCACGATATGGGAAAGAGAATGCCAAGAAGATGCTATCCGAGTTCAAAGAGGCAAGGAGATCCATACAAAACTCTCAACGTAGTAGTTAACCTTCATATCAACAGGCATTCCCAGATATCTCGTTTCACGCCTACCAGCACCCCCTGATTGCAAGCGGGCCGTATGTAGTAGGTCGTTGGATCGGGGGCGGAAGTCATACTGGAGTTGCGTTCCATGATCTTGCAGTCGGCGCTTTGGAGAAGGCGAATACGGGGAAGAGGATGTACTTCTCTGGAACGACGATCTTCACTCTTAGGGATGGGCTTATTGTGGATGAGACTGGAGAGGAGGGAGCTTTGACAGCTCTTCAGCAACTTGGTTTGGTTGAGCAGCCGAATCCTGGGAAAGAGGTCAAGTACCTCCACGAGTAAACAGGCCAGGAGGAATTCTAGAGACCTCTGTATTGAGGTTTTTAGTTGTCTATTTGAGCTTCGGTTCTTATCCCATTTTGCATATAAATCACAATAGAGTTTATAGTATTTAAAACAGGTCCAATGACCTTTCTCTTAACTAATGATACTACAGTCTAAAGATTCCCCTTATCTCACTTGCATTCCATCAAACCAAGGTTTCAAGGTGCTTAGTATATCCAAGGAAGAAATCCTCCACGTCTCCATTTAGCCGTCAATACCACTCCTCTTCTACCTGTCAATACAGTTTCTCACGCTGTACCATCTCTCAGAGTTCACAACCCATGCATCTCGTCATACTCTTTCTTCATCCGAGGAACAATACCAGCAATCGTGGCCGCTGGCTCCCAGCTGTGCTCCTTCTCATCATATCCCACCCACTGAATCTTATAAGAAAACTGTTTAGCGCACCTCTTGCCATGATTCCACATGCTGCCATGGTCAAGAATCGCAAACACATGGAACATATCGAATTGCGTGGCCGCATCACGTCCCCCCTTCTTGGCATCCCAGTACGCATAGACCAGCTCTGGTTGATAGCGCTGCAGTGCAAATTCCGGTTCCCATGACTCTGCGCCGTCACTCCACTCTACAGTGAACCATACGCAGTGGATACGTCGAACGAGAGCGTGGGATGTAATCCGAATAGCTTTGGGAGAGTAGGCGTTTCCTTTACTAATGAAGTCGAGTCTATAATAAGACAACTGTTCTTTAGTCGCCGGTTCTTCAATCAAGGTTACAATATCCTGGGAACCTGTGCTTGTAGTTGATTCTGAATCTGAGATCGCCATGATCGCAATTTCTTCATCCATACTGTTAGCTCTTGTAGTTGTGTCAGACTTACCAGTCGTTCGGTAGAAACTCATCTTGAAATTGCCTCGTCTGTGGGTGTTTGATATGGATACGGGAAAAGGAACCAGTGGGATACAGTGACGAAAGCTGCTTGATGGTTTGATACGGACAACTAACAAACAAAGCCTTTTATAATGAATCGCAATTCTATGTTCATCAGAGTCACTGTTCTTAGCATCTCACGTTCATTATATGTGCAGGTTTGGTGAACTTTTCTTCTTTGTTGTATGCCGTAACTTCAGATGGCGCGTTCATAAGCTTTGTGAACAGTGCCAGGGAGTGAGTTCGTTGAATGAAGCTGAATGATGACTGGACAGACAATTGAGTGTCGCCTTGAGCATCTCAATGTGTTCTTGACAGATGACAATTCAGTGTCAGGGCTGAATACATGTTGCCATTTTCTCAGCCACCTCATTCACGCACTCTGCATGGCGCTAGACTTGCCATTACATCCAAAGAATGCACCCAGGCAGAATTCCTTCATTCCGTTTCAGCATCAGTACGGGAATCAATCTTGAACATCTAATGAAGAGAAGTCCCCGTATGTTGATCGCTCTCGGTCGTGTCATAGTCGCTTCTCTTCACGTCATGTCTTCATGCTACATTAGTCCAGTCTGTCGCGACTGGACTTCAGCTTATGTTTAGTGATTGTAGGATTGAACTTCAACTGTGGAGAAGCCGCTTACACTTGGTAGACGCCAGAGACTCACAAACTTAATGCAAATCGTGATTATCAACAAATAATCCTCCACAGAATCTCTCACGCGCGATGCCAGGCTACATCACAGCCTCGAAGTATGGTCTATATATAAAGGAGACCTCTTTCGGCTTCTCAATTATCTCCAACACCCTCCACAAATTTCTACCACAATAGAAAGCGCCTCCAAAGAGAAACAATATCTGCATCCAACACTACAGTACCTCGAATCCCATCGCTCACGATGTGCACCGTAATATACTATGAGAAGCTATGCTACTGCGGGAAAGACATGGGAAGTTTTCATGAATGGGATCCTTGCGCAGAAGGCATTCTATTTGACGGCTGGAGACACTGCACTGTCGGTATTCACAGCGGTCGTTGCTTCGTTCCAATGGAATGTCCTCGTTGTAGAGCGAGAAGAGAGGAGATGGCCCGAAGGGTTCAGGAGGCAAGAGAACAAGGGAGGTGAGATCTGGGCCCGGTCTTTCCAACGCTTATCGTCTCCTGGAATATTGCTGTCGAATGAGTACAGGGAGGTCAAGCGCTCGCACCGTATCTTCTCGGCCTTGGCTCGGGGATAACCACCAGACCTCTTCCCAACCCCGGGTAGCCAGTTCCGATCATTTTCTTGAGCTCTTTGTCCCCAAATGCTTGAGAATAGGTAGTCAATACATAAGGGTCATAAGGTTCTTTATCCAGAAATGTCCATAGTCCACGTCTTTATGCAGTGAAAGTCAAGTACTCATTGTCTACAATCCCCAGTGCTAGCAGTCACCTGGCTCTCAGCACAAAGACAGCAGCTTCTGACGCTACAGGTAGGGCAGTGACAAATACTCCCGAGACTGTCATTAGCCGCAGTTTGCATTCCGTTTGTAGGCTGCGGCAAGCTCTAGCGTACCTTGTCCCGCAAGCTTGTTTAGACCCTGTACGCCAAGCTTGTCTTATTCTTTCCCTTTTCGGTCACTCTACAAATATATTTAGATTTCGGGCGTTGCAGTAATGTGCCGAAATATGCTTCTCAAGAAAGTAGTGGAAAAACTCACTGCCGGCTTGAATGTGTTCATATGACGCTGGCTAGCCGCACTCTAATATCACCCGTGCCTGCATAGTGTGACGCCACCTGGCATGCAATTCTAATGCCGAGTAACAACGGCCGAAAGATTCTCGTGAAAGATAAAGATCTAGTTCGCAGTTAAGACTGCAATTATCGCTCACGTCAGTCATTGTCAGCAAGTTCGGTAACACGGCAGGATAACAAACTCCCAATGATTCGGCGAACTTGGCGTCACTGACTCGAACGCATAATCTCACCCCATCCCGCTTTGACAATAAGGCTTTGCTAAGTGGATCGCGGATCCTTAGTGGCCGCATAGCTTGGGACGGGCGACAGAAAGTCTCACATCCGTGCAACTGGTGAGTATTCTGTCTCGTATTTGAGGATCCATAACTGCCGAGACGCCTACACCCGAATTAGCAATTCATTTTATCGCCCCGAATCAGTTACCAGTCCATGCTTGCGCTGATCCGTCGATCCTCCACAGTACCCAAAAGAAAACACCTATCATCCCAACACACAATTTCCCAGCTTTCCAGTTAGTCTCTTTATCTCATCTCGTTCGGGCCTCGTTCGTACATGACTCCGGTTCCAGTCTATTGGAGACGAGGTCCCAAACTCTATGGGGTCAAGTTAGGATTTGCATCGGCAATCTCTCCACCCAGGCTAAACTTGCCACGTGAGATAAGTGGCAGATCAGCCATTAAATGACTGCTCAGTTTCCTCTTATTTCCTCCCCTGTCAATATCACAGCTGTGTGTTCTTTTTCCCAACCATGCTGCATATCGACTGGATCTGAAGCATGCATCTGCTGCTGTTGCTGGTGACGTGGGCGTGTCTCGTGTGCCGAGTGCTTGGCGATAATGTCTCGGACTTTCTGACAAAGATACCAGACTGCGCGGTATGTTTATCGCTTATCCTGGTCGGAAAAATGCTGATTTTTGTTAGGGGAGTTGTCTTATCGAGCTTGTATCGACGTCGACTTGTGGCATTGACGTACAGTGTCTTTGCGCCGACCCGAAACTGAAGACGCAGGTTTTGAGCTGTGTTCAGAAGCAATGCCTCCCCCGGGACGCATTAGGTGAGTGCGGCGAATTTGGTGTTAATTAAATGCTGATGATCGTAGCGACGCTGAATGTCACGTCAACTGCCTGTGGTTTTCCCGTCCGAGACAGACACGCGCAATTCGATGTTCTGGCCATCACCTTGATTGCAATCACCGGGATTGTGGTTGGCCTCCGGGTTTGGCACAAGCTACACTACGAGAGGAAGTTTAGGGCGGATGATTATCTCGTCGTAGCAGTCTTTGTGAGTCTTTACCAACATTTCAAGGGTGCCTAACTGATTATAACAGCTACTCGATTTGGGCAACACTATTGTTTGTGTTCATGGCCGTAAGTCATCTGCATACTTGATGGAATCAATACTGACTGCGGATAGTTTCGGGTAATGGTCTCGGGAGAGATTCATGGCTTTTCAGCCCAGATACTATCAACAGTTATCTCTGCGTACGTCTCTACGCCACAATCACTATTTCAATCTGACAGTTCTAGTACATCTACATTGGCCAAGTCCTCTACGCCTCCGATGTCTTCCTGACCAAGATTTGCGTCGCCCTCTTCTACCTCCGAATCTTCCCCGTGGCAAGCGTCCGACGACTGATATGGGGAACCATCGCTTTTTCGGTCCTGGGAATGGTCATCTTTGACGTCCTGGCTATTGCGCAATGTCGACCGATCAGCTTCTACTGGACAGGGTGGGATAAGTTACATGAGGGACATTGTCTTGGGGTTCAGCCGTTGGCTTGGGCAATCGCAGCTGTCGGTATCATCCTGGACGTTTGGATGTTGGCTATTCCTATCTGGCAGTTGGTCCAATTGCAGATGAAGTGGCAAAGGAAGCTTGCTGTAGCTATCATGTTCACGGTCGGTACTTTGTGAGTAACCCGTTTGTGATGTTGCTTCAACGACTAACGGTAGTAGTGTCACGATTGTCAGTATCCTGCGACTGCGATACTTGGTTGCTTTTGGAAACTCTCAGAACCCAACCTGTAAGTTCATGAACCTATTTTCCCCCAGGCACGTCTGACATTTTGTAGGGGACAGTTTCGAGACATGTTACTGGTCCGTCATTGAGATCAACGTTGGTCTATGGTGTGTCTGTCTTCCCGATCTCCGAATGCTTATCCTCAAGGCATTCCCAAGACTCGGAAGTTCTGTCGACTCAGGCCCTAAGAATCCCCACCATGGATCATCGGCACCCAGGCAGACGGGTAAAACTCCGAATTCCTCGCGTCATACCGAGAGCACCATTTACAAAGGAACGCCAGTTCAGGCGCAACAGGAGGCTTCGTCGAGCACGGCTGAGCTGGTCGAGATGACAACCTTTATGAATGATAGTAGAAGTGTAGTTTAGATATAACAAAAAACATGTCATCTATCATTTTAAGAACTGACTAGAAGTATCTTCTCAGTCTGTACGGCATGAACCATGAGCTAGGCATGAGAACAATGCCCAATGTAGTGATTGATGTGCGCACTATAATTAGACCCGGTTCCTGCTAGGCTTTCTTCATCGAAATATAAATCATGGTCCATAGAGGAATGGATGCGCACAGTCAATGACGTATCGCTTCAATCCACTCCGTCATTCTCACTAGTCACTTCTGAGCCCATCAGCAATTATCTCATTGCAACCTGTTCAATACTTTCACAAATTAGGTCTCGATTCATTACAGAACTCGACGTGATGTTCTTGCAGTTCGTCAAAATGCCAAGTGGCATAGTTGCGGAGGATACAGCCGCTGATGGCAAACGGACAGCATACGCAACATCAAGGCTAGTTGCCTAAGTGGATACAATCCAGGACAATGGAGGCTCTCACATTACCTGCTTACCAGAGAACTCAAGAATAAACTGCTTGTGTTTCAAACAGCGCTCTTATTAACTTCACGCAACATCTAACTTTGTTTCAGGCCTGTTCGGTTAACTCATATCCGTTGTGCCTTGAGGCTTATCAATTGTCCACCCAACGTTTTGAGCCCTAAAGAAAGCTCCAGTGAGGAACGGAAGAACAATCAACTGAAATAAGTGCCCGGATGTAGTTATAAAATGGTTCAAAGTCCACTCTCATACAGCAGTCTATCTCCGCACCAATCCACCATCACCACCACCACAGGTAAGCCCTTTCCAAAGACTAATCTCTAACTTTCTTCTACCACCAGACTTTACAGCATGGAGCAACTTCAGTCTACCAAGTCTGCCCTATAACGGGCACTGGCCGAGGTCGAAGCAGCCATTGCGGCCCTTTCGACTGGGGATAATGAAGCGTCCCAAGAGTGCAGCGAATCTCTAGCTAGCTCGGAGTCTTCTGATCAACTCAGCGACGGTCAATGTCATCATCGGCCGTCCAAGGCATCAGTCCACGTTGATCAAGAAGAGGCTCCAGCTTACGGAGAGCTCGACCCAAGATTTCAGCAGGACATATGGGTGCGTCCCAAACCTCCAGGCGATGAGTCGTTTGCAATCGAACTCCTCTGGTGGGCAGCCGCTGCTGGTCAGTACGGCGATGGGGAAGAATTCCCAATCTTCATTCTCCGACATCGCAACGCTTCCAGGTGTCCTTCAGGTGTACGATGTCCCTCCAGTCACTGGGAGCTTATTGCAGATGACCTACCTGCTAAGGAAAAGGGATGCATCGAGTTGCAGCTCGTATGCTTGTCTACTAGGCATGTTGAGTTGCAGATGAGTGGCATGAATAACGGCTACTTCTATGACGATCGGGACTTGATCACTATCCCTCCATGCCGACTTCACAACGATCTCTTGCCGGATTTTAGTAGCGTGACAGCAGCAGGGTATCAAGTGGTGCTCTTTCGACTTATTGAAAGCTGGGAGGACAAGAGACTAACTGGAGTTGTTGATGGGGGTATTTGGATGGATAACCATGGTCGTCAACTTTTTGATATAAGCAGATACTGTGGGAATACATCAGAGATGCATTCAGGTGATGGCCATACTGAGCTCTAGATACGAGGGCGCTAGGGCAGATAACTTAGGTTATAGGTACGACAAGAAGATTATCAGGCAAATTGCCTTCGAAGCTCAAGTTCAATTTTAAGCATGGCGAGAACTGAAAGTAAATCACGTAATGAACTGTAGAAAAGATGAAGCCTTCTATAGGACAGATAGAGACAAGTTTCAAGAAGCACTATTGCCAGAACAACTCATGGCACAAATTGCAAGATTGACTAATTCATGCTCAAAGGCGAAGTCGTGATTCATCTAAAGTATATATCTACAGCTAAAACCGGATAAATTCCACCTCCATGCTCACCTTACTGAATAGCAGCGCGACAAGCAGCCAACTGAGTCTCACATTGTCCAACACCTCCCGAAAGCTGACCAGAGTTGGCAGCATCCGCGCAAGCATTATGCTGAATATCACAAGATCGACCAAGAGCAACACTCTCACCGTTGAATGTGTTTCCGTTGACAGAGAAAGGCTTCTCGGCGTTTGAGGAGATGACGGGGGGAGGTGCGCCGCCCAGTGTACCAGTGAAGGTCTGGACGTTCACACCCTGAGCATTGTTGGCGGCGCCGGTGGCCTTGGCATTAGCGCCGGAGGTGCGGCTGGGGAGGGGAGTTAGGGTTGCGCTGGCGGCGGTCTTTGACTTGGCTTTGCAGCCCTTTCCAGCACCGGCACCAGCACCAGCTGTGTTCTCGGCAGCTTTGCCAGTGTTGGTAGCAGCGGGTGCCTCGGCGGTGCCAGTGGCCTTGGCGGCGTCGGTAGCGGATGCAGCACCAGTGGCTGATGCGGCGCCGGATGCGGCTCCGTTGACGATGGTAGCAAGATCAGCGACCTCGGTGCCAGATGCAACAGAGAATGAAGCAAGGTCAACCAGGTCAGTAGCGAAGATGCCGCCTGTTCCGGTGAATGTAGGTTTGACATCAGCGACGGCAGAGGAGATCTCATCCGGCGTCGCGTCCAGAACAAGAAGGCCTTGGGAGAAGATGCAGCCTAGGTCAGGTTCCTCCTCGTCACAGGAGTTGCCCTTTCCGGTGGTATCACTGGTCTAAGCATTGTCAGCAGGTTCACTGCGCAGTCGCACATATATACTTACGTCTCCAGGTGCGAAAGTACCACTCAGCAGAGCCAAGTTGGGGTCAGCACCAATGCCAGCCAGCTGCTTCGCCAGCTCAAGAGTAACAGCCTTGTTGATAGCACCGGCGCCAGTCGAAGCAGCATCCTGGTGCTGTGTAAGAGCACCAATCTCAGGGTTGACAGCTGCCTCATCGCACAGCTTGCTAGCAACACCAACACCAGCGGTGTTGCGCTCAATAGCCTGGAAGAGCAGTGCACCAGCCATACCACGCAGATCACCAATCTCCTTAGCGTTGGTAAAAGCTTGATCAGCAGTCTCCTGCTTCAAACAAGCGAGGTTGGTGACGCTGCCTGCACCCTCCTTTGCAGCTGCATCACCCAAGAGGCCAAAAATAGGGTCCTGAATCTCCTTAGGGTTGTTGAGTCTGAGCATCTCGCCGGTGATGGTCAAGACAATGTCGTGAGAATGTTCCTGGGGAACCTGTCGCTTCTTGATAGATCGCGAGACATGGCGACCAGGCGCAGGGCTGCGAAAGACAGGCGTCGCAGTGGCCAAACCGGCCGAAAGAGTGATAATCGCAGCAGAGAACTTCATCGTGATAGAGAGAGTAATAGGCAATTAAGAAAATAGCAAATATTGTAATGAATGACTGTTCCTGCAGCCTAGTAAAGGAATGAAGAGTAGAAGAGAAGACAAAAAAAGGCTCACAGAGCTTGGGAAACAAATAAACAGAGATGAGATTGGATGAACAAGCACAGACATGAGGGTATCATCGCGCACTTTATACTTTGGAATCGTTTTAATGGCATTCTGAAAAAGTCAATCTCGCCGTTTTTCCAAACAGATTCTAATACGAAAATGTTCATGCCATTCACCCCTTGGGCGCTTTTAGAAACAGGAAGCAGCTTGATCCGAGAAGCCTGACAGACGAGACGGATGAGACAGTCTAGCGGGCCGTATAACCGACGAGGTTTTTGCTGGTGGTTATATTTGTGGTGATATGCTTGGTGTGCAAGCGAATGGGATGTGAAACGGGGACTGTCAAGATCTGAGACGTGAGTGTCAAACAATTGAGTTTGGCAATGTGTGGCAGGGATGCAGGGGTTTGAGGTGCGTTACAGATGCGTCATCGCGTCAGAACCAGTCTAATGGCTCAGTGGGTCTGGGAGAAATTGGAAACGCTTTCATCTCTAATTGGGTCTGGAAACGCTATGGAAACGCGTTTTATTTCAAGACATCGAGGCCATCGCGCTTATGGAGTTAACGTGAAGTAAACTGCAGCAGGGTGAGGTGCCCCGCTTGCCCAACCCTGATTGGCCTAAAGAGCAATGGATTAGATAAGAAGCCATCCTATCGATGTTATCTTATCTTATCTTATCTGTCACATGACTGCAACTGTCTCTACTCCGTACATGTTCGAAAATGGTCAATCGTTGCTCATTCCTCAACCTCCTCTACGTTCTCATATTCAGATGAGAGAGTACAGTACTTCTCCCAGGAAAATAAAATAAAGGTAAAGAAAAAAAACTCAACAAAGATATATATAATCTGTTATATGATTTGTCTTTCTTATTACTTAATCTTTAACCCTTGACTTATATCCTCCAGGGTAGTACTTAGGCTTTAACGTAAACGAAACTAACAATTGTATTACTAGTCCTGCGAAGCTGATGAAAAATCACTTCCAATAGCAGTTTATACATACAGTTCTGTTCCAAATGTCATCAAGTAAGCCAATTTAAAGACTATCAATCGATATCATTACATCGCTTACCGGCATGAAATGTAATGCTTTGCAATGAAGAATACTTATAACGTTTGATCGGAGGCGCGTTGCGAGATATTCAACGGACCCCAAGCCATACTTGTGTGCTGTTAAGAAGTTGGAACGAAATTTTCACCCACCGATACGAGACTCCTCGTAAATGGATGAATCAAACTGCCCGTGACCATCGCAAGCGAGATTGACGATTGGTTGTAGTAAGAACGAGTTATGGGTCAGGGAAAATCTGGAGAGAGAAGAGAGAAGAGAAAAGGGGGAAGATACTATTCTGAGTTTAGAGGAGCTTCTGTCCCTTAATTATAGTTCTCAGTTATTTGTAGAATTTGTATATCCTGCATTAGATCTCTAGTAACTCTCTTCTTCTGCTAACTTGGACTTGTATGCATTGTCCTGTTCATCTTGATGTTCGGTCTCTGTCAAATCAGATCATATTTATCCCTGCCACCCCCGGCACTTCAACGTCACCCGGCAAAGATCCGCAATAAATGCAACATCAATCAGCCGAGACAAGTTCATGTCTAACTACCCCGCAGGCTGTTAAAAATCGCGCTTTGACACGAACCAACCAGTTCTTGCGCAACCTCATACACCATGAGCGACAAAGCCGCCTCGTCACCGAAGAAGTCACCAAAGTCTCCTTCGTCAGGAGCCAGTGAAGTTGTGCTGCATGACGCTGGGCACTGGGCTGCTTTGGCGCAGGTATGTTTGAGACAAGTCAAAAGGGGCTGGGACTGACGCGTTTTGTAGGATGAGCAGGATGACGATGCCGACTCTTCGCTGGGTGTTGATACAGAGTCATCGACGGCTTCGATGACGTCGAGTATTCTGAACTATAGAACTATAAAAGGACGAACTTATCATTCTGAGAGAGGAAATGCAGAGTATTGGTGGGTTATGTATGGCTGCTTACTCCATAAGGCTGACGCGTGACGTGCAGGGCCTCAAACGATGCACAGCAGAACGAGGCAATGGATATTATGTAAGAGTTATATGGCTGATTCGGATAGGAACTGATGCGTCTCAGCCACCATTTTCTGGTTCTCACACTAGATGGAAAGCTTCATTTGGCACCGTTGAAGGATGATATCAAGGTAAGCTTTGAAACCTCTTGCAAGACAACGTATCTGACTTTGTAAGACTGTGCTTGATGTCGGCACCGGAACAGGTATGAAACCAAGCCTTTGGCATGAAACTCAAGCTCACTGAACCGATGAATAGGTATTTGGGCGATGTAGGTGTACTGCCTGACGGGATGATATTCTTGACTAACTGTCCAGTGACTTTGCCGATGAGCATCCCCAAACCGAAGTAATCGGTACCGATATATCTCCCATCCAACCAAGCTGGGTTCCTCCGAACGTCAAATTGTAAGTTTACCAGAGTCGCAGCGCCCTATAACAACTTGATTGCGCCATAGCTGACAAAAGCAGTGAGATTGAAGACTGCACTCAACCATGGACCTTCTCCCCCGACTCATTCGACTTTATCTACATGCGATATCTCTACGGTTCCATCAGCGACTGGTTCGCCATATTCCAAGAGGCCTTTAGATCATGTAAGCCAGGTGGTTGGGTAGAGAGTTTCGAAGCGTCAGCTATGCTTGAGAGTGATGATGATACTGTTAAGGAGGGTAGTGCGATGAGCGAGTGGGGCAAGTTTTTTATCGAAGGTGGAAAAAGACTGAATCGGACTTTCACCATCCTTGATGATGACTTACAGAGGAAAGGGATGGAGGATGCAGGGTTCACTGATATTCAGACTCGGGATTTCAAGGCAAGTAACCCCAGAAAACTCTCCAGTTCAGTATACCCCGGGACCATGGCTAACTGGGCATACAGCTTCCCATCGGTAGCTGGCCCAAAGATCCAAAGATGAAAGAAATCGGAAGCTTTGCATTTGCTGCGATGGATCAGGATCTGGAGGGTTTTGTTTTGTACATGGCGAGTGTCGTGTTAGGATGGTCGCAGGATGAAGTCACGGTTTATTGCTCGCAACTTCGAAAGGAGTTGAGGTCAGGCAAGTATCATCCTTACTGTAGACTGAAGCTTGTGTATGGGAGGAAGCCGGAATAAGCACACTTGTGCGTGTACTGCATCGCATTGGGCTGGGAGCGATTGTTGTTAGTTATGAAGCGGGATCTTTGGATGCCTGGACTCTGAACACGGTGACGAGATAAGGCGTGGATTGAATGCAGCTCGTGGTCTAAGTCATGTATCATTTATGGCACCAGTGGTCAATACCATTTCGCCTACACAGCTTCATCTCAGTCACCGACTTATCATGATCAATCAATGGACTTCAAAGTGATCTTATTCGATCAAATCAAGTTACGATGAGAACAAAATCAGTATTGGGTTGCGACCTCACCAACATTAAGTGCGTCTCAGCACTGAACTGACTTTGTAAGAGTGTTATTTTGAGTTGGTTGTCCCCACAGCTGATGGCTCATATCAAATAATAAGCCTAATTTACGCCTCGCTAGCGGAAATGCTAAATGGTATGTTACTTTCATCTCATCCTCCAAGCTTTATTCACGCAAACCTTGTCAAAATCTCAGCAAAACAGGTCAAGGTAATACATTTAATGCAGCACCTAAAATATTTTGACTTTAACTTTGATCGCTTATTTACGCAAGATATTTGTTATTGACTTTATATACGACTATATATGGCTGGTTCATGGCACCATCGACCTTCCCCCTCCCCCTTCCAAACAGTTTTCCTACACTTCACGGCTCATTTATCAGTGACAGCCATTACTTTCACCGAACCCAAAGTCTCGAAGCTTACATCATATACCTTCCAACCCACCCAAACGATGGCTATGACTTTCAGCAATATGGTCTCTGCCTATATACATGGCGTACTCAAGATTCTCCCCGACATAGCAACCGAAGACATTCCCGCCATCATTGGACTGGGGATATCTGCAATTCTCGTCGGTTTTATCGTCTCAGTCATAATATTGAACAACGTATCACGCCGTTGCTGTGGGAATTACTTACCCTCCTTGGGCGTCGAGATACTTGATAAAATTTCTTTTTGGGCATTGGTTAAATCCACAGAGCACACTTGGACCAGATTTCTTATGCCTGCGAAAACACGAATAAGGGCAGAGCTGCGAGCACTGTGCACATTATAACAGAACATCAAGTTACAAATACGCCAAGACGTCTCTCTACATTCGGACCAAGCTGCAGAAATCGCTGATTGGGCTGTTGTGCCGCAACCAATAATTCGAGACAGAATCAATCGCCGCAAGGAGATTCTGATGCTGCAGAAGGGAGCCACTGTAGTGAGGGTCCGAAGAGAGATTTATTCTCGAGCCTTGGCATATATCGATACGGTCGAGGAGAGAAAAAGAGATCAGATGGTCTCGTTGGGGGACGTGTTTCTCGCTACTTGGATCTATACCTACTGTATATTCCTCTGGTTCTTTGAGCTGGCGTTCGCTTCAATCTGGGGCGTGATGACCTTGTTTGAATTGGCTCTTGTTTATATGACTGAGCCTTGAGGTTTAGAGATTCATTAGCCATGACGAATTTCTGTTCTGAAGTTCTGTGCGGTGAGACTTGGGGGTATACTTAAATGACCGTGACCCTCTCAGTGGATTTGAGAGAGACCATACAAAACCACCGTACGGATTAAGATTGAATATTCGCCTTTGTAAAGGACATGAATTTGCATAAGTTTAGCAGCATGCCGCCGCACGCGGGAGTCTGTTTGTGGACGATTAGGTAGAAAATAAACAAGTTTCACTGGTAACTAAATCTCTGATTCTAGTGATAAGTGGAGAGCATTTTATACTTTATTATTGAGTTTCGTTTGTCAAACCATATGAAATCTACAGCAATAGAGACAATGGCTTATTTAATCAAGGTTTGTGTATACGGCTCTTTTTACTGTATATTTCTTGTCTCTTTATCCACTGCATCTTATTCTCTTCCTTTCGCCCCCTCATTCCGTGCCATCTTTCACGTAACCTAACTCTCTCATTCACGGCTCACGCCCAGTATCAAGATGTTTTCGCCATACGACAAGCTCTGGCCTCCCCCTTCGCTGAACGATGATTATTCACCCACTGCCCACATGCATGAGACACCGATAATGCAGCGCAGTGCCTTCTGTGCATGTGTTGATGCCGTTTGGCATTTCTTCCTGTTCCGTATACTGGTCCCCATAAGGAGCCACCACGTAAACCTCCTACCTGCTTTGGGTCTCGAGATACTCGGCTGTGTTCTTGAGGCTTTACTCAACGCCGACTCAGTCAACAGCTGGCGCAGAATCTTTATCCTCATCGAAGGAGATCTAAACTATGAGCTAAAAAGACTCTCCGCAGAAGAAAAGACACTCAACGACCAGGTACATGCCCAACTATTTTTCCACCGAAAGGAGTTTCAGGAAACTGGTTGGGCTGTTTTACCAACGGAGATGCTACATGACAGAAACAATCGTCGCAAGTCACTTATGGCAATTCAGAAACAGGTGACGCGAATGAACACACGAAGAACGCTCTACCATCGAGCTTTATGGTACAGTGAGATGCTTGATCTTGACTGCTTTTGAGTCTTCTGTGGTTGATCCACCTCCAGAACCTTTGGTTCAATAGTCAGGATTGTACGATGCAATGGGATACAGGGTCTTGTTCAATAGGTCTTGTTGGCCCGGATGTATGAGGACGAGCATGACCTTCTGGATGGATTTGAAAGACCAGGCCAATTTGACATCATCAGAGAAGTCGACGATTCTACATTTCCTTCTTAGAACTATAAAGTATTCGAGTTTTGGGAATAGTTTCGCGTTTTGGGTGTGTTTGGTAAGCATTTGCTAGGAAATATATCTCGTCAGTTTCTGGACTTATGAACGCTGCGATTCGCTGGTTACTCTTAAAGACTCATATTTATTCTAAACATCCATGGTATCAATGATACTCATTTCATCTCAAGTCCGTATATTAATATATTCATCCTCATCCTTATTCTTATCCTCATTCTCATCCTCATCATCATAGATCATTCCATAAGTCAATACTACATCTCTCGTTTGACGTTACTCATAAATATGTACAGGACCTGCCTTTTTGAGCCGTCTGTCATCCGGCGCAATCGCAACAAGAAAATATTCCTCATAAGTGGAACCACAATAATCTTACTGTTGGTCGTAGGCAAAAGCTCACTTGAGCAGGTGGATGATGTTGGGGATCACCTCAGGGTCACCCCGATCAATAGCACGACCCTGCCGATCCATCCACACAGAATCCTCAGAACCACAAACCTTCCAAGCCAAAACTCGACCAGCGAGTTTTTTCTCGGGGCCAGAAAAGTCCGGATCGACCGTCTGCATGAGAAGTGAAACTGGCTTCAAATCAGCACCTTGATCAAAAACATCCTCACCTTGCTCGATCTGCTTCACAAAGTCACGATCGGGCGTGAACAACACCACGATATCGCCCGGTTCAACACCTTGTGGATCATAATTGACATCGCACCGCCAACCGAGGCGCCAGGAGAAATCTGCTCCATCTTGGACAAGCGTGCGTGAGCGCCTGAGGAGACAGGACTGGCTATTCCACCCATCGTCAATGACGCCTTCTCTCATCATATCATAGATGTAAATGGCTTCTCTAGCGATGTCCGTGCTTATCGTTAGATATGGGTGCGGGTTCACTGTTTCACTTCCGTCCTCAACGATTTCCTGCTGGGGAGTGTCAATGAGAATACCAGATGTCATGGGCTCAAGAATCGCAGATCTTCCGATAGTCGCAGTCGATGCCTCGGAATCTGCTTCGCTCGCTGTATAGAAGGAATCATTTGAGGTTTCACAATCGTCACTAGAATTTGAGGGCCAATAGTATGATTCATGTCCGGTCTGGTCACAAGACTCAACCTCATCAGCCCACCCCAATATCCTGTGAATGAAAGTTTGCATTTTATCCGGAGATGATGAGATGAGCCTGGAGACAGTCCGGCGGATTCTGATGTTACTGAAACTGATGCCGTGAGGTGGTCGTCACTATTATTGGGTACACTCCTTGTACTTATAATCATTACTACATGCAGTTAAACTATGTCCGATGTTCCAGTAAATATCTGTGTGGCTGTTTCATGCCTTTAAGCACTGTTCACCTGTTGGTCTCACGATGCATCGCCATGATCTTCCGGGACTTGACTTCGTTCACTGCGACAAGAAGATATCATCACTAAGCTGGAAGCGCCACGCTAGCCAGTTCAAGGAAGCTCACGGAGCATTTGATTCGAGCTAATATGAACCATTGTTCGGGCAATGTACTGTACAGCCAGACTAACCCTGAACGGTGAACAATGATTGACCGATGCTGACATGGACGGGGACCCTTTTGGCAAAACTCGTTGTCAGCCTTGCGATTCACAAGGCTAATAGTTCTCAGTGACAAATCCCATGCATAATTCATTAACGCTTAGCTCTCATATGAGTTGTACAACATTCTTGGTCCATCCCTGTCCTTACAAACAACTTAAACCTCTAAAGTATCCAAGCTCCTGCCATCACCCACTAAAACCATACCATATCCCCAGAAACTGACGCTATTGCCATAGAGTCATGAAAGTCTGTTCATGACAGTTCAGCATCAGCAACACACCAAATGAAACCGAACGCCCGGCGAACGACGAAGCCGGCGAAGAAATAATATAGAGCCAACGATAGATGAAGCACTCGTCAACGAGGCGTCGCATTATCCAGGGAGATATTCGCAGAAACAGTAGGGGATGGGATTGGGATAGAGACCAAGCCCAAGTCCATAAGAAAGAGAGATACGCGGCCTGGCAACGCTTTTGCGCCCACCTGTCACTCATGCTTTATCCGAGTAAAGCCAGACATCACTGGTAATCAGTCTGGGAGGATTATTAGAACACACACAAATCTCGCTCGAAGTCAATGGGAACTCACCGATGCAAGCAGTCCCGCAATATCCACAGCAGCGACCTGGAATAACCCAGACTTCCTTTCCTTCAGCGGCGCAAGTTGGGCACCGAACGCCAGGCACCTTGCTGTCTACAAGAACTGTTGAATGCATCTTGAGAAGAGAGAGAGAGATTATGAAGTAAGTTGTTTAGTGTAGTGAAGATGTAGATGAAGATGACGATACGATAAACCAGGATCGAGGCACAGTTTTATCGTCCTGCTGCTGTGCCCCTTCTTTATGTTTCACGTCCCAATACCCAGAGTGATACCCGAAACAGCGCTCCGTCCGGTTCCTCCCTTCTAATGGCTTGAGACATATCGATCACATGTCGTCCGGGTGTCTCAGATTCCAGATCGGTATTTGCAGATACGGAGGGGCCGTCTTACAAAAAGCAACATCTTCAGCTCAGCTCTGATCTATCCCTTACATCAACCAGGCTGGAGTGGGATGGTCGGCATACCTCAAGTTTCCTTGCATCGGCAACTGCCTGTCGGCGGCCCGGTGGATTCCGTCATCCATTCCCGGTCTGTTAATCTCCGATGCCTAGCCTCATCGCGGTGAGATCTTGTGTAACCTTGACAGGTGGGGGTAATCTGACATGTGACGCGTGCTTAAGTTTGTAGGAGGTGCATTACATCAATCAAAGGTGGTTATTAGGAAAACAAACGTAATTCTCCGCGATATCTGCCTCCTGTTATCAAGTGCATATCACCATCGAATCCCTTGTTCTGTGCTACAGGCCCGCATGGGGGCAGCCGACGCAGAGTATGTTTATGTCTCTCATCCCTAATCTCGTGCGACGCGATATATTTGACGGATCATATTTCTGGCCGTATTTATGCCTTGTGATCATGTTTGCTTTTGGTCTTGGTGCACTTATCGAATATGGCTTTCTCTCACCGGCGACCTGCTCGCCCTCCGGTCTGCTTGGCATATAAGCTACGACTGAAGGTTCCAAGACACTCCTTTACAGCTTTGCCGACCGCTTGAACACTCGCCCACCATTGGTTCTTGTATATTACCGGGACACAGCAAAGGCTGACACCGGGCCGGTTGCGGACAAAAGTGTCCGCTGGAAAAGATCATTACGAGGCTGGAACCTGTAGTCTCCGGACAACTTCTTAAACAGGTTTGGTCTGGTTACACAAGACAACACCCATCCGAGCACTCCCTGGTTCCAGTTGTCGTGATGATGATCCCAAAGTTTGCGGCAGGCGACGAAGAAAATGCTTTGGCATGATGGTTATTGGTGAGACCCATTCTTGCATTGAAAGATTGAACGGAGAGGGCAACAAACAGAGAATAGACCAGCTTTAGGATAGGAGATGAGTTTAGTCTTGAGATCGCAAAATGTGAGGAAAGTGAGAGAAGCATAAGCCGGGCACCATCAATTTCCAGGTCTGTGTTCCGCAATGCGAAAGTCAGACTCAGTGCTGTCCAACATGTCCTTATAATCAAGATGCTACAGCCCAGCACCCAATAGGCCGCACTTTCATTTCGCTTTGTTGACGAGATTAGTAAATGTAAGCACGAAAAATGCTGTCGTTGATACTCGGGTTGACGCGAAAGTTCTTTGATGTTCTCAGTTTCCCCGTAGAGAACTGGCCATTTGACCTGAACACAGCAAATTAGAACAGTGAACATATTTTACACGCTTTAGCTGAGCAATGAGGATCTCAAACAGCGCGGTCTTGAACGTTGTTCGGATCCCGACGTATTAAAGGACGACGTAGCAGTAGATTTCTGATGAAACTGCCCAGCAATCAGCTTATCCCGCTACAGATTTATCTTGCCCTACACCACTACACTCTCGCAATCGCAATACATTAACATCATTCAACATGTCTCGCCAGGAATTATCTTATCTCGACATTGTGCCTCAGTGGCAAACATCAGTTCAGCCCCAACGAGGAACAGGTGTCAGGGGATCTCCGAATAGCACAAGTACCATCGAGGCCATGCACGAGTCTGATTCTGACAGCGACGACGGAAATGGTGCTTCTGGCACTGGGAGAAAGGCTACGGTCCCCGCGAAGCGACGACAAGCACTTGAGGACACGCGTATTACTCGGGAAGAGATGAAGAAGCTCGAGAGCCGGCTCAACAGAACCACTGTTCTATGCACATCACTTTTCTGTATCAACATTGCGATCTCGGGAGTCATGTTTGTGAATTTCATGAGAAAGGATTGATCGGGAATATCTATGTTAATTGAAGCTGAACCAGACAGGTGTTGTTAACGTCGCGCGCGCATTCGACATAAAGTCATGTACCAGAGACGAATGGACTGAATATCTTTGCACACCCAAGTAAGACCCGTATAGATGGTATTATAGGTATTTATAAAGGCATAAGTTAGTAGACAAATAGAAGTATTATATCAAGTGATTAAAGGATAAATCATCTACAGTCGCCTCGAAGTGAGATAAGAGGTGCGGCGCCGAATCTGTGAGTAAAATGTTAAGTCAGTCGTGATAATCTGCTACGATATATTGTAGTTTAATTACCCCTTTATTATCTGATTACTAAAATCGGCTTCTTGGTCTAGAGGTATGATTCTCGCTTTGGGTGCGAGAGGTCCCGGGTTCAATCCCCGGAGGAGCCCGTTTTTCTTTTGCTTTCTTTCCCACTGGACCTAGCAATTGATCAAATGAAATTTTTTTTATCAGAGAGGGCTTGGGAGTACGCTGCAATTTTGTCAATTGACTTAAGTCCTTCACAGTACGAGCAGTTGGTTGTAAGACATGCGGTCGGAAATGACTGTATTGTTTGGCTATGAAACTCGTCTAAATGCTGTAGTGAATGTGAAAATGCAACGCTAATGAGATCTAACTTGGGTATCTATAAACTTATGCAACCTCTATCATCCCTTGCCGATTCTAATACTTGCGCAATCACCAAACTTCAATGCAATACCCCTCGCTCTCCAATCGCCATCCGTGTCATTTGAATGATTTGGGCTTGTCAACCCAGCTTGCATAGGGGACTAAACGTCGCATCTTACGCAGAGCCTTGGAGCCTCGGTTTTCTCCTGGGATCCGACGCGTGGCCTTTCGTGCAGGCGCTGAAGTTGGAGTACCCTGCGGTTCAGGCGAAGAGAAGAAAAGCGAAGGGGAAGGAGGGGTTTGGGGGCTGGGCGTCGCGGTTGAATGTGAATAGTGGCTGCTCGGCGGGGTGGTGTCAGCCGGAGCGAGTTCGTTGTCGCTGTCGGTATTGCTAGCGTGGTCGACGAGATGACCTTGTAATGCTTTCTTTACGACGATGAAGTGGTCTGCCTCTTTGAGACGGGTAATGAGCTGGTTATCAAGCTCATCGTTGCCCTCAATATGCTCGGCAATGCCCTCATGAATGGTCAGAGCCATCTCTAACAGGAAATCCAAACGTTCTATGCTTGTGGATTCCGTCATTGTCTCTGGGGTCTGGGGTTGTAATATCTTATGCAAATGCGGATTGGCTGGTCAGATCGTTAGTCCCAGTTGTGCCTGGCTGAACCATGCACTGCTTACACTAGGGCAATTGCCAAGACAGAACGAACTGTAGGACAGAGACCGGAAGTTTGATGATGTGAGATGGGTAATGTCACTTCAGCAATGGTGAAAAGGAAGTTTGTCCCTGATTTCTGGAAGAGATGGAAACATCACGGTTTAAGTATATGGTCCTGAAGCGTCGCTTCTGTCTTCCACAGCGCCTCCAATTCATCGCAACAAAGAAGAAACGCTGTTTCTGCAGCAGATCCCGGCATGTGGACAGAATTGATGAAGAACTGCGTATTGAATGAAGCGCTAGTCGCTTGAGGACCTCTGCCTTCAGCGCCAATTTCATCTAGGCGATCAGAATGATCCTTGTCCCTGAGATGGGAAACCTCGTGAACTTCAGGGCATGACGGTGAGAATGAGTCACTTTCCGGTTTATTATCTTATCTCTTTGTGATGGTATACGCTAGAGCTGTGCATGTGGACGTCATGGAGGAGAGGAATTGGTGAAAAGGGGTTGTGGCGGCCTGGGCGTAAGTGTTGACGTGGTGGCTCCTTTTATAATATATGATATATTACAGGTAGTAAGGACAGCCTGGCACCTAGCTCGGATGTTGAAACTTGAGGCATCAGGTAGAGCGGAGAATGGCAGAAGTCCTGCTTCTTGGAAACCCTCCTATTGGTTTTTTTTACAACTATTTAAAAGGAAGAAACTGAAATAGTTCGAATGTCTCATTTCTCTTGGGGATACAGTATAAGTTTATTATAGAATTCTATTTACTATATCCTATATTAAAGTAAATAAAACTCCCTAGCAGTATATCTAACTTTAACATCTACCTACTAGTTATATTAATACTACTAGAAAGAATTTATAGTTTATATAAGGGTAGTTATTAATGGATTTATAGTACTCTGTATTGTGTTAATGCTTGCAGATGCCGGGTAAGTTGTGAACTAGATAAGACGTGCACGTGATAGATAAGAGCTGATAAGCAACAAAATTGTTAGTGCAAATGGGACAGAACAACCTTGAACCAAGCCTACGGGGAGAATTCTAAAACTGCCGCTAACAAGAGCCAAGAACAATTTACTAACCCAATCCTCTACGTTTACTACCTACAACAATGTAAACGCCCGACAGAACGTGTTGGAGCTGCAAATCATAGGAACAGATAACAAAAAGCTGAAGATTTTTAGAAACAATATAATGTGAGAAACTAGACTGATGTTGTGGGTAGCACGAACGCGAAAATCACAGCCCTGATCTTAGCTTGCTATAGACTTGGAAAGAAACATGATTAGTGATTCATATCTGCTGGCTCAGAGTTCAAGTGGTCACTGATCTCACAAGCTGTTTGCCAAGCTGTGACAGGAATTCCAGACTCATGGTTAAAGTCTCTGTAATCGCTGCTAAAGACAGGGGTACTGACATGATAATCTGCAAGACATGCAACCTTGAGAACGAGATCCAGGCCTCGGTACAGGGTTTATCAAGACCCCATCATGTCATCGCTCACCATGCTCGTTGGGATTGGATGGCCATATGTAGCCAAGTATGCAGTTCCCCGGTTATCTTACGATCGTCTCCCTACATGCTTGATTATGCCCACCATAGTTTTTCTCTGTGACTGGGCCGAAACTTGTAGCAAGATGATCTGATGGTGTCGACAACATTCGCCTAGCGCAAATTTGTTACCCCTGGAAGCAAGGTGGCAGCTAATCATGTCGATACATGCTGCCATTTGCCTCCCATGCGAGGGGGCACGGGAATGGTAAAGGGTACTCGTCTGAATTGATCAATAGGATCGCTTATATCTCCATCATGTCCCCAGTATTGAGTAATTTGGTACTGCTTGGAGCTTTTGTCATTACTCGCAAAAACAACTGTATTGATTTCAAAACCCTTGGATTTATTCACTTATTGCAGTGAGATTTCACCCTTGCACTGCCAACTCCATATTTAAATTCTTCTTGCATTTCCAAATGGCTTCACTTGTTGACTGGGGCATTGTTACTTACGATGAGCCTCATTATGGACACTCTTGGGGCTACATGCCAGACAGCCTACATCTATGGAATTGGCAAATTTCATCCAACACTCTATACAACATAGGTGAACTGCCTAAGCCATTCATATCGCCTTCATCCTCCAACTACTGCGAAAATGACGCTATTACCGGAAGAATACTGAGCGATGAGGGTTTGTTCAATGCACCGCTTGCAGGATCTCTGCTCAGCGCAGGCGGCGTCGGCGAAGAAGATTCTCGACTTGATAGCAGAGCACATCAAGTATGCCTGTACGATGAGGCAACCTTGGACATTGTGCAAAATCACCAAGGAAGCTTGAGCGCTACCACCGAATGCACACCAAGCTCAACTCCACCTGAGTCTGAACCTGGACTGCCGGCGAGGGTCAAGGTCAGCACTAGCATCCAGCCCCGCGCGAACTCGGGTACAGAAACCGAGGGGAAGAAAAGAAACAGACAGAAGCGCAGTGTCAAAAAGAATGCGAGAAAGACCAAGACTGGACTCAACAGGGAAGAAAAAAGACATTACATAAAGGTTTTGGAGCGGAATCGAAGGGCTGCGGCGAATTGTCGTGCGCGCAAGCAAGAGCAACAAGACAAGCTGAATGCCGAGGTGGAGAAGCTACAGCACCGGCACAGACAATTATCTGCTTCCTGCAACGAGCTGAGGGAAACAACTTACCAACTAAAGCTCCAGCTGCTGAGGCACGGCGACTGCGGATGCACACTCATCCAGCGATATATCGCAAACGAAGCAGTCAATTCTGTCGAAAGTCTGATTTCGAGACATTCTCCCTCCAGCAGCCCCAACAGCACCACCATCGGGAACTTCGCTGCCAGTGCGAGTGCCTGTAGCCCCATAGGAGGACTGGGCGGAAATAACAGATTGGATAAACCACATGGCATGTCCCCATGAAACTGGAGACTGGTGGCTGTTTTAGTGGTAGTTTGCGAGTGAGGGGTCTCTTATCATGTTATGGTCTCGAACAAGGGATGTAAGATGGAGGGACGGCGGGCGATTGCGATAGCAAACATTGAGGGGATTTGTCTGTACTGGGGACATTAATGTTGCATTTAACTTGATTTAAGTGACACTAAAAAGCATGGAACACCTCTTTCTCCTGTCATAGGCCAATTAGCCAAACTTTGATTACAGCGACGTGCCCAATAATTGGCTTCGGAGGTTGATATAGTTCAACCGTCAGCAACCGCACGCTAAGCTAGTCGATATCATACAAGCGATGCTACCAACTGTCGCTGCTGACATGATGAATATCGAACCATGCCGGCCAGATTAATTTGCTCCGAAAGCGAGATCGAGATCAGCAAGACCCTGAAGGTGATGAAACGCACAAATCGCAAACGCAAACAGCTGCCTGTGGTGATATCAGGTGATGTGGCTTGGCTGCATCTCACCACTATTTGCCGTTATCGTCGTCAAAGACAGGTCCCGATAAGTCTTTGGCTTCGTCGGGCAACCGGATGCAACTGCTGCGGGGACGAGACGCGAGAGTCGAGACCGTCCAACACATGGAGGAGGAGTACGCAACCTCGGAAAACATTGGGGAATAAGCAAATGGATGTGCCATATCACAAGATTTCCGTATCACATACCAACGCCACCAACGCAGGGCCGTTTTATATAATTCTTTGTGCCTGATGCATTGAGCCTTTATCTCCCCTTCAAGATATCGCCATCATTGGATGCACAAATTACTATGAGCACCGCTGCCATTATTCAAGACTTTAACGGTTTCGAATGGGACCGAGCGCCTTTTCCCTCCGAGGTAAGTAGCGGTCGCTAGGCGACAGGTGCAGGATGAAATAAAACCCTGGCCGTGTTAGGTAATTTTTAATCATTGCAGAATCTCACCTCTCTCACGACACCTTGTCACCCCCCTCATGGCAGTCAAGGCTGACAGCTCACAGTCGACGTTAGATAATATTTTGAGTCAATTCGAGCAGGGTAAGGCAACCATGGCCTTGTCGGATGCAGAGAATGACCCTCTACAGAACCTGTCTTCCTCGACCCCTTGTACCAGGCACCTGGTTATCATCTTCGACCAACCTCACCCATCCCCAAAATACCCCTCACCCACCTGCCACCAATCCCCTCTTCAAGTGAGCAGCACAAAAAAGGAAACGGATCCTCGTTTATCACCAATACCTGTATTGGAGATGATGATTTCCCTGCACAAGGCGGAGAAGACATGCAGTCCAAGCATTCCATCGAACCCGTCGACTCATCCAGGGCCGATATGAGCCGGCCAAAAGTCCTGTCGCCAGTACTTACTGCGGGCCTTTTAAACCGACGCGACCCAACATTGAGCAACGAAGAGAGTCTTGTGGGCTTGGAAAGATCCCCCACTCAAGTAAAGATGCGCTCGGCATCACGCAGGCCAAAGAAGGTCAGCAAGAAGCCCGCACTCCCTGCACATGTCGTACAAGCTAGGGAGTGCCATAACAACGTTGAGAAACAGTACCGCACCCGCTTGAAGCAGAAATTCGAACGACTTTTGGCCGTGCTTCAAGCTTCAAAGATGAAGGACGAGACCGACGGCGAAGGAGACTCGGAAGCACCGGACTGCGGCTATAGTCGAGGAGAGGTGTTGGATTTCGCAAGGCAGCGCATCCTCGCCCTCGAGGAGGAGAACAGACATCTGTCTGATCAGGTACAGCATATTGACAAGGGTTTTACGATTGTATAATGACACAGGAGAATCTACATGTTGGCAACGACAGTGTGTACGTAGGCAGTGCTATTAGACGTTGGATGTGGGTGTAGCGAGCCACTCACTTAATATATGTTTTTGCTTTAGCTTGCGTGAGACACGTCGAGGCCTGTGCGTTCCCCTTACAGCCATCTGGCGGCGGACCAACTGCTCCATAGCGTAAAGCTTATCCTGATTGCTATCTTAAGCGCTTGGCAACCAGCTAGGAAGGTTCCCGGGCTCAAACTGGAGCCCATGGACAGGGTAATCCTCCTTTTGCTAAGCTTGGGACTAAAAACTACTAATTTGGACTGAAGTCAGCAGATTATGCTCAACCTCCCCTAGCGCATCCGGCACATAATATCCTCCTGCAACTGGTTAAAAGAACATAGTATTGGTTCTAGAGGTGATAGGTATCTAAACACTTTCTATCCGCCCTTCATATACATGGACCTGCTCTGGCCTTTCGAGTCTACAAGAGGTGGTGACAAAGTTATGAATACATACAGGGCACGTATCATGTTCCGCAAGGTACCATGCTGCGATGCAATCAGAGTGAAAGATATGCTGACAATCGAGTTGGCGAAGCATGTCCGTGTCACTGACCTCGCCCAAACAGATTGCACTATACCCACGGAGGATGGTTAGTGAGTGGCGCCAAATAGTGATGTGTCCAGGAACTAACCATGTCATGTTAGAGACTGGTTCAGCCCACGCGGCGTGAGTATGGCTCATGAGATTTGACCTCATGTCTTTGCTGGTCCTCGGAGGTGCAAGAGAGTCGAGATGCGGCAGGTCCCGACGCTGTGAGTCGCTTGATGACACTGTGGTAGGCGATGTTCCCCCCGAGGATACAGAAGACCTTGGCCTCGCCCATCTGTACACTCTTCGAAACTGTTAATCTTTGCCCCTCTGCGGTCGAGAAGCGGTGAGACATACTTGGGCACCCCTACCAAGAACATGATTGTCAAAGCCATAAGCGGGAGCAAGATGGCAGCCAACCACGCCAGCATCCCATTGCTTGGTGCTCCGATATCAGGGGTGCTTACATCGGTGGTGGTAGGGCTCGACATAACTTCTGCAACATGAAGCAGAAAGACGTTCCGGCGCCCGGGGAAATGGCAGGGATGCTGTGTTTGATATGACCTTGGGCATTTGAGCTTTTCAATAGAAGCGTTCTAGACCAGCCGATACTGAGGGTTATGTTATGATATGATATGATATGATTGACATCATCAGTCAATAGTGTTTGTGGCGTCAGTATCGTACCACGAAAGGCGCACAATGTGGCCAGAGAAACAAGCGTCCTTCAACCAATCACAGACCTCGGAACTTTGTCCGGGGACATTTTATCCTCTCAACTTCCTGGACTTTTTGCTTAAATAAGTGACTGCCAACCAACCTTGGGACTAGCATGTGATGGGAGAGGGTAGTCTTTACAACAAAAGAGAATCGTGTGAGGATGTTTTGTTCACCCATCACAAGACGCTAGAGTGTTTGCGGTGGCAGTCCAGCCGCCAGCGTGACGCATCCACGGAATCACGAATAAAAAGTAGTTGAGGCAATGCCCATCATCTGGTCACATCATGATAAGCTTTCCTTGGAGTCGAGATGCAGATCGCTCAAGTGAGTATATTTCTGCAACATATCTACTGTTACTAAATCTGTCCTTGATGTTAAGAATAACATCTTCACTCAGCAATTTCTAATAATCTGTCCAGAGATTGATCAACGGTATGAATGTTCTTCATCATGCAGAACAGCTCTGAACTCCTTTACCACATCATCCTGACCGTCATCGACTTTCACCTCGAGCCGTCGGGGTCCAAACGATCTATCTACATTCTGGGCACACGCGCGACCATCGAAGCCGCCAAAGACTCGGCCTTCAGGGTCCTGCATAAGCTGAGATACAAGCCTGATGACTTTGTTGAATACGCCGTCCATTCAAGTCATGTCGGAACATGGGATCACGGCAACGGGGTTCTCATCCACGCCAAAGCTCCAGCAGGCCAGGTATTCCTTGTCTCCATCCAGGCAACGCCCAATACCGAGATGCTCCATACCGACCGCGACGGTGCTGTTCTACTACCTCACGGGGTACCCTCGCTGCACTACGTGACGCAGACCGTCATCGACTACAACAGAGATCGGACCGGATGCGTGCAGGAGATGCAGATAGAGGGGACCTTTGCTCACCGTGCTGCGGCCAGGACAGCAGCGCGCAAGCTGCTAGATCCTCTTGACTATGCAGAGTATGACACGCCGGAGAAGATGAAGGGGGAGTGGCCTTATGGAGAGGACGTACTTGTGCATGCAGTTGCGGAGACTGGAGAGAATACCACTATTGAGATCAAGACTGTTGTTGATACGCATCACAAACATGGAAAGGATATCTAAGGATATATTGGTGAGAAGAAATTTGCATGGTGGATGAGGGAGGCATGCTTCTTGCCTTGATGTAATGAACTTTGATTGGGAGATCGTATGAAAATGATGGAACTGGCCATTTGGGGTTTGTGTTTCTGGATTAGCATGTTCATCGTTGGCCTCTCAAATTGAACACTTTCTGCGGCTTTCTATTAATAATCTCATAAGATATTTATGAATCCTAAAATATCCTTTACTCCCTGTCGCGGTCTAGTGTTGGTAGCAGTATCTATGGCCTACTACAGTTTGGAGATAAGCCGTGTAGGCAGGAACTTGTCGGTTTGTACAAAGGATTATTGGTAGAGACGCGTGGGCTACAAGAGAAGGTAAGTATAATTTAAAGAAAGAAGCTATTTACAAGGATCTGCTAAAGCATAAGGATTGACATAAAGCTGCGTCCACCACCAGCGCATTTGTAGATCGCACTGTTGAATTTTCACCTTCAAAGATCGTAAAAGATCAATAGGGTAAAGCTGCGAGAAAACGACCGTACCAGCCGGAGCTAGGCTAGAAATGAAAGCCAGGGGGTCAGTACGGCGAGCCATTCTGCTTTTTGAACAAACAAGCCGTTTTTGGAGGTCAAGCACCGGCGAACTAAAAGGACAATTAGCTTGCTCCTCCCTGTTGGCGCACCGCTAGGAAGCGGAGAGGCTTACCACCCAAGTGCGGTCGACGTTGCAGACCTGCCAGCCCTTGAGGTCGTCCGTACAGGAGTAGGTCCCGGGCGTGCAGCCCTTGGGAGCAGGGGTAGCTGCTGCGAAGGCAGCCATAGTGAGGAGAGGGATAAGCTTCATGATGAGAATTGACTTTGTGTGTAACGAGTGCTTGATATCTTATGATTGTGAGTGAATGTTTTTGACGATGAAATTGATTTGGCTTTGGGTAAGATGTTTTATATTTGCATGAATTGCCTCTCATATTACTGTCTAGTGATTAAGCTGCATAGCCTCCATAACCTCTTTCCAATGTCACTGATATTACAACTCGACGACATCCATCATGCAGGTCTTCCGTTACGAGGTGGATGTTGGAACTGAAGTGATTCCGTCATGTACAAAATTAGCAATATGTTGATGTTGTCGCATTGGCCTAATGGAGCGTTCAGATCAGTGACCTCGGCTAAAGTAGCAACCGAACATCGCCGTTGAAAGGTCCTGGAATGCGATCAATAACCTCCATCAGAACACGAGCAATAAGCTATGATCTGATTCGACGATGTCCTCTAGTGAGCAAGTTTCTAATCAGTGTCATATCAGGTCTGTAGTTGTGGCGTGACACTTCAATGCTAGTCTGACAGTCAGCAATGTCGACCATCAGCACATCATCAGAACACCACAAACTCTAATTACGCCACGGTTCCTGCCCGATGCCAGGGATTTCATAAATCGCGGCTCACAGTCAATGCACAGCCGGGCCAACATTTTTACCATCAATCCAAGTGAAGCGCGGTGGGCTCAGCATCTCGAGTGGCCATCGTCGGCATCATAGACAAGACCCGAATCGCCCTCTGCACATGACACGGTGACGTCTTGTCCTGTGTGCAGAACATAGGTTGCGTTTCCAGTGCCAACTACCGCTGGGACACCCAGTTCCCGACTGACAATCGCGGCATGAGAGGCTCGCCCTCCGTAGTCGGTGACAATAGCAGCAGCTTTCTTCATCACAGGCACCCAGTCGGGGTCAGTAGACTCGGTAACCAGGATCGAGCCGTCGATAAACTTGTCCATGTCCGAGACCGAAGTGAGTAGGCAGATGCGCCCAGCAACTGCCTTGTCACCAATAGACAGACCCGTGGTCAAGGTGTGGCCACGTTCGCCAACCTTGTAGGTCTTGAAGGCAGCCGCGTCACGGCGAGACTGCACAGTCTCAGGTCTGGCCTGCACGATGTAGAGTTTGCCAGAAGAGCCATCTCTGGCCCACTCCATATCCATTGGGCAACCGTAGTGCTCCTCAATAAGACACGCCCATCGGGCCAGCTGGAGAATCTCTTCATCTTCAAGAACATATGAAGCTCGTTCAACTCTAGATGTAGGGACATTGCGAGTTGGTACGCACTTATCCCCGTACACCATCTTGATGGCCTTGTCGCCAAGCTTCTTGCTAAGAATCGGCGACAGCTTCTCATTAGACAGCAGTGGCTTAAAAATCTGGTACTCATCTGGGCTGACGGTGCCTTGGACGACATTCTCGCCAAGACCCCATGCAGCATTGATGAGGACAATCTTGTCGAAGCCGCTCTCTGTATCAATCGAGAACATGACTCCTGCGCCGCCGATGTCAGAGCGAACCATCTGCTGGATCCCAATGGAGAGAGCCACGTTGCCATGATTGAACTTCTTGATATGGCGATAGCTGATAGCCCGGTCTGTGAAGAGCGAAGCATAGCATCGTCTACAGGCATCGAGCAGTGCTTCGCTTCCCTGGATGTTTAGGTACGTCTCCTGCTGTCCAGCGAAGCTCGCGTCAGGAAGATCTTCTGCAGTTGCGTTTGATCGCACTGCAACACTCAGATCATCGACCCCAGCTTTGTCACACAAGTCACGATAGCCAGACAGTATGGCCTCGGCAGTATCAGCCGGCCATGTCCCGCGTAGGAACAGAGTGCGTATGGCGTGGCCAATCTCAGCAAGGGTCTGATGGCCAGATTGCCATTGATCGACGAGTTCATCGATCTTTCCCCGGATGTTGTTGGCGTCGACATAGTGCCAGTAGGCATAGGAGGATGTCGCGAAGCCTGGTGGCACGGGGATGCCTTTGGGTCCGAGGGCTCGAATCATCTCACCCAAGGAGGAATTCTTGCTGCCGACTAAGCCGACGTCGCTTCGAGCAAGATGCTCAACGTCGAGAACCAGAGGCTCGGCAGTCCAATCGTCACTCATGATTGATACTTGTTTGGGTCATGTGTATCAAGCGTCCAAAATGTGAATTGAGAACCTGACTTTGTTTTATCTGATAAATGTAAAGATCGAAGTTTGCAAATTTGATTAAACAAAGTGCGCCAGAGGATGGCCATTCTTAAGCCATGCCATCCATCATCTGATCCGCCAGTTGATGTGTCACTAGACTGTCATCTAGTTGTCACTTTGCAAAAGCCGTCAATTGATCCCCCAGCATTTTGAGTTTCTGCGTGAGACGTTGGGAACATCATGTTATCGTCAAAGAGGGGTAAAAGCCTAGAAGTACAGTCCCACTGCGCGCAGTATATTCTGTGACAAATGAGTTATCAATGACTCGGCATTAGTAAGTGGCATCGTTGTGTGTACTGAGAGCCGTTCCTCCGGTCGTCAGCTAGCAAGTCGGTAAATAGTTCATGCAGCTCATATCGCTGATATGACGCTGACCTGATTGTCGCTGTGGCTTGAAAACAGTGTCCAATGTATTGACATCCCCCGCATGTGATTTTCACATCGGCCCATTCATCCTAGCTTCTACCGTCAATATGCAGTAATTCATACCAAGCACTGTTTACTGTGCTTGCGACCCGTGTAACTACCTTTCTGGTAGATACCGCACGTTAGTTGATACTTGGTGTCAGACGCGGTAAGCCAATCTCTGCTGCTTTGTAGAAACGAGACGAAATTTCCAGACGCCATAGCAAAACCACAATTAACCATATCTCCTCTTTGCGCCCTTCTGTCTCGGAGCTCTCACTTCCTTGTCCTCGCTGAACATCTCCCCGTCATCTGTAGCGAAGGTGACTTCTCCATCATCTTCGGCCCCAACGGCGACACCATCTATACCAAGGTATATCCCGGCGACTACGCAGCACGTCAGATTGACGATGGTTGCAAATGCGCTATTACGGGATATTGCGGTAGTGAACCACGAGAATTCCTCTGCATCTCCAACATTGCCGGAAATCCAGCCGGTTGTAAGGTCGAGGACCATGATGGCTATAAGTTGCATGAGGCAGAGAGAAACAGTATCTGGAAATTCAGCAGGATCACCACCGTATCGTCCAGTGGATATGGTATCCAGAATGATACAGAAACTTCTTGTCTTGCCATGGGAGAAGGTGGCCATGGCCTTGATGTTATTTGAGATGATGCACAGCTCAGAGGTGGCCAATTGGCTATTCAAACTTAGCGGGAATTATAAGCACTTATTTACAGATAATAAATAAACTCTGTGATAAAGATTCACTGAAAGCACGATTTTCTGCCACCAAATTGGATAGTTTCGGATTGATGCCAGTCTCACGTCTTCTGGCCATGTCGCGTCGCAGACTGACTTTTCACGGATATCGACCGAACCCAAGGGACTTGTTTTGGTGAATGATCTTCCAGATTCGCGCTAGAAACGAGACACCAAGTCATTAAGCAGTAAGATGCCGTGGTGAGGGCGGACGTGCTATATGCTATCGAAGCCAACAGTGACACAACGATGAGGGGCGCATCGCGTATAGGCACGTTACTTTTACAAACTGCGCGGCTAGCAGTTGTTCAAATACAGAGGGCATATTCTATGCGGACTCTGGTGCCTATCGCATCAATGCCAATGGAGAATGCAGAGGAACTTCAACTCCTGCTATAACGGAATTCTATATGGACTAGAGCAGCCGACACGACCACTTGAGTTTCTCGGGACAGGCAAACAAGAGATGCCCTGTTCAAGACTCCAGAAACAAGGTCAGCTGTGGCAGTGATGGAAGGGACTTCTGGAAGACGACTTGGAAAGGGATTGCCCATTACTCGCGTAAAAGACCCATCCAGTATTTGCTTGCACAACTTAAATAATACTCTCCGTGGCTAGAAGCAGAGCAGTGATAAAGCATCCGACAGATGGCAAGTCCAACACTAAAGACCTCGTCAGGTGCATCTCCAACCACAGCTCTAACGATGCCGTACTGGAAGCATTAGCATCATTCCGCCGGATCCTGGCCAGCAGATCGATGGCCTTGGGTCCAAAAATCAGGAGATGACCGGCCGCAAACAGAGTTCCAGCCAAGTAAAAGAGAATGACACTCCGAGCCCCAGAACTAACGACGTTCGCGATTCCGCTTGCCAAGCTTAGAGTAAAGCTTCCAAATACAACTTTTGTTCCCCATGGTCCCCAGTTGGTGAACCAAAGCGGTAGCAGCTCATTTGCCTGCGCTCGGTATTGATGTATTGTCCAGCAAGAGAGGAAGGCATACTCGTCGTAAGCGAATTGTAGGCTGACTATTGATGATATGACTGGTAATAGACGGAGCAGCTTGGGTGGTAGAAGGAATGCGAAGAGGGATGACAGTGTGACAATTGAAACCAAGAGCCAGATGACCTGCTGAGATGTTTTACTGGCCATAGTGTCGCGTTGAGGGATGCTTATATTGAGCGCAAGGCTTGGATCCAATTCAGAACGTGCAATTTATGGAATCAAATGTGGAGTTAGAAATCGTTTGTGATAGTAAAATGAATCTCAAGGTAGTTGGGGGATGCTGCCAGCTGGGGGACGTGTTCATATATCCACTGTCTCTTCTTTCCGAAACAAGGCGAGGGTCCAGTAGCTCTGAGTAAGCTGACATGACTCTAACTGAATCGCGCAATGATTGACACCACGCCTCCGACACACAGTATGCTAAGGCCTAAGATAGCGCTAAGATAGAGCTCTTTCAGCTTGAAACCAGTGTCGAATCTAGCCGCGAAGGTGGCTCCCAAGGCCACACCAAGTGCCACTTCACTGCTGACTCTGCTTGTGACCAATGCAGGCAGCTCTGAAGTTGGTAGCTGGTCAATTTAAAGAGAAAAAGGCATGTCACTGTAAGCCAATTGAGAAAGCAATCAGGATATGTATTACAATTAACTATGTTTGTCTAATGTATGTTCTTGATATGTAACGTCTAGTCGCCTTTTTATGCCCAACTCATTATGCAACTCAAATCCTACACTGCTGTAGCAGTTTTCTCCTTAGGCTCAGTGGAGCTGCTATCAGAGACAATACCCTCTTTCTGTGATGACTTCTGCTCCTCAGAATCATCAATGACGACCTTCCTTGTCTTACCCCAGCCAAAGTTATCCATGTTGACAACAGCGTAAAGCATAACAGCGATGTTGAGGAAAGGACCCAAGAAGACAAAGACGAAGAGACCCAGAATAAACTGGGCGCGCTCAACAAGATTGCGAGGAAGCCAAGTAGCCATGATGACATAGTAAAGAAGGGGAATGATCATGACACCAGCAAAACACATGATCAACCACCAAGGTTGACTCATGAAAGCGACAATCATACAACCAATGGATGCAATGACGAACACGTTGAGAGACCAGGTGAGAACGTTCGAGAAGGCGACGATGCGCTCCCACCATTGAGTGTTCCAAGCACAGAAGAGGAGAAGGTCGTTGCTAGTAGCGCCAAGCGTCCAACGACGACGCTGAGAGAGGAACACGTTCCAAGAGTGAGGGACGTCAGTATAAGCACGGGCTTGAAGAGCCTGGCGAGTCTGAGCGTGAGGAAACGTGACGAGCAATTGGCAAATGTGGTTGCGATCCTCTGAGGCTGTAGCGCGGATACGCTTGAGCATACCGTCCATGTGCTTGGGGAAGTAACCGAAGAGGTCGATAAGAACGAGATCGCCGCAGGTTTCGTCGCAGATCTTGAGAAGTTGGCAGCATCCAGGAAGACACGAGACTTTCTTGGTGGCGATGGATTGATGAAGACGGCGAAGACCTTGGGCGATGGTGTACTCGGCAGATTGGTAGATGGACCAGAGGTTCCAGTTACCATCCTTGAAGTCCACAGCAACGTAACCGCATACACCGACTGTGTTGGGATAGTACGACTCCTTGAGAAGTTCAGTGACACACTTGTCCTCAAAGACGGTATCGGCATCCATTCCAATGAGATGATCGACGTTGTCCATCTTGACCTCATTCTTAAGCCAGCTGGTCATGGAGTCGAGGAACTCGTGGGAGAAGATCGACTCAGGGTTCTGGGCGCGGGTGTTGAACTTGTAGAGGAACGATCGAATGACAATAAGACTGTCGCGCTTTCCTTGGTTCTGGTCCTTAACAATGCAGTAGAAGGGCAGACCCTTGTAGAAGCCCTTTGAGATCTCAATGTCCATCTGCTGTCCGTCCCAAGCAGTGTAAGCGCCACGAATCCTCTTCCTCTGCGTCTGATGAAGGAAGATATCTTCGTTGAGATAATCACCAGTGGTCTTTGTCATACCAGGACCACGAACACGACCATCGCAGATGACCATGATACCTTTCTTGTGGTTCTCAAGACCATTTTGGTTGACGAGGGAGTCGAGGGAGCGAGTGCACTCTTCTAGTGTCTCGTTGTAGCAGGGTATGACGTAGACCATGTTTTCGGGGGACGAGGGCTTGATTTGCTTCTCGGGGCTGAGCCAGTGGATGAGGGTGAAGACGGCGATGGAAGCGATCATGATGCAGTTGAGGACGAGGGGGAAGGAGATGAAGGGGAGGTAGATGTAGTAGTATCTGGGCCAGTACCAACTGGCGAAGATGAACATGAAGCTGAGATGGGAGTTAGTAATGAAAAGATAATCAGGGTGATGAACTTACTTGACTGCAATCAGACCAGCTGTGAGAACGTATTTCTGAGCCGTAACCTTTCTCTTGCCACGCTTCAACAAGACAGCATTGCCAACATCATCTTCAGCGACAGTCTCAACTTTGGGCTTAGCCTGTTCAGCACCATTGAACTGAGGAACAGCATCGCGCTCGGCAGAGGGCTGAGGAACAGGCGTGATCTCATCATCAACCGAAGGAGTAGAAGAGTGACCAGCATCAGAGCGAGAGCCAACAGATGTGTTATTGCTAATCGAGACAGGAAGACGAGGAATAGGAGCGATGAGATCTGTTCCCTTTGAGCCAGGGCGACTGATCACCGAGGTTCTCTGAGTATCGGGAGTACCTGATCTCAGAGACGAGGGTTGTGAACCGCGATAGCTGTCGTTCGAGGAGGCTTCGTCGACGAGGTATGCGGGAATGGGCACGACGGGATATTCAGTGTCTGAGACATCTGAGCCGCTGGAGCGGGCTTTTCCATGTACGATTCGCACATTGGCATGGACTTGGTCCTGTTTGAGAATGTGTCAGTCAAAGGGGAAGATGAGGTAGTGTAACAGTGACGAACCTTTTGCTTGCCAATGAGAATGGAACGAGGGGGGTTGGTTGTGAGAGAAGTCATTGCTACACCGCAGGCAGCATGCAGAAGAATAGAAGAGGTAGAAGCAGACAAGTATGACAGAATGTCGTGAAACACCAAGAAACGAGTGACAAGGTGGTATGAGGTAAAGAGAAGTGCCTCTGCTGTAATTCAAGGATAAAGAGGGAAGGAATCAGAGTTACCAGTTGAAATAGTCAACTAAATAACATAGCCCTTCTCATCAAGCGAAGGCCTCTAGGTATAACGGCCAAATTGTGAGCTAGTGTTGTTATTTGCAGCCGAGACTTCTGGCAAGAACTTGGCTTTGCCTTACCATGCAGGGAAGCAATAGTCTCGCCAACGAAAGGATCTAGACATTCAGCCTCATGTCTAAATTGGGCTGGCATGGCTAGTTGAGAGCTCGGCCATCAGGTTGGTGTCTCTGCTGTAGCGAGCCCGATCACTACCCTAGCGGAGTGCCTACCCACGGTCTGTATCGTTGGGCAAGTGGTTTTCTTCTTGGCAGGAACACTACTGATTTCAGTATAGTGTATTGTGCTGATACAACTGAGGTTCAAAAGCAACATTTAGCAATAACATGCTGCAGTAAACGAGGTGTCCGTGTAGTCCCGGAGGTTAGAGCATCTAGGCTGTGCGTCACGCCCAGAAAAGAGATGTCCTAGAGAACCATTCTTCTTTTGGAAATTGAGCCGGGACCCTGGCCAGAGAATATGCATAAATATTGAGTTGAGGCTTAGATTTGAGACAAGTAAAGACTGATCGAGACCGTCAGCGTGGACACGGTTCAGCCTTGGTGCTTTGGTGGATGGCCGTTCCGCCGGACAGGTTGTCCCAGGGGGTAAAACACCCCTGCTAGCGATCGCTTACCCTGGCAATTTCCTGGCAATTCCATTACCCAACGAGATCATTGGTCCATACGTGCAATCTGGCAGAGGAACCTCCAGAGACCAATTCACGCGCGTAATGATACCCCTTCTCTAAAACGAAAACGGTTGAAAGCTGAAGAAACTCTCTTTCTCGGCAGTTGTCCTGGATTAGCGCAACATTGCGACTGAGCGGGAAGCAATAATCATGAATCATCGGGGCTTTATTGAAGTTGCTTTTTCTACCAGAAATGGTTCCGGGATCTGACAGTTCACTTGGCTCAACGTACTGGGCTTAATATGGACGCAGCTATCCGTAGATCTGAATCAATAGTCTGTGCCACTAAATCAAACTAAAATCTAGCCAGCGATCTCAAAATATCTACCGAGCCTTGTAGTTGCACATCTTGTTCCCTTTCATAATTCATTCAGGCACCAAAGGGTTTTATAACACGCCAAAGCACGGGCGTAGTGCCACGGCGGATCCATAAGCTTAAGCTCTTGGCTCAACGGTTTGAACGTGGGAGGTCTGAGCCTCATGGGGAACATGTCGAACTGAATTCGCTTCCCATTTGGCACTTTCTAGGCCAGTAAAGACCAGAACCCATTAAGATCAGCCGCTATTGTTGCTCTTCTCACAAGATCGATCATCAGTGCACTCCAAATTATGCGACAACAACAATCAGGTTTTGCTTCAGCCTCATTTCGCCACTAATGGGAATAATACGGCAGTTAATGTCGCTCACCCATGTCAACCCGTCCACTAACTGGGATTTAACACCAACCAAAAAGAGGATCAAGACAACAAATCTTCCCGTGTCTCATAAGGTCCCGCTTTCCCGTTACACAGCATGGAGAAAGGTCTATTCACAGGAAATGAATTCATGCTTTTTTTCTTTTTGATCATATTGTTCTTTTTTCTTCACACTTCAGCTGCTGCAATCGGGGCTTAATGTGGAGGGATTCATGCGACATCTTTGCTTTTTGTACCTTACCTGGCAAAAGTTCCGACAGAGCCGTGTGCTTTATTTTTTTCAGCACGGCTGACATACCCCTGAACCTGCCTTTTGCTTACGGGAGGATCTACCGGTTTCAATAGCTGGTTCCGAGCCATCGGATACTGTACTCAGCGTCCAACGATATGGGGATGCAGAGTGACCCGGCAAAAGAAGAGATCAATCGCCTCTCGTTGATCCTGTGGATCGGTCTAGAGCCCATAATTCAACTACCGGATCCAAAAAGAGATGATTCCCATTTTCATTGGCTTGGAGGAATCAATAGTCTCTGTCACTTCTGCGATTGATCCTCAGCTCCCTAAATATTCAGAAACGTTTTACAGTCCTGCCTGGTTGTCTAATAAACAAGTTTCTCCTGTCATCCTGGTACGGAGTTTACCGTGTGTCTGTCTCTGCTATTGTACCCACCAGCCTGCCCGCCAGAGGGATGCTGCTGTTCATAATATGGTGGTTAGCATGGAAATTCACGATGAAGTGGCTTCAGAAGAAACGAGGCTTAACTGTTTTAATCCACACCGTCGGCCATCTAGACTTAGTCCGAACCAGGATTGGAGTCTCGACGTAACCATTCAGCTGGGTCGAAGCTGTTCTGGTTCTGTAGCGCTGCAGTGTGAGGCGTTCGCTGGAGCACGGTCGAGAAGGTCTAAACGACGTATTTTTCACATGTTTTCATGATGCGCATAATTCAATATGATGAGTGTACCTGGAAATCTCACGAGTCGTGGGCTAACCCTTGGGGGGAAAATACTTAAGATGTTGGGGTTGAACAGCCGTAATACGAGATGGTCAATCACCGCTGAGCCTTTCTCATCTGAAAACCTCGCTCAACATCTTGTTTTCTCTTGTTTTCTCTCTTTCGCTCAACCTTCGACGGACTTGTCAAGATGGAAGACTTCACTGGCATGTTGACACCTTCAGACTCACCCTCTGCGTTCCCCTTCTATCCAGTCACTCCTCCCCTAAGCTCCGTCCCCTCAGAGACAGACCTCACCCTCAAAGCCTCTACCGACGTGACACCCGACGATACCCCCGTGGTCGCAGTCGTTGGAGTCGGCTACGTCGGCAAACATCTCGTCAGTTCATTCTCGTCAAAGTATCAAGTCATCGGCTTTGATGTTTCCGAGCGACGCATTCAAGATCTTCGACATGAGTTCAAGGGAAATGAGAGCGTCACCTTTTCTCGAAAGCAGAATAATCTTATCGCTGCTACGCACTTTCTTATCTCGGTGCCTACACTGTTGCGACCTAACAAGTCCATCGATTCTTCGTACCTTTGTGATGCTCTCAAGATGGTCGAGCGGGTTGCTCGTCGGGGTTCAACTGTTGTTATAGAGAGCTCTGTTTCTGTTGGTATGACCCGTGAGTTGGTCGGGCCCATCGCCACGAAACTTGGTCTTTTCGCTGGCATGTCTCCAGAGGTATGTAACACCTTCACCCATCTCTGCTCACGATCTTGACTTTGACTAACGCACAACTACAGCGCGTTGACCCAGGCCGCACTGAACCCCCCGTAAAGTCAATCCCCAAGATCATCTCAGGTCTTGACGATATTCTCCCTGGCTCCCTCGATGCCATCAACCGCATATACTCCACCATTTTCGACAATGTCGTCACCGTCTCAAAACCTGAAGTCGCGGAGATGATGAAGCTGTATGAGAACTGTCAACGAATGGTCTGTATCGCGTACGCCAATGAAATGGCTGATGCGTGTATCCCTCACGGTATTGACCCCTACGAGGTCTGTTCTGCAGCGTCTACCAAGCCGTTTGGCTACATGCCCTACGCCCCTGGTGTCGGTGTCGGCGGACACTGCATCCCCGTCAACCCGTACTATCTTCTTTCCAACAGTTCATTTCCTCTGCTTGAAGCTTGTTCACAAGCCATGAGTGACAGACCCGCCAAGCTTGCCCAGCGCCTCATCAAGTCACTCCCCAGCACCGAACGTCGCTCTCGTGTACTTGTCGTTGGTCTTGGTTTCAAGGCTGGTCAGTCTCAGCTCGACAACTCACCTGGTGTTGCGCTTGTTCGAGAGTTGGCCATTTCAGGTGCTCAGATTGACCTCACTTGGGCTGATGCGCTGGTCAAGCAGGAAGCTGTGCCTCAGGTTCCTCGTCTCGGTGAGTGTGAGTGGAATAAGAGCTTCTTGGAGACCTTTGATGTCATTGTTGTGGCTATGAAGCAGCACAAAATGGACTTTTCACTGCTTGCGAAGTTGGAGGGTGTTCGCGTGGAGAGCTGGTGCAAGTGATGGAGAATTTGGCTTTTATGCAATTGTTCTGTTGGCTAGGTACCGTAAAAGAAAATGGGTTTTGGATTTTCATTTGTCGCAAGATAATAGCTTAGAGTAATACATCTGGACGTCCCTCTTACTCCGCTTCACATAAGTCTTCAGTTGAGTTAATCGCTTGACGTATTCCATCTTCTCCTCACCAATATTCATCCATAGATAGCACGATACTTCGCTAATACCCATCTCAGCCTCCTCATCCCACGCTCAAATTGGGTGTGAGCTGTCGCATCAAGCCGCGTCTCAAGCGAAACATGACAATACTGAAATTTGTCTCGCTAGAGTTATGTATAAATGTGATCTGCTGGATTATGAGCCGGGCTCCGTCGGGCGGCGGATGTTGGTGATTTATTGGTTACCTGTCATATTTGGTTGCCATGGGCTGCCTCCTGCTAATTTCCAGGTCTGTCTGGAGCTGAGCCAGCGCTGGACTGTCCGCCGATTAGGAGTGTGTATAAATAATATCAAGCCTCACTCAGTAGCACGATAACTGAATTAGGCTGTAGAAAAAATCATGATGAGAATGCGACGTTATGTGTCTAGGCTGGGCATCCTGGTCTGAAAGTGGTACTGGATCTTGGAGCACAAATCAATGTCTAGCTAAACTGGTTCGGGGAATACGCGCCAACCAACAACTCTGTGTACACCGTTAAATGTCTCAAAAAGAAATTTTAACTTAGTACACTCCCACGTGTAACATGTCTTGCCATGATTATAAGACTCTTCTCCAGTAAAAAGGCATCTGCTCCGATCGCCAACCACGAGTCTTGTAGCGGTTGTTGGTGGCGTTAGGCCTTTTCCAAGCGCAAGTATCACACACTTGTTTTTCCCCAAGCACCAATTATCGCCAAGAACAAATGGACTTTCTTGGCCTTTCCTGTGTGTTCCGTTGCGTACTCATGTTCGCTACTGAGCCGTTCCCAAAACGGCATAAACAATTGATAATCATGGCTCGCTAGAGACGGCGATTTGGTGCTAAAGACGGCGCTATCGATTCTTGCATTGCTCATCTCAGTCTAACGTTAGATGTAACCCCCCATCAGCCTTAATTCTTAACCTTAGTCTCCCCTTGTCGTATTGATGCATGGCGATCATCAACAAACATGGGGATTTTACGAAACCTCATGGTTTTCGCGCTCATCGCAGTGACGAGAGCCCAAAACAATGCGACAGAGATGAAGCCAGAAGATTGGGAGGCTGATCAGTGCGATTGTTACCTGACAGACGGCATTGAGCCAGAGTATTACACGCAGCATCGGTTCTGGGACTTTAGAAATCTTGGAGACTACGCTGGGATTCCCGACACGATCGCTGGGGAGAATGCATCCGCTGAAGCAGACGTCACGAGCAAATACTTCAAGAAGAAAGAATGGAAGGACTTTTGGGCCATTCAAAGCTGGAGCAACCGACGAAGTCACGACACTCTTGCTTACGGCGCCAGATTCCCCATGGTCAACTCTGCAAACAACATTTACATCCGGACCAACCCAGACAAAAACCCAGCGTCCGAGACGTATCTCTCCATGAGAACGAACAGACAACAAGACTTTCAAGTCGCATCTGAATTTGACTCACTTGATCGCTTCCAGTTTCTCTCCATCAGATTCTTCGGTCGTGTCAGAGGTGCACCCGGCGCTTGTATGGCGATGTTCACATACGTCCCCGCCGACGAGATCAAGAACGTTCAAGAAGCAGACATGGAGATCCTCACCCGCGAAGACTACGATCGGGTCCACTATACAAATCATCCAGGTTACAGCATCGAAGGCGAAGTATACCCTAAAGCAACGCGCAACACAACACTCCCCGATAATCTCAAGTGGAACGAATGGGTAGAGCATCGCATGGACTGGACACCAAGCCAATCAATCTGGTACGCCAACGGCAAACACGTCGCCAACATTTCCTTCCAAGTACCCCGCGATCCATCTCTCATGATATTCAATACGTGGGGAGATGGAGGTGTTTGGACACAGAATATGACGACGGGTGAGGAGGCGTACATGGAGATGCAGTGGCTTCAATTGCTTTATAACACCAGTGATGCATCTGATAAGCATAAGCGGGATGATGCGGGTCCGAAAGGGATGTTTTTGAGGAAGAGGGGAGATGAGAATGTTTGTAGAATAGTGTGCAGTATTGATGAGGAGGATGGTGCTGGGGCTGTGACCTGGCTTTGGGGGAATAATACGGCGAGTAGTCTGTTGGCGGGGAGGAGTGTTGGTGCGAGTTTTGGGGGGTTGATAACTTGGGTTTTGGGGTTTGTGATGTTGGCGCGATGGATTTAATTGGGATGTTTTAGTTTAGTTTTCGAAAAGTAATATTGAGCGATTTAATTCTTGTTTCAACAGATTGTCCAGGTCTTGCGGTTTGGTGGAGTTTTGGTGATGTTTGTTACCATCATGGGGCCAAACAAGTTTGAGGTTGACGCCACGAACGATCACCTGAACCCCGCAAACGTTGGCAACGATCGACGCGATGCGCAAGTTAGTCAAAGATTAGAGGCTACTGGTGAAGGTAAGCTGACGGCTGGAAGGCGATTAACTATGAGATATTGTGTTGCTGAGTGGTTATGAAACGAAACATCGATTAATGCCGCGTCGTCGCAAGCAGTAACAGCTAGATGATGTCACCGGCATTTGAACAGCTTGCTGCACTCAAAACAAGACGAATTTATAAATATTGGGCTCAGTAAACTATGGATTTACAAGAAATTGGGTCTTGGTATGGCAATCTGGCCACTATCTGAAGGTTGCCTATTCCAAGAGCGCTCGCAATACGTGGCCAGCCCTTCTCTCACGATACCACCATTGATGGTTGGCTGCTTCGTGGTGAAAGTCCTCGACCCAAAGCGTAGGCATGTTATCAGTATTATCAGCTTCCCGTTTCTAGCAGGATAGACTGTCCTCGGTCTGCCATAGCCTGACTGGAAACACTAACGGGCCTGAATCTTTCGTCCCCTTTTCTGGACAGATCCTCAGGCGTCTATCGGATAACACGTCGCGTCATGTCCAGCCCCAACCCGGTCATCAGTCCAGCCTAAGGACGTTCCATATATCTTACACTTGCTCTTCCAATCCACATCATTGATCGTCCCATTTTTGTGCTCGTTGCACGTCCCAGTCTCGCTGTCAAATTCTGCCTAGAAACTGGTTTAGTTATGCTCATGAGTAAATGTGGTGATATACTAACGATGTCCTTGTAGTACGACTCGCAGACTTCTTTGGTGACGTCGGGGTTTGTCAGCCACCAAGCGTCACTCGCGTTTTTGATATGGAGGCAGCAGTTGTGCTTGCTGAGATCCTTTGCGTCTTCTCTGTTGGGATGAGTAAGTTAAAGGCTCAGTACGGGATTGAGAGAGTGATCATACGACTGGACGGCTCCGATGAGGAGGCACGAAAGCACAAGCGACTTGATGTTCATCATGGTGATTAATGGCGGTTATATGAGGTAGCTGTCGAACAAGATGATGTAACTAGAAGACCACTACGAAGAGATGGAATATTTATTCTTGATTCGGGTTGACCGCCTGTAACCCTGGTTATAGGCCGGTAGTTATTCTTCCAGCATTGACCATGCACGATATTCTCCAATGAGTACTGGTTTTGACACTGACTTGGCGACGAACCCCAGTTTTCATCTTACTCGATGCTACGCTGCAAACTCTATGACGTTGCAAGCCTCTCCCGCCTTTCCGGTCGATTCGTCTCAGCTGGTACGGGGGTGAGATGCTTGCAGTGTTTGGCTGGATTTCATGATGGTGCTCACCGACACGTCGGACAGACTGCGCGTAGCATCCCGCCACACATGCCAAAAGCCAAAAGGCCGATTGTCGAGGACTGGTGGAGTATCAATCGTTCCAGATAGTTACTGTCTTTAGCCTTATACTGAGAAGCTCAGCCCATGATGATAGAAATGCCCTGCCGTGTCTAGCAAAAAGCAGGGACAAAGATTGCGGGTTCAAAGGTAACTTAAAGCCTCAATGCAGATTCGAAGAACACACCATAACAGATACCGCGATCGAGAATTAAGGTACGAGGCAAGAAGCTGAGAAGAATATGGATTCAAGCACTATAATGGGTTGACCTGAAGCTGAGCATGAGAATATACTCTGTTCTTTGTTCGCGTCAAATGCTTTCGAAGCCCAAGGCCATGAACAAGCGATACCGCGTGAACAGCTAGTACTCAGTTCTGCGATGAAGTACAAAGACAAAGGATTGTGTTACAGAACAATCAATACCGTATTTGCACTATATAAGTCTCCCTAACTCTATGATTGATCGCAGTTCGGCAGTAATTTCTTCAAACGCTAATACTTACCATCCGGAATCTCAGCTAAAAGAGTTACCACTAACATCACGGCTACTAATGGATCACTACACCAACGACTTGAAGTGCACTGAGTGCATTGATCTCGCAGCAAACGTCGCCGATCTTCAGCATGCTCTCGCCATTACCAAAATTGAAATAAAACGTCGAGAGATAAAGGCCACGGCACCCTTTCAATTCGACAAGAAGGACATGAGAATCATCAAACTAGAGTCCTGCGTCAATGAAGCTCAAGAAGCAGAGATCAAAGCTGCCGAGGCTGCATATGAGGAATGTAAGCGACATCTTGAGATTGTGAGAAATCTTGACTGTAAGGATCTGGAGACGAAGCGCGAGGAGTGCGCTAAACTTGAGAAGGATCTTGGGGTAAGAAGGGAGCAAGTATATGATGCTAAGAAAAGGCAGTTGGAGTATCTGGTGAACATCTGCTATGCCGAGGATGACTGAGAGGAGTAAGGATATTTAGTTGCAAATTCTATATTGAGCGACTCTGAATACCGTTTGTCGGATATGATACTGTTTGTGAGAAAAAGTGATTGCGACGTCGAAATTTGTGTAGACGAATCGGTCTGCTGATCGCCAGAAGCTCTTGTCTAAAACGAGACCCTTCTCCAGCCCTTAAAGTGAAAGTGAAGGTAAAACTAACCCCGAAGGAATATCTGGAATTACCATTCTCATTTTCAAGCGCTGCAAACACCGCTGACACAGTTCGAGGGCTTCTGGCACGGGACACTTGAGCTGCAAGACCATCCTTGGCATCTAGTGGGACTAATTAGCATCGCAACATGTCATTCTTCATGAGATTGCTTACCCCCAGTTGCAAGCCTTGTCGCTGCAGACACCATCAGGGGAGAGACAGGTGAGACCGCTGTTGCACAACTTGGTCTGGCCATCACACTTGGCTCCCAACCCACCAGTGCTTGAACCATCGCCAGAACCGCCTCCAGAACCACCGGAGGTAGGGGGCCAGGATGCACCTGGTGCAGCGTACTGTGTGTTGACCCTACCTGTGAGCTCCCACTGAACTCCCTTGATGACATTGTTCTTGTCCCCATTGGGGTTGCCATGGATGTTGGAGTAGGCATCAATCATGATGTCGATGGATGCGGGCGTCTATATAGACATATCAGTAGTGTTTCTGCCAAGTAACTCGGGCGACCTACTCTGACCCATGCATCATCGAAAGAATCGCCAATGTACATAAGCTGACTCTTCCCAGTCGTAGGGTCAGTGACCTTGGCCTCCAGGCCACAGTACTTTCTAGTCTGCTGTCTCCAGGCATCGGGGTTGGAGTTGTACGTAGCACCGCCCATTGCCTTCAGAGACTGTGAAATCATAAGTAGGCGTTCAAGAAGAAAATGAGTTCAGAAATGGCTTACGGGAGCAAACACAGGATCGGAGTTGTAGTACTTGTAGCCGCACCAGCTTTGTCCATTGGTTGAGTCCTGGCCAGTGGAAGCGCGGTACCATGAGCCGATGCCGGACTGAGGACCGGAAAAGAAGCCAGAAGGGACATTGACGTTGTAAATATCTGCGACTACTGGTGTCGCGATGGCTCCGACCATCATTGAAAGTGTAATGAGGGATGGCATGATGGATGAAGTTTAGAGGGGTCGGATGATTCTGCGATGGTAGAGAGGGTGATTGATGATAATCAAGTTGCCCTTCCGGGTTTACTCATAGAGACTTCCCAGCCTTTTAATCCATATCATAGCAACCGACCGAGCGTTCGGGAGCGATAACAGTTCTCTCGTGTTCATGGCAGATTATGCGCTAGCTAGAGTCTATTGCCGAATATGAAACTCCGTACCTGGCTCAGCTGCCGAGAGTGGATTCGTACACCCAATGGCTGGCCCTTACTAGGTCTCGCCACAAAAGATCGTCTAATACCTTCCCATTGTCGTCGCCGGTTCATCCGGTCTCTATTGCCGTGCCAGAATGAGCAGGTCGTAAATGTAAGAAGGTCGTTACTTGCAATCTTTTGGATGAAATGCAAAGGTTTCATGCATATAGTGAGGGATCGACATGGTCTAGGCGATTGCGGTGGCCAATAACAGTCATTGACTATCCAACATAATTGGGGTACTATCTGCAAAGGTGATCAGCTGAACTTGCGGGCATAACCGAGGACACCTTCATCGACAGTTTCTGGTCTCATGTCCCTATGAACGATCCTTAAAGAGATATTTTAGCATAGCATTATTGCAATCCGAGTTAGCAATGCGTAAATTGCCCGCTACCTTCCTAATCACGATTGGTTGGTGTCGGCTACGACGGCAGTCTTCTGGGCCGAGCCTGATTTTCTTCCACTTTGACATTTGGGGCCCGTGATGCCTCGGAAGCGGGATGCGTTGAGTGAAAGAAAAGAGATGTTGTTGCTGAAATTGCAAAGGATAAATACTCATCGTAGATATGTTTTTGGTCCCTAAATGTTCTAGTATCAACGTGGTTTGTGCCATGTCTGTCACTATTGATGATTGTGTTCACCAAGCACTGTATGCTCCAGATTGCTGGAAGTCCCCCTCCTTCAATATCCTTGATGTCACCTTAAGTCAGCTGCGATGTTGCATATATACACCATATAGCCTGAATACAGGACGACCATCTCACCCTCCAAAAATATAAATACTGCCCTTATCCTCTGCTAAAGAATCACCCAAGATCATTATCACGGATCACTTATCTAATTATTTCTCCTACCCCCAAATCAATCCGAACCATGAAGGGCATTTTTACCACGCTGTGTCTATGCCTCACTCACCTTGGTCAATTGACCGAGGCCAAGTCCAATTCTTGGTCTGGCACCAACAACTACTTCCTACAAGGAATGTCAGACTCCGCTCAGGATGCTTACATCCAGACCTTGTCCTCCTACAACACTAAAGTTGTCAGACTATGGGTCAATCAAGCTACCAAGGGCTGCCAGAAAGGAAGCCAGATCGTTAGGGATATCCCGCAGTTGGAGACTACTATCGGGCAGTATAACAAGGTGACTTTGGATGAGATTCATAAGCTTCTTGTCAAGTTGTCGAACAAGAATATCAAGGCTATCATCTCTCCCCATGACGCAAACTCTTTGATTGGAGATTACAGAAAGTAAGTGATGTCTATCTCCACATGCTGAAGACTCTCAGCCTCTGACATTTCCCAGAGACGCCTATTGGGCCCGTTGGGGCGCTGGGTATTTCTACGAGAAACAGGATGCTTTTGATGCATACGACGCTCGCCTGTCGTACATCCTTAACTACAAGGGTGCATATTCCGGCAAAGTCTGGAAGAACTGGCCTCAAGCCATCTTCAGCTTCAACCTTCAGGTATGAACAAACACTAAGCCACCGCATCAGCTTTGACTTCGCTAATAAAGTCTTTAGAATGAACCCATGACTCCTGGGCCCAGCAACTGTAAGAACGGCGACCCTGCAGGCTGGGCATGCGGTCGTGCTACCTTCATGCGCAACGCAGCATTGGACAGCCATATCCTGATTTCCACCGGCGGTCTGGGCGGTGATATTTCCCATGGCTGCAACTTTCTCTCCGCTGTGACGCAGTGCAAGGCCATCGATGCTATTTCCGTCCACCGCTATGCAAGCGTTCCCGGCCAGTGGAGCGCCAATCTTCCCAGCTGGCTAAGCCAGGCCAATGGTAAGAAGGTCTATCTCGAGGAATGGGGAGTCGACTCGCAAAAGTACGATCAGAAGTCGTCATTCATTTCGGAGGTGAATAACATGAACTCTGTTGGCCTGCCTAACATGTACTGGCAGCTTCTTCCCCCGTCATCTGGAGGCTGCAGTTATGACCCTAAGAATGATGGCGGTGATCCTTTTGGTATCTATACTAACTCCGGGGTCAACTTGGCGGGCCCGATAAATAGTGCGACTTCATCGGGAGCTGCTCAAGACTGGACTGGTAGTATGTACTAAATGTCTGGCCATCCAGTACTGACTGTTGGGTGTGGATTTACAGCACGCATATTCATTGGGACTTACGCTCTACTAGGAAGAGTGGAGAGTCATTAGGTTACTGTAATTCAAGGCAAGAAATGACAAGAGTTTATCATCGTGTTTCTTGCGATTGACTAGAGATCTGCCGAAGCATCCATGCGCGATAGCCAATTCGGGAGACCCATTGTCAATCATCAGCTTACACTTTACAAGTAACAATTAAAGTCATGGTAATCTTTTATTCGATTTAATGGTAGGGGCTATTCAATTTGTATGAACCAGTAGCCTAGACTCTATTGTCTGTTACAGTCTATAAAAGAACATGGACATATCTACTTACCTCGAGAACCTTACCAACCTCAAATAGCTGCGCCAGAGCCCCCTATAATCTACTGAGACAAAATTCTCACTAGGTCTTGGGGCTTCAACCGAAACATCCGTCTAAGCACTCAGGGCATCCTCAAAGTCGGTCTGCGGAGCATCCGGTTCTGTATACTGCTTCAGAAACTCGAGTCTCTTTATAGTCTTGACAGGCAGTCGCTCATCTTCAGCTACGGCTTCTCGCCTAAATAGACGTCGAGCATACCAATCCATACGACGTGTATAGTGTCCATTATTCAGAGTCATGCGCGGCCGACCTCTCTGATGATATAACTCTTGGTATCTGTTTTTGACCATCTGTTCCTGCGCTTTCAGCTTCTCATTCTCTCGAATGTTCTCTAGAAGGCATGCTAACCAATGCTCGGGGATGAGTTGGATGCCTGCGTGATGGGCGAGGGTTGAGATCTCCTGTTCTGTTAGGAGGAGAGAGCCTCCTGCTCGAATAGCATCTGCTTCCTGGATGATCTCAGACTGTAGGAGCATCAGGTGGTCGATCTGCTTGCCGATTGATTCCTTGAACTCTCGGTTTGCTCTGTCTACCTTGACGCGGAGCTTGTAGACCTTAGAGAGATCTCCTGCGAAGGTGGAGGCGCGTTGGTTGTAGTCTTGTCGCAGTTTGGACATGGACTTGTTGCTTCGGAATGGCAAGGATTGGTTAGACATTTTGGTAGTGGTTTGATTGTTTGATGGCAGGAGGTCTTACGTAGGTCGGACGATGTGATTGCACGTTGAAGTTGGTTGATATGAGCGAAACAGGATGAAGACTGGGACTGGAGGTTAATAGATCAGGGTTCAGTACGAAGGTCTTTCGATATTTATACAAGAGCGATAAATGATCTCCACGTCGAAGTTCAATTGAATCCTAGGGAATATTGAACAGAATGGCTGTTCAGTGCTTTATTACGCAGGTTTATCTCAAGGAATCTCGAACAGGCGTTTGCAAAGAGCTTCGACAGACAGCGAGATTGTCCAGAACAGTCCAGCATTACAGCTGCCATTCAGGGCATTTCAGCCGAAGCAGCACTATAGAGTCCACTATAGGGCGCTACCCACTGAGTGACCAGTACAGGGGGATACGCCCATCACCAACTTAAGCTGTTCAATTGCGCGTATGTGCCAACTTGTTGCCTCGCGACGCAAAAGGCTTGGAATCCGGACTTCAAGCAATAAAACATTTTAAGTAATTTCAGTATGAACTCTTAGGGTTCACGCCGATTTTTGTTCTCCATGGGACATACTATCATCACAGCCATTTTCTCTCATGGGATCCAAGCTAGCCAACCTCTCCTCATACGCACCCATGAAATCTTCACATGACCTCTTCAGCTGCACATTAGGAAACGACGGCGCGTCAAACTCCAAAATCTCATCAATGTCCCTCGTAAGCTTCTCAATATCATTAACAGCAGCGATCATTCTCTTTGTCGCAATACCCAGAATATCCATTTTGTTGAGAGCCACCACAGCCTGTCTGTACCCAACTTCGAGCTTTTGTTTGTGTTTCGGTGTGGCTTCTGGCATATGCGCACTGCAGCTCGTCAGTCGAGTCCACGATGCATCCTTCGGTGGTCTTACATTACCAGGAGGAACAGTTTGAGACATGTCACCTGCATCCGCAGATCTGGCATGAGATCGGCTGGATCTTGGTTCAAAAGTGTCGTAAGCGTCGCGGGTGACATCGGCTGAGGCGGGGATATGCTTGTTAGCTTCAGCTTCTTGCTCAAGCTTGTGCTTGGGGAAGAGGGGGTCGATGCCCTCTTTCGAGATGAAGCGAGTGTCGACATGGCACGAATGCAGACGGCGGGTGAGTCAGTTTGCTCAATGGAGTATTAGATCCTTACTTATAACTCATCTTCTTAACCCGTTTTGATCTCATGGCTGGCGGTTACACGAGTAGGCTATCTCGATACCCTGCGAACCTGTTTTGCGCGTCGTGGAGAAAACTTCAATCTGAAGTAAGTCATACTAGTGAGATATGGATGGTCCACTGCAATAAGCCGTTTACGGGCCGCAGTTCCAAAGCTTTTCGGAGCGAATGGCTGCGTATCATTGGAGGGGATTAACGGGCGCCAACGGTGCTAAGTAAGCATAACGCTGTAGAAACGAGACACTGGGTGGACTCTCCAACCTCGTGGCACTGAGCACTACATCATAGCTGGTACAGAAAGTGAGACTTGTGTCGCGTGAAATTACATCAGCTCGGTTCTGTGCATCTCTCGGCGAGTAACACGCCCTCCAACTGGGCACTGGACTGCGTGCTGTCACTGCATATGCAGCTACAATGAGACAGTGCAGCGTTGTCACGTTTTCTCCACGAGACATGGATTCATAAAGGTGATGAGATATGTCTCAGATGCTCGATCAGCGGATGCACTTTTCGTCGCACTGGACCGAGTGCCTCTTTATGGGCGGACCGGCTAGGGACGGGTAACCAGTCACCAATAAAAACATCAACCCTCACCGAATCAACCCAGACATGCATCGAACTATTGCATTCAGTGAATTCTTTTCTTGTAGCCCTCGACGAATGACCGACGCAGATGCTCCGCCCACCAGCCAGAATACCAGCCAAATCACAGTGTGTAAACCTCCGAGAAGAGAGACACCACGGGAACTTGGAATATGAGCGCAGGAAAAAGTTCGCAGGGCGGGGCTCTACGACACAGCTGAAATGCGTGACAAGGGTTTCTGCATCTGAGTAGCCAGTTTTTCCGGTGGAAGCAGCGTGGCTGGCTGGTCAGTGGCGGTGAGGACATGTGGCTGGACTGGGGTTGCTCGGAATCACGAGTTGCCGATGCAGATGGGTTACACAAGACCCATTCTTTTCTTAACAATGCGCCCGGTGACGAGGACATAGGGGAGAAGAGAAAACAACATGTGGTCGCGGTGAATTATGCTTATCTCTTACGATGAGAGTAACAGTAGAAATCTTTGCGCATGAGGGGAAAAAGCAAATCTGAAAATTTGAATGCATGATGCCGCCGCCTGGTATAATGAGGCAATACTTTATGAGCAACATGTTACATGTGCTGATGGGCTGAATCAGAGCGGAGGGTTCGAAATACGTCAGTGCGTCATTAAAGCATCGCCTTCGCAATCGTGACTGAGCTGTGACAACTACAATAAGGTATCATAAGACGTATCTATAGTCTAGCAACAATACGATTGGTAATGAATCTTTACAGACGTGATGCAATAAACTGTTGAAATCAGTTTTTTACATCTGAGATTCTGGCTTTAAAGACTTTCCAATCTCTCTTATCCGACATGTTAGCTATAGTATATAACTAAGAATAAGATAGTTTATATGTCACAAGAAAGTACTCTATAACACTTCAAACAATGATGTCACTTCTAATTTATTATATTAATCTCCTACAGCCTTCAACTGATATAGTGAAAATTCATATTGACTGATGCCATTCAGTAAAATGTAACCTTGTTGAGAAAGCTTCTGATTCACCAGCCATGGCTCTAATGCTCTCCATCTTGACAAGTCTCAACAGCGATTCACCTATGCGTAATAGTATAAATACTCTTACTTACAGTTATTTTTCTACTGTCTCACTTTACCTTACACTCAATACATTGATTGATTTTTACACAGTGAAAGCAGGATACTATATCAAATGGCTAATAACGAATCAGCCCCGGCCCATCCTGCTCGAGCAAGATGGCAGGTCGCATTGGCCGAACACACAAAATACGAAGGTTTTCGCAACAGAATACGCAGTTTCCTCTTCAATCTAAACACCATGATACAATCCTTGGAAACCAACTCCCGCAATGCAGGCCCTGATACGGATCTAGGCCGAAACATGGCAGCGTTGAGTCAAGAGATGTATGTCAAGACACGAGAGATGGACAGAGCTGTCGCAGAGCTCAATAATATATATACTCAAGTTGATCTTAGAAAGCCGATTATAGAGGCGTTTCTTGGTTTGGAAGTGGATCTGCCCGGGGCAACGTGCCGGAAACAGTGATGGCGTTGCGATATCTGGCGCGGTTTGAGCTTGGAAATGCAAGTTTGAAACATATGTGGGATGGCTTGATGGCTTGCTCGAGACGAGCACATGCGTTGGCGAACGTTACGAGGAGGTAAGTTCCTCGAATGCAGTCGTTGTTCATGTGCAAGGACGCGTGAAATTCTGCGTTAGAAGCAGTATAGTACGATTAATTATTATATAGATAGAATAACATGTAGACATCTTGACTCCAGCTTCTAAACTCGGACTAATACTTGAAACCACCCATCCTCTCTCTCAAAACACCCTCCGGATCAGCCTCCCGCTGCAACGCCTTAAACTTGGCGTAATCCTTATAAGTCCCCGTGACATTCTGATCAAACATAGCATCATTCATAAACAGCGGCAGATACTCATCAACATCCCCTCCATTCCTCTCAATCCACTCCGGAAGCTTATCCTCAATATAAGCCGTCAAGTCCTTTGAGAACTGACGAACAGTATCGTCGTAGCGCTTCTCAACCCACGCGCACTGGATTTCGAGAAGGACGCGGTCAGGGTCGTCGGCGGTGAAGCCGATGGCGTTTCCGCCGCGTTCTTCGGTGTGTTTGCCGATTGAGGAGGGGAGGGGTTGGAAGTCGACGGAGCATTGGGAGGCGAGACCGCGGAGGTTTTTGAAGTAGCTGCTTGTGATGGAGACGAACTTGTCGGTGATTTCGGCGTATACGGTTGAGTCTTTGGGGAAGTAGGGAATAGTGGCGGTCTTGGATGTCAGCTGAGAGGGCTACTCGCTGGGAGAGAGAACCTACTCTGAATGAGATACGGGAGTTCAAGAGTGAAACTCCAGCGCCGTTGGACTTGAGCTGTTACACTGTTAGTATTGTCACATCCCAGGAAGATATGACTTGGCTTACCAGATCAGGATAAGACTGTGTCTTTGTGGTAGAAAGCGTCGACTTGATCTTCAACAAATCGGCAAAGGCTCCAGTAGTAGGAGGCTTCTCGCCTTGATAGAAGTAGAACAGAAGGTTAATTCTGCTGCTGCCCGTGAGAATGAGACTGGTAACAATGATAGCGGCCTTGGGGTCCTCGTTGCTGTAGGGGATGAACTCGTGCATTGCTTTGTAGAGCTCGTCGGTCTTGTTCTCATCGTAGGTGCGAATACCGCCCCAGACTTTTCCGATGGGGTAAGCTTTGACGGTGAATTGAGTTACGATGCCAAACTGGCTTCCGCTGCCCCTCAATGCAACGGCAAGTTCGGGCTGAGTCTTGGCGTCGACGTTGATAATTGTGCCGTTCCAGTTGACCATTTCCCAGGAGACAACGTTCTGCACAAGGTTAGCAAGAGTCATTATGGTTGCATGACAGATCATACATCAGCAGCCAAGCCGTATTGAGCGCTTAGAAAAGAGATGCCACCTTGTGTAAGCAAACCTCCAACACCAACCAATCCTAAAGAGAAGTTAGTAGTGCACCACCCAACGATCCCCAGAAGACATACCAAGACGACCGCCAACGATTGCAACGCCCTCCTTATTAAGCTGCGAAATAACATCATTCCACTCTCCACCAGGCTTGACATACGCAACTTTCTTATCAGCATCATAAGTAGCGCCAACCATCTCATTCAACGAAATCAAAACTCCATCGCCAGCAGTAGCATGAGTAGGATTAGGATCATGTCCTCCACTCTTAGCTGCAAACTTGACGTCAGGATACTTGTTCAAGATCGTAACAGCCTTTGAAACATCTTCAGCCGACTTGGCAGTGACAACACAAGCAGGCTTAATCTCCCGTAAAGCCGTAGACCAATACCCCGAGGATTGACTGTTATAGTTGATAGTAAACGGCTGTGAGACACGACCCGGAATAGCTTTTGAGATTTCTTCACAAGCTTTTTTTGTTGAAGCGCTTGGAGCCGCGAGGGCTGAAGCGAAGAGGGAGGATAGAAGAAGGGAATTAAGATGCATTATGGCGGTAGGGAATGAATTATAGCTTGCAATGGGTCAAGTGAGTGAGACATGGCGGGAGTTAAATAGAGAAGAAACGAAACAAATGGGTCACGGCAGTGTCGCACAGACGGCAGTGTCAATCATATCATACAGCTGCCAGATGAGCCCTTGGCACACTCGTATCGAGAGCTTTGGTCACATGCTTGCGGGGCAGAAACGATATTAATGGTTGACTTTTGGCGGTGATGGCTGAAGATGGGTTTGCTTTTGTCTAGTCATAGAAAGGACCTCGCCATCTCAGGGCTGTTGCATTGGTAATTCTGAACAGCTGAAGCCATCCTACTTCATATCAGAACCATAACGCGAAGATTTACTTCAGCATCTACCATCAAAAATGCTTAATACCCTCGGGACCGTTTTAGCTCCCTTCAACGGCTGTGGAGAAGAAACAATTCCCCAGTGGATCTAAACTTTCTTCTTCCTCGACATTCACAATTTCCATGACTGCTCAATACAACAACATACCCCTGCATGAATCCCCAAAAGAGCTAGCGCTTCGTCGCGCGCGAGTCAGGACGAACATCATTTGGCGGATTGGCCTAGATTGCGAGATGCTTTTGGCCAATCGCTAAATAACCAACTGGATTTACCTGTCAGTGCGTAATGTGGGAGAGACGGGGACCTGAAACGTTTTAGTTCGGCGGTCGCGAGGGCTATTGCTGAGCGGAGAAGGGGACTAAAAATACAGAGTGCGTTGGTGCTGTGGATGGGGTCAAGCTTGCGAAGCCGGGGGGTCAGAAAACTTAGGGCGTTGAGCCTAAACGACAAAAACATCAAAGCAATTTAGGCTAAGTTCTGGTGATGCTTTGCCGAGTTTATTTTGACAAGCTCTTAACTTTTCTTGCTGCTTGGGGCAGAGTTATTCGGGAAGCTAGGCTCTGAATTGATAAGATGGACGGGGCTGACCAAAGACCTGAAGTCGATTGACAATACGGCACGTGCTCTCATTTCGAGATTCAGTACTTCAGGAATTGTTTTTGTTCTCTCAAATGAACTGTAGCAATGGCATATCTAAGCTTAGGCAACGAGTTCGGTTATAAAAGCTGCGAAATATAAAAGACAAAAGAAGGAGTTGTAGTCAATAGCTTTTAGAGGCTCAAGCAATATTTACTGCATTATCAGCTGGGATGTCTTGCATGCGGAAGTTCCCGTCAGATAAACGACTGAGATTGATTACGTTCCCGTCGGCAAGTTCCATCCATGACAGGAAGCCCAAAGTCAATTGCTCGGACTTCGTGAAACTAAGTAAACGAAAAAGCATGTTTCGCTTTGTAGTAGCTGCGGTTGTATTTCATCGGTGGCTATGAAAGACAACCCAGCATTTCGTTTTTATTACTTGGCCAAAGAGAGCGAAAAGAGAGGAGCTTTGAATGCATGCTTGGGGCGCACGGGCTCTAGTCATGGGATGTTAAGAGGTACATGCTTACGTGCGCTACTACAGTGGTTGAAGAAGTATCCCCCATCAGGTCACTTGGAATACCCTGTATACCGACGAACTGATCCTCTTCAACCTTGAATTATTGCATTAAAACTGTCCTTCATTTATTCTACAATTGAGAATATTCTCATTTGAAGTACTAATAGTTTTTGCAATCCATTTAGCCAGCAGCCGCACTGATATTACCACGTGTGAATAGAGTCTCACCGAGCTACCTGAGCTTAAATTGATGTCAACACCCAGATTTCTAAGGTGATGATCCTTTGATGAAGCGCTGTGCTCACTAAGGCAACTCCAATCACACAAACTCGGAAAAAGAACCACCATGTCAATCTATTCCAGCTGAATCAGACACCGTCCTCCTTTTGGCGCCAAAAGAAAGTACGCTCGCAGCTCCATATCCTCTTCCGACATGCCCTCAATGGAAGAAACCCTAGCATTTGGAAATGCGCGGAAGAATCTCGCCGTGGCCAAGCGAAGCTCCATACGCGCAAGATGCTTCCCGATACAGACTTCACAAACATTAGCGCTTACTGAAAAGAATTGTAGGGAAGACACGTACCTCTTGAGCCTCCGCCGAATGGCATGACGGCATCGTGCATTATCTTGCTACCCTTCTCCCAACGTGACGGGTCCCAGGTTTCTGGGTCCGGGAATACCTGCGGATCGCGATGCAAGGTCCAGGCTTGCGTTGAAACGACAGTATCACCTGGGATGAAGTGGCCTGCAAGGTGAGCGCCCCCAGTGGGCACGACTCGAGGAAGAGCTGCAGGGACTGCTGCGTAGAGACGAAGCGTTTCATCGATGACGTTGGTCAGATACGGAAGATCGCGCAAGTCATTGTGGCCAAAATCATCGGTTAGTTCCATAAGCTCTTTGACCAACTTCTGCCGCACATCGGCATGACGACAGACGGAGTATATAAGGTACGTCAACGTCGTCGCGGTAGTATCTGAGCCAGCGACGATGTACGCCTGCGCCTCAGCACGAATCTCGTCATCGGATAGACCATCTCCACCGGCTTCAAACAGCTTCCTGAACAACATAGGTTTGGCTGCCGCAGGATTGTTTGCGTAATCTCTCTTGTAGCGTGCAACTGCCTCGGCGGAGTAGTCCTTGATGCGTTGTGCGGCAGCAACGGTCTCTTTGAAGACGGGCAGGGGGAGCTTGGTCGCGAGGGATATAAGGGTAGGGAATGTCGATCGAATGGAGCCTTTGGCTGCTAGACCTTCCAGGTCTTTGATGTACTGGTTTTTCTAGTCATATGAGTTAGCAAAGACAACAGACACGTCAAGTTGCTACTCACTTTACCGTGTTCCAGTATGCCGAAAGACTCCCCGAAGCTGAGTTCAACGATGATATCCGTGGCCATAAAGAGCCAGAACTTTGCTACATCCGCTGCTCCACGCTCATCCATCTCACGCTTCATACTGGCAATTGCCATCTTGACATAAGCGTCAACTGTTGGTTCCACAGCCTTGAGCGATGATTCAGAAAGGGGAGAGGACAGTAGGCGTCGATGATGACGGTGGAACTCTACATCAAGGGTGTTGAAGAGGTTGTTTGTGTTGGGAATGAGATTCTTGTAGAATGGCGCTTTTCTGTAGCCGTCTTTGACGCGATGGATCTCATTGACTGCTGTCATGTCGGAAATGTCAACCTCGTGAGGGCCTATTCGCACCACTGGGCCTGTGACAAGTTAGCGGCAGGCTGTCTTGGGCAGATTGGAACGAACCATATCGCTGATGAAGCGTGTGGACGTATTGGGCTCGTGTGCCCTTTAGCCAGTGATACGTCGCTATCAGGTCCGAGCAGCAGGTTATCCATGGGCCTGTGCGAAAATGTTAGTGTAGGTAGGTTGACTGAAGAGAAGGATAGCATACCTGGTAAACGCGAAAGCGGATTGAAGAGAACAGTAGTTGCCTACAACTTGTTAGAGTAATAGAGGCAGGAGAAACATCTCACTCACGTTGTAGAGGAAGAATAGAACAAAGAGAAGTAGCAGCCAATGACCAGGTGCTTCTAAGCTCAGATAACCGCCTTGGAGCAGAGAGTCCATGCTTGAGAATTGAAGTTCTTGGTGTTTTGGTGTACTCACATGAAGTGTAACATCTTGAGCTTATATACAAGTAAACTCTCCGTCAAATTTGACCATATATCGGCCGCAAATACCCTCCGCTCCGACCTTTAGACAGGACTGGCTGGGATACTTGCTGTCGAGGATGGAAGGAGATTAACCACTTGAGAAAGAGGGGAGGCCATCATTGGCTCAAAGGCCCCGCTTTGCCGGACAACTGAAAGTCCGGGCTAATACCGAAGCGCGATATGTCGGAGGTCTGAGAAGGAGAATGCCGTTATGGGGTAACTTATATCAAATCTGAGATGGCAGTATTGACCAACGAATTCTAAGGTAAATGCCCATATGCGGCTTAGGTGACATTGCAAGATGGATTGGCGGCATTTGTGCCCAACAAAATATCCGACCGTCATTGTCCATGAGTTCATTTCAACGACTAGATACAAAATCTCTGCGTATCCAATTCCGTTGATAACCTAAACTACAACCCCTCCCTGCACAGAATGCTCCTCAAAACCTCCCCCAACTTCTGCTCACAGTTCGCAGGCTTGCCAACAGATCTCCACGCGACAAATCGATCTGGCCGGACGAGAACACATCCACTATCGCTAACACCCCTCTTCTCATACCAACGCCTATAAACATCAATATACTCCTGACCCGGCCCAATGCCAAAGACATTGATTGGGATGCCCGTCGCAGTCGTGATGGCCTCAGCTGCGCTTCTCCAAGCACTACCATCCACGCCAACCAATAAACAAAAGGACCCTTTTCCAGCCAAATTCAGCGTCGACATCATGCCCAGTCGGTTTGGTTTGTCAATCCATGCGTGAGGCAATCTACTACCAGGATAGGCACTGATCTGGACCTCCACGACTGGATCACCTTGCAGTTCTGGTCTTGGGCTAGGCTCATCATCAAGGTACACGGCCTTGGATACATAGAAATGATTATGGGCCAAGCCAAGGCTCTCAAACTCTTGTTTCTTCTCTTCCAGCGCGGCATAGAGATCGGCACGGCGCGCTGAACCCTCCGGCGTCGCATGCGATAGTTGATCCACTTGCTTCGTGCCCTCGGCAGACGGGGCCATCATTCCAAATACACGGAACAGCTCTGCATTCTTTCGCATATGGTTGTTGCTCTCTCGAACAAGGTCGGCACCGACTGGCTGTCTCTCTTGACTATAGGACGCTAACAGGCCTGGTCCGGCCCAACCCTTCGACACGTAAGCCACTTTCCAAGCCAGGTTATACGCGTCTTGGATGCAAGTGTTGCTACCGAGGCCGAAAGTTGGAGGATGTCTGTGTGCTGCATCACCTAGCAGAAACAAATTTTGATCGTCCTTGGAGTATTTTTCCGCAACAGACTCACGCACAGTCCAAGCGTCGAGCGTCAAAATCTCAACATCAAGCGAATCATCTCCCACGAGCTGTCTGATCAAGTCCACCAGCTCGGGACTCTGAGCGCTCACACCCTCGAAGGGATTATCTCCTTGTGGACCAAACGCCACAAGCACCCACTCGTTCCAAGGCCGAACAGCTCGAAGATGGGCAACGATGCCAGGGAAAAGGGTACGTTCGGGCTGTATGATCCAGTGTATCCCACCGAGACGCGATTTCGTCAAGTGCCTTGCAAGGTCTGCACGAAACAAGACGTTGCAAGCCTTTGGGCCTGGGCTTTGAGTGAGGAACTTGAAGTCGAATTGACGCGCTATCTGACTGCGCGCCCCATCAGCTCCGAAGAGATACTTTGTGCGAACCTTGAACTCTTGCTTGATGATATGATCGTAGACAGTACAGACATAAGCGGGTTTGGCTGTCTGACTTGGGATGATCTCAACGTTGAGAATCTCAGTTGAAAACCGAATGTTGAAGCCATTATGAGATGCAAAGCGCAAAAGAAGAGGCTCCAAGTGGCGCTGTGACAAGTCGACGTATTCGCAAGGCGTTGTCTCTTTTCGTCTTCCCTATCACGAATCCTGTCAGCAAGGTACAGTCAATCGATTGCTTGACTTACTGAAGACGTAGGATTCTCTCCCATGAAGCGAGTCGTCCGTATTCTTCTCCAACGAAGCTCTGTGCAAAGCGTGGTGAAAGGATGAAAGGCTCGCGAATGGCCAGCCGAAGCAACTCGTCCTCCATATTGATATCCCGAAGACACTCCATTCGCGTCAGCAACATTCTAGGCTCATACGCATACCAGATCTTACCTAGCGCAAAAGGGTTGAACCCATGAGCTCGAGGCGTGTAAGCTGTATGCGGGTCCTTGGAAATGACGAGGCCTCTCATTCCTAAAACCCTTCATCAGCTTCCTTTGACGTCTATAGTGAGAAACCGTAAGACGTACCATTCTGACCCAAAAAAGATGCGAGGGCGGCGCCAGCAGGGCCTGCGCCCACGATCAGAATATCAGTATCAACAATAGCAGACATGGCAAATGGATGCGATCTCTTGACTGATGATCAACTACAAACTGTGAGCTGTATCTTCCTTTTTTATAACAGGTTTCGGCCGTTGGAAGAATACCGAGATTGAAACTTGATCTCATAGATTCATCTCGGGTTCGGACTTCGGACAAGTCTTGTACTTCCGGCCCACAGTGACTTGATTTACCCGGTTTCAGCCTCGGGAGGGGCCGTATAGTGGGAGATTGCCCAGAACGTCCTATTTAGGTTGACGGTTGCATTGCAGCTAAAGACGGTGTATCACATGGACGTGGAGCGCAGCTTAATGAAGGTAGGGCTAAATGAAAAGAATGACTAAACAGGCAGTAGCTCGAGTTGGCACTTCGTTGATTCCAAATGATAAGCCTTCGGCCCCTCCACGGATGGCTTGACCGTAAAGCTGTCCCAGTAAGCACACCAAAATGACTCGAGTTCGTTTTCTTCATAAGTCTTCCTGCTTCGAGGATCTCTGGTCCGCCAGCGATGCCTGATCTATAAGAGAGGACCCTTAAGCCTAAAGAATGAGGACATAGCTGCACAAACGTAAGCCTAAGACCCGACCTGGTTGTAAATGCCAATGCCAATACAGATCTTAGCGACGTATTCTAACCAATAATAGTGTATGCCACGTCATTGAGGAATCAAGAACTCATGTGGCTAATGTAGAAGACTCATGTGACATGGAATCGGGATGTAACCACACCTCTGGGCAGCTCCAAAGCTTTTTCGTAAAATGATTAATAATATGATTCACTTCTATTATCATGTTTACCGTTATTGAATTGACCTGCCCAAACATCCTGGACGTCACCCCGCGTCAACCAATCATGAAGAATCATCCTACACCAACATTCATACCAAGACCATCGTTGCTGCAATCCCCATTGCAGCCCAGAGGCTTAAAGCGCGTCTAGTGCCTGCACCACTACTCGAAGTCGTTGTCGATGAAGCTTCCCCAGTGACAGTAACCACACCATCGTCATTCGTGCGGGTAGTTTCGGCCGCCGATGTCGTTGCTTCTTCGACCTTTTCGGTTCCAGAGTCGCTCGTGGCCGTAGCCTCGATGGAAGCAGCAGTCTTGGCAGACAAAAGATACGACTGACCAGCAGTGACAGTGACAGGCGCCCAGCCAAAGTATCCATACCCAAAATAGAAGAACGCGTCAAACGTCGTACCGCCGTGTTTGATGTACGTCCCTGTGACCCCCCGACCGTCGCCGAAGGTGAACGAAGCATGATTGGTCGTAGTACAGACAATAGGCATCGTATAATCCATCTGGCATTCTATCGAGTACGAGTAACCTGTCTTTTCATCTTCGTTGACGTAGCCGTCTCTCCAGATACCAGTAGTGGCAGCTCCAGGCGCAGGTGTCTTATCGGCCCATGGACCGACGATGACGGTGTCCTTGGTCATATAACATTCATTCTCATCCCAGGTCCTTTTATGCTTGGGCTTTTCGCAGTCCAGTACGAATGTCGTGGCTGTTGGGTTTGCGCTGATGACTTCGGCGACGAGATTTGCAGCGCCGGTGTATTCCAGCATGAGCACGGAGGTGGTGATGGCTGAAGACATGGTGAAATGTGCTGTAGATAATCAATTTAGAGATGGACTAGAGTTGGATTCAAAGGTTAGAGGGCGATCATGGCATGTAAGGGTCTTTAAACAGTGGAACAGCTCGCTTGTACGGGAGTATCGGCCACTGTTTAATTAGCCAAGGTCTTGGCTGCAGTGCCAGACTCCACTTCCTTTTTGCTGGTGACATTCATATTTGGTGCTGACGGCCTGACGCACGAGAGCCTCTGGACGTTGTTATTGACATCATTGTGAATTACGGCTAAAGCGATTGCTTCCAATGGCCCTTATAGAATGGACTGAGACAACCTGAACTCTGTAAATATGTATCGACCAGCAAAGAGAGAAATACATCTCGTAAGATTAATGCTGTTGGTCTGCTCATATCCACTCAAAGTCGGCCCGCCAATAAGTCGCTTGCAGTTGTTGGTTGGCAACACTATTTGAGAGCGGAGTCTCTCGGGCATTTCCATTTGTGGCCGCAGTACGGAGTAGTCGGGAGCAAGACCGCAATGTGATGAGGTCGGGGAGCTTCCATAAAGTACACTCATTATATCGCCATCAGACACACAGCCCTTGAGCTCCCAGCTGAGTCTAGAGGCCTTGCTAGAGTAGAGAATGGTGTCAGTACAATGTACCTTATACCCTAGAAGGTAGTTGGGAGTCTGGATCGAGCGGAGCTGTCCGAACACCCCTTCGTCCCATGACGACGTACCTTGACAAAGGCTTGAACTGGTTCTCACCATCCCCATAGAGCTAAGAATACACCGCATCATTTACCTTAATAAACTCATCCACTTCGCAATCACCTTCCTCACAACAGATCATATGCACCTTCGGTCTCTCTTCCAAGGGGCGTGAGCGCCAGTCAAGCTTATCACGTATCTCGCGAACGAGGTCGTCATAATCGTGGTCTATATTTCGAAATGCCAAGTTGATTAGCTCGACGCAGCGCAATGTGGATGGCAAACAGGACAGGACGTCGACCAAGTCGTCAAGCTCTACCAGGAAGTTTGAGATGCCGAAGTGTTTAAGTCGCGGCCAGTGATCGATTGGAAATACTGCCCGCAGGGGAAATAGAGGCCTTTCGAGGTCTTCTGTAAGGATTTGTTGACATTCTGCGTCTTTAATCTGTGTAGATGCGCGTATAGATAAATATTCCATTCCTTTAGCGCGGGCTAAAGCATCTCTGAGCAGTCGTCTCTCATACGTTATCCAATCTTCATGCTCGATCAAACTTGTGAATAGATCGAGTTCGAGGTATCGGAACCCAGGGCGGCTCATTAGAGTGTAGAAGTGGTCGTATTCCGTGCAGGATTGATCAAAGATGCGACAATTCAACCCAGAGCTCATCTCATGGCCTCCAATCTTGAGCTCTTTGACCTGATTCTCACACTCGACCAAGGCTCGGCTGACGAGCTGGTAGCCTCGCCACTTCTCCTTGTATTTCTCATTGGTATAGTGGAAACCGTAAAACCACTGATACGGGGTATCGCCCTCCTCAGATTGCCATGGAAGCTCGTCAAACCATTCTCCACGATCATGCCATTCTGGGCGATTATCCATTGGAACGGTAGGCCATTGCTTTGGGAATGTGTAGTCGAATCCGGGAGGAAATGCCCTGATCATAGGAGTTCCGTATAGTGGTTGTCCAAGCCTCCCGTGAGTCGCCGGTGTGATGGTGATCCTTGTTAAGCTCGTGAAACGCTGCAGACCATACTTGAAGGCTTCAATGTCGGCATTGCTTGCCAGAACCTCCTTTTGGTCTTCCAACAACGACTTATAATAGCCCCAGCACTCTGAGAGTCCCGTATGATTATCAGCAACGGGCTTGTTGTAGGCGTAGTACGATTCAAGATCTGATTTACTGGAATATTTCTGAAACCAGCTCGGACACCCATTCTCAGTTACAGCCTTATCTAGCTCCGAACTGTTCCAGCCCGAGTCTATCCTGGATTCCCAGAGCTCCGGCCCAGTAGATAAACGAGCGTCATCCCAGATGATCTCATAAACTTGGTGGCGATAGGTGTCGTGGTTTGCGATCGCTTTGAAGACTTGGATATTGAGGGAATTTGCGGATATGAATACACGGTCGAAATGGAGTGGTACGGCCCTTGCCATTTCTGAGCATGTTTCACGCAGGGCCTTGATGTCGCTGCCCTTAAGATACCGAGAAATGGCATTAGTTAATTCTTGGGGAAGCCGTGGCAGAATGCACGGGATGTCTGGTGTTGACGGAGCCATTTTGGTTGGTTTGAGGGAAAATCTGAGATCAACGGATTGGGGACTGGCGCTGCTTATGAACGATCCACAATCAGACGGTGAGTGGTTTGTTGGTCGTGTAATCTCCAAGAATGGAGATCACCGAAGGCAACCAACAAGACCGTGCACATAACGGAGCCACTCTTTGGAAACAAGGTCGGAAACCGTTTCTGTTATGGCCGGGACCGAACTAACACTTTTCAGCGTGCATTATCTCACTAGCCTGTTATCTACAGGCGAGTCCGCAATGACACGAATGATGTAGAAATCGCTCCGCCTTGTTGAGATCAACAAGCTACCACTGGAGAATGCGCAACACGGCTTCAAGGATGAAGTTTAGTTAACATCATAAACCTTACCGCTGGATCACTAGAGATTAAGTGCTTGTCACGCTCTAAGTGTGATAAAAATGTGAAATCTTAGCGGTAGCTACACAGTCTCTTATTTATGCTTTAGGCATCATGTACCAAACTCAGAACGAAAAGTATCACCATGTTAACACTATCAAACTTTACAAAATGTGCTCAATAAGAAAGCTTCTTTATGATTATTCTCTTGACCTATTAAACGAAGCAGTAAAAAATTGAGTCTGCGTTTAAAAAGTTTGTTCATTTCACGAAACACATATTTAACGAACACGACTAGCTCTTTCTTCTTCTCAAGGCATGTTCTCTGAGTTCAAGGGCTATCCATCACAACAACCAAACTTTCATTCACTTACCGCAGACAAGAAATTCCAGCCATGAGTGACGACGTTATCACTGACGATTTCGACGTCGAGGTATTTCTCGACCTCTTGCACTGGTCGTGGGAGGATGCATATAATGGTATGTTTCGTGCCCGGTTATCTCAATTTCGCTCACATTTTCTTAGGTACGCGTGAGATTGAGCGCCCTGTGTCTCCCTTTTCGCAGCCGGTGAGTACCATCTCGGAGCCAGATGCTCCCCAAACAGAGCCTCAGATATCTCAACCTGATAGGGAAAGTTATGGGGAACAAAGTCTAAGCGTCGACTCTCAAGTCTGTTCCTCACACAAGGATCTTGGGCCGCTCGATATGGATGAGAGCTTTGCGACAAGACGTTCCGCCACTCCACCTGCATCCCCAAGTTCATGCTCACTTTCCAGCGGGCAATCATCACCTAGCACAGTCACTCATGATGATTCGCCGAGACCTCTGTCCTCGAACCTCAAGAGGTCGGCCGGCAGCGAAACCGATGCCCCAGTCCCCAAGAGGCTTCGCCGCCAGATTCGGAATGGTCTGATGTCTGTGACCGACGCACAGCTAAATTCCACAGCTGAGTCACCAAAGAACCGAAAAATCAGTTGTGACCAGGGTCTGGCACCATTCCGCCATGATCACGACTCGCATAACAGCTCTATTGCAGATCGCCTTGGTGAAGAGTCTGACGGCTCCTGTTCCGAGGACAGTAGCGAGAGACGTGAAAATCCTCCTGCAACGGAACCGAATGTTCCCTGGAAGAAATATCGCTGAATACGTGACTGTTTGCCAGAGAGACGGCTACCAAGTAGTCTCTTACTTTCCCGCGCAATCTCTACGAATAGAGTTCGGGGAACTGAACGAATAAAACCACGGACATGAGAACATTTACTCAAAGGCCATGTCGGGCGTCGTTTGGGGCGTGTTCACCTGTAACCTCTTGACAAGCATGTTCGCTCCAGCATGCCATGTGAACGCAAGTCCAACATATGAAGCATGACAGTGGACAAGAGCTTACAATGCGCTGCACCTCCCAAGTCTTTTGTTCGCGGTACACTGCTGATGAACATGGGGCTCTTGTGAAAGACCAGTTTGCCACTGGCACGAACAACTTCTTTTTCTGGTCTGAGCTTTGATCCAGCCACATACATCTTCCTGGCATTTTCAGCTCTTTCACAACATCATAAAAGGCTGTGTCTATCCTCCCGTTGAAGACATACTCTTAGGAAGCAGCACACTCATACAGTAGTCGCAACTGTCCTCAGAACTTCGCAAACTCTTACAAAGGCAGACAAAGAGGAAGCATTTCAGAGTCTCCAAATACCGCCTACTCAACCAGCAATGAACCAGTCTGACTCTACCAGGTCCAGACCTCGCATCAACAGAATGGATTATCTAAACAACCGCGTTACCGCCATTCGGAAGCGTTTGGCCCATGCTCAGGAACGAGTGGTTCTTGCTCAGGAAACTGTTGTTGTTCTTACTCAAGAGTTGGACGATATCATCCTGTCACGAGATTGGCTAGCAACTCACTCTCAGACTGGGGAAGATGTACAGCAGTACACCCAACTAGCAGAACAACCTGACCCTCTCCCAAGCAAGGCGTATCTCCTAGCAGATCCGGATGAAGACGACGCTATGAGCACCGAACTAGACTTTCGATTTGATCCAGTCGCAGGACTGCCCGTAGGCGACAAGGCTTTTTCGAAGAATTTTCTGCGCACCATGTTCTTCTCTGGTCAGAAATACCCCCTCCGACATTTCACTCTGCGCCACCCAAAAGCCGGCGCCTGTCCGATCAAACAGCGCTGTGAGCACTGGCAACTAGTAGAGGAAAATATTTCGCGAAGTAAATGGAAGTGGGACGTCGATATCCAGGTTACAGCTATCCGCGCTGACTTTGTGGCTAACGGAGATAGTGGCTACAGTGGCGTCATGTTTGATCAGGACGAAGTTGAGTCGGAGAAGATGCGCAATTTGCCTTGTCGGATTTTTGGTTATCTGCAGCCGGACTTTGGTGCCGTTGAGCAGAGAGGATATAAGGTTCTTGACTGGCATTTGCATGAGCCTGGTAGCGCGGGCTTCATGGGGGACAGGATTCATCGTCTTAAATTGATGGATCAGTTTGGGCGCCGATTCTTTGAGAACCCTTAGCAGGCATATCCATGAGAAGTACCGTGCTAACCAGAGACAGGAGGGTATGAATAGTTGATTGTATTGGTAGCCTAGCACATCGTTTTGAACAATTACACAGTCTTTACCGTAAACAAAATATTTCCTGGTAATGACTGACATGTCGTATACCCACTCTATTCCCGGAAGCCCGGATACCCGTGACCCCACTTTCGTATGACCCCCATTTGACAAGCATCAGCACATAATTCTCTTCCACGTAAATCCCCCATTCACCATGGAGCGACTAGTCTCAACACGTGTAAACACACGATCTTCGCTAGCTTGTCTCGAGTGTCGGACAAAGCATGTGAAATGCGATGCTAAACAGCCACGATGCGGTCGGTGCTTGGCGTATGACAAGGCGTGTCAGTATACGGCTTCGAGACGTGGTGGTCTTGATCGAGCTGCTTTGACTGAGAGACGGAGACGGCTGGCTAATAAGGCTGATGGGCAGTCGGATAAGTCTATGGCGGAGATTTCTTTGCCGATTTCTGCTGAAGGAGTTACTTTGGGCGATGAAGCTGTGACTGGGGCGGATTGCATGGAGGTTTTTGATGCGAGCTTACCTGTTCTAACGCCTGTACCAGAGAACTGCGAAACACCAAACTTCAGCCACGGTAGTCTCATCGATGATGCCCTGGTAAAGTCGTACTATACCAACTTTCACCACTTACATCCTTTCGCTCCCCCATACAAACACTTAGTTCAACTTTCCCAGACGTCAACTTTCAACTTCAATCCCCTCATAGCCTCCATGCGGCTAATCGGCCATATCTACGACACCCACCAATGGTCAGAATCACTAAGCAGAGCCGTCGAAGCTCAAATATCCCAGCTCAAACCATCAGATGCCGTTCAAGTCCAGGCTCGTTTACTATACTCAATCGCTTTGTTCTGGTACACCTTCAAAGCTGAAGCAAAAGAGCAGATGGATGCTGCAATCGATGTGGCCATGAAGTTAGAGATGCATAAGAAGGAGTTCGCTGCTACATGGGGCTTTGGAGATCCGATCATGGTGGAGTGCTGGAGACGGACGTGGTGGATGCTCTTTATCGTGGATGCCTCATACGCTGGGACACTGGGGACGATGAACTTCAAGACTTTACACGTCGAACCTACCGCAGAACTTCCTTGTGAAGACGCATATTATGAATCAGGTGTAAGTACCTCACCAAATTTTGGACGAAGAAACTCACACGTGATGGATAGATGATTCCTATACCGAAGACTTTACAGGACTTTGATTCTCGTGAATTCGATAGCGAAGACGTGGTATTCTCGTCCTTTGCCTATCTCATCGGTGCAACACGCTGTGCAGCACAAGTAATTTGCATGTCACCAAAACGCGCTACGAGGGAACACTCGGAGGCCATCATACAATCAGCTGATTCTGCATTCGACGCCTGGCTGCTACTACTCCCAAAGGACAAAAAGCCTGTACTGAAGGCAGATGGAACCATTGACGAGTTGATGTTTCAAGCTCACCTACTTATCCATGTGTATGTCCTTGATCGCAGAACAAGAGTTGAGCTAACTGTTTAGTGCGACTATTGGCGTACACAGACCATTATCGGATCTGAGATTCAATCCTGTTGAAAAGGTATCCAGTTGCGCTCGAGAACCACCAGCAGATACACCCAAGCCAGATCTCATCAACGTACACACAACGCGAATTCTCAAATCAGTCAATGCGCAGATTCAACTCTTAGCACTACCCGTCCGCCCATTCCATCACACCCCTTTCACAACATGCATGGTCAGCGAAGGAACGCTCGCCCTCCTCTCAGCATGTACATACATGCTCAAAGACCAAGCATTGGCAGTAGCGCGAGATCAGATACGCTTGACTATAGGATGTCTCAAGGCTGTAGGTAAAGTTTGGCCGAGAACGGCGAGGAATGTGAAAGAGATACAGACTATCGCTCGTCATGTTCTGGGGCTGGGGGGAAGTAGTGGGGACGTGGGGAGTACGCCGGGATCAACGCAGGTTCCGAGTTTGACGCAGAGTGAGGGAGAGGGGAGTATGGAGTCTCTTCCGACTATGGACCAGGATGATAATGTTTTTGCGTCTCTGGGGTCTTTTGAGGATATTTGTGGGTGGATTAATATGGGTGTTGAGCTGGATTCTAGCTGGATGGAGGGAAGTACAAGTTGAGCACTCACAATCTATTTAATCTCCACTCGTGGATGTCTCTTCTGTGTTACATTCTAGATACACTTTAAAACTCAATCGCGACCTTGTATCCCTTTCCGCGCTGCCTAGCATCCTCCCAAGCTTTAACAGCCTGCTCAAACGGAAACGTCTTCACGGCTAGTGGCTTAAGCACTCCCTCATCATACAACTTCGCCACCTGTCCCAGACGCTCCGCATTCGGCGAGACAATAAAGTACTTGTACTTCACGCCAGGTAGGGACAAGGACTCGGAGGGTTCATCACCACCAAAAGCCCAAGATGGTGCAGGATCGCCAATCGTGATGATCATGCCATCAGATTTGACCGTTTCCCACGTCTTGGCCAAAACCTCCCCGCCTACCGTATCAAAAACAACATCAACGCCCTTCACCGACTTCTCCCAGTTTGGGGTCTTGTAGTCGACGATTTCATCAGGTACGTCGCACAGTAAATGCTTATTCGTCTCAGATGCCAGCGCAATCACATGAGCACCCGTCAAGTGCTTAATAAGCTGCACAAACTGCTGCCCAACAGCCCCCGACGCGCCCGTAACAAGAACTCTAGTTCCAGTGTGAATATCGGCATAGTCTAGAACCTCCCACGCTGTCAGGGCTGGAATCGGCAGCGCAGCAGCTTCAGCGTGCGAAAGCGACGCTGGCTTCAGAGCAACCTCTTCGGGAGCACAGACAGCGTAATCTGCCTGCCCTTCACCTGTGTGCGCCGACAGAAACGCAAAAACTTCTTGGCCGATTTTTAGGGGGCCAGAGTAGTCTGGGCCAAAAGCGCTGATGACGCCGGAAATGTCGTGGCCGGGAATGCGGGTTGGCCGTCGATAGGTTTCGGGCCACATGATTTCATCGCCTGTGACTCCAGCAGCGTGAACACGGACCAGAATTTCAGACTTGACAGGTGCGGGTTTGTCCATGGAAAAGTTGATTGTGAGCTTTGGAGAGGACATGTCTCCGAGGATCTGAACGGATTTCATCTTGAAGTAGGGGAATTGGTTCCTGGGGGAAACAGTGCAATAATAGAATAGTGGATGATATTGCTAATATTTGTTCTTGTTTTCGACACTTTTTCCTGCCAAGAAGGAACTGTTTATATACTGATTGTCGTGTCAGGCAATTGCGTCCGGGATCCGGGGATAGAAGCGAATACCCGGATACCCGGGCGGGTCCGCACTTGACCATTGCCCGGCTTATTCATCGTCACCCGGAAGTCGGGAGGCCAACATACAAATCTCACATCAATATAAGTAGTTTACCGTGGTAGAGAACAGAATTTCATATTCTTCACCTCCTATCATCTCTCACTTCTGTGGCTTCCCCATCACATCGCTACAAACAAATAACATCTACTTCGTCAAAATGGCAGACAGTGTTGAGAACAAGCGGTAAGTTGAGCCGTTGCCTTATCCAAAAGTCTTCCTAACCCTTACCAGCAATCGCCCTCGCGAAAATGTCAAGATCCTCTACGACTACGAACTCACCAACGCACCCGGCAAGTCCATCGTCGGTCTCGAAGTCCACTACGGCCCTCTCGGGTGGACACCTCCACATACTCATTCCGGTGCCACTGTCGCCGCCACTGTGATCAAGGGCCAACTCCTCAGCGGAATGAACGGTAACCCGCCCAAGGTTTACAGCGCCGGGGAGAGCTTCAACGAGCTTCCTGGTTGTCATCACACCGTCAGCGACAATCCCAGTGAAACTGAGGACACAACTTTCATCGCTGTCATGGTGATTGATACTGAGATTGTTAAAAAGGGATATCAGAATCTGGTGGTTTTAGATAAGGAATGGCAGTAAATTTGAGATGGACACTCGGCTAGGGCTTATGGATGCTTAGTTGGTCTTGTACTAGCTCTCAGCTCTGCTAGGTACAAGGTCTCATAATCCTTCATAGATCATTTTTTACTTCTCTAAACTCCTCAAGCTTCAGCATTTCGTGAGGTCCAACATTCAACCTTCCTATTTCTCACAAACAACTCGTTTAGGGGCGCACTAGAACAAATATCATCCCATTTATTCAGGGTCCCGCCTAGTGAGAGCCTCTCAATCCAGTATCTCTTGGCAGGGGATATATTTCTAAAAGGTCTCGATTACCAGGCCCACTTCCTGGTCTGTTAGCACCTTACTTAGACTAAGGGATTTTTGCCGACTTTTCAGGCTGGGGGAGGTAAAGATATTTAGGATACTTATCCTAGAGAATAAAAAGATATAGGTAAATTTAATAAATCTTTAAACTAATTAATTTTAGCAAAGTAAGTTCATATTAGAACCCTAGGCCATGGTCTTTGATGGCTCCAGATGATAAAAAGCTTATCAAAACGAGATTAGATAACGAAACATGACGTCGTGGAATTGAAGTAACATAGCGTCCTTTCACTCGAGTTTTGTTTTTCAGCCACGCTGGCTCTACCTCGGTATCGCCGTTTATAAGTAGAATTGGATTGGTGGAAGACAAGGACCTCATGCTCTGTGCTAATTCCTATTCTGTACTATCTGTCTTAGGTCTTTGATAAAGGCGATAATCACTAATCGGTACCCTATACCTGCTACTATCATTGATGTAATATATTTGTATAAAATTCAGTTGAGCTATAAGTATTCTTATCATAGACTCTGCGTCACTGGATGTCAACTCAATATGTCTTTTAACCCCTGATTCTTCCAATGGTTTACACAGCATCCCGTTCGCGCCAGCCTAGGCGAATTGTATAGAATGAAGCTTGCCAAGCAAGTACCTGGTTAGCGACGAAAATGGCAACATAAGTGGTTAGGCTTTCGGATTTCTGATTCTGTACTACCGTTCGCTTTTGTCTGCAAGCACGTCATGTTATTCGCAGTATATCTCTAGAATAACTATAAAGGAATTCCTTTCATAGCTAACCAGCCCTTTGCCTCAGTAAGTCCCATCAGCGATGATAGACATATCTTCCCAAACGCATCAATGTCATCCTTCTGGGCATCCTGAAGTATGGTTTCTAAGAAATTCGGTCTATCACTCGTCAGTCAAAAACAAAATAAACAAGACTCAAAACCAGCTTACGCGCTGACATTTATCACAAAGTGCTTTTTATCTCGCCACGCCAGTGCAAAATCAACAGCATCTTGTGCATTCCACAAATGTGCAGACATGGTGACAGACCGATTCACAGCGATGTTTTTATTCTGGCCGCATCTATTACCTGACTCGCCTTTCATGAAGTAGTACGTCAGCATGAAGAAGTTTATCATGCCGAGGGTTCTTTTAGCTGATTCTTGGAAGATCCAATCTGTCCAGAAGGCTTGCGCTGCTGAAGCGGGAAAGAGAGGTATAGGATCTGAGGATTGACTTGCTGCTTCGTCGATTGCGATGTGAGGAATGAGCGCGTTGGATGCTTCTTCGAGATGAGGCATTGTGGCTTCGTAGATGGCGTAGGTTCGGGCGTCGTTGTCCAGTAGGCGGAGAATCTGATATATAAAGAGCGCTTGTGCGTATGCTAGAGTTTCCATTGAGGTAGTTGGTGGATCGCTGGCGAGGAGTTCCTGCACTCGGCTTTCCACATTGTCGCGGATGACTCTGGCATTGAGATGATTCTTTGCTGCATGGAGTGCCGCAGAGGATACGGCATCTGTTCTGAAGTGTTATGCTTGAACTATTAGTACATGGGATGAACTCACGTTGCATGCATTTTGGCATTCCATCATCGTATAGATGTGCATGACACCAAGGCGTCTGATTCTCGGAAACCATTTGAGACGGACCCTTCAATATTGCATCCATAGCATACTGAAGACGTGATGTAATAGCTCTTGTGACTTGGGGTATGGTGACAAGCTGAGACCGATTCAACGCGTGCTGAGCCGTGGTTGAGAGCCCTGGCGTAGACCAATTGGAAGTATCACAATCTAATGAACCTCGGAACAGCTGGTCTGTGAAATCGACCGTCTGTTCCAAAATCGAATCAAGCATTCCGAGACATGACGACGTAAGTGGACTGTCAATCTCCGACACTGGCATCACGGGCTGCATGCAGCTGGCGCTCTCGCGCAGGGGAGGCGCATACGGATAATGGCAGTGGATATTCCGCTGAGCGCAGCGCTCACACGTCGGACGCGCGAGATCGCATCTCCGACGTGCCTTTTTGCAGGCTTGACAGGACTTCCGTCGCGCTGGTGGGTCGTTGCGCTCCATGGGCGATGGGGTAGATGAATTCTGCTGGTTTGCGCAGAGATAAGTTGGTGGAAGTGCGCCGAGGGATCTGAAGAGCAGCGGAACTCCGCTGACATGACCCACAAAACGACGGAATAGCGCGCAGAGGAGGAGCTGTAATTTAGTCTACAGCAGCAATATATAAAGGAGACCAACAGCCTTCAATTGAAAGTAATACTATTAAGTGAAACTCTATTGAATACTCAGTTTATTACCATGTCTCTCCCAACCGTATACGTCGTCGCCGCCACAGGCACCCAAGGCTCAGCAGTATGTCGCCTCCACCGCCAATCAAACTGGTCCGTCCGCGCTACAGTGCGAAACACCGAGTCTCCCCAAGCCCAAGCCCTCGCTAAGATCGGCGTCGTCTTGAACCCTGGCGATTGGGACAATGAAGAAGCACTCACTGCCGGCTTGACAGGCTGCAACAAATTGTTCCTCGCTCTTGGACCCAACTACAGCAATCTCGATGATGAGCGCATCTGGGCTCAGAGGATCATTGCATTGGCTAAGAAAGCTGGCGTTGAGGATATCGTATACTCGAGCTCAATCAGCGCCGATGCTCCTGAGAGGCGCACGCTTCTTCCTCCAAGTCACTTGATCTTCAAGAGCCTATTTGTCAAGAATGTCATTGAAGGGCTTATTCAACGCGCTGGGTTTAAGCACTGGACTATCATCCGTCCCGGATTCTTCATGTCCAACCTCCTCGCCCCAAAAGCTCGTATCTACAGCGATTTATTCGAGCATAACACCTGGTTGACCGCTCTAAAGCCCGACACCAAGCTCAACCTCGTCGATCCTCAAGACATCGCCAAGTTTGCCTTCGCTGCGTTGAACGAGCCTGAAAGATTCCATGGAGAGGGAATTGACCTTGTCAGCGAGAGGTTAATGGCCGTGCAGATGATGCAGTTTCTGGCTTATGCCACTGGGCGAGATATCAAGGCTGAGTTCTACACTGATGAGCAAGTGGCGCAGGCTGTGGATACCAATCCGTTTATCGGATCGCAGGTGTTCTTGAGGGATGGTGAGAAATGCGTTGATGCTGAGAGGGTCAAGACGTGGGCAATTGAATTGGGTAGCTTCAAGGAGTTTTTGGTCCGCGAGAAGGATGCTGTGGCTGAGACATACGCCTCGTAGGGCAACCAACAGATTATTTCCAACGTCAAAACCCTTCGGGAGAAAAGATAACACAGGACGTTGGACCCTAAGCGGTGAAAATGTTTAGGTGAATCTAGTCTGAGTTGAGGGGACTATTCGTTAAAAATTGGTTGGGCACTATAGGAAGGACGACTCAGATCGCCATAACAATAGCTTCAGGCCCTACAGCATTTAAATTGAGATTATAAATAATACATCACGAGTGCGGGGAGAAAGAATGCTGGTTATGCTTGAAACCTTCGTAGATTGTGTTAAACTCGTACCTGTTACCCATTGGCATTGAGCATACGATGATATGGCTTAAAGGCGTCCAGCATTCTCATGGCTTCGGATGTGCTCAGGATTACCAACGTCAGGGCCCGAAATCTGTTGGTAGGTGGAATGAAAATACGGTTTTACAACGTAGGGATGAAATATTTCTCTTGGCACTTTTCAGTGGCTGACTGATTTTCCATCTCTCCCTTACAGGGAATTATGGCGGCTGAGACATCGGCCGCTCCTTATTTTCGTGCCTCAAATATTCCTCATAAGTCCTCTTTTTAAATTCTGTGTAACCCATGTCCCATCAGAAGCTGTATCGAAATCCACGATGAAGAGGCACATCCTTTTTGCGGTTCTTCTAAAAGGTGTAGCTGCCACCCCGGAGCAAGACCTTGCACCGAGAGAAGCAGACACATATTGTGTAACCTATCTTTCTACGTACCTCGCTGCGATCCCGAACAACGAAGGGCCCTTCAGTTCAATGGATGATGCACCGGATACTGAAGACAAAGAAACCGGCAGGTTTCCCTTGGCTCCGTCGATCCGTCCGACTTTTGGGAGGAATACTTCCATTGCCACTGCAAGCACTATAGACCCGAGGACCTCGCAGATAGATGGAGAGACATCTCAATTGGCAGAATTTGAGTCAGGGTCTTTGTCGGTAGATCTACCTCTGTCGAGTGAAAACACACCTACAACTCCATCGTCCTTCCAAACAACCTTTGGTCAAACAACCTTTGGTCAAATAACACTTGCTGCTCCTACAACAACTGGCCTAGTCGAACCAGAAGGGCAGACAGTAATTTTCCTCATCCAACTTCCCGACGACGACCGAAAGCGCAGTATCAATAGGCGAGCAGTCGGAGGCTTTGTTGGAGACGGCAGTCCCGATACCTGCAAATTTGCAGCCAGCTTCAATCTTGCCGAGGGCCAGCTCTTCAAGAACGGAAATCCCATCTATTATGATGGTGAGGACTTCAAAGAGCTGGATAGTCAAGGGACTCCGCCGGCAGATGCAATTACAAAGGGCTTTGCCTCAACTGGAACATCGCTTACTTTCCGAAATGAAGGTCTTCCGAATGGAGAGGCAGGCTTTTGTCAGACTTCTGATGGACACGTTTATATCACGTTTACATCTGCGCCGGCTGGTTGTACACCAGTCGCCCTTGGTGTTTTTGACGGTACGCTACTTCCTTATATGGAGGTCCTTCATTACTAACTTCCTTTCAGTTTCTCGGTGTCGGAATGGCAAGCTTGTTGGTGTTGATGATATTAGCTCCGCTCCGACTGCGACACCTACTCAAGAGAGCAGCACCGTGTCGGAAGAATTCAGCGGACTTTCCTCTGAAGCCGTCGAACCATCTATCTCCAGCTTCGGTGTGACAACACTCCAGCCTGGCGTGATATCATCTTCCGAAACGCCGCCGAGCATTGAAGACGTGGCCTCAACTACATCACTGGAGGTAGATGACTCAACCTCGGAGTCCTCCGTCGACTCGATTTCGGAATCATCATCATCTGAGCTTGCCGAATCTACCAGCAAACTGGACATCGCTTCCACCACGTTAGCCACGCTAGAATTGTCGTCTGAAGGGATAACGATATCATCTGTAGGGACAACGACTGAGTCTATGGATGAAGCAACCCTAGAAACAACTAGCAATGAAGTCACCACGGAAGTCTCTACTACCGCAGACGAAAGAACTGACCAGAGCATTACGACTCCAGAAATTCCAACTACTACTGCTGACGCCTGCGTAGCAGGGATTACCTCGGCGGGAGGCTCGCCTCCCCTGCAAGATCGTATCGATGACTGCGAAGAGTTGAACAGAGTTACAGTTAGCCCTTACACTGTGTAAGTCCACATGGCCTTTCGAAAGACACACCAATTGACTAACTCAATAAAGTACTGTGACAACCGTTAAAAAGCGATGGGAGTATCGCATCCCTACCGGCTGGCCAACTGCAAGACCTACAAACAGACAGCTCGTCCCCGTCAAGATCCCGATGCGACTACCATTTTCCCCACCGAGACACCTGCCTATGCTACTTATTGTGACTCGGCTGAGGAGTATTATGATGCGTGCTCTAGTGCTGGTGTTACTGCTATGACGACTACTCTGCCTACCCCTACTGAAAGTGAGACGGATGAAGGGCCTGGGTGTCGTGCGGCGTCGCTGGTTAAGAGGGCTGGGGAAGGTTTGGGATATCAGTTTGAGGATGAATGGGATGTCATCCGCCTGCCGGGATGGAGGTACTTCTGAGATACTACATTTTCTATTCACCCTGTAATCCTGGTGGGTTCTGTTCAGATCTGACCATTCTTTTTACCTATTCGACCAGCTGCCCCAATATCTCAAACTACCCTAAGTTATACGAAAATTACTAAAACGTTCTAATAACATCCATTCAAGTCACTGTGATAAGAATAAGAATTTCTTAAATGCTTCAGCCCCAAGGCCCATAGGAAAACGAACGCCAGAAATCACACATCCGCAACATTATCATGATCTACACTGTTGCCTCACATGCCATTCTTACTAAACATGAACAAAAAAAGTGCGATTGACAGACTAGCTGCTTCTCGCGCTTAGATAATGTTTGGCAACAGGCGTCTCATCAAGAGAAATCCCGATAAACTTAACAGAATTTCCTTCATGGGCCATTGCAATTGTATCGCCTTGTACATCGACATTTCTTGTCTTATAGATTGGCGGCCGATATGATGGCGGAAGCCAGATAAGTCGCTCACGCCCTTGGTAGACCCAGTCATCCAAAACGTAGAGACACTTGTGCATATCATCCGGCGACTCATCCGAGCCTGTATCTGCAAGTTCCTGTGTTGGAAGCGGCAACCGCCCCCTATTTGACTCCAGAAACATTTCGTTTTTAAAAGCACAGAGAGAAAACGCCAGCCCTTTGAACACAAGATTCCATAAACCAGTGCGTTGCTTAGTTGCGGTGTCCCATGTTTCGATAATAGTACCTCCATCTACTGATCTTGATAAGACCGCAAGTTTACTTGTTTTTGAGAATGTAAAATCTCGCACTTCAAAGTTCTTAGGCGCTTGAAACATGAAACGCTTAACCCATGGCTCGCCTTCCCATACTGAAATAGTTTTGTAAAAGTCAGATACAACACCGAAAATCTGACCGGATGGGTGAAACTTTATAGACTGGCCGTCGATGAGATCGCAGCCTTCAACTTCTGTTCCGTCCGATGCTTGGAGGAGCTGAGTCTAGGAGGAGTACCTTCCACACTCCACTCCAATGTATCTACTCTCGGGTGAAAATTCGATTCGATATATACAGTGATACCGAATCTCTTTGATCTTCTCCCTCCTAGGAACGTTCCAAAGTTGTAGTAAGGTGTTGTGGCTGCCGTGGTCGCGGCAGTCAAGGATAATGGCGACCACTTCACCGCTTTGTGACACGTGGAGGGGGTGCATTCTCCACCTCTGTGTTGTAGCTGTGCTGCCGTGGGACATGCCAGAAAGATTGAAAGTGTTAACAGTGTCAAGTGTAAGGCATTTGGGATCATAAGAAAGAACCTGGAGATTCCCCAACAAAGACAAGGAAACCAAGTGGCTGGTTTGTGGTACAAACACCATACTAGCCAGTCGGTCATACACAGCAATCCTTTTAGTCAGCGATCTATCCCAAACTTGGAACTGATCATCGAGGTCTAACTGCAAGAGAACAAATTGTCCATCTGGTGAGTATGTAAGGGCCTGAACCCTGACCTCGAAGGACTTCATAGACCCATCAATCACGGTCCATTGTTTTGTTGCCATTTTCGAAGAATAACTGATCGCCAGGTTGTTGCCATCCAAGAACTCAACGTTGTCCGGAGGTCCTTCTGCGACCCCGAATGTCGAAGTGGATTGACCGCCGAGGATTCTAATCACAGGAACATGACCCCATACATGTGCTCGCAAAGGCCCCTCATTAGGGTCCTGCTTGACAAAGGTCCTCGAGAATGTCCCAATGGACTCTCCGGTGACCAGGTCAAAAACATCGACCATATGGGTATGGCTTTCATAAATTCCAATCATCTCATCCGGAGATATGAACAGAAACGAGGAAAATACGCTCCAAGTAGCCCGATAGCTCCCAATCAACCTTTGTATTTTTGGAGTCATATCCCAGAAATCGACACTGTCATCGAACCTCACTGCGACAATTCTGTTGTCGATAGAGATTGATAGTTCGTAAATATCCTTCGCGGCTCCGGAGACCCATCTCTCAGACGGCAAGATGAGAAGAACTAATTGCTCCAGTTCCACGTGATATAGCGCAGCAGAGTCGCCCTGACAAGCAGCTACGAGCTGTCCATCTGGTGAAAAAGCTATATGCGTCGGGGGGGTTTCGGGCCGGAAGCTCTAGAGTGGTCACCTGGCTTTCATCCTCAATATTCCATACGCAGAGAGTACAGTCGTTTGATATTGATGCCAATATATTGCAACTGGCTGGTGAAAACGAGATTTCAATCATGCCGGATGGAAGACGGAGACTGACTTCAGTTCCTTTCCCAAGATTCCTGACGCGCACTGTCCCATCCCGGTACCCAGAAGCAAGTTTGAATCCATCGGCCGAGAAACAGACTGACACCAGCCTACCTGACTCCTCAAACCTGTATTTTTCGGATGCTGTAATATAGTCCCAGACTCTGGTCGTGTTATCAACTGATACAGACGCCAGGAGGGTCTCCGTTGGGGAGAAGGCTGTACAGCGAATAGCCCCCGTGTGCCCTTCAAGGGCAGAAAGCTCGGCAGGCCAGGTTTGTTGTGTTTCAGGTTTCTTCGTAATCCAGGCAGGAATGAGTCTTAGGTAGTCGGAACGCACTAAACTGTCTTTTGGGGAGAACAGAAGAGCAGAGCAATACATTTGAAGAGGCGTATGCTCAATAGTCCATCGGTTGTTTAGCACAAAGTGCTTCGCATCGTATAACAATAGAGATAGGTCATGGTTTGTAGACGACTATCAATGAAGCTTGTGAGCCATTGGGAGTCAATTTATGATGGTGGCACTGAAAATACTTACTTCGATAAACCGACCCAGCTGACTGAACACTGGTATTATTGATGAGGCTTCTCCAATGAATGCCATGACCTCCAACCAGGATAGAAGGTTTTCTTTGAGAAAGCTGTATACTAGAACAAGTGATGCCTGGTATTCGGCGTCCCCTGACTTCTTCTTCGCGAGAAATTTGCGATGTGTTTGAATGAGATGATCTGCCCAGTAGCGGCACGCATATTGTAGATACGGTGGGATATGGCTTGCGATATGACTAGGATCAACCTCAGAAACGAGGGTTCCTGGAAGACTCAAACGGCAGATATTTTCTTCAAGCTTAGAGTTCATAAGCGCAAAACATCTATACAATACCTCGTGGTGCATTTCAAGCTCACTGATAGAGAATGGAAGCCGCTCAGACCTCTTCGGGTCGAGAATAAAGTCTCGGAATGATAGGTGAACAAGTAAGAGAGGAAATCCAGGATTTTCAGGGACGTCGATAATAGAATGGAGCTGGCCAAGATAGTACTTAACATCGTCCCTCGTTATCGTTGTCGGGAGCAGGTGGGAAAGTGTTTCCACTGAAGTAGGTCGAAATAGGACAACGATAAAACCGATCAGTTGACTGATGTCGGTATAAAAAGGAATTTTCTCCTCTTGCGACCAACCATCTGTTTCTGGGAAGGTCAAGACTTTGTGGTATATGTCATCCATCGTGTGCTGGGGACCTTGTGTCTCCCATTGATCTTCAAAAAAGAGGTTTAAGCGTCTCTCTCTGAACCGTCTGTTGACGAAATGGGGAGAATCAAGGAATCGACAGGCTGTTGCGGCGTAGATAAAAAGACCATCCGCCTTCTGGACCAGTCTGTTTATATCAGCCTCATTTACTCCGCCATCTGTGACACGCCATCTCGTAGCGATACTCCCTAAAGACTCAGACAGGTAAAATGCAATATCGTTGTTACTGCCGGGGGACGAGTCGATCTTGTTCAGTCTGTTTGTTTGGAACAACCTGCTGGGTAGATTCTCCATCGCCATGGAAATATGCCCTTCTCGCCTACTCGTAATGAACAGGCGAAGTTGGATCTGATGAAGCTTTTCAAGATTTGCTAGCATACCTAACAGATCTTCTGCATCTTCTTCCAAGCACTCATCTAAAGCGTCTATCACAACAACGAGTTGGAGTGGGACGAACGTCTTCTGGTCCAGTAGCTCCAGGGGTTTGATAATGAGCTTTTGTAGCTGCTGTTGTGGGGCTTTCATATGGATTCCTGGGTTGTCTTTGATAGCTTCTGCAATGCGTATTCCAACGTCTGGGAGGGCATCTGCCAAGCACCATGCAATTGTACGGAAGAACTCGGCTGTACTGTTTCTGGTGGCGTCGCCTTGAGCAAAGAAGAAGCTCGCACCAAGAAAGGCTCTACTTGGTTGTTTGAGCGGGTCGGTAAAAGGAGCTCTTGCTTCCAAACTACTCGCAACTGTTAAGGCAATACTCGTCTTTCCAGTTCCAGCCATGCCTTGTAGCCAGAATATCATTTTACTGTCGGGGTCGTTTGTCCAATCCTGGATTGTTTGAAGAATGTGGCGCCGAGTGCCTGGCAAGCAAACGGCTTCCACTTTTGAGGTTCGACGTGAGTCAAAGACAGCGTTTCCCGTAACCTGCAATGATTGCAAGAGCTGCCGTCGGTCAAAGCCCTGTTTGTCCAGTTATGAGGTCACGCCAACAAAAAAACAGTGAAATAGGATAACTCACCTGCACTACCCTTAACGTTTCATGCTGCAAGAACTCAACCCTTTCGGTTCTTTCCTGGATGTCTTTAACCACCTGCCATGATCTCAGCGTTGTGATATTGACTTCAGCATTTACACCCTTGTCAATACGCTGGCTAATGGTCTCTATGTCTAGCCACGATTGCTTCCAGCCGTCGGCATTCAGCGCATTCCTTAGAGCGCGATGTACCTTGTTTCGTCTCCCGTACTGGAGCACAAAGCGAGCTTCATATATATATATCTTGCCGTACACGCTGACGAGATCGTCTCTTACATGAGAAAGAGATTCCCGCGATGAATCAGATTGACTTAAGAAAGTTAGTAAGACGCTATTTTGATAGAATGGAACATGGACCAAGACAAAGGCTGAAGTATTCCATGCATGGATCAAGGAACGGGTAGTGTATCGAACACTTTCAGGGAAAGGACCATTTTGGAAGCCAGCTCTTACATACCAGGAAGACTGCAGGTGAGATACAAAGTCCTGTTCATGGAAGTCTCGATATCTGGCCATAAGAAAGATGACATTAGTGAGACCAGTAGCCGCATCCTCGTCTTGCTGAAACACGTTTTCCAATATCTTGTAAAGTGATGAATTAGACAGAGGTTAGTCTCGGAGCAAAAGGCACCCTTACCGGCAAAATAGTCGTTACTCCAGCCCAGGCCAAAGCTGCAGAAGGCTCAGCTGCAACTGCCCCAGAGATGATGGGCTTCAGCGTGTTGATGACTTGAACAGCCTTGAGAATACTTTCCCAAACGACGATTGGTTGACCCCGGATTGTGAAGGATAGATGAGCCTCTGAGAAATTCTTAAGTCTCTGTTCTGCATTCTTTTGAATTGTCTCTAGTCGGCTATTATCAGTCGCCTCGGACGGATTGCCTGGCGGTTTGGGATCGCCTACTTAGGTAGCAAATCATCAGCCTTTTGTCATGACGGATAACTGTATCAACAGCCAGTACATACCAGCCTCCACATCTCCGTCTTCACTCTCTAGGAACTTTTCCAGCTTTTGCAGAAGCGCTGAATGCTGTGGATTGCTCGTGACATTCTCGTAAGCCTCCGGCCATACATTGGCCTAACTGGAGAAATCGATATTCTCGGTTGATGAGGGATCCGCATCGGACTGAGTGGTAGGCATGGATGTATCTCCTGATTCTGCTGCAACGTCGGCTTGATCTTCTCGTTGGTGTATTTTGGTATGCGACTGTCGGGAGTCACTCGTGATTCGATCAGAAGCCACATGTCCTCCGTCTGCCTATCCCAGCGTTAGCGATCCGACTACCCATTATTTGAATTCAATCATACCGCTGAATCGCCTTCATCAGAGGTGATCCTGAGACGCTCAAAGCGCTCTCGAGTATGGACCTTGAGACGTCTTAGGGTGTCTTTCATTGCTCCTGGCATGGTCCCTTTACTGTTTAATAAGACTGAACCGCCATTGCAGCTTCACTAAACACCAAGTCGCGTCCGCGAAAGTCGTGTGAGAGGGATTAGTTACTGCGAAAGTTGGGAGAAAACCCCGCTTGATGCAGCCTGATTCAGCTGGGATCAGACAAAAAGACTCTCCAATCAGGCTCTAGAAATGCCAAGCACGTCGCTCATTTTTAAGGCACCCATGCATGACACGTCGCGAAAGAATTGATTCCACTGGATATTTGCGTCCAACGTGCTTAGAAAGACGGAACTGGAAGATAGTCTTGCGATTTCTTGAATAACTTAGCCAGCCCAGGCTAACTATTCAGTACATCTAATTCATCGAACACCTATCTAGAGGCTCAGGGCCTTCATGGTGTGTTTGATAATACAGCAGATTAATTGCAATTTCAATCAAGACCGGCGCGGTGGAGTTAGGCCGAAACGCAAACGACGCCTACCAGATCGATTAATGCTGTGGCCTTACCCAACAGTCGGGTTTAGATTGGCTGAAGTTGATCTCAGGGGAGTAAAAACGCTGATATGAAGATATTATATACAGGAATAGAATGAAGAATCTGGCAAGTACGTAGTTCTACCATAAAGTCGATCAATCCTCAGTCCAACCACAGAGATAATCATAACCCATCGCCGGCGGCAAGTTGAACCAACACTTAGTGTACTGAATCGGGTTCTCAATATCCATGTCGTTGTAATCCGGAACAGTGGCGTCTTTGATGTTACATTCCTCGGGAACGTTGCCATTGACGGAAACGCAGCGCTTGGGGTTGTCGATCCGATACTTTACGCAATCATAGTTGTTCTTGAGAGCCGCTTTATAGTCAAAAACATAGTCCTTCAGCGTCTTGAGGTCATCGCCTTGGAGGTTTCGTACTCCACCGATACTTCCGGGACCGTTGCCTTTGGAGCCAAAGCAGATGCAGCGCTGTAGTGCACATTAGAATGGCCTGAGTAAGAGGTTTGTGGTGGCTTTTTACCTTCTCGTGCCAGAGGCAGCCTTCCATGTGATCTTTGCAGACCTGTTCAGACATGTCCTGGTAACTTGGAATCGAACCAACACCGTTGTGGTGCTTTACGAGTATTAGCCATGTCTATAGAATCGAGTATATCTTGGGGTATTTACCTTTGAGCACTCAGTGTCCTCCTATTAATTCGAAATCTCGTGTTAGTGTTGCTCTAGATTTCCAAAATAATAGGACTAGTGACTTACATCACTGACCATGAGGAAGTAATCGGCTTTGTTCCTTGACTTCATGGCCTTGACATTAGCGAACTCATCCTACAACACGCTCGTTAGTAAACTGAACCCAAGCTCATGAGAGGTGACGTACCCATTTGCTCTGCACCTGCGTGATATAATGGTTCATAAAAGGCTTCGTAATGTCCCTACTGAGCCAGTCACCATCACGGAAGAACTCATACACAAATTCCGTCATCTTGTCGTCGCTCCAGCCGGATGGGTTTACACCACCAAACATGTTGCCAACAAAGTTCTCAGTCGAGTTGAGGATCTGACTAAACATATCACCATATGCTTCCTCAAGCTTCTTTTCCAAGGTTTCTGGTGAGACTTTCTCCTCCCAGCTCGTGCCAGCCGACATCGCAGCAAACATACCGGCAAAGGAAGTCATTGTGCCTGTGAACAGAGGCTTAGCAGCACCAAAGCCTGCCAGCGAAGTCAGGATGCCAACGAGCATATTCACGAAGTCTCCGTTTTGTTCCTGGGGAGGTGTGCCGTATTCTCGAACAATCTTCTTGATCCCCGAGGAGAGCTGTATTACAGATTCCTTGATAGTCTGCCACCAAAGCGTTTTGAAACCATCAAAGGTGTTGGATATCTGGAAGTGCATGTAGTAGCCTTGTGGTGGAATGTAAGTGGAGCAGCGTTTGTCCTCGGGCAAGGCGCAGCTCGAGGAAGTCAAGATAGTGCAATCATAAGTCGAACCTGATGGCGTGTCCATGACTTGCATGAAAAAGCGATCGGACCAGTTCTTTGCTCCGTGGTCGTGAATCCACTTCTTCCACCACTCAGCCGAGCCACTGTCTTTCCAGCTTTTGTGTGCGACGTTGATATCCGGGGTCTGAATCGTGTGATTGCACACGCCCTGGCCATGGTCTTCGCCTTTACCGGGTAGGTCAATAATAGGAATGTCGTCTCCTACAGAGCCACCGCCAGTCTTGGGCAAACCAGGGTCCGCTACAGAAGGTAAGTATACATTAGGGCACTAGAGAAATGGCGAGAAAGGACACGTACTTGTTGGGGAACTGTCGTCTCCACCAGTCGAGCTACACCGGTTCCAGTATGTCCATGCCTGAATGGTATTGTCAGCGAAAGACCTCGGTAAAGTCGATTCCCGGTGAAGCGCATACTTTGTTTGTTTGAGGATCAACTTTGACTAGATCCGCTCGACCTTTGCCGCCCTGGTTTGTGAAGTGCTAGCAACAAAGATCAGCCATCAAGATAACCCATCACCTCCGATGACCAACATACCATGTTCTCGCCTCGATCAATAGGATTATAAAGCATACCGCGGTTAGTCCAAGAAAACGAGCTACCTCCTTGAGCTTTATGACCTTTGTTGGTGAAGACATCAACAGCACCAGTGTACTTGTCAACATGAAGAAGGTCGGCTCGTCCAGACGCCTCGACATCTGCAAAACGGATGTTGGCTCGATCCCTATACTAGCTATTAGTACTTTTCTATGGCTGTTGATGATGATGCAGCGTACCAGCCTTCTGAGAACTTGATCTGGCCAACGTTCTCCAGGCCATTGGCTTTGTTGAGCCAGCCAGTGATACGGCCGTTCTTCTCAATGCACAAAGCATCAGCTCGTCCATCGCCGCTAGAAATTACGTTAGCCGCTGGTTCGGTTGGTCGGGAATCGATGTTTCAAGACTTACTCGATGTCATGGAATCTCATTCCCAGATCAAAGATACCAACACCCCAGCCTTGGTTGCAGTCTGTCGAAACAGCGGTTACGCTATTAAAAGAAATGCGATCAGCTCCCTTGTCGTATTGGTTCTTGTACACCGTCAAATGTCCGGTTGCCTTGTTCTGCACGATAACATCGCACCTCCCATCGCCAGTCCAATCAGCGAGATGTATACCGTTTCGCGGCCTAGGGACCTTAAGCTCGATCTTGGTGTTGTGTCCCCACGCAGGCGGGGAGTGGATGTTGACATTGATCTCAGCAGCATGGCCGTCCTGGTATATCCAGACATAGTCATCGCTGCCAGTACCTCGCATATCGCAGTAGTAGTTGCCGTCTGCCTTAAGCTTTGTTCCTCCAGCGCCCTGGTTCTGCCAGACTACTACGTCAAAGTGGTCTTTTTCTTCTTTGAGGAAGATGTAGTCAAGACGGTTGGAGCCGTAGATGCGTCCGAACTTGATGCTGTCTTGGATACCCGTCACGGCTTGGCCAGCATGGGTTTGACCCGCGGATCTCCATTTCGGTACCTATACTCGTTAGTCTGGAGATCCTTCGACTGGATTGTACTTCAGACTTACTATTCCGCTACCGCTGCCTCTGTTGTTGATCCATGTGCTGACTTGACCGTGATCGCCGATGTACATAACATCACTCCGGAAACTGTATATGGGTATCAGCACATCTCTGGCTTATATGAGAAGAAAACACAGATCATGTTGACTTACTCTCCGTTGAGGTCGGCTGCCAGTCATGTTAGCTACGTAAAAAGAAGGAGAAGTGAAATGTGGCATACCAAGGATTATACCGGCCTTGTCTGGTTGGGCATTGTTGAAGACAGTTCCACGAATGCCCTTGGCTGTGCTGAACCCTTGCCACTGAGGCTTGTCGCCCCAGCCACCGTTCCGGGAGCACCTAATACTGTCAGACCTGGGCCATCATATTGAGAGTGAACGTACGCTATCTCGCCAGCAGACTTGACTAGACAAAAGTTTGCTCTTCCGTCACCATCGATATCTGAACATGGGTCAGTACAGCTGAGCCGTAGGAGGAATGTGACGAATGCATGATGGCGACTGACCTGCGATGCGTACATCAGTGACTTTCAGGCCGTCAAAACCACCGATGACTTGGCCGATGCTCTCAAACTTGGGGGGATTTCCGCCTCGGTTGAGCGAGACCCATACAGCGTTCTCCTTGATACAAAAGAAGTCGTCGAGGCCGTCATTGTTCTAGTCGAACTATTAGTGCGATTAAGAATGAGTGATGGTCAGAGGCACTTACAAAGTCGGCGAAAGCGTACCCTGTTAGAATCGCAATCAGTAATGCTCAAGGTGAGGGGGCCTGGAAGTACTTACAAGGGCCCAAATCACAGTTCATGTCAACATCGAACTGAACCGATTTGTCAAATTTGCCTCCTCCCAAGTTCTGGCGGAACCAATACGCGTTTTTGTCCTTGGTGTTATGATACACACGTATCCAATCATCAAGAGAAGCCGTCCGTTCCGCATTCGGGTCACCCTTGACAATATTCGCAAAGAAAATATGCCAAGGAATCGCATCAGTAATAGCCTTCGGATCGCTCCCCTTGTCAATCTCGGCACTCTCAATAACTCCCTTCGAAGTGCTTTTGTGAACATAATTCCCATCATCATGACCACTGCCCATCTGAGACTGACCAGGCAAACCAGCATTACCAGCAACCTTTTTACACTGGTTACTCGAACCACCAGCTGCATCATCGATATTATCAACCTTTGCAGGTGGTTGGATCTAGTCTTCAATCTTGCTTATGGCATCCCACCAGACACCCGCAAACATCTTGTACCCATCGTCGGTAGGGTGGTCTTTGTCAGGGCCGATGTCGTCCATGGACATGACGCTTCGTACGTCTGCGAGGGCGATGCGTGCTCCTTTGTATCCTGCTGCGACTTTTCGGATTTGCTTACTGATGTCGTCGGAGCAGGAGTTTCTCGACGAGTCTTTGTTTAGGAGGAGGGTTGATAGAATGACTGTCACGCCAGGGACACTGTCGAAGATATCATCAACGAGGCTTTTTGTTCGTTCGCCGGCTTTGCTAGGGTCGCCTCCCGAGTTGCAGTCATTTCTAGCTAGTTAGCTTAGCTTAGGGAGGTTTCTGACTTGATAGGCTTACAATCCAGCGTTGATGAGAACCAGGTTTGGCTTCATCCACTTGCTTTTGGTCCAAGCGCCGTGAACGGACTCAATCGTCCAGCCAGGATGGCCTTCATTGTCCTATCAAGCATTTAGCAGAAGACTAATGAAGCGATCTCCATGCATAACTTACTGAGTCTGCCATGGTACCATCTCTCTCTGATCCAACCATGTTGACCTTCCATCCGCGGAATCGGAGCTGAGCTCGGAGCCACTTGCGGTAGCCATTACCATCGCTAGACTTGTAGCCCTGAGTGATGGAAGCACCAAGTGGCATTACTCTCAGATAAAAGTCTTTAGCAGCTCTACGGTCAAGTCCAGAACTCTCATAGACTGTGACTGTCGAGTTGTCGAAATCATTGGGGTCTAAGTCAGTGCCGCGAGACTCGTGCAGTCCACGGCCTTGGTTAGGTGGATGAACAACGTCTGGCGCATAGCCATTACCGTACGGCGAAAGGCCATCTGAGTGACTTGCAAGGAGTGTATATGGGTAAAGAAGAACGACAGTTAAGATTGAAATGGCGGCTTGGCCGCTGCGAAATAGCAGCATGTTTGCGTCTGGACAAGGAGTACACTCAGTACAACAGAATAAAGAGCGTACAGAATATTGCTGAAACACGAAACCCACGAGGCTGGTGATCTTATACCATATCCTTCTCGCTGTGCGATCGGACCTCTCTGAAAATCTCCATTTCAGGCCTCACCTTTACTGCCCCCAAGACTACTGATACGACAATCAAAGGATTCAGATCCCACAATACTCGAGATCATCACAGCATTATATCTGACTAAGACAAAAACTTCTATGGGTTCGTGACTCTTGGCATTATCCATTGCGATTCCTTTCTGATTGGTTTGTTCGTTCCGGCCCTTCCATTATTGGCTTTCTCAGAAGCGAGACGTGGATCATGAACAACTGTATGATGATTGAAAGCACCACCTAACTCGGCTACATCCCAATTTGGCCGGGACCTTTGCCCTTCTTCCTGTTTCCAAAAGTCCTTCAGGTGATATTTCGTTTCGATTCACTTTTGAATATGGTGCACGACGGTCTGGGACGTGGCAAATTAAAGCAAACCGGCCAATATCCCGGCCTTTCCTGACTACTGCAAGAAACAAAGTCCTGAAAATGATGTCATGAAGTGATCAGAAACGACTGGATACAGTACTCTGCAAAAGTTAGTTTACTTCAGTCCCATTATACTCTCGACTACAATTCTCAGTCTTACCCCTTTCAGCGGGCCCGAAACTGTTCATCACCATTTCAACATCCGCTTACCAACAAAGCCAAGCCTATCAGAATCATCACCCTATGACCTGACAACCCTACAAGGCTGTGTCAGAAAGGGAACATAGCCACGTGCGCCGCATATTCAACCCCCGTTCTTGAGGTCGGTTATGCCGGGAATAAGAAGGTGATACTCTCTGCACCAAATCTGTGTCTTATATCCTCCTTGATTGGCTGCTCTTTGATCGACATGTTGCCTGCCAAGTCTCCCGTTCGGCACTAATATCCGCGAACTCAATCTCACATAAGCCGGAGAGTTAATCTTAGCTAAGTCCGGAGAGTCGCTCGCATTCGCTTAAATGCACCCTCATTTGTCTCTCATACATATCGAAGGGGCAGAGAGCATCCGTTCTACTATCACGCAACGTAGATGATGTCATACCACCCCCCTTGGGAAACACGTGTGTGAGGCGCGTGATATGAGCCATCAGCTATAGGGACTATCAACTCAAAAACATTGTCAATTCCCAACCACTGGTAACAGAAATGCCTCGCTGGTTAACTATACTTGCCGTCCTCTCCTCAAAAATCCTTTCACTTTCCTTTATTCTCACGGCAAGCAAGTCAATTAACGAGGTAAGTGTTGAGATTTACTGTCATGACATCCTCCGTCTCGGCTCGTACTGGACAAATAACAAGCGAGATATAACCTCACGAATCTACCTCAACCTTCCCATTGAGCGTCGGCCCCTTATCCCCTCCCTCATCGATGAATATTTCCCTCAGTCTCTTCTTCGAAATCTTAGGAAAGTAATGCGCAAACCCATCAGGACCCCTCACCAACGTTTCAATCTGACCCGCGATCGTCCCGATTATGGTACGTTCATGCCCCGCATGAACACCATAGTTCATATGCTCCTTCCACAACGGATCATTTCGTCTGGAACAGGTCCCTAGATCTTTCCACGATGTCATCACGATGTAATTCGCGGACGAGCTCTCTGGCCGGATGACGTTGACTGCGTAGTCAGTTGTGCACCCGCCGCATGACCATACACGACCTTCGAGGGCGCTGTCTAGTCTGGCTCTTGCGTGGCAGTTTAGCCAACAGTCTCCCTTGTGAGTCCATAGACACTCTTGTAGCTGTTGGCCTGGAAGGTCGAATTCTTGTATTTTTGAGTAGCGGAATGACCATTGTCCTACGGGCCATTTGAATTCCTCATCTGGTCGAGTGATGAACGGGTACATATCGGTCCACTTAGCATGCCCACAAATACTACCAAGTTCTTCAGATTCCTGAAGAGTTCGGTGTAGAGCTTCAACGCCCTCAATAATCTTATCCGGTTGGCGGCCTGTATTCTTTCCCGGAAACAGTATCTTCTGTGATTTGATTTGGATGTGTTTCATGGAAGAAATATACATTTTCTGCTGCAGCCGTATAATAAGGTTGCCTTCATCGTTGAACAACGGCCGCACAAACTGTACATTCAGCTCGCCTGGGGGCAGCACGCCAGGTCTGAAACGGTTGTATCTCGATATAGCCGACATGACATCGAAATGAAACCCTCTCGAAAGGTAGGGCGATACAGACGACCGCTGCACATGCGCAGCGCCATTGAGAACACATGTCCGCCTGCCCTCCTTTTCAGTAAAGAATGTACGACTCTTCCGCGGTTCATGGAATTTTCGACAGACATCGCATAGTATCTCGTCAGGCCACATGTGGCTTTGTTCAAGCCGACAGAGGAAGAACCATTTATCAAATCCGTTAAGTGTTGTCGCGTTCCCGAATAGGCTATGAAGCCATCCTGATGTGAAGGCAAGACTTGCACGGTCGATCGGTGCGAGGAGAGTGACGATCAGAGTTAGAAGCTCTGGTGGGAGGCATTGGAGTGTTATCGGCGGTGACCGAGCGGCGGGCTCTTTTCTCGGAGGAGTCCTTCTCTTACTCTTTTCTAGAACGTCAATATTTTGGACACGTGTTGGTATCAGCATATGACTCTTGGGCGTAGGGTTTGCATGTTTCTGGCGGAGAGTAAGCCTTCTCAGCTTAGCGAGGAGTGTCATTGTGGTTATTCGGCTCGGCGGACGTAAAGTAGTAAGATGAAGGAAAAGAATTTTAAGAGGTATGTCCGGGTTCGTCGTCTCTTATAAGAAAGTCAAACATCTACTTGATGGTAAAAAGGAATATTACAGGTGCATTACAAAAGTAAAAGCGTAAACATGTTTAAATGAAAGGGCTTAGGGCAAAAAGCCCAATACCTGGCGTTGAGGCTTAACTGTAAATGAAAGTATATTTCACAATGACAGTTTTAGATGGGGTTCAGGGCTTTACGAGTGGCTCTGATTTTGAGTATAGCCTTCGGTCAACGATCAGAATTGGACGACATGAGCTGCGTTGTGGCACACCTAACCGCCCCAAAACTCATAATGGTGGATCCAGGAGTCAAGGTATGAGGACACTTTCCGCTTGGGGATAAGCAATTACTTAGTAACCTTTGTTCACACAGCCACATTCACTCCCACGCGTCTTCCTCATCGTCGTCCTGGCGCACTGCATCTAGTTCCTCCCTCTCAGTTTGGTCTTCATACCGTACTTCAAAAGCCCCATCCCCCAAGTCATCCTCAAATGTTGTCAAAGATGCGGAGGTCGTGCGACCTTCACCCCGAAATCTCCCGGGGGCCTTCTTCTCTGCCAACTACAATCATTTAGCTTTCGTGCGTTTTACGGTTCAACCTTATAACTCACTCCGCGAATGGGAACCCATGTAAATCTGATCCCGTGAAAGAAGACAACGTGGCCTTTGTCATTCTATACCCGTTAATTAGATAATTGGCAAAACGGAGCAAAACAACTTACATCATCACTCTGAGTGCTTATCCATCCCTCTGCGCTTCCTCCGTGCAGATAACTTCCCTTGGGGGCCACTTCACCAAACTCAAGAGCCGTTGTGCTAAACCCAACATCGACCACCTTATCTTTAGAGTTCCAGCAATTGACTGATGCATTCTCTGCTGCCCACGTCGAAGTGATAATCCACAAGCCATTTTCTTTGACCTCAGGGTATGATTTCACTACGCCTTTCGCGTTCTGCTTCATCCACTGAAGAAGAGGTTCTTTATGATAATACCTCTCATGAACAACAGGACCACTGGTCAGAAGAACAGCTCCATGATTTTTGTCGGCCTGGAATCGGAAGCAGGCGGAGACATCGAAGGGCAGTGCTGCTGCTGCCAGCATAGGTATTGTCCCAAGGCCGACACTCAGATCAATCGCGCGGCCTCTTGTCTCGTTACCAAGCTTGGGTCCCCATATTTGCTTCTGAGATGGAGCACGTTTCAGTGTTGTGCCGTCGATGGATGACAAACCCGACGGTAGGCTTGCCGACGATGTGAGGTCTCCGATGGGATTCCAGGCCCCAGTCGAGTCAAAATATCCGATAAATCCAGGCTGGAATTGACTCGAGGGAATTGGTAAGTACAGCGCCGTGCCGAAAGGATGCGCTCGCATGAGTTCGGCATACTTGAGATCCAAAGCCTTGCCCATTATTGTTAGCTACCTATTTGGAAGGTTTGGTTAGTGATAGAGGGGTAGCAGGTCTCTCTTATCTTGGGTTAACGCAAGGCAGCACAAATACCTCGTATATCAGTACCCGACTTAGCCGATGTGGCGCTAATAGTGTGCCAATATTTATGCGCGCAATGTTACACTGCGCTTCAGCTTGTGATACTGTATCCTATCAGCTGGTCGCATTGCACAATTGTCTCGACCGTTCGATAATCGGTGAATGAATAAGTGCATCAGCCACGCTCCAGAACTGTCCTGACATATGTCTGACCTTTTTTATCGCCTTGAACCAATGTTTCAGATTTCTTACATACATTTGAACCCCGCATCAGAGCCCAGTGATCATATGCCTTATTACTGCCCCTAGTGTTCGCCCAAGCTGTCTTTCCCCTCTTTTCCTGTCATTGAATGAATGCTCAAGTGCCTCTTCTCGAAACTCACGATGGCATCAGATCTCACGGCTCAACTTGAACATGCTGCCACGTTGATCGCGTCTCAAGAGCAAGATGAGGAGCTCATCCCGGACGGTCAGTTCTGCCGTAATAAAGATTTCCTAAAGGACGTTGATCCGGAAATATGCAAGTTTATCTATGCTGTCATGCTTTCCGATCGCTCCGAGAGGGCAAAGCGATTCTCCATGGCAAGTGAGGAAGTATTGATGACCAGAGGTGTCGGAAACAATACCTCTGGACTAAAGGATGCCGCTATCTTGGGTGCTCTGGCTGTTTTCAACGTTCTCAAAAGCGAGCCTATGAGAGGTGTTGTTGTCAGCATGTTTGGAAGAGTTCTTCGGAGACAGTGGGAGGTTGCTACGCCAGAGAATGAGCCTGATGCTTTGGACCGGGCGGTGGAATATCTCAGAAAGGCTGTTTATTTTGGGCCGCGGGATCACTCAAGTCGAGCACTGCATCTCGATGACCTTGGCGATATTCTAACACAAAGGTACAAAGTTACCCATGAAGAGGTCGACTTTGAAGATGCGAATGCGGCTTTCCATGAAGCTTTGGCCACAGACTTCCCAGGGAAACCAATCTTCTATCTAGGCTTGGCAAAACTACAACAGGAAAGGGCGTTGTTCCAAGAAGGACATACGGAAAGCTTGCTTCGTGAGAGTATGGCCACTCTCCAACTTGCCGAAGACTCAGTCACAAGCCAATTCGACTCGACGCCATTCAGATACACCATTGCAGATATACATCGTGCTCGCGCTGCATGTTTCGTTCACCTGTACGACCTGAACCAAGATATCGAGAATCTCAGAAAGGCAAAAGCGTCTCTCAACAGAGGCCTTGCAGTCTCTGAAGAAAAGCGTTCGAATGACCGTTTCAACTGTCTCATCAACTTGGCATCACTGCAGCAAAAGCTCAACGAGGAGGAGAACACACGAGACCCATCTGCTGAGATCGGCTACCTGAGGCAAGCCCTTCGTGTTCATCCAAATTCCACGGCGGCACTGGAAGAGCTTGCGAATGCACTGGGTGAAAGAGCCGAGCAGAATAATCACCGGGAAACGCAGATCGAAGCAGATAAGCTCATTGAGCGGATGAATGAGCTCCAAATCGTCGATCCATCTCCAAAAACCCCGGCACGACTTATCAGAGACGCAGGTGCTCATGAAGAGCAATTCAGCAAAACCGGGCTCTTCTCGGAAATCGACCAAGCTGTCAAGTGTTTGCAAGACGCCCTCGATCACCCAGATCTACAAGGCCATCAACAGATTAACTGCTATCAACAACTCGCTATAGCACTTCTCATCAGGTTTGAAGCGAATGGTGACAAAGATGATCTGCGCAACGCATGTCAGGCGAATCTCGATGTTTTGCCGTTTCTCAACGATCTTGATGATCCTATGAAAGCTCGATGTTTGAGAGCTTCTGGAAGGGCTGCTTTTGTGTCGGCTCAGATTCCGGGACAAGAGCAGTTCATTGATGGTGCTTTGACGGCACTGACTGCAGCGAAGGAAATAGCGTTGAGGACTGATCCCTTTTATCTTACTGTCATGAATGATATCGGGAACGCTTACGTTGTTAAATGCCAATGTACCGGCGATGTCAAGTACTTGGCGCAGGCAGCTGAGGCATATCGGGATGGTCTTGATGCCTCTAAAGAGCAAGGGTCGTCTGGTGGAACTATGAATATCATGTTGACTCATGGTTTGGGGAATACAGCGCTCTATCAGTTCAAATTCTCTGGAAGGCTGGAAGACATCAACACTGCGATCAAGGCGTTCGAGCAATGTCTTGACTCAACTGGGCCAACCGAAGTTCGAGCTGGCTCGAGAACAAGAAGTCTTAGTCATGCTCTTCAGCTTAGATACGACGATACTGAGGACGTCAGAGACGTCGTCAGAGCTGGTCAGATCGTTGAAGAGGTACTGAGCAGGAATCTCAACCTTCCACCAGTCGAAATCTCGGCACTGCGCAATATGCTGGGAACAGCTTATCTTCGTCAATACCACCGAGAGGAAGATCTAAGCTTTCTCGCTCAAGCTGAGAAGAACTTCAACATTGCTCTCTCCTGTGGATGCATGGATAAGTTTTACTTATTCTCGGCGCGGGTCAATTTGACACGTGCGTTGCAATACAGAGCTAAGAAGACACTCAGCCTGCGAGATCTTCGTGATGCGCTCGTGAACTTCCAAGAGTGTATCTCCATAGGTGGTATGGACAATATTAATCGCGGAGGACTTCTCATCAACCAAGCAGAACTACTCATCGCAATCTGGACCGTCAGTCCAGCTCCATTAAGCACCGTCGCTGCAAACACATACCTGGTCTTAACCGCTCAGTTCTCATCGGCACCAGGTATCGCTCGTCATGTCCTCGCGTGGATGAAAGTCTGGGCATCCATGTTTGCGCATGTAGTCACAAAGGATTCGACAGCTGCAAGGAACTACATCCGAGAAGCAGCTGAGGATCTTCCCTTTGCGGTGTATGCTTGTACCACTCGCGCCGACCAGTTACGTCAAGCGAAGAAATTCCAGGCTGTGCCGACACTTGCCCTGTGGTTTTCCCTCGCCGCTGGAGATTCAGCGGTTGAAGCACTACAGTTATATGAGAGAAGTCGATGTGTTTTGTGGGAGGAGATTCTTAACAAGGGTGTTGATTCTGGCCTGGATGAATTGAAGGAGAAGTTTCCAGATCTGGCGACTCGTTTCATTAAAGCGAGAGTCTCTGAGAAAGCCAAGGGCCAGCGAGCGGCGCGGTTTGACCTTGATAAGAAGTTTCTACAGAGTCAGACGGCTTTCAACAAGTCGACTTCTTTTCAGGAACTGATAGCCGAGATCAGAGCAAAGGATGGGTTCCAGGATTTTCTCAGGCTTCCGCGCGAGGACTCGCACTTTTACGAACTTGCTGAATCTGGTCCAATAATCATCGTCGAAACGGAACCTCTGAGTGGTGGCTACGCACTCATCATTACCACCACTGAGATTCGGAAAATCTCACTCCCCAAGTTCACTGTCGACGATATAAGGGAGCATAAGCAACTCTTTCGCCAAGCCATTGATATGTCAGATGACGGAGATGGTCAAGGCGGTGATCTTCTTCATTATCTGCTCACATGGCTCTGGGAAGTTGTAGCAGAGCCCGTTCTCCTGAGTTTGGGGTATGATGGGGCTCCAACAGATGGAAATTTGCCGAGGGTCTGGTGGTTGACGACGAGTAGCATCAATGCCTGGCCCATTCATGCGGCGGGCGATCATCGACGGGCAGTAGAGACGGGAGAGCGTTGCACGGTGCTTGATCGATGTGTTCCATCGTACACAAATACCCTTCGTGGATTGTCCTTTGTGAGAGATCGTGAGAAGGAGATCACGCAGCATGTTAGAGGTCAGAAAGCGATGCTGGTTAAGATGGAGACAACAGATCATCTTGCGCCGCTGCAACATGCCACCAGCGAGGTCGACGCTATTAACACAATTCTCACTCACGGGGGATACGACGCCGTGATACACGATCACCCAGTCCGAAAGGAGGCACTCACGGGTCTGCTGGATTCACAGATCGCACACTTCGCCTGCCACGGCGAAGTCGACACCTTGAACCCAGCACGCAGCGGCCTTCTCCTGCGCGATTGGTACACCCAAGACGCAAACGGCGCAATCACAAGAGGAAACGTCCTCGACGTTCAAAGCATGATGTCAGCCCCAAAGAAACTAAACTGCGCTCTCATCTATGTATCAGCATGTGAGACGGCCATCACAGGCGATCCAATGCTTCCTCAAGAATCGATCCATCTTGCCGCTGGGTTCCAAATGGCGGGTGTACCGTGTGTAGTGGCTAGTCTGTGGAAGGCGGAGGATGAGACTTGTGGTCTTATCTCCAAGGACTTTTATGCTGACTTGACGAAAGGAGGGATGGGTGTTACGGGCGGTCGGTCTGCGAGGGCGTTGAGATTGGCTGTTTTGGAACAGCGTCAGGCTGGTGTTGATCCGAGATTCTGGGCGACGTGGGTTCATTATGGTCCTTGAAAGATTGTCCAAGTAAAGTTCAATCGGAGTCTGATGCATCAGCTGTCAGGATAAAACACTGATAGCATAAGCTCTTATCTAAGAAAGGTTAGCTCAACACCGCAAACACCGCGGATCTTTTAGATAACGGCTCCCGGGCCTACTTCTTGGAGACGTGCCTGTAGACCATGCTCCAATTAGTCTGCCAGCAGCACAAATAACGCCTTCTATCAAGTCTGTTATCTGTCAGTGGGGGTAACAGGGCGCCGTCTGCATAGTGTAGCAGCTTCTTATGCCTCAAATCACCAAGGCCGAGAATAGCCCGTGCATGTGGTAGCTCTAAGCTCAAGACTGCCTCAAAGTGGTCCTGGCCAGAGTGAGGGTGCTACCGCCAGTGGATCACAGGCAGGCAAACAAAGGATGAAGGCACACGGGTCAGTGAGGCAGTACAAGCAGTGACCTGGGTTAAAAACTGCATGTTATATAAACTCTAATACAAGTTCCATATATCCGTACCTACATCGACTTAGCAATTTGTCTGTTCATGACCCCCACCTCTGACCCCACGCTTTGACCTTTCCCCAGCTGGGCCGCTATAGGACTGGGCGATCGGAATCTCGCATGCCGGCCCTTATCAGCTGTAAGATTTACAGTTGGTACTCCATATACGGAGTAGGTGCTGTCGGAAGCACGGGTATAGAGTTTCGACGCGGCTATGAAGGCCGAGACACTGGCTAATGAGGCCTACACCACCTGGGTTAGATCCGAGAACAGACCCAACGCTACATAAACCTTCTAGCTCGTATTTTGCAAATCCTCCTGTAATAATGTTCGTTTAGAACTACAGTACGTACTGAATTGGTGCCTGTCCGGCAAAGGTTAAGCCTCAAAGTATTCGTTTATGATGTAAACGAAAACTTGGCACAGTGCCCTGTCAACTACGAAATCAACATCAAAAATTAGCTCATCAGCGTTTGGTACTTTGTAGACCAATCGGACCCGCCCTCCCCCTTCTACATTACTCTCGAGCTTTCAAAAAGACCGCTAGTTAACTTGTATCTACGCACGCTGAACCGCCTCAGGCCCCTGTTGAACTAGACCGCAGCTGGGTTGAGGTTGGTGGGAATATTGCGATCTGCAACTTGGCAGGTAGGTGCCGGCCGTGTCTTTATTTAGCAGCAATGCCACCTTTTCGTGTTTTGGTACAAAGTAGATAGACAGTGAAAACCAGTTGGACTTGATCAACTCCATTCTTTATTCTCTTGCGAGTCATTGTTCTTTCCATACACCATGCTGGAGACTTTGCTCTCAACCGCCTCGCCGGCTACCACAGGCCTGGCTCTGTTGATGATGTGCGCGCTCTTCAAACTCTGCCAAGTCATATACCGAGCCAAGTTCCACCCTCTCTCGACGATTCCCGGTCCCCGGTTTCCCACAATGTCTTCCATCTGGATACGTTGGCAAAGATGGCACGGCCGTCTATCCTTCAAGGCCGACCGTCTACTGTCAAATAATGGGCCGATAGTTCGCATAGCACCGAATATGGTGCTCATCAACGACGTGGAGTCTGTGCAGGCACTCTTCTCAAGACTAGACCTCGATACTGCACCGAAATCCATCCGAGCTCTGCGTATCGGCGGCCATGACTGGACGGTCACATATCCCAGCAATCCTGTCGCCCGTCCCCGTCGTCGCCCGGTCATGATTGCCACGACTACCAAGGCGATGCGCTATTGGCACCCAATGTTTGAGAAGAATATCGCGCAGATGGTCGACGATCTTGGTGTGTCGCGTGGCAATAGCTCGGAAGATATCGTCCATCGCTTGCGCATCGCTACCCTCTTGAGCTCTCAGCTTGTCATGGCAGGCCCGCACTCAAACCTGGAGCCGGGAGATTTCCCTCATGTCGTGGGCGAGTACAATTTCCTCGTTGTTTGGCGTCTCTGCCTCCCCGAGTGGCTCTTTTCGTGGCTCAAGTCGAGTCCTTTCAGCCATGCAGCCTTTCGAGTCCGCTCCAGTGACCGTTTGTTCGACTTGGGAGAGAAGACAGTCGAAGAAGCAGAGAAATGGTCGGGAAACGATGAAGTTTCTACTGTGTATGAAATGCTTGTGGATAATATGGTTGATCAAAGATCCCAAGACAGCAAGACTGAGATTAGTGCTGAGATGGCTGGCCAGATCCTCGCTGCAACCGAGACGACCTCCTCAGCTCTCGCTTTCATCTTTTACTATCTTGCCAGCACACCCAGCCTAGTAGAGGCTCTATATGCGGAGCTACAGTCGGTGCAAGGTTTCAATGGCCTAGAGAATCTGAAGCTACTCAACGCGTGTATCACAGAGGGTCTTCGCTTCCGCCCACCAGTTGCTCTAACTGGCAGTCGCGTCGTACCGCCAGGAGGGTTGAACATTCTGGGGTATTACCTACCAGCCGGAACCGTGGTGACCACACAGTCACTCTCACTTAGTCGACAGAGGCCAGACCTATTCCCCAACTACGACGAGTTCGACCCGTTGCGCTGGCTAGACACCGACACAGCGGTAGTCACTGAGCGTCGGCGCTACCTTGCGCCGTTCGGCTTGGGTGCTCGTCGCTGTCCAGGCGGGAACATGGCATCTTACCAGATGCGTGTGATCTTGGCAGCTGTCATCCGCGTGTTCCGTCTGTCAGTCGCACCCGAGACTACGCCTTTGTCAATGGCGCCATTTGAAGCAAACGGTTTCCGTTCGCGCCAGGACGCGTGTCACCTGATGTTCATCCCAAGGGATCTAGACCCGCAACCTGGGCCTAGAGGATGTGAATGCGGACCCAAGTGTGATTGCATCGAGTGTCATTGCGTTCATTATGAGGAGCATTAGCTTGATAATATTTATGTGTCTACGAGAAACTATGTATCAAGGCTAGTGTTGATTCGAAATTCTGAGCAAATTGGGTTGATTGTGGTCCCGGAAGGTCAGGTCGGGTAGGGTGATTGGTACGTGATGTGATTGATTAGCTGTTAGTTTCAACAACTCAAAATAATGTTCTCAAAAGCAGAGATCAGGCAGCATACCAGCTATCTACTTAAGGGCTCCAGATAAGTTGAAACCTTATCATATGATCTATAGCTTGTTCATCATTGCCATACCCATTTTTAACCCACGATTCTTATTTTCATCACATTATAAACGGATAAAAAGCCATCTTTCTTCTTTGTCGACTACTTATGTCTATTGATCGGTTTCTCTATTTACAAAAGTGTCGGACTTGGAGACATTATTCAACCAAGGTCACTCAAACAGAGTTCTTGTGAGACTTTTAGCTTTCGGGTTTAGGGCTAAAGACCCCGACCAAACACGCATCGCCTTTCAAGCCTCACAATACACTCTGACACTTGCTCTCTGTTTTTTATCTGTGTTATAAGCTGCCCGTGATGTTGCCAACGAGGCATCGCTTACCAAGGCATCCACCTGGCCCGGAACATGGTACACCACGTGCGCAATCATCGACCTTCGCCTCTCGACAGCGCCAAGGACTGCATGCGTCCACGGCAGTCCCAGCTCCTGTCGCGCCTCCTCGTCCGCCTTCACCAAGTACAACATCCGTTATAGCCACGATCCCTACTACGATGCCACTTCCCGTCCTATTACTACTCCTTCCTTTCCTACTCTTGCTCTATCTCATGTCTCACCTCGTCCTCTTCGTGGTGCTGTACCTCCTGCTATAAATCTAGCTCCAACGTCGACTCTATTGGCATTCACTACGGTCTCCCGACATCATCCGATCAAGGACCAAGCAATAGGGTCATATCCAGTGTTTGGATGAGCTGCCCCTAAAGACGAGCTGAGCTTAGGGGACTTGACCCTAAAATCAGATGACTTGGTTCAGAGCTCTTAAGTGTCGCGCCACAGTCTGAGACCTGCGCTGCCTATTCTTTTTCTGCTTTCCGATATTTCTTTAAGCAAGAATAAGAATGAACACTGCACGTCAGTTCCGTGGTACAGCGCGTGTTTCCGCACGCGGTCAGTCCCATGCGCGGTCTTCAACCAACGCTCCACGGCAGTTCAGAACAACGAGCTGGAGATACTTTGTTGCTATGCGAGCTCTGAGCCATCAGCAGATGATCAACGTGCCAATCTGCCAGTCACTTAGGAAGCGCCTTTTGTACCCAAAAAATATACACAAGCCATCGGAGTTTAAGGTTCACTGCACTAAACGTGGTCAAAGCTTTGAGCAACTGCACTAAACTTTATGATGAGATTTAGAGTAACTACTAAACTCATCTAAAGTGGGCCTTGCATGGCTGTGTCGCAGCGAGGTCTTTCATTCGCAGGGATGTGACAGCGCTTTCATTCATATATGCAGCCAATTAGATGGAGTCGGTGTTGGCCGAAGTTTCAAAGAATTCACGGCGACTACCGAAGGAATAGAAGTTTCACTTTACCCCGTACGGGGTATATTCACTAAAACATGTGAAACGTTTCAGATCAACTCATCTCTTCGTATCTAATCTCATACTCGCTATCCAGATAACACCAATACAGTCATGCCCATCAACTCACAAACTCCACATCGCTCCCATGCAGAAATATGTACAAACATTTATATACATGTCATCTCTCATCTCATCTGATCTCATAATCGCAATTCTACTTGCGGTAAGTGGTCCAAGCACTGTGCATGCGGGTCTTCTGACCAGGGGTAAACTCCTCGTAGCAAACACTACAATAACCATTAGTAATTATATCAACCAACGTTTCGGGAATAACTTACTCATCGGAGTAATCCATAAAGTTGTGGATGGGGTCATCACCAGCCTGGTTAGGGCAGCTATCCCGTCGGGCAGGGCATCCACTCGTCTGGCTAGCCTGAGCAGGGGTATCGCTAACCAGATCTCCACCATTGCAGCCATCTTGGAACGTATGGAAGAGGTTGAACCAATGGCCGACCTCGTGAACGGCAGTTCCACCGAGGTTATAAGGAGCCATTGAACCTCCGGGGACGGTCTCAGCGACAATGACGCAACCGTCGCGGATGAAGGTTGAAGATCCAGTTGAGACGTTAGGCTCAGGGAAGAAGCAGTATCCAAGAGCGTCAAGACCATCAAGCTTAGCAACATCAGTGAAGTACAAGTTGAGAGTCTTGTAATCACCCTGACGAAGCTGTCTCTTCATAGCAACCTCACCGTTTCCAGCAGCCCAGTTAGAGTTGGTGGTGAAAGTGGTATCAATGAGGTTAAAGGTTACATCATGAGGACCATAAGCATCGTTCAAGGCCTTGAGCTGGGCTTGGAGCTTAGCCTTGGTGATGTACTTTGAGGCGGAGGAGGACACAACGTGGAAGTAGGTGTCGACGGTGATGGAGGTAGCAGCGACTTTGGAGACAGACTCGATCTTCTTGAGGTTCTGAGCGTGCTGGACTTGCTCGGGGGTAGGATCTGCGATGGCACAGCGAGGGGGGATAGCACGTCCAGCTAGACCAGCGAGGGCGTTGCCGAAGAAGAGAGCGAGAGCGAGCTTGGAGACCATTGTGATGAGATGTGAAGAGATAGATGAAGATGATGATACCGACTATAATCTATGCAACTTCACTAGATATTTATAATTATATTCTCTTGTTGTGACTTACAGTATAGAGCGGGCATAATCTATCCATCCTACTATCTCATGGCGATCGTTTCCAATTATGCCATATCTCCGTTCATCCAGATCAAAAGACCATCCCATCACAGCATAACTCACCATCCTTATCTATGTCAATTCCCCATAAGAGCAACTACACAAGTTATTCCGTAAATCTGACCTGCCATATTGACTCATGAGTGGACGACTTGCCGCGGTGCCTATTCCGTACCAATGCTAGTGCTCGGAAATGAACCCCTGGACCTTCTGTTAAAGGAAACGGCCGCCGTGGTTAATACGAGACAGCCGAACTTCGGACGCCAAGAGACCTTCCCGTCTTGGAAGGATCTTCTGCCGACGCACGGGCTTGATCTGGGGCGGGTCTATCCCCTGTAAGCTTAAAATGAAGCATTATCGTATGGTTAACTACCGAAGCTTGAGAACTTTTGCTAGGCTTGTTTTAAAGTGATCACATTATCTTGATAGATTGTGGAGGTGATGCTGGGGTTTAAGCCGATGCCGGCTTGGCGAGTCGATTGGGCATCTCGGATCAAAGGATTGCTTATGATGGATGATTCGATGTCTCAGAATGATCGAGTCATTAGTGAAAATTGTTGGTCAATGTCCGGTAGACGACATTGCGTTTATAGACGAGTAGTATTCTTCTGAGTAAGAAAGAAAAAACAGGATAGGTGCTTCAAGCAATGTATCCATCATAATTCACTATACATACCCAGTCTCTGTGTTACTAATGATTGTTTACTATTTAAATCTACTTCTGTAGGGTAGTGTTAAGGATCTTATCGGACACTATCTTATCTCCCGCAGATCTCAATTAGACGGCCCAATCAAGACGCATGCATGGCTAATCATGAGTGGGCGCTCTGCAGGGACTTTTTCATCTGACGTTATCGGGTTGCATCCTCAATCAAATTCTGTGAATAATTGACAGCTGAGATATAAACCCCACACATCATTCCAGCCAGTCAAAAGCCGTAATATGTAAGTCGAATGGTTGTCGCAACTCTTATTATTCCCTCTTTTGGTAGACACCATTCGGTACTATCTATCGCATGTAAACGCCGACATCGTAAATATGCAGCGGTTAAAAGCATGCAGGGCCAGGTGAAATGGAGCATCAGGATTGAGATTAATGGCTCATTGTCTACCACCAGGGTTCTATGCTTGTTCTACACTTCTATCTAAGTGGGCTTTACGCTCTGTTCAATCCTCATCCCCAAATACGACAGCATGCTCAAACGCCCAGTCGCGAATGGCATCAAAGTTGCGACATGTATGAAGCGTGCTAAAATCAGGCCAATGACCATCATAGCCCTCGTAATACTTGAATGCAAAAACACCAGTGTCGCTCTGGCACATTATATTGTTTCGCAGAATCTCGATGCAGTGATCTACAGGTCAGATTAGCATTGGTCAGATAATTGACCTAAAGGGTTTGACTTACCAAGATGGCCTCTCAAGTCCTCAGGCTCAACCTCAATGTCGCCACCCATTTTTGAGTAGTAATCCCTGTAGGTGTCTTGCCGAAGCAAGTTCAGACAATGAAGCTGATGGAACACTTGGATTCCAACGCGATAGCCAGTATGTCCTGTCTTGGGATCCTTGACCTTGAGAGAATTGGGGTCAAGACCAAGCTTGTCAAGCTCAGCTTTTGAAATCATTTGATCACCGACGTCGTATGTAACATGGTTCCACGCTTTATCGACCTCGGGCCCGTAACCGACAAACTCAGACATCTCGAGGGCTGGAGTGATATTGTATCGGACCGTATGGAAATCTGCAACGCTTTGTGCGGGAGCTATTGGACGTTAATAGAGGTAAAAAATAGGCTGCGATTAACTCACAGTAAGGAAAGTTTGGCTGATTACAAACGCCATTTTGTAAAGGGCTGGCGCGAAGTAGTAATGAGAGGGCGAAGAACGCCAATGAAAAGGAGAGTAAGACACCGTGAGCTATCCATATCAAGATTGGATGTGCGCCTTGCTGTGAAATGAATGGCGAGATGTTGGTGTAGATAGGCAGAGGTGATAAGAGAGCGTTCTTCTCATAAGTTTGTTGCTCCTCATCTTCAGGAACTGGACGATACTTTGAACCCATTGTGGCAGAAAATGATGGACTAAGCCTTGAAAAACTTAGGAAAATGACTGGCCTGCAGTGAGAGAATAAAAGTCAACCTCCAGGGCGATGAGGGAAAAAAAGAACAAGTGCGACAAGTTTGAAGCAATGATGTATATATCAATGCCTAGAAACCTGATTCTATAATTGGTCCTCGTCAACTTGGCGTTTAGGTTCTAGAGTAAGCGGGTAATCGGCTTCCAATGACAACTCTTCAAACGCCAAGACGAAACGTGAAATGGTTCGTGCGACAAGTGAAAACCACGACAAGTCATCCAGACCACCCACTTAAAACAATGTTCCAGCTTCACGGGTTTGACAGACCTCGAATCAGGAATAGTAAACCCTTACTCACCGAGAATTATAGGCCTAGACAATATCTGTAACAGGGGTGAGTGATATTCTCAGGCAACGTGAGGCACTATACGTCGTAGGGGTCAGGGGTCGTGTCGTCTAGACCAATCATGTGAAACCAGCGAAACTTGTTGGAGTTTTATTTCCACCAATAGCGTGTCCCCATTGATTACAGTATGTCACTTCGCGTTTTCGCGTTTAAGCAAACAACGACCAGAGCCTTGGGTTTCGGCCAAGGTTGGGGTTTCATGATTGGCCGCTCTAACCGTCCCTACACCTTGACCCCAAAGTTACCTAGCGGGAGGCCAACAAGGAGAAAGCGCCTTTTTTCGTATACGGCGCTGTTGACTCAACAGAGCGGCAATGTCGGCATCATGTCCAACATGTCTTCAAACGCAAGCGCCAAGACAAGACCGATAGCGTTTGACGATTCTCTGAATTTGGGAGAGATCGAGGGGGGGGGGCAAGATCTATTCTAAGATTCTGGGGTTATCATCTCAAGTTAGACTTAACATGCCCCAAAATCGAGTACGTATAAGAAGCTTAGCATCTTTCAGCTCAAATCTTAATTTCTTCAACCAACTCACATTTCCTTCTTCAATCATCTGAGCTTAACTTTGCTTGACGCAAACGTTCTTTCTCTTCTTCATCAACTTTCAAGGCTAGTCCTACCTTTTATTCTACATCACTCTCATTTTACCTGCCGGTCAGAAAAATCACTTCTACACCATCACTTCCAAGTCAAGATGTATTTCTCCAACGTTGTCGTCACTGTCCTTGCCGCTCAGGCTTTCTCTCAAGATAGCCGAGTCTCTCGCTCTAGCTTTGGACAGGTTGCTGTAAGTTGCTCACTATGCTCATAATGCTCTAAGAAGCTAACAGGAAAAAGGCTTTGATGGCTGCTGCTGCTCTCCCAGCAGACGCTCTTGCTCTTCCCATCTTCAGCGCCGAGAAACGAGAGGTTAGTAGTAATAATAACTAATAGCGGTACTTCATCTAACAAACATAGCCTCATCATCAGGCCGGCCAGAACAATAACAACCAGGCCCAAGGCCAAAGTAACAACCAAGCTCAGGGCAACCAGAACAACAACCAGGCTCAGAACGCCAACAATAACGCCAACAACAATGCTAATGCCAATGCTAATGCCAATGGATGCAACGCCAACAACAAGCGAGATGAGGAGCTTGTAGCTCGTCACCACCAGGGCAACCAGGGAGGCAACGCCCAGGGTAACGCCAACAACAACGCCAACGGTAACGGAGCTGCCGCCGCCGCCAACAACTGCAACAACAACAACAACAACAACAATGCTGCTGCTGCTAACAACAACAACGGTAACGCCAACGGTAACAACAACAAGCGTGACGAGGAACTCGTTGCCCGTCACCACCAGGGAGCAAAGAAGAACAGGAACGGCAAGAACAACAAGCGGGAGGAGCTCGTCGCTCGCCACCATCAGGGAGCTCAAGGCGGCAACAAGGCCAACGCCGCTGGCGCCAACCGCAATGGTAACAACCGCAACCAAGCCGCCGCCGCTGCCAATAACGCCAACTGCAAGCGAGACCTTGAGGCTCGTCACCACCAGGGTGGCCAGAACAAGCAAAACGCTCAAGCCGCCAACTGCAACTAAGACGATAAAACCTCATCAAAGTCGGTTGTAGGCTTGGACAGGGATCAGCAAGGCATGTAATGGTTGTTGTGAGGTGGGAGAGATTATGTCTTGGCTTGGAGTGATGGGGTGCTGGAAGTAATGGGCTGGCCCATGGATTCTGGTAATTAGAGTGCTAGTTAGAATAATAAGACTAGAGAGTTCGGTTCAACTTTGTTGCGGGACCTGTTGGTGAATCACCCAGTGAATGATCTGAAGGTCTTCTGAATCTCTCCTAAACTTACCTAAATCTTCTCATCTCTTATGATAGATATCCTAAGTTCAGTCCCTAAAGGTGGCTTGGTCGTGGCTGGGTTAATCCCGTGGCCGTGCTGGCCACGTTTCAACGTGGACTCGCTTCCTAACCGAAGCCGAGTTGGGCTTAGTCCTGTTTATTAACGGCATCTCAGCCCCTCCACTAAATCTTCAGGGTCCTTCACGTGATACCCCTCACGAATACCTTTTTCCCTCACAGGGTGACATGAAGCCCGGTACAGACCAAACCGGGATCTCTTTACGTTTACCGTGACCAATGTACTGTATTTAGTACTGAGAAATCTCACTGATTGTCAAAATCCGGCGTTTTCTCGTATTTTCTTGAGGTTACAGTGTATCAACGCGGCTTTCGACTAACTGGCCAGAACACTCTACACCCATGTCTTTAAAGTGGGCTATCAGGCCACTTCTGAAAAGTCTTCCTCACAATCCCATCCCTTGAATCCTCCTCAAAACAAAAACACCAACGAAAAAACATCTCAACTCCAAACCTGGCAACTATTGATCAAAAATGGCTCCCAAGAAACCCGAACCCGTTATCGACAATGTCGTCGCCTTTGGACGAGTTCGCAAGAACTTGAAGATGGGATGCGTCGGTCTTCCTAATGTCGGAAAATCCAGCTTGTTCAACCTCTTGACCGAGCAGAGCGCCGCGGCGGAGAATTATCCTTTTTGTACGATTGAGCCTAATGAGGCGAGATGTGCTGTTCCTGATGCGAGATATGTAAGTTGAGATTCTGTCAAATATCGGTGAGGAGAGAGCTAACTTGGTGAAATTTAGGACTTTTTGTGCGATCTTTGGAAGCCTCCTTCTATGTACCCTGCTTATCTCCAGGTCACCGATATTGCTGGCTTGATCAAGGGAGCGTCTCAGGGAGAAGGTCTTGGAAATGCTTTTTTGTCGCATATCCAGGCCGTTGATGGCATGTTCCATATTGTTAGGTAAGGTCAGTCGAATAGAGTGGCGAGAAGCCAGGCTGACATGGCTTGTTCAATAGAGCATTCGATAATGATCAGGTCTTGCACGTCGACGACTCGATTGACCCTGTTCGGGATTTGGGTTGGTCCAGCACCTTATCTACAAGTGACTCAACTGACAACGGTTCATTTAGACACTATCCAAAGCGAGCTCTGCAAGAAGGATCTCGGTATGTACATTCCTATCGGCAACTAAACAAGACTAACACTGATCTCAGACATTCTGGCGAAGCAAATCGTCGCTGAGGAGCTGATTGTCAAGAAGGCTGGCGGCAAGTACAAAATGCTGCCTCTTTTCACCGAGACAACAACCAAGATCAAAGAAGTCAGTGGAAAGAAAGGGAGAATCGCGAGATGGGGAAAAGACTGACATGGAATAGATGCTGGAAAAAGACCAACCAGTCCGAGATGGAAGTTGGACACCAGCTGAGATCGCCCTCATCAACGAGAAGATCCAGCTCATCACCACTAAGCCAGTCATTTACCTCGTCAACTTGACAATGAAGGACTACCTTCGACAGAAGTGCAAGTACCTCCCCGGTATTGCCAAGTGGGTTACTGAGCATGGCGGTACACCTCGTGATATCATTCCCTTTTCGATTGAGTTCGAAGAGAAGCTACACAGCTTGAAGGATGACCCCGATGCTCAGGCCGAGTTTCTCAAGGACATCAAGGTTAAGTCAAAGTTGGACAAGATTATCACTGAAGGATTCACAAAGCTCGGACTGCAATACTACTTCACAGGTTGGTTTAAATCTTGCGTGCGTCGAAATGGATGCTAATTTGGGTGTAGCTGGCGAGAAGGAGATTCGATGCTGGACTATTCCCAGGGGTTGCTTGGCACCACAAGCCGCTGGCGCTATCCACAGCGACTTCGAGAGAGGCTTCATCAAGGCTGAAGTTGTCGCTTATCAAGACTTCCACGATCTTTGCGAGGGACAAAAGTCCATGGGCCCCATCAAAGCAGCTGGCAAGTACCGACAAGAAGGAAAATCATATGTAAGTGCACGCAACGCGACTCACATCACATAAAGCTCACTCTTGCTTTCTGCAGGTTGTTCAAGATGGAGATATCATCCACTTCCAGTTCAGTAAGCAATACCCCCATCATGCCTTGTGTTCTGTATATGCTGACTGTCTTTACTAGACGTTTCGAATAAGAAATAAGTCTATTATAGCTGTAGTGAGAAACTACTATAGTAAATAATGAAAAGTTTCTGATTTGCGTTTTATTAAGTAAATTACGTTTCTAAAGAATATATGTAATATATTTATATACTAATATCATATATTAAGTATCTGCCCTACAGCTTTTAGGCAAATGCTGCAACATTAGACTATACCTAACTAACAGAATTATCTAGCATTACTGACAGAAGAACTCAGTAGCGGCCAAGGTATTTTGATCAAGGTCCGGTGATACCTTCTGCTTGAAACCCCGATCGAAACACTCTCCTCATGACACGCTTGAGAATGAATAAGTCGAAGATTCAGTGATAACTAAAATGTCTGAAGTACTGCCCAGACAAGCAGTGACTGGGAGACCTCAGCAACTGTGAATCACAGTAAGTACTGCAAAATTGTAAAAGATTCAGCGACAACTAAGATATTGACAAACTTCAGCCAGGTTCTGACCAGTACTACCCTCGTCTCCTGCAAATACCAACTTGCCATCCTCCACAGAACACAACAAATATTGCCGATTAGACATTATTGGGTGTTCGTCTCGTTACAATGGCAACTGAAATCGTCCGTGCCACCTACGCCGAGCAAAGCGCGATAGAGACTTTCTTGACCAGCGTCTTTGGTGAAGGAAACGCAACTGTCAAGTTAAGAAATTCGTTGCGGATGTTCCAGAGGTGTAAGAAGGCTGGCCATACAGTGGAAACATGGCAAGTACCATTATACCCTCCCAAGAAACCTTACCGAGGTTAGTAATTACCAATTCACTTGCAACTACAAGCTTTTGATCTAACAGTGAAAGGCCGAAAAGGAAAAGATGGGGGAAACGGCGAACGTGGAACACTATGAAAAAACTGAGAGTTCTGGAACCAGTTAGATTGTCTACCGCCTATAACCTACCACCTGAACCATTATAAAGAAATAACAAATTTCAAATTCGTCAAGTGCACCTTGACTTATTCTCAAAACCTTAGGCTCAAGCCATGTTCACAATGTTTAACTCCTTGGGCCATATTCTCAATGATCTCCCGGTACGTGTTACAGTGGCCTGACCAGTTGACTTTATTACCTGTAGCTATAGTGCTCTCTGGTTGAAAGTGTACTGGGTCAGCCGTTTGAATATGTGTCAATTACATATATGAATGACTCTGCTTGTATTTGATATGCCTCGCTGAGGCGTCATAAGCTTTAAGTATCAATCACTCTGCTTGTATATTCATGATATTCAGTCCCTTTCATTCAAACTGGACCACGGCCTTCCTTTCACCTTGCTTCAACTAATTCTGCAGCCCACACATCCATTGTCTGCACCCTTTTACCATCCAACCCTTCAACAGCTCTGATTACCGCTTCTCTACCACTCTTGACCACCATTCTAACTTTCCTATCCGTGACATACTGCTGAATATCGTCAAGGAAACTCATACTTCTCACGTCCCCAACTTCCCAGCCCCCATCTTGCAATCCCGCATGCGGTATAATATCCGTCTCTCGCTCAATCTTCCAGCCAGCATCCTCGGCAATATTCTTGATATCAGGAGGACTCAGCAGACATCGGATATTCGCTTCGCTCTCTGGTCTTTGTGCTTCAAATGTAGCGCGTGTCATGGCGGCGAGCAAGTGAGGAACAGCAGCTGGCTCAGATGCCTTCATGGCGTACTCAGCAATGCAGACTCTATCCACGCGTCCCCTCAGCGCTTTGAGCATGCGAGTGAGGGTTTCTGGTGCATCGAGATACCACAGACAGTGCACAAAGACGGCGTAATCCCACTTCTTGTCTCCGGTCTCTTTTAGAAAGTCTTCAAGTTGGGCCTGCCAGAATTTCACACGCCCGCCCAAAGCGCCTTGAGCGATATGTTCCTGTGCTTGGCCCAGAGTGTATGGTGCACCGTAATCAAGAGGTGCGGGGTCGATGGCGTCAACTTGGCCATCTTCCCCAACGGTATGCCCCAAGACAACAGTGCATGTGCCCTGACCGCATCCAATCTCAAGAATGCTGGATGAAGCAGGAATATGAAAAAAGTTGAGGAGTTCAAGCCGGTGACTTGTTTGATCAATCTCAATTTGTAGGGACTCCGGTGTTGATAGGGAGTGAGACGCTATTGATGGAGCGATTGACAAAGGCAATGCTTGCCATGTTTCTTGAGACCGTGTCTGAGCTGTCATATGGACTTAGGATCTGCGAACAACAAATGTCTCGACGTAAATTTTAGGTAAATGAATATTCAAGGGATTTGAATCTGGCATGGTAAAGTGGTAGAAGCTTACACTATTTATAAGTGACCGATAATCTTACCTGTGACTCATCCGTTATCGCAGACATCAACCTCCTTCCTATATAAGCAATCACCGTTGAACGCTGACAAAACGATCAGGTCGTTAAGGAGCCATCGTGGCGGAAGAATACTTGGGCAACAGCGATATTTATCAGTGGCCTACAAGCTACCTAAGCTCACAATACAAGGTTGGATCTTGCTGCTTATGCCATGTCCTTACATGCCTTTCAGCGTTGGCTCTCCGTGCCGTGCCATCGCGCGCCATTTGATACGTGCATCCCGGAAAGCTACAATACCATTTGATGGAGCCATGCTGTTCGTCTTGATGACGGGTGCGATCCTTCCTCAGTGCAAAGCTTGCGCTGCACCCAGTCTCGGTGCATTTGAATGGTCTTGTGTGTGTTTTAAGATGCGCACTGTTTGCATCTGTTAGACTCGACACTCCCAATGGTACATGGACGTGATACTCACGTATACAGCTTTTTGACAGCAAAAGTAGCTTGACACTCGAGACATTGATGCGGACCTGCAGTAGGCACGCCACCGTGACTGTTGTCGTTTTCGCGAGAGCTGTGATTCTCAATAACATGTTCTTGCCGTGAATCTTCTTCGACTTGTGCGCTCTGTCCAGCAGGCTGAGGAGTAGTATTTGAACACCCCCAATCATAGGGAGGCAGAGGACCCGCGTTTCCGGACTGAGTCCAGTTCGGATCAATGAACTGGGGAGTTCGATGTTCGTGATAATGTTCGTGTTGGTGAAATGAACTCTCTAGTTCAGGTGGCCCTGACTGGTCTTGACTAGGAATAAAAGACCCCTACCTGGGAGAAGGACTTGGTGATGTTCTAACCTGCTGAAGAGAGACAAGAAAAGAAGAAAGAATACGACGGTTGAAGAGTTTAAAAGGAGTGTACACAGTTGGCGATAGAAGTGGATGCAACGAGTGACTGCGGAAGCACCACTAGGGCCAACCGTAAAGAAAGAAGAGAAAGATTCGATTATCCGCACATTAAGATGATCTTATGTAGAAGATTTCAGTCTAGATGAGTGCCGCCAATCGGATATGGCGGATTAACTCAGTCTGGCCGATTGGCTAAACTCTCCGGCTAGGCCTCAGAATCTGCACGATGATGATAGTCGCATCCGGTTGGTTGAGCCAATCATAATAATGGTAGTGAGACGGCAGTTGATCGAATTTCACGAGTGCCCAGGTTGAGAAGGAAGTCAAATATTCAGTACTTTCTCTATCATTCTGCTTCCGCAATCTTCATACTTTCATCACTCTATCACTCTAATCTTTACATACTCTCAAGATGCCTACAATTTTCTGCTGCAATGCCATTGAGCCCTATCGCTCGCAGTATCTTGATCATCAATCCAAGTTTAATAACTTCATGTCATGGGGGTCTTTCCCCAGAGATTCTACTCTTGATGAGGCCCAGCATGACCTCTCCGAGCTCAATCCTTCCTATGCAGTCCAGCTTGTTAGACAAGTAAACTTCGGCCCACTCGAGTCCAAAAGATACTTCATCCCTCAAGGTTCATCCGAAGGGCAGTACATCGAAGTGTCTGAACACGACTTGATCCAGGCCAACTTCAAGAAGGCTAATACGTAAGTAAAAGCTTCTACACTATTCTGTAACAACCACATCGATGATACTAACAGTCTTTCCAGCTACAAGAACTACAAATGCCGTGGCCACAATAAGTTCTTTGAGGTGAACATCTACCAGAAAGACCCCGTCAACAAACACCACTGGCGCGCTGATATTGCGAGACCGGCTGGTTCAATCGACCTCTAGGCTGCTTCTGGCGAGGGGGTATTGTTCGGGTATCACTGCGCCATCCAACAATCTCCAGTCATTTGACTAACACGTACTACCGCAATCGATAATGACGTGATACAAGCGTCTAAGATGGTGATAAAGCCGGGGGTATTGGCCTACCGGATTAGGCTGTATGTTGCACGTTCTGGCTAAGGCATTTTTTAATCTTGCAGAAGGAATCAAATGTGATAGGATATTCAAATGCACTTAGAGGAGAACTACTTGCCTTTGTGACTCCATGATAGCGTCGCTCATGTCTGCTTCGCCATACATGAGGGTCACCGCATTTATCCTGTACTTGGCCAACTCGTAGCTGGAGAGCGAAGGGTGCAATACCGAGAGTTCCTGGCTTCGGGATAGCAGTGATTTCAGACAAAGAGTCTTGGTTATGTATAAAACTGGATCTAAGTTATAAAATCATGGAGGTGACATTCTGTTCCCCTTCATCTTTGTAGCCTTCACGATCCAACCTCGCATAGACTTGAATGGTCTCAAACCTAAAGAGAGACTTGCTTTAAGTGCCGAGGACATGTTCTTATGTCTCTTGTAACGATAGACTCCGATGTACCACCAAGCCCCAACTGTGAAGGCTGTAAACCCTGCGGCTAGGACCACGTAGATCCAGAAGGACTGAGACACAGATATAGTGCCATCGTTGGATTTCCACTCAAAGAAACCCATCGAGAAGATACTCTGCACGGATTATCAGTAGGCTATCAAGTGCTTCGAGCGATTGCTTACTGCAAAAAAGGTTCCAGGGAGGAATATCATAGTGACAAGTGCGATGGACCGCATATGACGGGAATCCTGACTAGTCGCCAATGCTATTTCCACATTTGTTTCTCCTTGAGCCTTGACATGATGAGCAAATCTTTTGAAAGAGAGCGTGAGAGGGAATAACTTACCCATTGTGTCGTCATAATCATTCCTTCGTAGCCTGTAGTGCACTCTCGGATCTTCTCGTTGTATTCCTTCATAATTTCTTGTAGTCTCCATCGCATTTTAGCGCCAGTCCGTCTCATATAACTGTTCCTGAGTCGAACTAATGAAACCTCTTGATGCTTGTAAACTTGTGGCTCCGGAGAAACGACCCCCGCATGATGGCTGATTTCTTGGTTTTGCTGACCATGTGCTAGAGAGACCTCGTCGATCAAGTCATACCAGTCTGTGTCAGCGTTCTAAGAACTCCTGTCCCGAAAGACTGTCCGGTTAAGGTGATCTGTATGTTCGTAAAAGGCTTCCAAGCAGGTGCTCCAGCTCAGAAGTTGATTTCGGAGATACTGCATATCCAGCCAAGCTAATCTTCTTGCCTTTTTGCGAGAAACCTTTTCTGTCTCCGTTATGTGTTGCAGAAACTCGGGATCCTCGTCCAACTCCAGGATTCGCCCTTCGAGCTCGTCAAGAGTGTTGTTCACTATTGGTAGGTGGCGCTTTCTCTCAATTTCGATAAGAGTACTGGGAACTAGTAGTGGATGGCAAACCTCGTAAGTGGCCATCCCTAGCCGTGTCAATATCTCTGCTTCGACTGACAGCGTGCAGCCAAACATAACTGCGAATGTTAGGTTACAGTGCGGGAAATATGTTGATGATACCGCTAAATCACCTTGCCAAGCATTGGAGGTGCGGGCGTTATATACTAGAACAGTATGAGAAGCATTTCGTGTCCAGGAAAAGATAGAAACGGACCTTGTGCAGGTAGGCAACGACCATTTTGCCTGCCCATGTCGACCTTGACTGCGGAGAACTGTGAAACCGCTGCTTGGCTTACAACCCCATTGATCGAGTCGTGTATATAGAACCTCTTTGCTATTTCTTTGAAGGACTGCTCTGAGAATGGCAATTCCCTGACATCGAGGAGGCCATAAGTCTTGTCACGCGGGGTTCTCGGTGCGTGTTTGTTGTGACATGTTGCTCTCCTGATAGCCTCAACCCAATCGTTCGCCTCGATACCGTGCACCGGATCCATCTTGGGCTCGTCTCTCTTCCTGGCTAAACTAACAGGACATCAATTTTAGGACGTTTTAGTTAAGGGATGAATATACATGAGAACAAGGCCAGCGTCTAATCCTTCAAGCGTTGGATGCTGCTGGAGAAATATATTAGTCTGAGCAACCTTCAGAACTAAACGTTAATATAAACCTTATCAAACCATTCAGTCCAATCACTACCATTTGTCATGGTCCACACCACAGGCTTCTGAAATATTGTTAGTAAACTGCAACTCATTCTATTGTTGAATACAAACCCTTCTGTCTGAGAACACCCGCACCACGCTGGTCGGTCTCTCATGATATTTGAATACTCTGCTAATTTCGCCTTCGCAGCATATGGCTTGGTCATTTACCCAGTTCATGTTTTCCCGGGTTTGAGAAAGAAGAGTATGGTTTGATTAAAAGATTCAAGGCGGCTTGGCAGAGGAGATTTCCTTTTTTTATCTTTCTAGATGGGGCTGTGTTAGGAACACAACGTGGAACCTCTACGGTCTTGCCTTTGGGGCAATAAACCCTGGACTATGGCTGTGCCGAGACACGATAATGTTGTGCAATAATGAAACGGGTGACAGGCGGTTGAAAAGCATCGTATGAATGATTAGGCGAATGGTGTGTTACAGTTTATTTTCCCCGAAAGAGCACTATTTGAAATAGATGTGCGACTCACTCTGTGCCCGTACTACGTAGAGTTGGCATTCTGAAAGGTAACTTCAAAGAGAAAACATCTCCAGGGTGCCACGAGAATCAGAGCAGGCTAAAAATATTTAATTACTGTCTGCACTAAAACGAGAAAAAAAACTATTTATAAGTATTTCTAGGTGCTGGATTATTTATCCTCTTCCGATTTACCGAGAGTATAGCTGAAGAACAACCTTAACTAAAGTACTAATAATGAAATATATATACTAGTAATGGATATAAAAGTAAAATCTTTAAGAAGAACCAAGCCCAATGGGTTTAGGAGATAATTGCTTCAGCTTGTAAAATTCCTGACTGTAAAGTACCTATGAATAGGCGCAATTTCTAACGTTGCGTGGAGGTTGCTGGTAAAAAGACTCGAGATCTGCAGCGTGTCTGCTCGAGCAAAAGTTGAGTTGGAATATCAGTTGTCGATATTTATGTTTGTGGCCACATCATCATTGAGTTTTCATCGTCACGACTTCCTCCATCTTGGTTCTTTCATCCTTTTTATATTAGTTATAAACCACTACCAGGGTGTGGCCCACTAACCTCGGTAAGACGTCTTGGAAGCGTACAATGGAACTTTCCTCGATCCCACTGTGAATGTAATCAGTGTCTTTATTCGTATTAGGCATAAAAATTCCTGTACCTTGACCGCCACACTTTGTTGATCAAAGACGCTGGCTAAAAACGTCTCTAGGGAGCTTTTTTCAGTGGAGGATGCACGGATAATTTCGACCGCCATTGTAGTAAGAGGATAGTTATTTGCAGTCGTGAAAAGAGAAGACAAGTGTGATAGACCTTTAGAATAATGGAGGTTGCTTAGAACAGAATTCGCGACACAATACTGCAGTCAAGGTTGATATAAATACCACAGTCGTCGCTACAGCCTTCTGTCAGTGATCCTGGGCAGTTTGATAACAATGCTAGCTGTCAGTGATGCTAGACCTTTCTGTTGGTGATTCTGGAGTGTTTTGACGCTGATGCAGAAAGCTTTTGTTGGTGATTCTGGGTTCTCCTGACGCTGATACATGAACCTTGTGTTGGCGATGCCCAGCCATCATACCAGTGACGCCAGAGTCTGATATTGCAGCTCTCAGCGCAGACATGGGTTTCTGCATTGCTTATATTACAGGAGGGCAGCGGCGGTGTATGGTCATTTAGAAAGATATAATAAATAAATGAAACTGTCTATTGGGATTAATAGTAACTTAGTTATTTTCTAAAAGGATTCAGTTTATTTACAGTATATATATCTAGAAGTTATAAAATCTTAAATGATTTATAGTAATAAAGAACTACTAAACCATGCCTCAGCTGACTATAGTTGAAACTTAAAAATAATGCCAGCTATTAATATGAATGCGCTTAAAATCCCTTGCATTGATTATTTAAATGCTTACAAACAGCTGATGAGATCCTGAAGATAGCAGTGACTTTCAGAGCTGCAACACGAGTTGATATCCATCCCGAGCTACACTTATATCGACAGCTACTCAGAAGCACAAGCAACGGACCTTGACATTGTCAACTTTTCTCGAAAGTAAATACCGTTTTCAGTATACAGGCCATCTAAAACGCGATCTGAATGGGAATATGTCGTCTGAACTACAGCACTAAGAGAGGAGATAGAATACTAGGAAAACGTTAAAAATCTAGAGTTTCTGTACTCAGTGATCAAAGAGGCCCGAATGTCAGATAGCAAGATTGAGCGTCAAATACTAATCTATAACAAAATTTCCTTTTCCCTTTTCGCTTTCCCTACGATGACTGTTGAAGGCCGACGCCCTGCAACTTGAAACCCTCCACAAAATTCACCGGAGGAGTGTACGCCTTCTTGCCATGCGCAAGATACGCAATCGCGGCGATGATGATAACGCCAGCCCATATCAGAGGCGCCCAGTTCGCAGAGGCAGTATCGACGGGCAAAGTTAATGGGAAGCAGCAGAGAATGACAATGAACAAGCTGTAAAGCACAGAAAACGCGTTGATCGCCAGTCCAAAGCGTCCCAGGCTCCATCGGGCAGAAGGTAGCTGTTCACCTCTGATGCGCTTGAGGAGGACACAGCCAATGCTGAGGAGGTAAGTGCTCATGATGCCGAGTGTTGAAAGTGAGACCAGGACAGTAAAGGCGACGTCGGAGCCGATTTGGATGAGGCTCAGAAGAGCAGCACCGATGGACATGAGGTAGACGGCGTTGAAGGGCATGTGCCACTTCTTGTCCCTTTTACACGGTTAGCATGAGATACACGAACTTGAAGTGAGAACTTACATATGACCTATCCACTGAGAACCAGGAAGTCCCTTATCTCGCGCAAAAGCCCATGTCTCCCGAGCGCAGGTCGCCAGGGTCGTGATGTTTCCAAGGTAGACTAAAAGCCAGAGAATGACATTGAAGAACAGGTTCAGCCCTTGAGATCCGGTGCGATCAAAGAGAGCGATAAAGGGCCAGTCTGCCTCGATGATGGCGTCAAGAGGCCCAATGCAGAAGAGCATGGTGATGAGCATTATGAATCCGAAAAAGACATTACCCACGTAAGACCACCAGATGGCTCGTGGGACAACGATGGACGCGTTCTTTACTTCTTCAGACAAATGGACGATACTGTCTGAACCAAAACAACACCACAGAACGTAGATCTGAGATGAAATGTAGGCAAAGCCCATGTTGTCCCATCCACTCTGGTCCGTAAATTGCAAGAACACATCGTGCGCATCGTTCTTATCGCAGAGAACCCAAAGAGGAATCATGACTGCGAAAAATCCCAAAAGATGACCAATCAAGCTCGCTGTCTCGAGCTGCGGAAAGAAAGCAGTACCCCAAGTGTTGAACGCGATGGTGACGATGATGACAGCCCACATAATCAACGCAATGTGCCAAGGTGTAAACGCAAAATCAGGCTTCGTAACGTTGATACAAGCCTGCACCTGAAAAGCGATAGTGTAACAACTACTCGCGAAACTGGCCAGCCATCCCAACGTCGTCATCCACCCAGACGCATAAGACAGAACCTTTTCATACCTTGGCGGTGAAAACTCGCTAACCCAATGGTACTGCCCACCCGACGTAGGCGCCATGGAGGCCATCTCCGCCAAACTCGCAACAACAGCAGAGTACGCAATGGTCGTGGTGACAAAACACCAGAAAACACCAGCATATCCACCGTTCGTGAACCCCGGCGCCAGCGAAATCAGCACGAATTCCCACGTCGCCATGTAAATAGCCACAAAGCCAATTGACGACCATAGCGAAAACGTTCGTTTGAACTGCTGCTTCTTGCCGAGGCGCTGCATATCCAGGTGGTCTTGGTGATCGTTGTGAAAGCCATCTTGGTCGAGTTCTGTTTCTTCGGGGAGGAGTTTGTTCGCTTCTTTGGAGGGACCGACGGCAGCGGAGGGGTCTGTCGATGATTTGGATGAATCGTCGGCCATTTTTGACGATGGCGAAGGGACAGTGAGGATGAGGAGAAATTTACTAGGTACGTGGGAATTAGGTGGCGAGGACTATTTATTAGACTAGGTCTTACAGGGGAAGAGATTGAGCTTTATCCTTATCGAAGCCACAGATTGATGCCCCGCAGGTACAGATCAGTACTTTCATGCGTTATGAGCTACTAGTGAAAAATGTGCAGTTTCTTAGTGTGTGTGAGGCATTGCTAGGTACTCTTGACCAACCAATTTCGAGTCGGAGGCGGCCCGAAGGTCTAGATCCATTAAAATGCGTTACACTAAGATCAAACAAACGTAGATCGTCCGAAGCTGCGGGTCTGCTAAGGCTGAAACCGCCATATGAGGAAGCTGGCAAACAGTTGCGGTTTCACTGGCTTTCTCTTCATGTGAATATTTATTTATACAGAAATCGATAAGGTCTGTTAAAGGAAGTAACAAGGTCTCGACTAGAGTTCGACAATGGATTGTAGTAAGAACACGGCTTCTCCTACTCTGCCAGGCCCGCTTCCCTTCTCCTCACCTTCTGGATGATTTGCACGAGTGGATTATCCCTCACCTCTTCTGGGGCTTCTTCTCCGATCTCCAATTTTGATCCACTCGTCAATCTCTTGAGATATTCCTTGACCTCCTGACTTCTCCGCCAAGGCTGGTCCTCAAGTCCAAGGCTTGCATCGTCGAATGAATCTTCCTTCGAAGCGGGGCACTTGGTGAATGGGTTCGCGCCTCTTTCGATCAGAAACTCAACAATGTCCCAATTCTTGTTATGCACAGCTCTCTGTAGCGCTGTGCCACCGCTGTATGTAACCGCATTGATGTCGGCACCGTAGCTCAGCACCATCGTCATCAGAGGTCGCCATTCTTGCTGCGCGCCAGGGATTGAATGGCAGTGTAATCTTTTTACAACTCCATGTAGTGGACGCGAATATCGCGGATGAGCGCCATACTCAAGAAGCGTCTGTACCACGATCGTTGGACTCTTCTCAACTGCGAGGTCGAGCGCGAGTCCAGATGTACGGTCCATTGGTGGAGTGGCTTTCTCTCCCCAGTCATGTAGCCTTCCGTCCTTGAATGGGGCAAGATCAGGATCTGCGCCGTGCTCAAGGAGAAAGCGAGTGATATCCACATCTTGAACGCAGTGGTTTATGGCAACCCCGAAATGCCCGTCACGGCTGGGTATTTGCTGATTAGGGTGATACCCATGCTGAACGCACAGTTCAAACAGCGGGAGGGAGAGGTTATCGCAAGCTTCTCTCACCACTTCACCGTTCAGAGGAGTCCATCTTTCATCGAGCAAATATCGCACTATTTCAACCTGATCCGCCCTCGCTGCGTATACCAATCCGTCTTGTAGACCTAATTGTTGGAGCTCTTCTATCCGTTCTCCATCTTCTGTCCAAGACTTGACCTCTTCAAGCAAGCCCTTGTCGCAAGCCACCATAAAAGGTCTTATGCTCTCGTTGCTGTGCTTTTCAGCCCTCGTGAATAGTACACTTGTACTACATCCTGGAAGAGGAGGTGGCAGGGGAGGAAGGTTGAGATGTTCGAAGTAGCTGTAAATGATGAGCCTCAGCGGTTCCTTGGACGCATCGCTCCTAGCATTGTCTCTGTCAATGATATCTTCAAAAGCTTGCGCGTCTGTCTGACTCCAATCCTTGGAGTGGCGCGCGCGGAGTTGTTTGAGTTGTGCTTCATCTTCTTTGCTTCGCTGGAATAATTGTGGCTGATATGAATCGATATTGGCGAGTCTTGGTCTGGGAGGGGTGTCTCTGGCGAACTGCATATAATAGAATAGAGCCGGCCTACGCCCAGGACGACGCATATGACGACTTGTGTATGTCATCTTTGGTGCTACATAGCCTTGGGTTGGTCGGGTCTGGATTATCGCATACGTATTCCGTTTTGCCGCAAGGAATCAGCTCATTAAGCTTGTGTTGATACCTCAGGCGTCATATTGGTTGGTTGCCTAAAGCACGTCCCATGTTGTATCATGTATATTGCCATTATCCATCTTGGCCCCCAATTAATGTTTGTGTAACTGCAATAACTGTAATTTTGCCGACAAAGCAGCAATCGCCGCATGCTGTGCCTTAGCTATTGATCCTCTCAACTGAGGCGAATACGATACCTGGATTCGGAGCATTTGCCGCAGGTCCACTACATCTTGAATCGTTGACGCTAAGACTCGATGAATGTTTCACATGGCATCAATCAACAACCGGATAGTACGGCCGGATCTTTCGGTGTATCTTGCATGTCATCTCGTTCATAAACGAGCCTTTACTGTAAGACAGCATGATATTAACTTTTTGCCCTCCCAGGGTCCAATGTATCTGACCTTCTAGATGCATTACGCAAACATGGAAGGCAAGATCCAATAACGTAGCATCGAGCACCTTGGCCATGTCGTGCTTGTAAGCTGAATGGACCGGTAATCTGGTACCCAGCGGGGCTAATCCTAAGCGCACCAGTCCATGACACGACCGCGCATGCACTGTTTTCCGTATTAGTCTATATTCCTGACGATCCCCTGCTCGAGTATAAACTCAAATAGACTATTTTCTCACTAACATGAACAAAATACTACATGAATAATTCTTCCGTTTAGGCACAAATCTCTCCCGTGGACGGGCTTACGCTTGGCGGTGTGTTTTGTCGCCCCCAGCTGCGCAGGTGCAGCATGACAAAGAGTTTATATAGAAAACAATCCAGTAAACTCTATTAAAATTTGTTTTATCCGGCGGGCCAATCCTGTGCCAAGAGCGTACCCCGCAAACCCCCGTGTTCCCAGGGGGAATAGCCTGATTTATCAAGGGGACAAACTTAGTTGAGGTCATCATCACGGCAGTTGGTAACGTAGTGGAGGACTAGGTATAAAAGACAAGGCCGCGATCCACGATAATTTGGTTCATCAGGCTCTTGTTCAATCTTGTCAATTAAGAATTAGGTTCTACAGTCACTACGATGCAGCTCAAGTTTCTGTCTTCAGCTTTGCTGCTGTCTTTGACCAGCAAATGCGCTGCGCAAGATACAAATGATATCCCTCCTCTGATCACCGACCTCTGGTCTGCGGATCCCTCAGCTCATGTTTTTGAGGGCAAGCTCTGGGTTTACCCATCTCACGACATCGAAGCCAATGTCGTCAACGGCACCGGAGGTGCTCAGTACGCCATGAGAGACTATCATACCTATTCCATGAAGAGCATCTATGGAAAAGATCCCGTTATCGACCACGGCGTCGCTCTCTCAGTCGATAATGTCCCTTGGGCCAAGCAGCAGATGTGGGCTCCTGACGCAGCTTACAAGAACGGCAAATATTATCTCTACTTCCCCGCCAAGGACAAGGATGAGATTTTCAGAATTGGAGTTGCTGTCTCCAACAAGCCCAGCGGTCCTTTCAAGGCCGACAAGAGCTGGATCCCCGGTACTTACAGTATCGATCCCGCTAGCTATGTCGACACCGATAAAGAGGCCTATCTCATCTGGGGCGGTATCTGGGGCGGCCAGCTCCAAGCCTGGCAGGATCACAAGACCTTCAACGAGTCGTGGCTCGGCGACAAGGCTGCTCCCAACGGCACCAACGCCCTATCCCCTCAGATCGCCAAGCTAAGCAAGGACATGCACAAGATCACCGAGACACCCCGTGATCTCGTCATCCTCGCCCCCGAGACAGGCAAGCCCCTCCAAGCAGAGGACAACAATCGACGATTCTTTGAAGGTCCTTGGGTTCACAAGCGCGGCAAGCTGTACTACCTCATGTACTCTACCGGCGACACGCACTTCCTCGTCTACGCGACTTCCAAGAACATCTACGGTCCTTATACCTACCAGGGCAAGATTCTCGACCCTGTTGACGGGTGGACTACGCATGGAAGTATCGTTGAGTACAAGGGGCAGTGGTGGCTGTTCTTTGCGGATGCGCATACTTCTGGAAAGGATTATCTGCGACAGGTTAAGGCGAGGAAGATCTGGTATGATGAGGGTGGTAAGATCTTGCTTACTCGTCCTAAGATTTAGACTTGCGCGTGCGAGTAAACTTTCTCTTCTGATTGGAGGATAGTTATGAGTAGATGTTTTATGTAAAGAGCCAATATTATGAGTGGAGTCGATTATTTCTCATTCGACGACAAGACTATATCCATCTTGCTATTGTGTCTGTAGTGATTTCCAGTGCCTTACCAAGTGGTCCGCAAAAGGTCCTGACCTTTTATAATTCCTCTTTCCATTCTCACTGCAGAACGGGCAATTGTAATAATTATCTCTGTCTCTGAAACCAGCCAGAGTAAACGGCATGTCCCCCGCAGCAAGGATCCTCTCAAGATACTCTGCCAAAGACCTTGGTATCTCATGGAACGTAGTCCCAGCTTTTTTATCACTCGGTATCCGACACACATCATTATTTTGATCGACGTCGCCATGAGTTGTCATGCTGTTAGTAGGCTGCGACTTCAAACTAGGCGCTGCCTTCTCGTGAGGATTTGGATCATAGTGGATCGGCTGGAATGGGTCTAGACTTTTATCTGAGGCTGGGTAGGAGACCTGGCTTGCTCGTCGACTACTCTGGGGAGTATGAAAGACGGGCGACTCGGCTATGTCGTCGCTGAATGATATGATTGGGGGAAGAACCCTGGGCGATTCTGAGCGGTTGCTTCGGGTTGTCGGAGAAGTCGTGAAGGGGGAATAATAACCATCTTGTGGTGTTCTTTGGTGACTTGGTGGTAAGTGAGATATGTATCTCGGATGCGATAGGTTGATATTGTCTGCAGATGCCCGACGGATAGGCGGTAGACAGAGAGCATCCCGAAGTCTCTCCGCCCGGTTCTGAACCTCCATCTCTTGAACTGATGGAGGCGAAGATGAAGTCCCAGGTGCCGGCCTCAATGAAACAGTTTGATTCTCAGTTCTTATATCATCTTGCTGAGATGTAGGAACCCAAGGCGTATTCTTTTGCTGCTATAAACCTCATTAGCATGACACTCTGCATGTGGGGCCTGAGCACTGACCAAATGGCGGTAGATGCTCGTCTTCTCTATCAACTTGGATCCCTCATATTCTGGATATACTTCAGACCATGCTTGTAACGATCTCTCGACTTGAGGTCTTCCGATGATCCCGATGATATCGTGACACATCGTGGTGATAATCAGCCGCATTTCCTCCTCATTCTGCGCCGATTGAGCATGCGCTACATCTCCGCGGCACTTGGCGACAGCCTGTTCTATAAGCATCACCCGATCGAGCCATTCTTCGGTCGACATGTTTGCCTTTGGTTACCATAAAACAAGAGACATCTCATGGAGGGAGAGTCACAAGGACGATATTTGCGAAAATCATGTGAAGGGCGCTGTTGACAGGCCTTGGAAATTCTGCTTAGTGACTCGAAAGGTCGGGCAGCGCTATTGCTTGCCGAACCTCGGAGGCAGTGGGCGAATGGTTGCTATGCGGCTTAAATAGCGGCTGGTGAAAAAATTCATGATTTTGCTGTAAACTACTTAGTTCGCGCGAGGATGGGGATATTCTGGTTGGCCGATGTGAGAAGGGCAGAAGATTCAGCTGACGGCGGATAGATCGGATAAACCGGATTATGACGTTGGCAAGAGATATGTAAGCACAGCATCTCTATATCTTCTGGCCAGCTAACCAGTAGCACTTTGTAAATCACTGCAAGAATATCAAGCATTACAAGTGTCTTCTGTGTTGAGATAAATATTTAGCATAAACTGTTTCTCTACCTAACTACTTAGCTTGACTACCCGGGAGTGTAAGCTTTGAAGAGGTAATCAAGTTTAGAATAATTCTGATGAGTATTTCCTTATGACTCTCCATCATTAAGAGCTTAAGAATAAGAAACTATTCACTGCCGAAGATATTAGATCTATTAACTCTTTAAAATCAGCAGTTTGCTACGAGATATTCAAAAACAGCCATGGTGTTCCGCGGGATCTTTGTTTCACTAGCCGAGATTGCTGATTTGCACTAAGATAGGCGAACCATGATAGTGGAGTAGGCGACTGAAAGGGGATGAAGCTGCCGCCAATCATAACACTCTACATGGATCACTTCGCATTCCGCTCGAGCGGAACGAGTTTCTGTGGCAGGTGAAGGACTGATTGTGGCTGGTTTTGCCCACAAGCACGCCGAGAACGGAGAGAGCTCAATAGGAATTACAAAGCAGCAGTCGCGACCATCAGATGTTTGAATAACAAATCATAATTTCGCACAGTTAGAAAGATCCAAGACAAAGAAGTGCGATTGACATGGAGTAGGGACACAATGCCATGTGTAGGAAATGACTGGATCAGGTTATACTCTGATGTCTGTTAAGGAGTACATGAGATATCATATCAAGTCGCAGCAGTTATAGGTACTGCTAAACTCTTTCTGTTTTGCTGGGAACCGATGCAACTATCTAACCTTAAATGGAGTGCGGGGATTATCGTGGCTGGCTGTGGATATGGGACTATGCCCTAAACATTGGTCTCAGCTAAAGACTAGTGATGTATGATAAGCAAACTATTGACCGGCCACTATACGCCATGTATCTGATTATATTCAGAAATACTGCAGCTGCAGGTGCACAGAGTTTGCTAGCTCTCCCACATTGCTTATGGTCAGCCGCCCACCTAGGCAACTTTCTGAGGAAGTGGTATGAACTATAGTAAGCTGCATTAACGTGGCCAGCTGAGCTCGCACCGAAAAGACAGTTGGGGAGGTGAACTGGCCGTCTGGGACGCAGATTGTAGGCTATAAAATGCGCCAGTATTCCCCTCTTTGAAGTCTTCACATCGCAGATAAGAACAAATCGTGCTTCTTCTAGAATCAACGCCTCGTCAAAATGACCAATTATTCTCTGACAGTCAAGGTTCCAGTACAGAGCTTTCGGCAACTCTCACAGGAAGGCTACAAGCTCTGTTTTGCTTCCGGAGTGGAACGCGAGGGATTCAAGGTTATAGCATTAACCACAGGTGAGGCTCTGTGTTCCTCTACTTCGACCTACACTGACGTTTGTGATCAAGACATTGCGCCCTTCGTCATGCTCCAGTGTAATGATGACTATGCTATTGCTGCCAGTGGATCCAGCTTCATGGAAGGAGGTATGCATGCCATCAAAACCACAACTCGAAGGTTAAAATGCTGACTAGCTCCTTAGCCAAAGTCCAGGCGTACACTAATGTCGACTCCATCAGGCTCGGACAGACCTACACCTTGACCCCAGACTTTCAAGGCAGAGTCAATGATGGTGGACGTCAAGGTGCTATTCAGTTCAACAACCAGACCGACAGAGCCGCCCCCATTATCTACAGAAGCATCGGCGACTCCAAGGTTCCCTTTTACGTCGGGTCCCAGCAACTCCCCCGAGGCAGTAGTCAAGTGATTCAGCCTAATAACAGGGTTGCGGTCTGGTTCCAACGAGACGCCGAAACTGGCATGATGATCAGTAGAATTGACGGAAACTTCATTGAGATCGACATGTCGGGAAGGACCAGCGCAACTGTCGTCTCCAATGAAGATTTTACGTGGTCGCTGCAGTAGATTCGGCTAGTGCTGTGGTTATCTTAACTCGGGTACCTAGGGTCTAGCCATAGCTTTTGAACCATTGCGATAATGGAAGAGAGATCTCTTTGTTTCAATTGAGAAGTAAAACAAAAAAAGATTATGCGTTTCTACATGAATTCACAACCCAGTGGCTGAAGAGAAAAATGCCATGTTCTTGACTTGCGTGTCAGGACAAAACAAGCAGATAACAGGGAAGCTTCATGGACCTAGACGAATGCCACTATCTGAGGTCGAAAGGAAGACAATATAGTATCAGAATATATGCTAATTGCGGGATGAAGCGCGTTGCTGCTGCCCCGGGACAATAGATGCCAGATGCTCGGGTAGACTTAAGGCACTAGATAACCTGAGCGGACGAATCACCGCCCGAACTCGTTGACGTCATAGCTGAAACTGCCCGCGTCGGTCATCCATACGCGCCGTCCCGCGTCACAGAGTGATGACTTCTTCTGAACCAGATAGTCAATCAATTAAATACTCTCTGTGTATATAAGGCCAGCTATAGACTCCGGATAGTTCTAGTATCTCAAAAAAATACCGTTTTTCTATACTCAGAACACAATCGCCATCTTACAAGGCAGCTGCTTAAACCAATCACAACAACAATGCGCGAAATTCAAGAATCAATCATAATTGCTGCGCCTCCATCAAAAGTCTGGAGCGTCTTGATGGACTTGGAGTCTTGGTCAAAATGGAATACTTTTGTCACCTCAATCGAAGTGTACTCTCCACATACTCAGCTGGCTGTTGGAAGCAAACAAACTATCACGATCGAAAACAACCAGACATACACAAATATCGTATCGGTGCTACAGCCCGAAAAGGAGCTTCGATGGAACGGCAGCATCTTGACGCCGATTGTCTTTGATACGGAGCACTGGTGTCGACTGGAGGCTGTTGACGATGGACGATCGACGCGATTTACGCAAGGAGAGCGCTTTTCTGGCATTTTGGCACCAATAGCTGCAGCGGCGGGAAAGCTGAACGAGCTACGTGAAGGTTACGTGAGAATGAACGGAGACCTGAAAAGAGTTGTCGAGGAAAGCATATAATAATAGGTCTGTTGGACATATTAAATTCTTCGGCTCGGTGTTTTGTTTTGGCAACGCATTGACATTTTTTGTTACGGCATTGGTGGAGGGCCTCAAGATTAGGCAAGGCGGAGTGATATAAATAGGCCGCAGCGCCTATGCGCATCTTGGTATTGGCCATAGAACGAACTTTCTGATATATCACAAACAGAAAGTCCCGGGGCTTAGTTTTCAGCTCATTCGCGTTCGGCAGAAATGATCTGCCTTTTCTCCACTATCTCTCTGTTTTTCCTGTTTTTTTCTGTTTTTTTGTCCTCGAGACCCGGCAGCATTACCGAGCAAGCATAATAAATCATAATAAAAATCGCTTGGAACAGCCAACCATAAACGCTTAACAGCCCGTGAGAAAGATATCACAGCCAACCCATAGCTGCCAGCATGAAGTTCAGCCAGATGCCGCCTAGGTACCTGGCTGGAGTACTTCTATTTATTCCAGGGGGCCTGGCTGCGGAGTTTGGCGATGATTTCGCCAATAATCTATTCACAGATTTGGCACCGTGAGTTCAAGAACTTTGTTATATTATTTATGCTAAATACTACTCCAGACTTATCGCCCTTTTTGGAGAAAGGGTTACTATGCAGTATATGAGTCAGGCTACAGGCTGGGCTGATAGTTTTACTCTTGCAATGGCACCCCTTGGTATCCTCACGATTATTGTCAGCGCTATCAGAGTTGGAGGGCCGTCTTGGCTAAAGGCGATCATTGGTAGAGCTAGAGAAAACTTGGCTGCTGCTGAGGTCGAACTGATGTCTTCCACTTCTGTGGATGTCTGTGAGTTATGGAATGGTTCTGAGATTGTCCGGAGCCTTGGGTCACCTCCCGTGCGGGAGTTCATTCTTCTGTTACCTAAAGATCGGAAAGATGCCAATCTGCCGACTGGTACTTTCGACTTTGAGTGCAAAAATATTAAAGAGGCCGAGAGAGATGGCCTCTTGACCACTAGTATGTCCCAGCCAGCATACTCAACAAGGTAGCTAACTCAGACAAGGTAATCGAATCGGAGACTCAGAAAAGGGGATGAGTATGTGCAGTTCTGAGCCAGGTAAGTATCTCCGCCACCACAAGATTGATGAAAGGCTGCTGATCAATGTCGATAGACTCCCGAGGGATTGAACTCGAAGACTCGAACAAATCAGAAAAAGTCATTATCATCTATAACGAATCAACCTCAGCACCTAACATATCGCTCAATGTCCATCCGCAAAAACGAGCTGAGGCTGAGGCTCCACAAGCACATGCTGAGCTTTTGGCTAGTGTAGCTGTCAGCCTGACTGCATCTCTCATTCTTTCGAGCATCTCGTCAGTTACTACCCAGGATAGCAGTGTTCTGGTCTATGGCGCATCCACTGACATAAAGACTGCCCTTACCGCTCAGGCTTCTTGCAAGCTTATCTTCGCCAACTCTGATGTCCAGTCTGACTCAATCTTCATCCACCCCAGAGCCTCTATAAGGGCCATGCAGCACTTACTCCCTCGCGGCATCAGTCACTTCGTCGATCTCACCGAGAAGACCGACAACAAGATCAGACAGCATCTATCTCACCTATATAAGGCCCTCAGCTTCAGGCTTAGTCATGCAATGACCTCCAACACTGCTAATCTACTCGAGACTGCTTTTAAGTTCAGTGGTCAATCACACCTAATTCCGACAATTGTCACCGTTCAAGACATCACTTCACTTCCATCACCTGACCCCACGCGAAACATTGGACGAGACATCGGACGAGACGTCGGACGAAACATCGGACGAGCCATCATCGATTGGAGAAGCCCCCAACCCGTCAGCGTCACAATCCGCCCCATCAGCGGACAAGGCCTCTTCTCCGCTAAAAAGACCTACCTCATGGTGGGTCTTGTCTCGGACTTTGGTCGCTCCCTCTGTCACTGGATGGCTGAGAACGGCGCCAAGTACATCGTCCTCACCAGCCGCAGAGCACAGGTCGACCAACTCTGGCTTCAAGAAATGGATGACTTGGGCGCTATTGTTAGGGTATACCCCATGGATGTATCCAAGCGTGACTCTGTACAGGCTGTATGCGATTCCATCAAGGATCTCCCGCCTGTTGGTGGTGTTTGTAACGGTGCACTTGTTCTCAAGGATCAGCTCTTCGTCAAGATGGAGCCTGAGGCATTAAGTGACGTATTTGCACCAAAGGTCGATGGAACGATCCACCTGAGCGAGATCTTCTCTGAGCCCACTCTTGACTTCTTCGTTTTGTTCTCGTCAATGAGCTCTGTTGTTGGAAACGCTGGTCAGTCCAACTACAATGCCGCATCTCTGTTCCAAGCTGCCATTGCACAACAAAGACGCGAAAGAGGTCTCGCAGCGTCAGTCATGGCTTTGGGCATGGTCGCCGATGTTGGATACATCGCTGCGAAGGGTCCAACACTCATGGAGCGGCTGAAGAAGGCTTTCTACATGCCAATCTCAGAGTCGGACGCCCATCAGATCTTCGCTGAAGCTGTCGCTGCTAGCAAGCCTGGGGTGACAGACGACGACACGATCGAGATGGTCTCAGGCATCCAGCCCTTTAACTACACGGCTTCGACCAAGGCTCGGCCTCCTTGGGTCAACAATCCACGCTTCTCACACTTCGTCCGTGAGGAGGAAGGTTCCAAAGACGTTGATGCGGGTAGGGCAGGCCAGAGTGACATCCGCATCTTGGAACGACTAGACGCCGCTGGCTCTGAAGAAGAGGCTGCTGCTGCTCTTCTCGTTGCTTTCAGAGCCAAGGTTGAGACGATGTTGCAAATGACTCCAGATAGTCTCAATGTCGAGGCGTCGCTATTGGACGTCGGTATTGACTCCCTCTTGGCTGTTGAGATTCGATCGTGGTTCTTGAAGGAAGTCCATGTGGACGTGCCTGTTCTCAAGACACTCAGTGGCGACAATGCAAGGGATATCTGCGCCGACGCAGCGAACAAGTATCTCTCAGCCAAGATGCAGGAGAGCAAGTCTGAGACCGGTGATGCGTCCAAGTCAGACTCAGCAGCCAATGGGTCAGCGACCGGCACGTCAAGTGATGGTGGTTCAAGTCCAGTCAGATCAGGTCACGCGACACCGCCCAGTACAGTTGGAGAAACAGAGCATCAAGAGGACGTGAAGCAGGAGAAGGAGTTGGAAAGGGCTGAGAAGCTGTCATATGCTCAGGCGAGGTAGATGCTTCATGGCAGTAACAGGATGTACTTTAGCTAAATTGTATATAGGTTATGGTTTCTAAGTCAGTTCTCTAAGGATGACACCTCGTACAACTGCGTCTACGTCTATAAACTTACCGGAACCATTCAGATTCCGCGATTGAAGAGGGCCATTTACACTGTTGCAAATCACCATCACTCGTTGAGAGCATGCTTCTTTACCCGTCCGGGAAGTGGTGAGCCTGTTCAAGGACTCCTTGCGTCAGCAAGAGACTGTTTCAAGCATGTCAAGGATGAAGATGGTGACGCCTTAGACCGCGAGATTAAGACCTGGCGAAACCATGTTTGGCAGCTGTCTGACGGAGATGTTCTCAAAATCATATTTATCTCCCATGGAGCTGAAGAGAACTCCCTCATCATCGCGTACCATCACATTGCGATGGATGGCATTAGCATGCATCTCCTCCTGCGGGATCTCAACGCTGTATACATGGGACACAAGCTCGATTCGTCATTGAAGCAGTACATGGACATCTCAGTCGAGGAACGAAAGGCCATAGAGAGTGGCCAGGTAGACGACAGGATCTCTTACTGGACCAATTTGCACTCACCACCTGCAGAGACTCTTCCACTCTTCCCATTCGCTCGTGTCAAGTCACGACCTATTCCCAAGACCTACCAAAACGTAGAGTCTCTTATCGACATTGGAAGGGAGCTCTCAGACCAGATCAAGCGAGCAAGCCAATCTCTACGCATTACACCCTTCTACTTCTACCTTGCCGCGCTGCAAACACTCTTCAACAAGCTTTTGGATGTGGAGGATATCTGTATCGGTGTCACAGATGCGAATCGCAGCGAAGGTAGCTTACAGGCCATCGGCTTCTTCCTCAACTTGCTGCCCCTTCGTTTCAACCTCCAGAAAGATACGAACTTCTCAGACCTCGTCACGAAGACAGCCCAGCATTATCGAACAGCGCAAGCCAACATGGGAGTTCCCTTTGATGTCATTCTCGATAAGGCGGACATCCCTCGAGAGTCAACCAGTACGCCACTCTTCCAGGTCGCCATGAACTATCGACAAGGCAACTTCTCCAAAATCCCACTTGGTGGAAGCAACCTGGAGTTCAAGGACGGCTTTGATGCTCAGAGTCCTTACGATCTTGCATTCAGTATTACGCCTAACAACGACACTACCTACGTGCAAGTCGTTGCCAGAGAAGACTTGTATACAAGAGAAGGGACTGAAACTTTATTGTCTGCATATCTGGCGTTGTTGCACGATGCATCCCGAGATGTAAGCAAGACGTTGGAGACCATCAATCTTTACGATCAATCTCGTATCGACAAGGCCCTATCGCTCGGGTACGGGGACGTGGTGGACTACGATTGGCCCTCAACACTGACGGAGAAGGTGGATGAGGCTATCAAGAGGAACCCTCATGATGTCGCTATCAAAGATAGCAGTGGTCAACTCACCTACGGAGAACTTGCCATCAAGGTCAACAACCTTGCCTCAGGCATCCAGTCTCAGCTCCGGCCTGGTTCAACAGTCGCTGTTCTCTGTGAGCCGAACGCATGCTGGGTCATCTCCATGTTGGCGATCATCCGCTCCGGGTGCATCTACGTTCCTTTGGATGGGAAGCTACCTGACGAGCGTCTCAAGGTCATCTCTGGAGCTGTTTCACCCGGCCTCATGCTCTGTGAGGACTCTACCAAGCAGCGCGCCAATAACATCTCTACTGGGGCACCCATCCTTTCCGTGACTAACAGACCCGGCCCGACAGAGACGACTAGTGCGCCAAATCGAGAGCGTGTGAATGAAACGACTTTCGTCCTCTTCACAAGCGGGTCGACAGGAACACCAAAGGGAATTCGACTATCGTCACGAGGTATCATCAACTATGTCGCCACCAAAATATCCAAGCTCTCTCTTGGTCAAGAGGTTGTTCTTCAACAGAGCGCTCTTGGGTTTGACATGTCCCTTGCCCAAGCATTCCTGGCTCTTGCGCGTGGTGGCACACTGGTCATAACGCCCAGCGTCAGTCGAGGCGATCCACTCGCTCTGGGTAAGCTCATGGCTGATGAAGGAGTCACATTCACGTTGGGAACTCCGACTGAGTATCTCATGCTCATACGCCATGGAGGTCAAGCTGTGAAGACAATGGGCTCTTGGCGTAATGCGACTTCCGGTGGTGAAGCCATCACTGCTCAGCTGAAGGCTTCTTTCAGAACTCTTCAGCAACCTCCAGTTCTAACCGATTGTTACGGACCCACTGAGATCTCATGCTGTGCAACCATGATGACCATTGAACTCAACGATGACGGAGACGACAGTGCTTACTCGTCTGTTGGTCCAGCGAACCCCAACACTTCCATCTACATCCTTGATGAGAGTGGACACGCCGTTCCGCAGGGCCTCACAGGTGAGATCTGCGTTGGTGGAGTTGGTATTGCTATCAGCTATCTCGATGAGAAGTCAAGCTCACAGAAGTTCATCTCGAACCCGTTTGCGACACTCAAGTATATTGAAAATGGGTGGACTACGATGTATCGTACTGGAGACAGGGGCCTCATCCGTGCTGATGGCGGTCTTCAGTTTATGGGCCGCATGGACGGTGATACGACTGTCAAGCTTCGTGGACTACGTGTTGATCTTGATGATGTCGCCAATACCATGCTACAGCAGTTCAAGGACTTTCTCGAAGATGCCGTGGTTACCGTTCGTGGTGATCCAGCTTTTCTCGTGGCGCATGTTGTCATGACTCCAGGAACTTCTATGGATGGCTCGAAGTTGCAAGACTTGGCGAGTACCTTGCCACTTCCTCAGTACATGAGGCCTGCGTTGGTCATAGAATTGGAGAATCTGCCATTGAACAGCAGTGGGAAGGTTGATCGTCGTGCTATCGCCGCCTTGCCTCTTCCTACATCGCCTTCATCCCCCGTTCCTACCAAACCAACGTCAGACAGGAAACCAACGCTTATTGAAGGAGAGTTGAGACTCATCTGGCACAACGTACTATCCCAAGCAGGTCTGGCCAACACTGCGAGACTCGAGCCTGACACGGATTTCTTCCACGTTGGAGGTAACTCACTGCTTCTCGTCAGACTCCGCAGTGCAATTGAGAACTCGATGGGCATTACACTGCCGCTCAGCGATATGTACCGTTCAAGCACACTAGTTGGAATGGCGGGTCTGATTGCACATCAGAAGAGCTCCGACTATGCGCCTGAGGTAATTGACTGGGACGCCGAGACAGGTTTGCCTTCTTCTATCGACTTGAGCTACTCTCCCAATGCAACTCCTGTCAGGACAGAATCAGGTCTTGAGATTCTCATGACTGGTTCATCGTCATTCCTGGGGAAGCAAATCCTCCAGTCTCTCTTGAACCGTCCGTCAGTGGCACGCATTCACTGCATCGCTGTTGACCCAGACTCTGAGGCCAGTCACCTCAAGGATGATCGCGTGACAGTCTATCCTGGCAGCCTGAACGAACTCATGTTGGGACTCAAAAGAGAAACGTATCAGCACCTTCAAGCCACTGTCGACACTATCATACTCGCAGGATCTCAGGGCCATTGTCTCAACAACTACTCAACCCTTCGTGTACCCAACGTGGAGTCTACACGACAGGTGGGATTCTTTTGCTCTTGGTCGCCGGATTCCCGTTCATTACATCTCATCGAATCGCGTTACACTGCTTGACTCAAGCGCAGATTCTGCCCTTCCACCAGTCAGCGTTAAAGACCATCAACCTCCTACAGACGGAACGGAGGGGTTCACAGCAGCCAAATGGGCAGGTGAAGTATTCCTAGCAAACCTATCTGAAGCTGCAGCAGCGAATGCAGAGAGGCACCTGCCTGTCTCAATACATCGACATTGTGCTATTGTGGGTGACGAGGCTCCTATCGAGGATGCACTCAACGCTTTACTTCGATATTCCAAGCTTATTAATGCTGTACCACGTGTATCGAGCTTGAATGTCGGCGGTCACTTTGACTTTCTCCCTGTCACGGATGTCGCCGCCTCCTTCGCTGAGTTTGTCCTATCTTCGCAAGGAACGCACTCGGGCGTGGCTTTCAAGCATTACTCAAGTGGTGTAAAGGTGCCGCCTACAGAATTTGCTTCATACATGCAAAAGACATGTGGAGACGAGTTTCGAGAACTGGACTTGGACGATTGGATCGAGGAGGCTAGGAGCGAAGGAATTGAGGAACTAATTGTGTTGTATTTGCAGGCTATCGTGGAGAAGGGTGAAAGGATAACATTTCCGTTCCTGGGGAACACTGTGTAATTATATATAATAGGAAATCTAGGGGAGGAAATTTCAGGACCTCGATCCTGGATGACTAAAAGACTTAGGTAACTTAGCATAAGTTTAGGATATCTTTACTGAGTTTAGGGTACCTTTGCCAAGTTTAGGATAGCTGTTGCTGAGTGCATTCTGATATCCTATACCAAGGTCTGATGTTTTTCTCCTTGAGGGAGGTTTCTAATCAAAGCATTCTTCAGGCCTTCTTCGCCACTACAACGACAAAGTTGGGGTCCTTAAGATAATCCTCCCAGAACTCGTGATTGTTCTTGACGAGTTCTGTCTCTTCGGCTGGTGCAACATGTATCTCAACCAATCCGAGTTCCTTGCCAATGTCATCAGAGAGTGAGAAAGTCGATTCCATTGAAGTAGCCTCGAATGAGAACGGTGGTTCTGTGACACAGTTGACATTGTATCTCAAGCCACCCGGGATCTCAGTGACATCGGTAAATGTGACGCCGTATTTGCCATGGCTCATGTACTCAGCTCGAATGCTCTTTGACCTTACGCCGATGAACTTTCCGCCAGTCTTGAGATTCTTGACAACATTCTCATACATGCTTCTCAGCTCTGAAACAGAGGTAGCATGATCAAAAACCCAATTGGCCATGACGACATCGTAACCCTCCTCCAACTTGACTTGCTCCTTGACGGGTTTGGTGACATCAGCCTCGAACCAACGAATGCGATCCTTTCGTCCGAGACTCTTCTCAATTTCCTCACCCGCTTTCATCATTTCCGGTGAAATATCTACAACATCGACAACACTCGCCCCAGCATCAATCGCTCTTCTCGCATGAAGTCCACTACCTCCACCAAGATCCAGCACCTTCAAGCCCGTACAATCTCCCAGAGCATCAATCACAAGCTGTCCCTCAAGTTTCGAACAGGGCAACTCCTCCACAGAAGCATACTTGGGCGCGAACGAATCGTATTGCGTTTTCTCGGCGTGAGACATGCTGGGCACAGACACTGGATAGTGATCGGTTTGTTGGTCGTTGATTTGCGTGTTGGTTCTGGGCAATATCACTCAAAACCCCGCTCTGGGCCTTGGATATTGACAGGGATGTCGTGATTCTGATCTAGCCGTTATAATGCTAGTTGGACGTTATCATGATACAGACTGGAGTGTGATCTTATCACACGTGACTGGTGACATCTCATCCGTCTCCAAACCCCACTCGTCCCGACCGCCATTTCGATCTAACGTCATGTCAAACACTAAGTTAAATCGAACCCTTGACGATGTGCGCGGACGAAGACCCCCTTGCTGTCGATGAGCATGTATGCATCTACTGTGGCTGAAGGCTTACTGCATCCGACTAACTGATTGGACAGCAGGCTCAGGACGACACTGATGCTGACTCCGCCATTGGAGACGTAAGTGGATACTTTGAGGGAAATCACAGTAGTTAACGGGTCACAGGACAATGCTAGTGATACTACGTCGCTAAGATCGAGTATTTTGAGATACCGTGAGGAAAATGGCAGGACTTATCATGCTTACAAGGACGGAGGTGAGATCCTAGAATTGGTAGCAGATGCCACTAGAAGTTGAACTAATTTAACGTAGCTTATGCGCTTCCTAATGACGAGGTAAGCCTTTTTTCACCTTCCATGGTAGCTGCCACTGACCTGATATAGATTGAGAACGAACGACTAGGTAATCCATAGCATCCCTTCTTGATTATCATTCTCATCAAATAATCCCGCAGATCTCCAACATCATCTCTTTCTACTCACTTTCGACGAAAGACTGCACACAGCTCCTTTACCTAAGACCCTCAATCGCGCTTTTGATGCGGGCTGTGGCACTGGAATCTGGGCCATCGAGTTTGGTGAGTAGTACAAGCTGCGCAAGAATAACCATGGTGTTAACAAATTGGACAGCTGATGAGCATCCCGAGTGCGAGGTGAGTTCTATGAGGATGACTTGGGTGACTATTACTGACTTTTCAGGTCATCGGCGTCGACTTGAGTCCGATTCAGCCTGCGGCGTATGTATTCATTCTCGTGGTCATAGGGCACACTGACATCTCGAAGCATTCCACCCAATGCCTCCTTCTACGTAGACGATCTAGAAGAGTCATGGGACTACTCCAACAAATTCGACTTTGTCTTTGCTCGTTTTCTCACAGGTTCTATTCTTGACTGGCCCAAGTTCTTCAGCGAAAGTTACAAGAACGGCATCCCGACTCCCTTGCAGCTATCAAATAGTCTAATACATATTAACAGGAACCTCAACCCTGGAGGCAGAATAGAGATGATCGACATCATCTACCCTCTCCTCTCCGACGATGACACTCTTAAAAAAGACTCAGCACTATCCAAGTGGTCGGAGCTTCTTCACGACATCTTTACCAAGAACGGTCGTGGCATGGATAGCGCGCTGAAGTACAAGGACCAACTCGAAGAAGCTGGTTTTATTGATGTGAATATCGTCAAGCGCAAATGGCCTTTAAATCGATGGCCTAAAGATCCCAAGCATAAGCAGATTGGTAAGTTAATTGCTACTTTGTTCACGATGTCTCCTAACAGCATTGGTAGGTACCTGGGCCCAGCAGAACACTTTGGATGCTCTAGCAGCTTTGAGTCTAGCTGTCTTTACACGTCCTGACGGCCAGGGTGGACTTGGCTGGAGTAAAGAAGAAGTTGAGGTTTTCCTGACTGATGTGCGAAAGGATATTAAGAATGTCAACATTCATTCCTACTGGCCAATGTAAGTCTAAGACGAACCAACTAAGACTGGTACTAATGGTGAATAGCTGGTCGGTGTATGCTACAAAGCCATAATAGAAGTCAAGCGTTGAGACTGCGCCTTTGTACAGCCCAAATATTGGCCTTTTATATGCATAGGCGCAGATTAGTCGGTTATTATGTATCCAGTCCCGTTCTTCTCTGTAGCCGAAGTATCAAGCAGCGAATCGCCCGTCTAGTAAATGCGCCAGTCTTTACGTTGCTACCGAACGAGCGGCAACAGCGATTGGTACGAAATTGATGTCCCTATTTTTCTATGGCCTCTAGGCTAAGGGGTCGGGTGCCATCCTCGTATCTAGTGCTCTCTTGGTTGTCTTCACAGTTGTAGCGCGCGCTGCCGACCATGTAAAGGCTCATAGGTTGGTTGTTCATCATGTGTCTATTATGAGTTCATAAAGCGCCATTTATAGAAGGGTAAAACATACTTGATATAATTCTGCTGGGGGACACTCTGCACTGGAATTTTGAATCCATTGTAAGCAGCTGATAGAAGTTAATAAGTAGCCAAACCTATGGTTATAACATCAAGATAATTTCACTTACTAGACGCAACGTCGTGGAAGGCCTTCTCCGCTCGCCGGATCCGGACAGGTGTTACAAACAGCAGTAGCTCCTTTGCAAATGCCGCCGCCGTGGCAGCGGCATATTCCTGCCAAAGGTCCGTTGTATGTGAATTCGCATAATCGTGAATGCCGCGGATGATAAGGCACGGAAAGTCGTACAAACCTGCCGCTTCCGTGTCGAAGCACATTGCGCCATGTTCTTGACTCAGTCGCTGACGCGTTTGGCCGTCCTTGACCGCCGCACTTGCGGAAGCTATGATACCGTAATGGAAATATGGATCGGTGTCGTCTCGCTCTGGTCGATGAATAATGTGCGATTTGTCGCATCCGTTGCATGTTGGATCTCCAGACTTGACGTGATGATAGTCTGCCTGATAAAGTCGGTCATTTGAGGCGCCTTGATAACTGAATTTATCCCTCAGCCGCTGCGGAACCTTTACGACCAGCTGCGCGAGAAACTCGGGGACTCGACTGTCTTCACACATGTGGGTAGCTTGAAGACGAGCTAAAGCCGTCAGGAGGAGCTGAGGAGGGGCGTTGAAATAGCCTGTACGTTGGAATCCTCCTTGCGGCAAGATCTTGCCTCTGTCATGCTGCACCACTCCTCCAAGTGTTCCGGAAGGCTGGCTAATCACTACGTCGCCTAGTCGAATATCGTGTTGTGGTGAGGGCGCGCCACTGCCTATTCCGACCAGCAATCCAAAGCGAATTGATTTGAAGGTTCGTTGCAAGTCCTTCGCGACGGTAGCAACAGAGCACGATCCATAATTCTTAGCAGGTAGGCAGGCAATGACGACGTAGTGGCCCTGAATCTCGCCCAGGGTATAGCTATTATGGTCATAGGGATCCTGCTCACAGAGGTCTGGGTGGACTCGGTCCAGCATGCCCTTGGCAGCAGCCATCTCTAGAGGAAGAGCACAGAGCCAGCCAACAGTGTACTCTTCCAGTGCAATTGCTTCGTCGTCGTCGGGCATAATTACCTACTGTCGCTTTAAAGGTAAGGAAAATATAATTTAAACCTACTAGGTAGGCGAGGAAATGAATGAGTTTGGCACAACGCGGTACACAGTGAAATTGGCAAGTTTGCTTGAAGGGGGTAAATTGAGGAATAGCAAGAAGTCGTCACAGCGCGTATCATCAGAATTGATTGGCCATCCGCTAAAGTGAGACGAGACGAGAAATACGCGCGCTGTCAAGGGTCCATTGCTCTTGGCCAATCGGGTACAGTACAACCTCTCACCTCGCCAAATGAGAGGAGAGAAGAGAGATAACATGATAAGTCATTTTTTAGGGAGAATAGCAGCATCTACGGAGTATGCCTGCTCAAATACAACAGTCTCTAGCTTGTATATGGCTCTCCTATGAAGCAAGCCACGAAGCTGTTTTCATCTCACTTCTTTCAACCTTCAGATTCCCACACTTCTTTCAATTTCCAGACCATCCATTTTCTCTTTCAAATCTTTCCTCCCTTCATCCTGAATCTGCCGGTGAGACTTTTCCTCCGCATTCAGTTCATCCATCAGACTTCCTTCATCGCCTGGAAGCCTTCGAAGTATTTCTCCCATGAGTTTGTACTTTCTTTTTTTTAATACTCCAGTCCAGGACATTTCGTTGGCGGCTTCATGTAGTGGCGTGTTTCCTTCCAGGTTCTTGACAGATACATCTGCACCATGATCAAGAAGAAACACGATGGCATCAACGTTGTCTAGGTTCTTGACTGCCAATTGCAGTGGTATATTGCCGTCATTGTCTGTATCCGTGACTTTTGCTCCATGGTCGAGCAACGTTTCGATCGCGGCTATATCGAGCGGTAGTCCTCCGTCATAAGAGCATAAGCTATGTAATGCTGTTTCGCCGTTTTTGTTGAGAATGCTAGAATCAGCACCTTTCTCACAAAGGTACTGAAAGACGGCTGTGTGATCTTGTCCGCAGTTGCCATATTTCTTGGCTGAATAGTGTAGAGGCGTGTTACTGTCCTGGTCCTGCGCATTGATCGTTTCTGGGCTGCAGTCTAGCAGTAGCCCAAGAAATGTGGTAACTCTTTGCACCTTCTCCTCCATAACCCCGGCAGTCACCTCACGAGGGTCTTCGTCCATCCAGACCTGACAAGGCCAGTGAAGTGACATGCTTCCCCAGCTATCGCGATAAGACACTGCATCTGCCACATCACCAACTTTTCTTGCGCAGTCAAGCAAGACTTTGAGAGCTTCAACGTTCGCACACCGACTTGCCGTAGAGATGATCGTCACATCAGTGCGAACTGGGAATTCTTTATCCTCCATTTGACGTGGGGATCAGCGCCATTTTCAATGAGCCGCCGGATCAAATCGGCCCCTGCCCACTCTGCAGCAAAGTTCAAGGTCGTCAGGATCGGCACCTGTTTCTTCGTATACTCGCCAGTCCTAGGGTCGAGAGAGGAGCCCCACGTGTATTCTGTATCGGAGGCGCGAGCACCTCGATCAAGCAAGAAATTGATGACGGCCTCCTTTTTCTCAAGATTATCTTTACAATAACAAGCATCGGAAGCGACCATAATTGGAGTATATCCATTATAGTTATGGTGGATATCAGCTTGAAGAAGCGGATGATCGAGCAGAAGCTTGACCACTTCGAGATGGCCAGAATGAGCTGCTGTGTTCAAGACTCGACAGTAACGACCATCAAGGTTTGTTCTACCATCAGGCTTGATAAACTTAGAGTAGTGATACAGGAGCATTTTGAGCGCATCGAGACTTCCATGTCTAGCTGCCACAATGAATGGATCATAATACATTCCAAGAGCATGACCACTCTTGACTGCCCAAGGTGCTGATTGCAAGTATTTTTCTAGTGTCACTGTATCGCTGCGCTCTATAATTGCTGTGCGAAGACGGTAAAATTGTTGTTCACAAATAGTTGATCCGTCAGTATCAATAATTGTGGGATATTCCGTCAATGGGTTGAGAAGTTCCGGCTCAACAGATCGGCGACTTTGACGGAACGCCTCAACTGGGGACGTAACGGTCATTGCGAAGACAGTAGCAGTTATCGAATATGATACTATTGAACTGGGAAGAGGAAATAAAAAAAAGAAAAAAGCTTATATAGGCAATAGTTCATATTAAAAGACTCTCAGCTATAGGTAGTCCTGTATCCATGTCGATAAATTCTCATAAACTACCCTGAACCTACTCAGTCTCCTGTACCCGGATGAGTCAGGCCGTCAATTATCCGGATAATAGCCCGAAGCTCCATAACACACGCAAGCTGCTAACCGAGCTTACAAGACCCTGGAAAGCATTTGTCACAACGAACCATTGCATCAAGTGACCCACTGGAACGAGATTTTCCGGGAGCATTAGCCTATTATTTGTGAGTCCAAGCTTCCGGGATTGATGACCCGGGGAGTCGGGTAGCGGATCCTGGATTCTGAGTGGCCACAACCGTGATACTAAGACCAAGCTAGCTAGTCGATCGTAATAATCCTTGACGCCAATCGATTTTATCGTGAACCTTGAGCTAATGATTCAACCCAGGCAGAGTCAGAAGAAATTTCATTTATCAGCAAAAACAAGAAAGAGATCTACGGATATAGCAAGAGTCTATGAGAGTGATCGTGTTCTTACTCTATTCAGAAGAATATAGTTATGGCTAATAGCCAAGGCTGCAGCACACGATCCCGTCATCCGTATCCATCATCGCTAAAATCTCTAGTCTCGGCCTAATGAACCGGAAGCGATCGCTTCATTTAGATTTCAGGCTCACCGCAAGCTAGCGACAGCGGAAGCTGGAAAATTCCGGGTTCGCGCTAAGAAGGCGGGGATCGATGCTCCATATATCGTCCCATCTTCATCTTATTCCTCGATTCGATTTCGACCTTGATGAGAGCATACATCATATCTTGGCTCTTAAGTCCGTCTTCTGTCCGATCCGGCAACTTCTCAGCTCTTTACATACCTACAAACAATTAAGGCAGTTGGTACAGAACAGCCACCGTCAACATGAGCAATTTACCGACAGCTGTCCCTCGAGGCTCATGGGTCCTCGTGACGGGAGCGAATTGTTACACCGGTAGCCATGTGGTCATAGAGCTTCTGAAGCAAGGCTTCAAGGTACGCGGAACGGTGAGAGATCTCTCGTACAGCAAGTGGCTCCTCGAGCACCCAGCTGTGAAGCCGCACGCAGACGAAGGAAAGGTGGAGTTGGTTGTCGCAAACACATCAAAGCCCGGAGATTTCGATGAGGCGGTCAAAGGCGTCTCGGCTATTATCCATCTCGCCAACATCGGCGATTATACGCCAGACCCAAATGTCGGTTTCGCATCAGCCATTGAGGCTGCTTTGACCGTTTGCCGATCTGCAGCCAAGGAATCGTCAGTCAAACGATTTGTGGTGGCAGGTGGACTATGGTCATCAGTCTGGCCTAAGCCCGGGGAGGCCAAGACTGTTGGACAGGATACGTGGAACGACGATCTGGTCAAGGTCGCACAGGCGCCACCACCATATGAGTTGAGCCGTATTCTTCCAGTGTACTTGGGTGCCAGAGTCGAAGCTGAAAAGGCGGTATGGAAGTTTGCAAAAGACGAGAATGTCCCATGGGAAGTCAATACAGTTAGTCCTTGTTGGACTTTGGGTGATCCTCTGGACGCGAGACACTATGGGCCTATGCCTACTCAACTCTTGCAGCAACTATACCTTGGCAAGATCGAAGCCCTGAAGGATAACACAACGGGTAAGTTGACGGATAAATAAGTCAAGAACCTCAAGAGTACTGACGAGATAGTCTATTACACTCACGTCTCCGACGCGGCTGTTATTTACGTTGCAGCCACCATCGACCCAGATGTCAAAGGCGCTCGTATTCCAGCACTAGCCGAGTCTTTCAACTGGAACAACGCTTTGGCCATCATGCGCAAAGCATATCCCGAGGAGGATTTCGAAGACGACTTTATTCCTGGAGACCCTGTTTTAAGCTACAAGATTGAGAACGATATTGCACCCGGGCTGCTGCAAAAATGGGCTGGAAGGGAGTGGATCAGCCTCGAGAAGGGAATTACTGAGACTATCGACTTCTCGAGGAAGCTGGGTAACTTGGACTAGTCTGATTACTCGAGAGTGGAAGAAGATGACGGAAAAGCTTTCAATGGGTTTATGTAAAGTATGTGCTGAGCTGTTACGAGATTTGGCAGAATGAGATTTATGGAAACGGGGAATACTACTTTGAGCCACGCAAGAGGACATACCACGTAGATGGTATCCCTAGGCTTTGCCTGCAGGCTGTTCCAGTGGCTTTCTTCCATAAACCACGTAACTATTGATGCAAACGTCAGAAGATAATCACAGTAGTATGAAGTGTGAAAATGACTTACACCGGGATGTACGCATGAATACTTCGATCGCGAAGCTGCTTTCTCATCGCACTGCAGAACACACGGACCTCATCCGCACTCCAACCCAAAAACCTCGTGAACAATCCAAGCAACAGACCTTCCAAGCCATTGTTAATGTTAGCATAAGACCACTTGCCTAATTCCTTGTAGTGCTTATCCTTGGGCCATTCGTTGATAGGCCACTTGAACTGTTTCTCCACCACATCGACAAATCCAGCCTTTTCAAGGAAGCTCTTGTACTTGGGAGCAAGGTTAATGGCTCTTCCTGCTTTGGCGCTGGCTTCGATGCTGAGAAGACCGGAGCGGAGGACCTCGCAGTCTGGGGGGAGGGTTCCGTCATCGCAGGCGATGGGGTAAGTTAGGTCTTGCATTTCGAGATAGCCGCCTGGTTCAAGATTACTGTCGGACGTTAAGAGGAGAGTGGTGATCAGATGGGGCTTGACTTACTCGTAGGCGTTTTGAACGAATTTCTCCATATCGGCGAAGGATCCTGTCATGACGCGGCAGAAGATAAAGTCGAATGGCTCTGTCCACATCCACTCTTTTTCGAGATCATCGATTTCAAAGGTGCAGTTCGGTGGGACCCTAAGGGAAAGGTCAACCATATGAAGTCTGAGATTGAGGGCAAGCTATACAATGAAGGTTGAATAGGGCTAAGGTCTACGCCGACGACCTGAGCCCGTTAGTTGATGTAATCTTGCTGACAAAAAAGAGGAATCATACCTGCGCTTCGGGATGAAGATCGGCTGGATCAGATTGTCAGTAAAGAGATTGGTTCACGAGTTGCCTTACGCACCATATTCGATAGCCCAAATGCCAGTTCCAGTACCAACATCCATGACCCTCTTGGCAGGCTCCGTGATCTTTGGACTGAGCCCGAGCTCTCCGTGAAGGGTGAGTAGCCAGAGATTATGCTGAAGATCTTCACCAACACTCAGCACGTAGCATAAACTAAGGATTACCGATAGACTTACCCAAACGGTCACTTTCGGAAGCGTCGTTAGGAAAATTGTATTCTGGATGGTTTGTTAGTCATAAACGAGACGTCGAGTAGAATGACTCACTTCCAGAGCTCATCGCGTGGTAAGTTCTTCCATTTTCTTCTTGGAATCGCAAGACGCTTGATCGAAGTGACTCTAGGCTTTCTGAATCGGTCTGTGATTGTTTAGCTCTAACTCTAGGTGCGATGTCACACATGCGATCTGGCGCCACTGGGAGACTCGTAGCTGAACTTACACCTGAAAAAGTCGAGTCGCTATCGTCAAAGGTATCGGCTGCCTGTTCAGCAAGGTCAGCATTGTTCAACGCAGCCAATATCGCAGTGTCTGTATACCAATGCCTCGTGCGGCTCCTGGGTTGGCGCCGACATCATGTAATGCGTCTGTTTGCCGGTAATATGTAGCAGAGGGTTGATGAGTATCAATGAATTGGAGAAAGGTGTTGACTTGCGAAAGGACAGCAATAAAGCCTTTAACAGTCAGGTGATCTTCGGAGTTCGGCTCTGGATAGGCAGGAAAAAGAAAAACACCTCATTTGCGATCATACAATACTCCCTGGTTGAGTAACGTAATCCGATGCATGTAATGGGCACAGCGAGAGACCCAACCAACAGACCCACCAACGTCGCAATGATGCTCTTATTGGGTATTATTTATCCCTGGGGGCTTTCTTGAATGGTAATTCGTTGACGAACGAGGTTGAACGTGAAAGATTTCCCATTGAGTCATCTATAGCCTTGGCAAAGAATGAAGACAAGATCATAGATGATTTACGTAACCGCGGATGGCACCCGCTAGACTAGGCAAGTAATAACCTCGCTATATGATCACCTAAGTCTGATCAACACTTCCTCAGGCTCTAGCTTCAGCCATTGATCCAATGATATTTCAGGACAAACCTGGACTCTTCGAGCGAGGCCGTCATCTTCTCTGGATATACACATCAAATCAAGTACAAATCGTTTCCTTGAACATAAGTCCTGCCACCGAGAGATAGCTGCATCATAACTCCATTGATCGGAAAACAAGCGACCGCTCATCTTTGCATTATATCGGCTCGTTCCACAACCGGCTGGATATCCGGAGTACTGCGGAGGCTCGGGATCCGTCAGTTTGGCAGTGGCAAAGACGATAAACTCCAGCTTATCTGGCTGTTTGGCACGCCAACCAGGATCACACTGTAGGCTTCCAATCGAATACCCGTCGTTACCTATCATATTAAAGTGTGGTAGCCCAGTCCTGCCATCGGGCTCTTTGGCGACTGTGATATGAGCAGCTGAGGTTTTGAACTCAAGGATGGGATCTTGCGGCGCGAAAGGACTTTGTGATACACGCACTGGTGAGAGATATTTATTGTATCTTTCACGCAACGTTTTGTCGATGTCTGTCTCTTTGATGATGCCAGACCTACCCCAGGCACTCTCTCGCCCTCCACCAGACGTCCGTGTACTAGAAGGTACGTCAAGACGCCACTCGACTGGACCCAGGAAGCCAGACCAGCTCCAACTAGGGAAGTCAGGTCGCTGCTTGTCAGGATCGGGGTCATGGCCATGAAGTGGTTGCCATCCCAACGCAAATCCAAACTGGTCCAAAGGAAGACCGAAGCTACAAATCGATCCCCACTTCTTGTCTTCCTCCATCCACTGGACTGCGGCAGCCCACGCATTGAGGATATCCTCAGGATGACCCAGGGTTCGTTTGGTGTACTCTTCGACGATTCTGTAATAGCCCCCCTCTGGGTACGATCCGTTTGAGCGGAGGAGCATCAGATCCTTTATTCTCCCGGCCTCTCTCGTTTCTGTGTTTGCTGAAGCTGCCAGCGCACTACCGCCTGGTACTTCCCATACACTTTCCTCGCAGTACATCGTCTCCCGACAGAGGAAGAAGGTTTGTGACTCTGTGAAGAAAAGGATTCGTCTAGAGAATGCTGCTTCTTGGAATGTCCAGCCGCGACTGAACCAGACTGAGCTCTCGATTTCTGTGAAAAGAGATGGGTAGCACGTCATGACACTCAAACCATTTATGGTAGCCCGATGCTGTGGCTCAGGATGCCTGGCGCCTGGCCGAACTCCCGGGAGGGGGTCAGAAAACGTTGTGCCGCTTAAGGCCACCAGAGTACAAGCTGCTCCAGAGTAGATTGACGCCATGTGGTGAATCTCGGGGTCGGTCGACCCCGGTTTCTGGGGAATGCACAATTGATCGACCCACAAGAAACGGAGACCGATCTGACGACAGAACCTCATGGCATCAGTGATGGTATCGCCCAGAATGATGCCCGGTGCAGAGAGACTCCCTGGCTTTCGGAGCTCCTCCTCGTTCGAGGTCTTCAGCTGTGTACCAGGTGTACCACCACCCCAAACATAACTCAAAGCGGCATAGCTATAATTTGAAGAGGATCCAGAGACAATGCAGCTACTCTGAACGTCGATAAGCCTGTTTGGTCGAGTTATCTTGCCCACTGGCCTGTACTCCCTGCACTCCTTGTGCTGCTCATTGCAGAGACTCAGCCAGGTTTTACAGAGCTCAAAGTCGATATCCGTGCTGACGGAACGACCACCGAAACAGCTCCCAAATTTTATGTTGAGTTCTTTGTTTGCTTGAAGTCCCGAACGCGACTCCGCTTCTTTCTTGACTTGACGTGCACGCTTCCAAGCTGCAGTAGGAGAGAGCTCTGGAGAACACAGCTGAAGGCCACGAATCATGAGTGTTTCATGGCTGGGATGTCGATATGTACCGCTATGGAAGCCAATACACTGAGTGAATTCGTCGTCAAACATGCCCGTTCCTATCTCGACCGCCGTAATCACCATCTCATCTTCTCCTGCATCTGGGAAAGGGTCGGGTACGCGTAGACGGTTCGGGGTTCGTGTTATTGTCCGAAATGTACTTATCTGATGGAAAGTCAACATGCAAAAGGCACAGCACTTTGCATGCATTTTGATGTGCTGCCAGGTTCTCGGGACTTGTTTGTTAGTATCGAGATCTGCCCGGTAAGGGTTGAAGCCATCAGGGTAATTGCCGTAATCGCGGCCTGTGAACATGCCGTGGAAGTCCACATTCCTGCAGATGTTGCAGAGACTGCCGTATGACATATTGACTTGGCTGTCTGCCACGACAACTTTACATGCAGGTAGATGGGTTACTGGAGATGAGAGACTTTTATTGAGGGCGCAACAGTGAGGCGAAATGGCAGTTATAACCTTGAAGCAATAGTTATACCCACGGGAAGTTGTACTACAGCACAGTGGGAGGGTGAGCCAAATTTAATCGTTCCGCAGAAATTGAGGAAACGGACAAATCCCGCACACCGGTGACCTGACCCCAAAGGTCATGCAGCATATGATCCAAAGCTGCGTTGCAGCCCATCTGGCTTTTGGAGTACCACTATTGGGTGATCATGCTAAACCTGTGGATCCCTGCTATATACGTGGCACCAATATAAAGACGCATGAGAATATCAGGGCTGCTTACAGCTGCAGCCAAGACGCGCGTCCAGCGCAGTGAGTACTCACTGAGAAGGCTTTCGGCACTGAGGATCACATCGTACGGAAAAGGACGAAGCTGCAAACTGGTATTATCGAGAACTAAGGGCAAAGTGACAGAGACAATGGATGATATAAGAGCCCGCTGTTCATTTTCACTTCAAGGAACTTATGTTTCTCCAGAGTACTGACTATTGTTCAGTCATGCAACAAAAGTTTGACCTCTCTAGATGTAGCCAACTGCTTAATCCTCCTGATATCAAACATAATCGGATCATCCACAAATGCTTCCGAGAGATCCAAGACCTTCAGCTTGCTAAACCGCCCCTGTGGTCCGGTCTCTTCAAGTAGTTCTATAATACCCTCCAGGTATGGCTCAAGGAACGGGTCATTACTACTGCCGACCCACGTTTCGATGAACTTATGGGAGCGAGGCCTGAGAACTTGGATATCTTTGGGTATTCGATCAAGGACGATCTTGATGCAGCTCTCATGGGCATCTTCAAAGAAGTCGACGATATGAACCGCAAGCGTATAGATACGTGACAGTTGTGAGTAGGCTGACTCCAAAATAGGGTCTGGGTTGGGAAACCTTGTGATACTAACGTCGAGGTCCAGGTCCTCCAGAGAGTCTTTGTGTTTCAAAATAGCCTTTGCTAGTTCTCTCTGATCTGGAAAACCGTACATGTCCAGCCCATGGTCGACTCGAACGTTGAGCTTTGCGAGTGCTCGACATGCACTGATGAACTCTGGGACGCCAGATCGCAAGCATCCAACAATGGTCAACTCCTTGATTGGTGATGTAGAAACTGAGAAAGGCAGCTCGTAATCATCATGGAATGTTAGAGGAAGTTCATTGTCCCCGTTATCCAACTCGCTTTCCAGATCATCTATTAAGCCATAGACACAGAAAGTCTGAATACAAGGAAGGTGCAAGAACGATCTAGCATACGCCATGTCGAAAACTTCCTCACTGTTCCAGGGTTGCAAGGTAACATGACGAATTTGCCCAAGGGGCAACTGTTGTGCCATTTCAGCCGGTTCGTCAAGCAATCGACAAATAGCCTCCCTAACGTAAAGCAGAGGCATAAAATGTTGGCGGGATTCAGGATAGAAGGCAGGCACCGTAATGGTCAGATGGGTCAACCTTGTACACCAAGCCAGGATCAACACAGCGACAGCATCCTCGCACCCAAGACGTATGCGATGGCACACGTGTGTCGAGAGAAACATGGATACCTCCAGATCCTTCCCAGCAGCGTCTGCGAGAGCAGCTAGACTCTCAAGGCTCAAGTCAACTGAATCAGGGTCATGCTCGTGCAAGGGCCGAAGATAGCCAAAGTCCAGCCTTTCAACCTGCCGCCGGAGATCAGGGTTTCGAAGAAGGTGAAGCGCAAGTCTCTCAATGGAAGGTTCAAGACATTCTTGGCTGTTGTTCCATTGGCGCACGAGCAGAGGAAAGGCGATTTTATTGAAGCGGCTGTTCAGGAGGCTGGCGCTTTCAAGAGACTCGCGGTCAGTTGTGACGAATTCGAGAACTCGGTGGAGGGTCTCGTCGGGCAATTCGGATAAGATGGCCATGTTGTGAAGAATTAGTATGGCCATTGTGAAGATGCGTTCTTGGTTAATGCCTTGACTCACAGTACCAGAGGTGAGAGAGACAAGTGATGTCATTATGTTCCTTGCGCGTATCACAGGCTAGTATTTACTGACAGAAGTTCTTGTGCATAAAGTCCTAAATCGTTAGCATAAGAATTATGTATGTTGTGCACTAGGTTCTCTCTGCTGGAATAAGCTCACAGCCACAAATCTCAACGTATGTTGTGCACAAACCTCAAACTGCGTGACTTGGTCGGCTGTAGGAATTCTTCATTGCTGTCCCAACATTTAACAAGATGACTTGATTAGCCAAAAATTGAGGCTTTCAATTTTTAGAGCAACATAGTCAATATTGCTGGACGAGAAGTTGAAGTAATTGAGCATCACTTACGAGTCTGGTCTGGCCTGTGATGTGTTCCAGACGTGGCGTTTCAACCCCTCAATTTAGCGGCAAGGATCACCATGGGCACATCTAGACCACCATCGCCAACACAGAACCGCTCTCTCCACCATCTGATCACAAAACCTCCGCTGCTCAGATCCTCACACTTCACAGAGCCTCACATCTTGGCTACATAATCTCCTCTCAATCCCCCCGCCCGGCTTCTCCGTAACAACTCATCCAAGACCCATCACCTACCGCAACGTTACCATCTGTCTCTGAACATCGAGAGCCTTACAAGGCTCATTCTCCGGGGGCAGTGGCTGTTGCTAAGACCAATAGTCCCAAATCATAGCGCCCAAATCTTTTCAGCTCCCGACGCCAAGCCAATGAGACATGACAGGGCTGACTTTAAGCATATTCGCCGAAATGAAAACGGCTCATGCTTATTTTTTGGTCAAACAGTGGTCTTAGAGGTCATGCCCAATTGAGTTGGGTTGCGTTACACTGTGGAGGGGATCTCGTATAGAGGCAGGGGAGCTGTTTGGGGGATGCTGTGCGACGATAAGCAAGGGACGGTTGATCTGTGGATGGTGTGTGGCTCGCCACTGTTATCGTAGGTATGCCTCGTTCTGCTGTTTTTCTTTCTTTATTCGGTCTGGGCTTGGGATAGATTACTGTTGGCTGCAATGAAGATAAAGCGAATTCGGAATGGTAGAGGGGCTGTGCTTGAGTAACGGTTCGTCGATGCCCAACGTGTGCTTTTGTGGTGTCATTGTCGTGTACCTCAATGTGGAACAAGGCCTTTTCGTCAATTGAGTAGCGGGGTAGACGATATTTATCCAGTCCTAGTAACAATATTCTGAAGCAATTGATCTTCTCTCCACGTCTTGATGGTCCCTGCATGTCCCTCGTCGACGGAACAAATCTCAGAATATCCCCCGACAATCGCGACTTTCCCTATTTTTGGACCTCAAGCCCTCGTCTAATTCTCCCCTCTCAGCGTGATTAGCTCCGTTCCGAGGCGGAGATTGCTAACATTCACCCTGAATGGGTGCGGCTGAGGTGACCCTTGGTATGTTGGCTTCAGCTTCTGCAAGCCCTGTCACACAATATTGGTTCTGGCCCTCCGGTGGCGTTCTGATCTGCCCAGGGGGGGAAATCAGCTGAGCCGCATTTCCGCTCTTCATAATAATTGTTTCCTGCAATCGCGTCGCTTGTTTTCCTGCTTGGTTTGTTTCCTCGTGCATCTCTTTTATTTTACCATACTGAGTACCAATTCTCTTCCCTTTTGGCCTGCAGATTCACTATGAGGTCGAGTTCGCAGGCTCTTCTGTTTGGAGCTATGCTCCAGGTTACGAATGCAATGGAGATGGCTCACGCCGTCCAGAGGAACAACGTACGCGATGTACCAGCAGCAATCACAGGAGCCCCATTCGGTATCATTCACGAAGCAGAGCTCCTTGTCGGCCACGGCGGACTTGAAGCACGACAAGCGGCCTCTTCGACTTCGAGTGAGCCTCTGGTGGTTACTGTCGCGCCCGACGCAACGTGCGGGTACTTGTCTGGGCAAGCCGGCGCTGCAGTCACCTGTGACAATGGTCGCGCATGTTCATGGGCCCCTGTGAGTCGTACCGGTATTCTTGCTTGCGGCCCCGAGGGTTATCTCCTTTGCGTCGAGTCTAGTATAGCTGTCAATCCCAGTTCATGCGATGACGTGTGTCAGAGTAACACGTTCTATCTCAAATGGTGAGTCACTACTATCGCCATGTCAAATTCCTAATACTAACTAACCTTTCAGTACCGACTCCGATCGGCCTTTCTGTCGCACGTATCACTACCCAAGCGGTGTCGCCGACTATCGATGTGCATCCACACCCGTCGAGAATATACAATCTGTCGAGTTCACATATGACGGCCAGAAGAATGCCAACTTCAAGACTACAACTCTCAGCGATGGCATCGCATCAGAGTCACTATCGGCTACCGACACTGGTAGAGGCTCTGCTGAGCAGGCAAGCTCGACGGAGACACAAACAGAAACAACGACTACTTCAGAAGCTCCTGAGCCTACAAAGAAGTCCAAGTCAACACCTGTCGGTGCTATCGTCGGAGGTGTAGTTGGTGGTGTCGCTCTCATTGGCCTCATCGGTCTTGGTGCCGTCTGCCTGCTGCGCAGACGCAAAAAGACTGAACCTGCTCCAGCACCAGCTCAACCCGTCATGGCTCAACAACAAGCTCCTCCTCCCGCCCCCATGGCTCAGAACCCGTACCCTCAGCAACAGCACTACCAACCAGCTGCACAGCCTTATCCTGACCATAGCATGGCGGCATCTCCTGCACCATCGGATGCTCGTATATCGATGATGAGTGGACCTATGTCAAGCGTTGGACCAGCTTCACCTATGGGATGGAATCAACAGCCTTCGCCCCCGCCGTTTCACACACCTGCGCCGGCTTATGAGATGGCAGGTCCTGAGGCTCGTGAGCAGGAGCCGGTGTATGAGATGGGTTCTGACTCGCATGTGAAGAAGTGAGATGATCAACATTCATTCTAGCTATTATATGCATCGCTTGGTAGTTCATTTAGAGTAGTCATGATTTGGAATTAATATGGATTTCTCATGAGATGATCTAGCGGCACCTAATCCATGTTGACCATTCCCCAATCAGCAAAGATCTTTGATGTGAGACTCAAGTCACCACTCGCGATCGGCTTGGACCCTCCAAGGAACTCATCGTAGTTGTTGTACACCGAGACTCTATGCTTGTGACCGGGAACAAGCGACAGCCCAGGTGCATCAGTCTTGACGACCAAGGTCCCCTCCTCATTCTCCTCTTGAGGTCTGCAAAATGTCAGTATGAACAAGTCCGTTACGAGAGGAAGAAACTTACAGCGGCTGAATCGAGTTCTCATAGACGTCTTCCAGTACAGCGACTACACCCTTGCCGAGCTGCTCATCACTCAATGGCGGGTTGAGGTTGAGCTTGACGCGATCGCCACTGAGTTGAGCATTGGGCTTAGTTCTCAGCACATGGTCGATATTGGCCTCAGCATTGCTTCCATAAAGATAGAAGGGCATTCTATCGGGGTATTTCTTGTCCAAATCATCATACGACATGGATCGCTTGACAACGACCTGAATGTTAGAGAGCTTGAACTTGGCCAGAGGTTCAGCATCACCTTCCGGAATGCCGTCGTCCAGTCGGAACTCAACATCTCCAGTCGACTCAAGAAGATTACCAAGTTTCTCAGGATCCACGTTGGCGATGGTGTAGAACTTGTCGGGGTTCTCCTTGCGAAGCTTTTGATAGAGCTCTTTGACTTCGCTGGGGAGCTCAGCGGTGATGATGACTTGCCAGCGGTGAGCAGCCATGTTGAACATGGGAATGTGGACGAGGTAGATCTTTTCGTGACCTTGGACGACGAAGCCGTGTATATCTGGGTTCTCGGTGTTGCGAGTAACGACATGCTGCTGCTATTAGTATAAGTTATGCAAGGCTTATTCTGAAAAGCTTACCTGGACCTCTTCCTCTGCGATCTTCCTAAACGAAGTCACCAAGCTCTCGAGGAATGGCGAGTCCGTAGGCCAAGGACTCATCGTAACATTGACCAAGAACATGAGATCTCCATGAGCAGTATGATCCTCGTTCGAGAGTTCAAGGCGTCGCTTGAAGTTGGTTAAACACTTGCCATAGGCCTTCTCGCTGAATGATGACGAGGTCAGGAACAGAGGCCGGTCAGAGATCGGGGTCTTGTCGTCTTCAATAGTGTAGGAGAGACGCTGGAAGATGCGCTGGTTGAGGTAGTTGGCTTCTCCCTGTGTCTTGTAAGTATACACGCCAAGATGAGAGTGTGAAGTGGCTCACAATATCAGTGTTGGGCTTGCCATTGATCCTGAAGTTACAAGCGAAGGCATTGATCATCAGGTCGCCACCGAGGGTCTCGAGAAGCCCCCAAGTCTCTTCATCTTTGAACAGATCCTCGTTGCTGACTCCGAGGATCTTTGTGCGGATTCGTTCCTTTTCTTTCGCAACATCTTCAGCTGACCCGCCGTTGCGCTCGATGGGTAGTCTGATGAGGGGCACGACGATCAGATCATCTTCAGGCTTGGTCAAAGTTGCCCAGTGGCAGTAGAGCTGTCGCAATTAGGACAAAGTTTCTTGAAGACTTCAGGGGCGCATACCTTGGTGCAAGTGAAGATGGCCTCTCCGAGGAGTCGACCGTATCCGTCGACCTCAAGACCGAGGGTCTTGTGAGTCAGCCAAGTAGCCACTGCTGCTGCTCCGGGCTTGCTTCCCTCAACACCATATACGCCCATACTTCCCTTATCGTCACCCTGGTGGTAGACAATTGGGCTGGTCCAGGTGATGAGGTAACGCATGCGCTGATCACGGTAGCAAAGACCACCGGCAGGATAGTTAATGTACCCGGACCTGTGAACGGTTAGCAAACCAGAGTGATTCTTGCCCTTTGGGACTCACTTGTGAGGATCAATAGTGATGCTATCAGCAAAAGGCAGACACTCAAGCTGCTCCCTCGTATAAGGCTGAATGGCCAACTTGGGCACAAAGGGCAAATCTCCACCAGGTATGGGAGCGAACATCCTGCGCTCAATCATAGAAGAGAAGTAGCCTCCCCAAGCAGCATCGCAGTGGATGGCGAAGGATAGACCGCGACGTTGGAATTCCTCACGAAGCTCAACGACTTGACGAAGCGGGTCACAGGCGCCATGTTCAGTTGATCCGATGATGACGACACCGCCGAAGACGGGAGTGTACTGAGATTCATCATCACCTTCGATGCAGGACTCGAGGTGGGCGCGGAGGCTGGAGATGTCCATGCGAGCTTCTTCATCGACGGCGATGTCGACGAAGTTGTCGGAACCAAGACCAGAAATGGCTGTAATTTTGTCAGTGTGAGCTGCCACGATGTAAGATTTGGTAACCAACCTCCACCCTTTGGCCAAGAGTAATGCTTCGTCGCACTGACAAAGAACTTGGCAGGCTTGGTGATGCCAAACTGCTGGTCAACATATTCCTTTCCAACAGTCTGAATCAGATAGTCATGCAGAGCAGTCTGCAAAAAGGTGGCAGAGATGGCATATTCGCTCGTCAAGCGAGTGGGGATTTGGAGAATGGCGGTGGGCTTCAAGTTGAGAAGTTCCCAGGTTGACAGCTCAGTGAAGGGCTTTTCTTCATCCTTGCAAGTGGTCACCTTGAAGGGCGGCTCAATGCGGGTGAGGAAGTTGAGCGGTGCGCCTTCGGCCATGGCGAGTTTGAGGGATAGTGGGTAAAACTTGAGGTTTCGAACTGCATCATCGGTCAGAGAGGCAAAGTTTTAATGATGGAATGATAGACTTACTGGCCCAAATGGCTTCAAGATTGGCGACCGAACCATCCTGCAACGTTGTCAGATATTATCACGGCACAGCAAAAGATTACTGACACAGGTAATGTGACCCCATGGTTCAACATCAGAGTCTTCACCTCCAGCACCATACCCATAGCCCAACATGCGGCAAAGGTCCTGGCCGACTTGGCGCTCCACGCCAGTAGTGTAAGGACTAGCCTCTGTCGCAACGTTGTTAGGGTTGTACATCATAGCAGCCATATCTGCCAGTCCCGTCAGCTATGCTCATCAGCGCATCCAATCTACTTACATCCAATAATACTAGGCATAGCAGTATCCATATTCATATGAGCATTATATCTCGGCGACCAGAAAGGAATCGAGTTTGTCGACAACTTCTTAGAGATATCCTTGACATCTTCACGGAGTTGAGCGACACTACCTTGGAACTCCTCAGTCTTGATCATGTCTTGGGTGATGAAAGCAGGATCATCTTTGTAGAGATTCTCCCGCGTGGTTTTCTGCTCGTTCAAGACATAGGTGAAGAATTCACTGAGAAGATCAAAGTTCTCGGCGCGGGGCCCGAGGAAGTATGACCCGACGCGGGCGTGTTGGCGACGCTCATGCTCGATCTGCTCGTCGCTGACCATCTTGTTTATGATGGAGTAGTGATGGAGATATGGAATGGTATGGGGATCTCGAGAGCAACGTTGAGTAGTAGGAAGGGGCGCTATTCTTATATCGTAGTACTTGCTACCACATACCCATCTCTTCAGTGCCATGAGGGTTGCTGAACCTGACCGCAGCTGAAAGTCCAACCCTTCGTATACCGAGCCTATCCATCCTCAACACAATGAGGGGTATCGCAACCTTCCCCTCCATCGCCCAGTCTAGAACAGGTGACGAGTAGTGCATATGAAACATAGCCATCACGGTGTATGTTTAAAAGCCTATAGTTTCATGCACGGAACAAATATATGCAGTCTCGTATGTGCCAATTCTTGAATGGGGAAAGGTGAGCTTGCGCTATTGATGCTTCAGCTGAGACTTGTTAGTGGCCGTAACCTGATTGAGCATCGGGGAAAGGACCATGTTGCCGCGTGACCCACGGAATACGGCAAATCGTGTATGTGAAAGTTTACGTTCCTTTAGGGCCTCAAATGCATTTGTCTCATGTGAATATGCATCTTCGTGCATTATTCTGTTGCTATCATTGGGCTTGTTGTCATGTTTTGCGATACCCCGCCTAGCCCGCATCATGGTTATGTGCTCAACGCAGTCTAGGGGAGGAAATAAAACTCGGAACCTAAAGCCTAAGTGATAAAAAGACTTAGGTAACTTAGTATAAATTTAGGATATCTTTGTAGAGTTTATTTTATCACCCTAAACTTAGGTCTTGTGTTTTCTTGCTCCTAAAGGCGCAGTGTCTTACAACCCCACTTTGAGAATGCGAAAACGCGTACACGATTACTCATGGTGAGGCCAATTACTTCTCTTCCTGTTTTTGCGAGACAATATCCTTCATCGCCTTTGCAGCTCGTCCAGCCAATTCCCGAACTTCTAGTGACAACTCCTCGTTGTGAGACTCAGCCTCAAACCTCCTCCGCGCAAATTCCCTCCTTGCAGTCTCCCATCTCGCCCGGCCTTTATACCTCTTCCGCGATCTGTTCCATGGAAGCTTATTATCCCTCAACTCCAAGATCCTATCCACCACCTCAATATCCCTCTCATCTCTCGTATGCGGATACCTAGCATAAACATCCTTCCCAGCAATGATAGTCCACAACGCAGCGCAAGTAACGTAGTGGCTGAGAATCTCATGATCTGGCGGCGGTGATATACGCCGATACCATGGCGTCGGGGCTTTTTCCAGCGCATCAACAGCACAGATTTCTCCTTGGACGTGTATGTTTGCTACCCCGCTGGCAGTCAGTCGAGCGTAGAACGCGTTCAAGTTCTGCTCTGCTTGCTGCTCTGGCCATGACCAGCCAGCTCCGCATCCACAGGAGTCGTTCCTCACTTCGGCGATTGAGGCGCCCAGGATGATTAGGTCGCTCCAAACAGTACCTAGTTGCCAGACCCAATCTCTTTTGAGGGGAATCGTCATTGGTACTGGTTCTGGGGGATTTGGTCGGCCTTTGAGTGCTCTGACTAGATCAACTAGCTTCTCTTGCCGAGCCTCGTTGGTGAAGGGTATTTTCTTTGCTGTATGGAGAATAGAGTACCAAAGATTCCATAGCAGCATCTCAGCGTTTCCGGAGTGATCTCGCTCATTTTCAGGCTCAGGCCAATCTTCTTCAGGCCCCCAGAGCTCGAGTGCCTTTTCGGGACTATGATACTTTCGCTGTACTCGAGCGACCCTCTCTTGCCGGAAGTATTCCGTGCTAGCGTTTGCAGTTGAGTATGCCTCGTCTATTGGCTTTGCCAGAATATTGACTGCCTCTGCTGCTGAAATCTCGCTTGCCATGTATTGATCAACGACAGTTGTATCTGCGCAGAACCAATTCCGTATCTGTGCTAAATGCTCAATTTTCGCAGCGAAGTCGAGGGTGTTGTCATCAGCGACTGCTTTCGCGCGGTCATTCTCCCTGGTCTCCTTTTCTATTCTCCTGGCACGTCTCTCTTCCGTTTTCGCTTGGTCTCTCTTCTCTTTGGATGGTCTGTTCTTGGGCATTATTGAACTTTTATAGCTAATTCGTAATATTTTTGTTGATTCGAAACTCGTCATGGGGCTAAATACTGATCGAGCAGTGGGTCTGAAGGATCAATCCCCCATTTCCCGTATCGGTCTCACCGAAGAGTCATTGCCGATCCAACATCTTACATCAGCCTGCTAATCGTCGATATGCAAGACCGAATGCCCTACCAGGCAAACCAATTGAGCAGCAGAGTAGAACGGGGACAGCAGCTACGAATCTCAACGAGGATTTCATTTTGTTCTATTTTGCTTGTTTTACGACTCAATTGGCATCATGCCTTTGCTATTTAAGAAGGGCTCTATGTATCATAAGTACAGTATCGCAATGGCAACTATCTCCACAACAAATAAGAATCAAAGCTGTCCCTCACCCTCGGAAGAGATCATCATTGTTTCTCTTGCGCTTTTTTATTCACTTCCTTGAAAGGTGGCCTTATGGCGTGACATCCTTTCGCACTGAAGTCCCCAGCTTGAAATCTTCGAATCTGACACCATGACAGATATCAACTTTGCACAGCGTTTCTAACCAGGGTTCTGTTCTGGTTGAGAACCAACAACAATGCTTAGGAATGGCACCACGGTAATGGCGCCACGTTGGCGATTCGAGTTGAGCCGCGAACTCCTGCAGCTCCAAAAGGCTCTTTTCTTGAGCAGGAGGGCCGCCTATGGGGCGCGGGACCTTCAAACCGAACCTGAGCATCTGCTTTATTAACGTCCCCAGCATTATGGCGGTACATTCCTTGCCGCAGCCACCATCCTTGCTCCAGAATGAGTCAAGAAGCTCATAAAGATTATCCAGAACCCTGTTCGTGGAACTCTGTCTGCGTTCTTCTAGTGAGTCTGCACAGCTGTCAGTCAGTTATGGACCTCAAGCAGTTCATTGTTTCAATTTACCCAGAATGGTACTAGGGAGAGGCAAGTCGGTTTGTATAGACCTCTTGTTGAACTTAATAAGTGAATAAACAACAGAGTTGAACAGCTCAATCTTCCCAAAGACCCAGCTGATGAATAGTCGAGATATATTCGTCTGGGAATCAGATCCTTCTATCTTATCTTCTTGGACGACAGCGGCGATCCAGTTCTCTGCAAACATCTCCACATTATCGCTATCGCTTATCGGGTTATCTTATCTCTTGCCCAGCTGTTTTTTTTGCTTTAGGGTAGTATCAGACTGATCAATCCACTCAGACCGCGCTGCCGCGCTTCTACACATGTGAAAGAAATACTAACAAAATATCCATTCTTGAAAAAGATATTATAGCTGTTGTTTGTCACAAGAGCTCCGATAACATCGGCCGATATCCGATGAATGTTGTTCACATGACTACATGTCTGACAGCTAAAATTAGTGGGCTAGCAAATTGATATTCCGGCGTTTATTCAACACACAGCGAATCATTCACAAACCCCGAAACGAGAGACATCATAGGACTGAACTTTTCACATCTGCGTGCCTTTGATGAATGTGATATACACTGCTGAGCACATATATTTGAAATCTTTATCAGTCATGCCGTATTGGTGACATGTGAACCCACCTCACTCAACATTTTCCATTAACATGTTGATTGTCGCATACTAAACAAAATGCTGCGAAACGAAAGATCAGCCAAGGATGGTTCGGCAACTGGTTCCGAGTCTTTATATAGCCCTCTTTTCTGCGAAACTCAACTCGATTGCATTCAGTAATCTCTCCCGCATCTAAAGCTCCTCGTATTATAACTACAGTACAGTAGCCATGACAAAGCTCCCGAATAAAACAATTACGACCTCCTCTGAGCTCCAGAGCATACTCTAGTGTTAGTGATGACTACACTTGCCTCTCTTTTTCTCTTTCGACTCGGTTCGTTACCCTCTTGCGTCGATTGGGCCACTTCGAAATCCCTGAATCTCACACCATTGCAGATATCTACGCAACAGCGTTCCATGCACCAGTCCCTATCTTTCTGCCGTAATTTCACGACTTTGCAGATGCCCCCATGTGAAAAGTGTTTCAACTCGATTCGACTTGTGAAATCACACAACTGTGTGAGGCTCTTTTCGTTGGTAGGCCGGCTAACTGGTCTTGGTATCTCCAAACCAAAACTGCGCATCCCTTTCATAAGTCTCCCTAGCGCCAGGGCACAACAGTGTTCATCCTCAGCGAGAAGAGGGAAACCAACACTATCTAGAGGCGTGGAGTCACCACTCCAGAGCTCTTCTAGTAACTCATAGATCTGGTCTAGGACTTTGTTTACAATAGCTTCTCTCCTATGCTCTAGTGCTTCTGAAAGGGTGTCAGTCACCCTTCGCAAGCGCTCTGATGCAACATACCTAGAATTCTAGCTTGGAATGGCAGGTTTGTCTGTATCGATCCTGCGGTCGACTTCAATATGTTACGAGCCAGCAAGTCGAAGTATTCGCCCTTGCCGAACACCCAACTGATATAAAGCCGATACATGTTTGTCTTCAAACTGTATTCTTCGATCTTGTACTTGTCAATGACAGAGTCAACTCAATGATCAACAAACATTTCCACAGCTTCGCGACACTTATAGCTATCAATGAGTCCCCATAGCTCAATCAATAACCTTAGACTCATCGCCTTTGGAACGCTCTTGTGGTGTCCATGGATAACGTCAAGCAAGATGACCGGCGCTTCACCATACCGTCTAAATCCCCTTGCGCTACGGCAGCTCAAGTCAATCGTGGCCGATGATTTATCGACCATTGCCTTGAAAACTGGGGAGGCAAGGGCTAAGTGGGCTGATGACACATGGTAGCGTAATTCAATGTGTTGCCCAAGCTCATTCCGCGATTCCAAGTTCCTCAGATCTTCGACTGTTCGAATAGAAGAAGAGATGTTCTTGAATTTCACGGGACGGCCCTGTTCAGGCTCGACTTGATCCTCCGCCGCTGTGGTATAACTACTTGGCTCCTCATCAGCACCGTCAGAGGAAGACGATCCGTGTGTAGTTTCTTGAGTACGCTGTGACCTCGATTGCCGAAGAATCAAATCCATGTCTCCATGAGGATTGAAGACTAACAGTGAGGGCTTCATGGTTGTTGATGTGGCAAGGAGCCGTGAACGATCGAGTATCTCCTTTTCGTAACCAGACGCGTGAGGAAGAGCGGAGCGACGCGTTGCTAGCGTAATGTTGTTCTTATCTGTTATCATCTTATCGTCTATCTTATCTTTATCCTTGTCCACATGGCTTCAGGGTTCGTGAAGGTTTCCCCCGCTCACGAGATTTGACAGCGGTTTAGAAAATTGATTTTTGGTATTTTTGTTAGTTTATTATAATTGTTGAATTACTGCTACGCAATACTATGGAAGATGATGCAGTGAGGGAGGATGTATTCAGACAAATTCCAGTCATCGAACAATCTACAAAATTACAGTCATATTTTCGGTTCAATGGCAAATCTTGCCTCTACTATACCGACCATGGGATAAGTGTATCTGCTTGAAAGTGAAGTCAAGTAACGGAACTGCCATAAGTGGCTTGCACATCCACAAGCCGACCACTTCGTTTTTCGGCAAGGAATAGTCACGTTTCTCGATGGCGGCTGATATCGTCCGCTAATGTTACGGTTTAATAGTTCACTGCGCTAATAAAAACTCTCCCCTAATTACAATTCACTCGTGGCTGGTGCTACACGAATGACCATGCCGTTTCCCATCCTGCAAGTTCACGCTATCGGAAAAGTCATCCAGGATGAGGCCTAAAACTAGCGATATCCCGCAGCGACTAGTGGGAAGCTAAAGGTGGTTCAGCTGGCTCTAGTGCTCGGACCGCTATGGCAGGTAGCCCAAACGGGACAAGATCCCCCTGAAGAGAGCAATAGTTTCAGCTTAGTGACGTGGATTGGAGGCATGATGATAAGAGGAGAAAAGAGAAGAAAAGCTGATATTGAATTGGGTATTTATACAGTCCAGCTGCAGTTCATCTTTCCCAGTCACTTTCTTTTCATTTTATTCATTCACAGCTAGAAGTCACAATGGTCTACGCAACACCTACCAAGCATCCCAAGGGACTCCGTCTCCTCTCCCTCGATGGCGGTGGCGTCCGGGGTATCATGGGCCTCGTCATCCTCAAAGAGCTCATGGTTCGCGTCCAAAAGAAGAAAGGCCTCAAGACAATTCCCCTACCAGCTGACTACTTTGAGCTCGCCGGCGGTACCAGCACAGGCGGTATCATGGGAATCATGCTCTTCCGCCTCCGCATGAGTGTTGATGACACCATTGATGAATATGACAGAATCGCCAGGACCATCTTTAGCCCCAAGATCTACGGCTGGGATATCAGTTGGATCCCTGGCTCGTCGTACCTCAACAACAGCAAGGCTCTGGTTCAGGACAGCAGATTTGATGCTGGGTCTATGAGCAAGGCTATTGACGAGGTTGTTGAGAAGTTTGGCCTTGATGAGAACGACAAGAAGCTCAAGGGTAACGCCCCTCTTCAGCACGAAGGCGGTGCACGCATGTAAGTACCTCTCCCCCTTTTCGATACGTCGCTGACACCAGACAGGTTCTGCTGTACTACTGCCCAGAACAGAGCTGAGTCCATGTTGATGCGCACCTACAAGGACAAGACCATCTATACCAAGTCCAAAGTCAACGATGCTCTCCTCAAGCACGGTGACAAGCTCACCATCAGCATCGCAGCACGCGCAACATCTGCTGCTCCAACTTTCTTCCCCGAAGTTAAGTTTCCCGAAGACAAGCCTGAGCTGGTATTCTGGGACGGTGGCCTTCTCAACAACAACCCCATTGACCAGCTCTGGTACACACGCTTTGAGCTCGTTGACCCCAAAGACCCCTCACCCCCGATCTCCTGCGTTATCAGCCTGGGTACTGGATACGTCAGCCCAGGAAAGGCAAAGCAGTCTTGGATCAAGGTCGTTGGCGTCGCGTCAAAGGTCATGGACTTTGCTACCAACACCAACGCCAAGGGCAAGGACTTTTCACGACACATGACGCATCTGAATGAGCGAGATGAACACAAGGATACTAAGTATATTCGTTTTAACCCATTCTTGAAAGAGGAGATTGGGCTTGATGAATATTTGAGGATGAAAGACCTCAAGGATATTGCTCAGAAGACCATGGAAGATCCTAACCCTACGAACCAGTTTTGGATCAACCAAGCTGTGGATGCTATTTGCGCATAGGATAGATAAGAGCGGTAGAAGCATGTTAGTTTATTTAAAACAAATAGCATGATAACCTACGTGAAGTGCCAATGGTGTCATCTGCGCTACACTGTTCGTTGACTTCACTAAAGACGGTGATTTATAGGTTTCTGAAGTAGTGCATAAGTAAGGTGATCAAAACCCAAGACATTTTGACAAGGACGAAGAATTAATCTGCCTTCTGGTGGCTACCTGAAAGTGATCGTATTGACTGATGTATGTTGCTCTGAAAACGGAACCCCGAAAGACAAGACACGCGGATCTTTGGCAACTAAAGAAAACAAACCCGACAGGGAAAGTGCAGAAGTGATAAGCGTATTATGACTGTTTATAGGAGAGTGTTTGGGTCGTCGCCCGCAAGAGAGTAACGAGGATCAACAAGCTCCAGCTCATCCCACCGGGAATCATTAATAACTGAAACAAGCAACTCCGGATCCGAATAGTCCTTGATACGATAGACGTCCTCAGTATCGAGGTAGTGGAGATAAAGCTCATCTCCAGCTTGGAAAATGACTTGGCCATCTCCATTCTCTTTACCAAATAGAGGCTTGGGCTTGGCCTTGAGGTGAAGCCCTTCAATAACTTCTGCGATACTCCCGTCCTCTGCCCACTCATAGCCTTTGATAGCATCAAAATCATTTGTCCAACCTGTCGGGGGATCGATCTGCTCAGCCATCAGCTCTAAGTTGTGATAATGGGGACTTATGAACGGACGTCGATTTTGGTGACAAGTTTGCCATCAACCTCCTTAACGATATCATCCAAATCCATTCTTGCTGTGATGAGAGAACTGAAGCAGTTATGAAGTGGCAGTAAGGGGATATGAAGGTGAATAAAAAGGACTGGAAAGAACTTGGCAACATGGATCAGATATATGAAAAATCCAATAGAACGCCATCGACGTCAGCTCACAGAGATTGCTGGCGCTACTCTCTTGAAATGGCTAAGATGCAGAGCTGAGATGACATGGCCCATCCAATCGCATCGCATCGAGACTCGTCATTTGCTCACAGACAGTGTCTCAATAGGGCTTGGAAACAGGCCAATGGTCACTTAGAAATTTATCAGAAGCTTGAGATCGGCAATGCTTCAAACAAGAATAGGACATTCTGCCTACCTTAATGTTGGGGTTTGATGGTGATTTACACGAAACTGCTTGCTCCATCTTCGTAGACCTATGCAAAGAGCACCTGTGCTCTGGGCCACTACAGCCTACTGCAGAGCCCTGTAAATATCTTAGATAGCATAGTAAACTGGCCTGCTTCCAGGCGGTAAGAAGAAAGACCTCAACATTCGTCCGCTCCCTAAGACGTCTCCTGAAGACCCAAAGTCTGCAAAGTAAGCTCCCAAGTTCGGTTCTCCTTCTCTGAAGCATAGATATAATCCTTATACCCCATCATACCCGGGATCAACGGCTCCGGCCTGGATGGTCGACAGTCCTCAAGGTACTTCCCGCCTTTACCCTCCCACTCTTTACCAACTGCTGCCAGAACGGTAGTCGCAGCACCTTGCTCGGGACTTTTCATAAATTTTATCGTCTTTGGATCCTCTTTCATGTCCTTGAGCACTGACTCAGGCATATGCTTCTGGAGGTTTGATGCGATGCCACCAGGCATGACGCTAGTAGCATGAAGACCCTTTGGGCCGTAAACACGGTCAATGTAGTTAGACATGTAGATCTGAGCGAGTTTGCTCTGGCCGTAGGCCTTGAAAGGACTATAAGCGTCTGGCTCTTTGAGCTGGAAGTCGTCGTATACGATCTCTGAAGCGTGATGGCCTGAGGATGATACGTTGACGACGCGGGAGTTGAACTCAGGCGTTGATCCTTTGAGAAGTGTGTCCTTGAGGAGCCAGAAGAGGAGAAAATGGCCGAGGTAGTTGGTGGCTAGTTGTTGCTCGAAACCATCCTTGGTCTCGATGCGTGTAGGTGTCGCCATGATAGCGGCGTTGTTAATGAGGACATTGAGTGTAGGCGACTTTTCCAGGAATCAAGCGGCGCATGCGCGAACAGAGGACATGTCGGATGTATCAAGACGTATCAAGTCAACTTGACCAGGCTTCAAGAAAGAAGAGCACGCCGCCTTGCCCTTTTCTAGATCACGCACCGCGAGAAAAACGCGAACGCCGGTTGCAGCAATGGCACGGCCAACCTCAATACCAATTCCCGCAGAGGTGCCAGTGATCAAAAAGACTTTATCCGTCAAAGCGCCTTCAAGACCTTCATCGCGCACGATTTGCAGGGCTGTTGGACGAGCATCGCCAGGGCCGGAGGTGTTCTTGTGAGCGTCTGCGTAGCGGGACATGATGCGTAAGGTTAAGAGAATGTACTAACAATTGAGTACTGGGGGTGAGAGAATGTGATGAGATTGGCTCAAAATTGTAAGATGGTATTGGAGAGAACGAGGTCGCATGTCTGTCGTCAATCCCTAGGAAGTTATAACTTAAATCAAAGCGTCATGCGGATCGGGCTTAATCCGGATTTATAGGCGCTAACTCTGTTTTGACATCGAACTTGAAGAGGCTCATGCACGCCAAGAGGCACAGAAGCAGGCAGTAGCAAATCAATGGCAGAGATATGTAAGGCACTGGATACATTAATTCTTGGCGAGCTCTCACAGAGCTTGGCGAATGAGATGGCCTATGGAATATTCACTAGCTAAAGATAAGTCCACATCAAAAGCTGATTCCTCCAAGACGTAACTTTAACCTTCCCTGTCTTATCAGCGTCAACTGGTTGCTTACGGTATCTCTTTTATAACCCTGGTATCTTCTCGAAAGCTTGTGCAACCACAGTACTCATCTACCAATCTAGACCGATCAGAAAGCTAAGTGGGGGATATCCGTTTCATGACTGAATAACTTCCGAATATGAAACTCCGGAGCGCTAAGAAGAGTATTATTTCATGCCACCCTTGAAGATAATCTATAATCTAAATACAACTGATTGTCTTTTCCGGTCGTTGAACATTGCGATCCAGCTTGTTTATGTCTCATCAACAACCTTGAATAACGCCACCCTAATCCTCCCCAAAAGCGTCATGACCTGCTGCTTCACACTCTTCAGCATCATAAACTGAGCGTGTCTTCCCTCGATTGCTGGACTCTTCTCTATATCACCTACCAGCGTCTTGATTTTCCGCAGCTGTCCCACAGTGAGAAGCTGCAACATACTCCCCCACTCATCGGTTTGATCTACCTCGTAGTCACCCACGGCAAATGCTGCTCTAAGTCAGTACCCTCTCTCGTATACCAGAGTATCTTTTTGTTCAGCATGGTGAGCTTCTCGCATATCATGACTAGAAAGAGCATGGCGTCTGGGTCTGTGTAGCAGTTTTTGCAGCGGACTACCTGGGTGCATTGGATACAATATTGTTTTTGGAAAGACAGGGCCACGTCGGCTTTGCAGGGGTTCATGTCGTGCATGCGTGTTTCAAGCTCTTCAAGCAGTGACTTCATGACTTTGAGACATCGACGCGCACAGGTACTGCTGCTGTTGACATTGATGGGATTGTTGATTATGCGTGTAGCTGTCGTGGCCGTAGACGAGCGGGAATCCAAGAAGGTGAAAGTGTCTGCTTGTGTACTCCGCGGCGAAGGTATACCAGGTATACTGTATGGTGACCAGTGAAAATCTGGCAATGAGTTGGAAACTGGCACTAACTTTGCAAAGAGAAAGCTTAGCTACTTGCAGTTTAGAGAGAGAGAGAGAAAGTTATGGTCAAAAGTGGAGGGGTTCAAATCGAAGAATACAAACTCGTCTCCCGAAGTATTACTGCTCATGGCCGCATCTTCCAAGAGCGTCGCATCCAACGGATTCGCCAAAGGATTAACAGAAGAATTGCTCCCATCATCACCGCTATTGTTTCCTTGCACCGAAGCGCTCGGAGAGTTTCTGCTAGTAGCGGCAGCCGTGCTCTGCATCGTATCCGCCTCGGACTGTTGTTCAGATGCCGGCGACTGCGATCGCGCAGCAGCTTCATTCTGCCGGGCCGTCCGCTTTCCAGCGCTCGCAGCCCGTCTTACGCCCTGTGCAGCGGAGCTTCTTCTGACGGCACTGGTCGCACGTTGTGTGTTGTAAGACGTTATCGCCAGGGGCTCCAAAGTTCCTTTGCTACGATGCGGCTTGATGAACAGATCTACGCAACACTTCCGAACAGGCTGTAGCGGAAGCAGCTCGTATGGATCTCCGCATTTCCTCGCTGATGCATCTGAAGAATACGACGACTTTTGAGATATGTCTGATACAGGATTTCTGGAACCTGTGCAGCTTTGGGGTCATTGGTGGCAGCTTCTGGGCTGCTGGAGTTTTGTGAAGCTGGCAGTCAGGCAGTGATACTCTAGGTACGAGCGATAGGAGCAGATGCGCTATCTGAAATAGCCCTCGCCTTGAATGGTCGGTACAATGAGTTGGAGGAGCTATAAGCTAACCCTAGGACATCTCGACCTCGGTGGGAGAATACAACACTTATGAGTGTCCAGGAGGCTTCAGGCATACTGTTCTTCAAACTGTCTTGTCGATTGAATGTGCACTGTGCTTTTCATGGTATACATCAATCGATCAGATGGCACCTCCCTAGTTGAGATGCCATGGCTATGCATTCATGACTAAAATGTTGACTCGACACAATACACAACTTCGATCAAGCGTCGAGATTCTCAGTCTCGAGCCTGAACCATCCCTGCTCATTGATAAAGTCCACGATCTCCTTCAAGTCCGTCGGCGTGACAATTCTCTGCACCCATCCACTTTCACCATTGTAAACATAATACTGCTCGTTGATTTCAACGATGAAAATGACTTCATTGCTGCTGTACCGGGTCCTGAACAGCGGCTTGACCACTCCGGAAATGCCATAAGCGCTGACAAGGTCTGCAACCTCTCCATCTTCACCCCATTCACTTTCACTGCCCATGTCTTCGTAGTTGACGGTCCATCCGGTGGGAGGTCTCACCTGTCGAGGATTAGCAATGAACGAGAATGATAATGGGGTACATACATCGGTGTTGGTTACGAGCCTTCCGTTGACGACTTTTGATAGAGACATGTTGTAGTGATTGAGGATACTCGAGATCAGAAAAGATATAGTTGATGGAAGCTTCGCCAGGTAGCTACGTGGTGCAGACGTGCTCAATAAATACAGATCGCTCGAGATAGTGAAGAGCTACTGACGTCAGCGATCCCCTGTTTCATCAGTGCACAGTCTAGCTCGTGGCTGATCTATTGCCCTGTTTAGTCCACTAACTCCAATAACCGTCTCCCTTGCGGCGTCGGCGTGGCCTACAGTCAAAGCATTCTACAAGGAACGTGTCACAGGAATCATGACAAAACAGCCAATCGAGCCAATGCCGTCGTTACAGGGGATAATCGGAATCTCAACGAAAAGACAGAAGCAGTGCAACAAGCAAAGAAAACGAGACATGACGCCATGTCCAAAGTCCCCTCACGCTTATTCCTCCCTTGCTGACATGTCCATCTCGTGGCTGGCTGAATACACTACCGCGGCCTCAAAACTCATATCTGCCCAGCGAACCATACGGCCCGGAACGGCACGGCACGACGCACGGAGCGCTCTGCTCTCAATAACGTTTCCCAAAAGAGTTCCCTCAGCGCCGCCTCGACCTGAAAACAGCTTCAATCCCCTGTGACGCTAGACCAGATTCTCTAGGCCAAGGTATTTCAGCTCAGCACTAAAAGAAGTGGCGCATCCCCCCGCACCCGCTGAGGAACCTCAAGACAGCGCCATCCTGCTAGGAATACGATAGTTTGGTAAAGTATTGATTCTCGGCGCGTAATGATTGGCGTGATCGGCGTTGAGTTGGACAACGGCTGAGGAAAGTGGCTTGTCACGTACAGGAAAGGATATGTGACGAGACAAGAGAGTTTTCGGGGAGAGAGTGAAAAAGCGAGTCGCCCATGGTCCTGCGTTCCTTTGAGCTCGTCGTTCTAGCTCTGCAATTGATGCTTTATTTCTATGTCAATTGACTAAATACGCCATACTATTGTTATAATTTTGCCGCATTGAATCAAGATGTGGATTACAGACGCCTGCAAGGCTGTCGTCTTGTCCTTCGTGGCGGTATTTCACTACCCGTCCGTCTCAGACCAAGGGCCTCATCAAGATGTCATGACCTTTACCCACGGACACTCTACACCAGAGATTGACTACCCATATTTCGACTCACCAAGTGGGCCTGATCAGGACGGCAAGGTCTTTACGTGCAATTACACTGATCTCAAGGGCTGGAAGCCATGCACAACTAAAGATGACCGCTCGTGTTGGTTGAAAGGACCATACGATCAGAACTTCACTATCAAAACGGATTATGAGAACTTCTGGCCTATTGGAATAACAAGAGAGGTAAGTTACAACACATGAGTTTTGGCCCGACTTCTTCTGACTGGAACCAGTATCACCTCAATGTCACTGATCAATCCATCAATGGTGATGGTGTCGATAACCCATTCGGCAAGGTCTTCAACGGCAAGTATCCCGGCCCTTGGATCCAAGCCTGCTGGGGCGATCTTATCAAAGTCACCGTGCACAACCATCTGAAGTACAATGGCACAACCATCCACTGGCACGGTCTACGACAGCTTGAGACCTTTGAGATGGACGGTGTTAACGGCGTGACTCAATGCCCCATTGCACCTGGAGACAGCTATACTTACACTTTCCGTGCTGTTCAATACGGTACATCGTGGTATCATAGCCATTATTCTCTGCAGTATGCCGATGGCTTGGCTGGTCCCATCACCATTTACGGGCCGTCGTCTGCGCCGTTTGATGAGGGACGAAACCCCATTCTTATCACAGATTGGAGTCATCGCAGTGCGTTCCAGTCATGGCAGAGGGAGCTTGTGCCGAATCCTACGAGACCTATGATGAATGGTGTTTTGATCAATGGCGTGGGGAACTTTGCTGGTAGTTTCCCCCGTGAGCGCTTCAACATGACGGTTACCAAGGTCAGTCACTCCATTACACTGGATTATATGCCAGCATTGACACCCAGCAGGGCAAGAAGTATGTTCTTCGCGTGATCAACACGTCCGTCGACACAACCTGGATCTTTAGTATCGACAATCACAACTTTACTGTTATGTCGACTGACTTTGTGCCGATCCACCCTTACTCAGTCTCTCACATTGTCCTCGGAATAGGTAAGCATATCTCCTCAGTAGAACCGATGAGACACAATGTCACTGACTTAGGTGAACAGGCCAAAGATATCACATCGTTCTTGATGCGAACCCCACCAACACCACAAAGATGCCCGCAAACCCCGACGGGAACTACTGGGTCCGAACCGTGGGAGCGACTCGCTGCAAGGGCTTCGAGCCGGGTAATGAACCTGATGAGCGTCAAGGTATCCTGCGGTATAATGCATCGAGCAAACTTGTTCCCACGACATTCCGAGAGAATTACTCTTTGGAGTGTCGAGACGAAGCTTATGATCGACTCAGCCCGGTTTATGAGTGGAACGTCGATCCCGTCAAGCTCAATTGTAAGTTCCACTCACCTCAAGATTCTTTGACTCTCCTAACACTTGACCCAGACACCAACAGCACGTTCGAAATTGGTCTGGACAAGTTTGCTCACAGGCCCGAACTGATGGACAATTTTACCTGGTGGGCCTTTGGCGAGAAACCTCTCTGGTTGAACTTCTCCAACCCTACCATTCTGAACCTTAAGAATACCACGTGGGACCCCGACTATGCTGTTGATCTCGTTGTGCCTGACGAGAAGAAGGATAAATGGGTCTACATCGCTATCACGGCCCCTCCGGCTCCCATGGTTAGCAAGCCCAACCGAGGGTTTGCTCCAGTTGCTCATCCTGTAAGCAAATTTTAACCCTTCAAATGGTCTTTTCTAATGCGTAACAGCTCCATCTCCATGGCCACGACTTTGCCCTTCTAGCGCAAGGTACCAACTTCACAGACCTAGCCACAGGAAATGTGACCCTTAAATTCAACAACCCTCCGCGTCGAGACGTGGCACTTCTTCCAGCTGGAGGATACCTGGTCGTTGCCTTCAAAGCCGACAACCCTGGCTCTTGGCTGTTCCACTGCCACATCGCATGGCATGCGTCTAGTGGTCTTGCCATTCAGATCTTGGAGCAACAGAAGCTGCTGAATAGGATCTTGGATCAGTATCCTGAGAAGATGAAGGAGGTGAATAGGGTCTGCGATAAGTGGAATGAGTGGTTCAAGAACGATACGAATCATTGGAATGCCCATATCTTCCAGGATGACTCGGGTATCTAAGGGACACAATATGAGATGAACTTGAGGTTGAGAGTCACGAGATGGATGCTTGATAGTGTGAAGACATAAAGAGATTCCATTATCAATGAATGATACTGTCAAATGACTGCTAGCTACATTTCATCCACCACCGCTGTCCGTACTGACATAAGAGTCGTTTCATAATGTTCCAAGCGCTCATGATACTCAAGGATACCTCACAGCAAAAACGGGCGACTCTGACTTGTCCCAATCACTCTCCTTCTTCTCATCACCAAATATCCTCAGAGCTCGGTAAGCAACCTTGTACTTTCCAGCAGGTGCGTATCCTCCATCAGCCAACTTTCCATTCCAGACAACATTGCCCTTACCCATGGGGTTCCACAGAGTAGGGAAGCCAGCAGGGGCTCCCAGGCTCTTGGCAGTAGAGTTACCAGAGACGGGAATCAGTTCAGCCTCGAGCTTGGCGGATCCGAGGGCGAGCTTCCATGCCAGAGCAGGAGCGGGCTTCTCGTCAGTAGCGTTCTGGCCCTTGACGGGAAGAACGAAGGTGGTGTTGGCGGGAACGGGGTTGAGCTCGTCCTTGTCGTTGGACTTGCTGATCCAGGTATCGTCAGAAGCGAGAACCTTGGAGTCGTGGAGAGAACCGGTGAGACCTTGGTAGGGAAGAGATAGGGAGATATCAGTTCCGTTGATGGCGATGTATCCAGACCAGAGCGCGAGACGCTTGGCATCGAGACCCTCGGGAGGAGTTGGCATGACCTCAATGGTAACAGAGTCACCAGCGCCGACGCTGACCTTGGCTTCGCTGAACTTGAGGCTGGCGTGGCCATCGGCAACATCGTTGGGGAACTCGGAAGCATAGATGCTGTCCTTGGCAAGAGTGTAGACGCTCTTGGTAGGAATGTGCGAGATGCTCAGATCGAGATCTGTCTTGCCAGTGTTGTGAAGAGTGAAGTTGAGAACCTCGGTGAAGTGGTCGGTGTCGTTGAAAGCCAAGCTGGAGCGGCTCAGTAAGAGGTTGGAGTAAGCAGCGTCGTAGGCTTGGATCAAGCCACCACCCTGTTGAGGGACAGGAGCAAGGTAGTCGTAGAACTTGGCACCGTCGTTGAACAGAGTAGGGTTGGAAGTAGACGACAAGAGGTTCTCAAGGACCTCAGGGTCAAGAGTACCGCGGACCTCGGCGATAAGGGCAATGACTCCAGCGACCAAGGGGCAGGCCATGGAGGTACCAGAAAGGACTGCATAACCGCCCTTCTTGAGAGGGTATGTCGAGAGGATGTTTCCACCAGGAGAGCCAAACTGGGGCTTGACATCGAGTTCCCAAGTAGGACCCCAAGAAGAGTAAGTGCTCACAGCGCCACCGGTAACATTGTTCTTGCTCTCCTCAAGAATGACCTTTCCATCAGAACCATCAGACATCTCGAGAGTGACGGTAGATCCAGCCTTGAGAAGCTCAACCCACTTGACACCAGTCTTGGCGGGGACCATACCAGCAGCGACAATGCCCTCAACGGTTGAGACATCAATGGCTGAAGCGCCGCTGGCAGCGTTGTTGTAGACGAGGAAGTACTTGGCACCATGCTTAGCAGCGTTCTGGGCCTTCTGAACAAAGGTACAGCTTCCACGACGGACCAAGACGATGTACTTGCTAAGATCAGGAGTATCCTCGGGATAAGCGTCACAGCCGCCGTTGGGAGTGGTAGGATCCAGGTTAGGAGCCCAGAGGGGAAGGGTGACCTTGGCCCAAGCAGCAGGGCTACCAGCAGTGGAACCAAAGTCGATCTTCTTGCTGCTGTTGTCAACGGTGTAGTGGGAGATGTTGAGAAGAGAGACGTAGTCGCTGTTGTCGTAAGAAGCGATAGCCATGACCTTGTTACCATTGGCAGCAGTGCTGGCGTAGAACATACCGACATCACCGGAGTTACCAGCAGAGACAGTGCAGGGGACACCTTTCTCGACGATGCGAGAGACGGCGACAGCCCAAGGCTCCTCGGACCAACCGCTGGGACCGCCGATGGAAGCAGTGATGATGTCAGCGCCATCTTGGTAAGCTTGGTTGAAAGCGGCGATGAGAACATCGTTACCGGCCTCTCCAGAGCATCCGAAGACACGGTAGGCGCCGAGAGTGACTCCGGGAGCAGCACCGGTGAAACCGTACTCGTTCTCTTGAGCGGCAATAATACCAGCGACGTGAGAACCGTGGCCTTGGCAATCCATGGGATCGTCATCGGGGTAAACAGCGTTGAAACCATCGTACTTATCACCAACGAGATCAGTACCGAAGGAAACAAGGCAATCTTTACCGAAGCATCCACCAAGAGCAGGGTGCTTGTAGTCAATCTAACAATGTCAGCCAGTTCCAATCTCAAGGGCATGAGACGTACACCAGTGTCGACAACAGCGACCTTGATACCATGGCCAGTGATACCCTTCTCCCGAAGCTTATCAACTTGAACCTGAACGTGAGGTGAGAACGTATCAGCAGTATCATTCAGATCACGCTTCTTAAGAGGAGCCTTCATGCCAGGCGTAGCAGTCCACTCAATGCGAGGCTTAGGGATACTGTAGACCTTGACAGGCCACATGTTCTTGACAGCGGGAAGAGCCGCCATCTTGGCAGCCATGTCCTCAGCGGTAGAAACATCGTCAAACTGGATAGAAACGCCCTTGAACAGGTCATAGTCGAACTTGACGCGCGTGGTGTACTTGTCATCAGCAGTTCTGTAAAACTTGGCAGTATCCTACGACTATTAGCTGTGAAATGGAATTTGGTTGGCGAGATGCGTACGTGGTTCTCTTCGAACTCGAAGATGTAGGCACCTGGGACGTGCGTCACAGCGGTACCCTGCTCAGTGTCTTGAACGGCAGCGGACAGCCCTGCGAAAAGCAGAGCCGTCAATCCTAGACGGACCATAATGAATGTGTGTAGTATGATATAAAGAGTGACTTTGTAAAGAATGACAGACAATGCAGTAAAGAGTGTGGAGCAGTCAAGAGAGTGACAGGATACCAGAGCGAGTGGTTGAAGACAAGACCTTAGCAGATCAACGGCGTTATCACAACATTATATAGCCTACACGGAGTATCCCGCCCTCTTTGGGAATATCTGCATCCGTCCAGATACAGCAACGGAGTATATGCAGGAACATGTGATGCCCCAAACTCAAACCTGCATGACCTGCCCATAAACGCATTCAAAAGAGCCCTCCAGAAGTTCCAGAGCAATTACCATAAGTTCCCTCGCTCTTATCAACAGACCTACCAGATACAAGTTAGCGCAGGGAAGATCGTGCTAGCTGTACCGAATGAGCGTCTAGATGCTAGCCTTGGCGCTCAGGGGAACTGCAGGGGTCAGCGTTGCACTCGCGCGGGTGAAGCGTCGAATCCGGGAACGTTAGCCCGTGGGACTTTTATCCCAAGTGCCGCGACTCCGCTGGACAATCCGTAATTTTATGTACATGTCGATTGATAGAGCAGGTCAGGTCGATGGGGGGGCCTTTTTGTCCGTGGGTTTGGGGGTTTCCTATCGTGGTTAGGTGAGATGGCGACATTGAAGACGCGGCATTTGTCCGCTGATAGCGGAATGATCGTTGATCGTGATAGATAGAGTTATGAAGCCGCGCAGTAGCAAAGGCGATCAAAAGGTAATCGCGAGGATACACTTTGGCTTAAGGGAGATCACTTTATCACTCGGGCTTTCGCGGCGTATCAAATGAACATCCCCGAGCAGGATCCTTACTCGTGTAAACTGTAATTGCTGGATTAGACTTTCGTCTTACCCTGTAAGAACTCTATCTGACGGAAATATGAACCAAACGTGTAACGTAGCGACTCGCAAATCCCTTAGGTCGAAAGCTTCAGGGTTTCATCGGTTCGTGTTGGGTATTTATCATTGCTATAATGGAGGCGTTGGGTAATAAGAGTAGTGTGCGGGATAGTGAGGCATCGCGCTGGTTTTCTAACTACTAACCACATATCAAATCAATACCCTGTATCCGCGTCTTCCGTGACCAAAACTCTATGGAGCTCGGATGAGCTTTTTTAACAATGATGCTACGCCCAAGACCTTTTCCTCTTCATATCTCCTTCCAATGATCTGCACTCCAATGTCAAGTCCTTTCATCGCTTCAGGATCATAGAGGCCGCGTATCCACTCATCAATGGCATTGCGCGGCGCATAATCATGTAGATAACTACGGCGCGCTTCTTCAGCCACAGCGACGTATATATCAGAAGATGTTGCATCCTCAGAGCTTCCAAATTTTGCAAGAGGGAACGACATAGCTGTGTAGTCGAGAAAGTTCCATATCTTGGCGTAGCCAGTCCATCTGCTTGACCTATGCGGAACAGCTGTATGAGGCGACACAGGACCGATTATAACGTCGACACATTCTCCATCTTCTAGACCAGCAGTCGTAGTCCATTTCTTATTGTAAGCCTCTTGCGCTGCCGTCTTTCGGCGGTTGAGTTGCCAGTATTCATACACTGATATAGGCTTGGACGAGTTGACGAGTGCTTCGACGTGGGCAATCATCGGCTCGCCTGCAACAGCGACTTCAGTCTTGATATCCTCTCCACCGTCTGCACGGTAGAACTGATCCTGGATCTCGATGCAGCTCGAGTGGTCTGCTGTACTCCACGGAATGACTTTATGCCCTGCCTTTTCGAAGATTGCCACTGCACGGCGGACCGCTTCTTGAATTTCTGGATGAGGTCGCACGACCCCGTCGTCAAGAATGATACCGATGGTGAGTTTACGCTTCTGCACATCCTCAAAATCGGCCTGTCGCCATGGAATTGGGACGACATTTGGGTCGAGCTTCCATGGTTCTGCAAGCAGACATTCCTTGGTCAAAGCGATGAGGTTAGAGAGCGTTGGGCTCATCGGACCAATTGATGAAGGGACATGAGACTGCCCCTCATGAGAATTTGCTGCACCGGAGTATGAGAACCGACCAGACGAAGGCTTCAGTCCAAACAGCCCGCAGAGATGGCTCGGAACACGAATCGAGCCTCCAATATCAGTTGCCCAACCCCCTAGTGATCCAGACATTCGCATCAGCGTAGCCTCTCCACCAGACGAACCACCCGGTGAAAGCTCAGGTCTTCCAGGATACGTAGTCAATCCCCAGAGAGGACTTTCAGTCTCGCCATACATGATGCTCTGAGGGATAACGGTTTTTGTTATGATGACTGCACCTAGCTTTTCCAAAATGGTTACCATGACTGCATTGTCGCGAGCGGGCTTGAAGGAGCGACCGACATAGCCTAACGTGGTGTCGAGGCCAGCGATGTTGAATTGATCTTTTACTGACACTGGAATACCATGGAGAGGACCAATGAGCTGCTTATGTTTCTGGAAGTACTCATCAAGAGATTTTGCGCGTTCTAGTGCACTTTCGAAAAGAGGTTCGCTGAGGCAGTTTGTCTAAGGTATGTTAGTCGTAGTCGCGGATGGGTGTGCTGTATCCGAACCTCTTTGTGTGAAGCGATGGCTCTGCAAGGAGTTAGCAATTGGCAAATAGCTTATAGAGATGAGCGGTTTACCTGCGAATCGTAACAGAGACCAGCTTCTCGGCTGTTATCTTTCCCGTCTTCAATTGCTCGAGAAGGGAAGAAATGTCGGCATGTTCTGGCACGATGCTTTCATCGGTTACGGCGGGGAGCTGAGCCTCGCAGCTTTGGATGGCACCATCGCGATCCTCCCTTTTCTGCTTCACGGTAGTTTCCCAATACATGTTGCTCAATTGTTTCACCGTGTTTGGAGAACAAATCTTGGATATTTTATAAAAATTCAGTATCTAAAATGCCTCGTCGAAAGGGAGAATCTTCACGGAGCTAGTGGTTCTAGAACCGGCAGTTGATAGCTTCTCGTGATAGAGATAAGAGGGTCGCTCCGAGCTCGGCACTGTATCCCGAAAACATCTCCACAATTCAAACCCGAGGGTCGTGACATTTCGCATTTCGCATTTGAAATGAACACGAAAACCAACACAAAAGAGATATCTACATAGTCATGACAGATCTGAAGCGAACCTTTCCACTCTCCATCTTCTCAAAAGCCTCTCGGTACTGAGTCGCAAAGTCAAACCTCTCAACGATACACTTGATACGATGCGTATGCGCAAACGCGATAGCATCCTCCGAATCCTGCTGATGTCCCGTGTTCCATCCGTGTACGCTAATATTCTTCATGATCATGTGAACCGTATTGAACTCCATAGGCCCAAGAGGTGAGAGAACGACCAGCTTACCGAGAGCCGCAAGACCTCCTGTGAGAGGACTAACTGCCTCTGCATTTGGGGCCGTTGACAAGATCATGTTAGCCCCTCCAAGTTTCTGCAAAGCTTCACTAGGATCTTCTTTGCTGGAGTCGATGTAATGATGAGCACCTAACTTCATCGCAAAGTCCTTTTTCTCGCTTCCGGCGCTCATGGCAACGACGGTGTATCCCATCTTGGAGGCATACTGAAGTGCCAGATGACCTAGTCCTCCCAGGCCTTGGACTGCGATGAGACCACCTTGGAGGACGCCGATCCTACGAATGACGTTGAAGACGGTGACTCCAGCGCAGAGGAGAGGAGCTACTTCGGCGGGGTCTGCATCGGAGGGGATTCGGACGGCAGCTTCGGCGTGAAGCAAGACGTACTCAGCGTAACCACCATCCATGGTCACGCCGTTGATAGCACCGTTATCACACAATTGGAATGATCCAGTTTGACAGGAGCGGCATGTTCCATCGTGGCCTTGTCACAACATCATTAGCTAACCACCGAGATAATTCTGAAAGTGTAGAGACTTACCGCCATGCCAGGCACCACCAACACGTTCACCAATCTGGAAGCTGCTGACTCCATCTCCAACAGCGACAACATCCCCAACGGCTTCATGGCCAGGAACGCGAGGAAATAAATCTCCAAAGCGACCTTGCTGCATCCATGAATCAGAGTGGCAGACGCCGCAGGCTAGGACTTTGACCAAGATGTAGCCTGGGCCAGGTTGTTCAAGTTTGACTTCCTTGAGGGCCAGCTTCGAGCCACTCGCCTCAAAAGATGCAGCTTTGTAGGTCTTGGGTAGAGACATGTTTTCAAAGAGGTTGAAAGTATGAGATGGTATGCTGAAACAGTAAGATAATTGTTTCTGTATTGTGATGAAACGCTGATAGCTGTGATCTTGCACTAGTATTTATACCATTTCATCCCCATTGATTGATTTATCAGCTCGGAAGTATTTCGTCATGAAATTGGACACTTGCGCCAAGAGCGCCGTTATTATGCGTGCTATTCTGCCGATGCAAGTGAAGTTGTGCTGCAGTCAGCTTTGAGCACCGAGGTCGAGAGCCGAGCACCGAAGAACGCCAGAGTGCTTACAAATTACTAGAACCATGCATTGAATAGATCGACAATTGACTGTGGTCTCAGCGTAACATAACCATTAAATTATGATAGATTGAATAGGTTTTGACTGACGGTAATTACAGCATGCCAGACTCCTCCTCGATCCCACGCTCCTCCATAAGCCAGTCAAAATTATCCAACGCACTAAAATACGAAAAATGATCCCAACTACCCGCAAAGTCCATTCCCTCAAACTCAGCTACAGGTTGAGTAACGCTTGAGTTATTCAGAATATGATCAAGGACCTTCTTGATAACACCCCGCACATTATGAGCAACTGAACAGTGTGTTTGTGATGGACATGAAGTCTTGAGATATCCCAACAACAGGCTGAGTTGTTGAATAATAGATGATCGAGAATATGTCTCTCCAGCGATGATGCTTTCTTCAGTTGATATTGTAACTGGGACGGGGTCTATGAGTTCCATGCACAAGACAGCTCCAGCGAGGGTTGCGTATCCCATGATCTGAACAGTATTAGATCTAGAAGGCTGATTTGGTTATAGCTAGAGGTGGAATATTTTTGACTTACTATCCATCGGCATTTGCCCTGCAAAGCAGCCCAGATGTGCTTCTGAGCCCAGAAATTCAGAGTCAGAACCACCATCTCGAAACTGGTGCGCAGAAGCTCGTTTCTTGGATGGCCGTATTTAACAAACAGTCGCTGGATGAGAAACATGTTGAGTAAATGGTCTAGTCTTATCAATAGCTTTGGATAACCGATTTCAAGGTCTATCTCGCTTATCTCCTCTGCTGTAGGATTCCAGATCAGGTGCTGAGGAAGATGCCCATAAAGATCAAGTTGCTTAGTTTTGAGTTGCCTATTCATGATTAAACCATTAGAGAGAGAAGCATCTGTCCATAAGATCCCACTTACATGAATTCCATAATTCCGTAAGCACCATCCTGAGCGAGTATCACTTCAAGAATCTCGTCCCTTGCCAGCGCAATCATCATGCGAACACGCAGAAGCGAGCCCGAGTAGATACAACCATCTACATTCCATCCGTCCTGATCAAGGAGTTGAGATCTCCTCTGGAACGTTTCTCTATCTGATAACAAGGCTGACTCTCCTAGGTCAAGTGGCAACGTTATAGAGCAGAATCTCCTCGTAAGAAGAGGCGGTCGTCCAACAAAGGTGGCCAGGAATTTATCGACCACGAAGACTTGACATCCTATACGCCTACGGATCTCGGTCGGTACTGATGACATATGCGTCGATGACTTGGTCCGAGTATCGTGGAGTCCGGAGAATGTTAACATCGCAACTGCCTCTGCATGAAACTTCCAGTATGGCAGACCTGTGGCAGTTAGGCTCAATCAAAGGCAGGCTGCCAGCCCGTTATGATAATAGGGGACTTACTGGTTTCGCCATGCATCCATGAATGAAGAACGGATCGCTTGTATACCAGAAACAGCATAAGCGTCCCAGAACTCCCGCCCATGTTAGCCAGAGTTATGCATGAAGCACAGTACTCAGTGCACTGGCGAATTATCCTCTTCGAATCTTCATTCGATGTGGCTGATAGCTCGCTTAGAGCTGTATATAGGAAGATGACACCAACAGTCTCCCAGCGTAGATTCTCTCCCGAGAAGCTTTGAATCCATGTAGTCGGGTCATCCTGGTCCTCCTTGAGCGTTTTCCGTGTGTTTATACATATTCTACTCCCCATCTCGCGCAACTTTGCTGTGTTTGCTCTATCACTGAGGCAAGACCCGAATGTGTCCCAGGTACTGGATAGGAGTCTATCACCAATACCAGCCAACCAGTCTTCATCAAGGCTAGCTTTAGGCATCGATCTTTGCATGGATAGTTTCTCGGGGAGGGCTTGGAGTACTCTGACAGCAAGTTGACTTGCTCCTTGGTCCATATCCACAATACTCTGTATCTCGGCCACCGATGGTGGAGCTGGAATAGTTGGTGAAGAAGGGGCGTCGACGACTGCCACTGAGGGTCCCTGCGCAGCCAAACTAGCCTCAGTCTCTTGGTACGCAGCCGGGAAGCTTGTAGGCCCGAAGAAGCCTTGTGGCGGCCTCGCAGCAGGTGAACTCCATAACCCATCATCGGGCCCAAAATTCCTGTGTCGGGCTGCGGGTGCCGCGACCTCGGAGCTCAAGGCTGATGCTTCGGACACTCGTCGCTGAGAACGCCTTGCTCGAGAGGGAGTCGCTGCCTGTTCCGGAGATGCATAGTAACACGCAGACGCGCCGTTGGGCCGTTTTCTACACCGACGACATACAGGATAGCCGTGGTCGCATGCCACTTTTCTGCGCCGACAAGGCTCGCATGCTTGCTTCTTGCCGTTACGCCGAGTAACAAGTGGACTAGACATGGCAGTCAGGATTCGGCCTGCGCTTATTGGACTAAGCTGTCGAGCGCCGAGTTTTGGATGCCTCGAGACTCGAGTGTTGTTGAGGCCGGAGATGAAGATGTAAGCAGACGGTGCTGACAGCCAAGACCGAGCTCCGAGGGCCGACGCACTGGAAACAACCAGCCAGGGAATTTTACCTAGTGCTTATTCAACTCTAAACGAGCAGCGTGGACATTAGAAATACCTGCAGATTAGCAAACTGTCATACCGCATAATTGTATGCTTGTGTAGTTCAAGGTTGACGCGAAAACTCCGACTGTCTTGGGTAACTGACGATTTCTCACACATCATCTCAGGCATGCAGATACACAAGAGAGAACAAAGCACGACTGCACCAAGCAAACACGGATTCATTGAAAGTCAAATAATACATTAGCTATCCATGAAGCCTCATAAGGGTATTCCGTTCAATCTCTTCCCCATCTTACGATATAGCCATTCCTGATGTTTTCTATCCCCAGCCCCAGTCCGTCCGAATCAGCTCTCCGCAGTTCTTTACGTCTTGTTTCCCAGTATCCGTAAACCAGTGTATAACTTGCACATTATGCCCAAAACCAGGTTTTCCATCTCTAAGCCTCGAAGCTTTGATGCTGCATTTCCAGAATGCAGTCAAATGTAGTAGCGGTAGGGTATTCTTTGATGATAACGTGATCGGTGTCCAGATCTTGTCGTTCATAAGAGCGAGATTTACATGTATCCGCCCGTGATATGCGTCAACCAGCCCTTGACGCGTTTTGAGACTGGTGACGCGTCGTCTTCGCCGTCATCCTCTGCAGGTCGCTTTCTGGACTCATGCGTCGGCATTTCTTGAGTCAGCGTCTCCTCCTCGGCCGGTGTCTCTTCTACTGGTAATTCTCGACTTGGCTTCTGGTGTTCTTTTGCCAAGGTGCTCATGTCGCTGGCCGATGCGCTCTCGCCTTGGTCGGGCGCATGGTCGAAATCGTAAATGGGCTCGTCTGACAGTTCCGAGGATACGTCAGAGCTAAGTTCGATTATCGGCACGTGATCCTGCCTATCGCGGAGCTGATATCTGCTGCCCTCATTCGTGAGGACTTTTTGCGGTTCACGAGCTGGCGATTGCTGCCGCGGTGCAGAAAGACGAGGTAATTCTGGCTCATCTTGTTTTGAGTAAGGTAATGATTTCTGCTGTGATTTTGGTTTTGGTTTTGGGAGTAAGCCCGCTAGGGTATGTCGTCTGATTTCTTTGGTGGTCTCTCGCAGATGAGCGGCCAATTCACTGTGCGGATCAAGATGCCAGAGAGTGCGCTCGATGGTAGCGCGCAGCATGTGAAGGTTCCCCTCCTCGTGAGCGGCGCGCTCGGCGGCGGTGAGCTTGGCCATGGCAGCTTGGGCTTCTCTTCTGGTGGAGGGTCGGTAGAGTGAGCTCATGAAGTGAGTGAGGGGACGGCGGGTGGGGACACGTGTTTAGAGCGATTTAGGCAATGCCATCCATTGATTTAGGTTATCTCATGCAATCTCGATTTCTGTCCCGAGTGTAGATATGAGATATTGTCTTCTTGTCATGTCTATCGAGGTTGAGGCTGGCGTGAATAGGGTTGGACACGATCGGTCGGGTAATATCAAGAGGTTGGTTTTATTTTTCAAGCGTCTCCACTTGGGGTCGGGGTCTTTTATTTATTATGCGTGATGAGCTGTCAATGCTACTGGAGCCTGAAAACCCGCGTGGTAGCATCCGGTGGACTCTGCTGATAACGATGAGCCAATCATGTCGACGATGACGACAACAGATGACTCATCCCTGATTTGCACTATGACGTCTACAGTTTAGACTGTCCACTCAAAGCACGATTTCTCAGTGTTTCAGGTCCCCACTAGACTGTTTTTAGACCACCCAGGTCAGCCTCAGGGTAGCTTCATCTCTTTACCCAGCATTAACCGCCTTTAAAAGATCTAGATAAGTTTTATATCTATTGCTAATAGTATTAAATATCTCTAAAGTATTTAAACTATACTCAAGCCAATTTTATGCTCAATCCCGCTTGCAGGGAACACTAGAAGTGAATCGGAAGTCTAACTTGAGCTTACCATAGTAGGTCGAGGATTGTTAAATAGCAGTTTATCTTATTTCTCATCCTCTGAGGAACATGTCGTCACTCACATTTTCGCAATGTGAGTTTTTCAACGGCGCATGATAAAGGATCACAAGGCTTAGCTACAGCGTAAAAACGCATACCAGGTCACATATATCTTTATCTATATAGAACTATTTCTAATCCAAGGTTATCACTCCTACATCGGTTCCCGTTGCTTGCTTTATCGCATAAGACACCAAATCCAGCGTATCCTTCGGAACGAACAGCTCATCCGTATTACCGATAACCTTCTCAAAATGCGCCAAATAATCTTCCGGGCCCGTAGCGCGAGAATGCCCGGGGACCGTAGCCAACGTAGTTCTCGCGGCTCTGCCACCACCGACACTGAACAGCTCTCCAGACACGGGACACTCCGCACTGCAAAGCGCTACCACAAAATCCGCCACGAGATGAGTATGGAAATATTCCCTCGTAATCCTCTTGATGACAGGCGACAAGTCCGACATGCGTGACGCCGCTGAGGGGAGAACGCCGTTGATCTTGATGCCGTGCTTGGGACTCATGCGCCCGAGATCGCGGGTCAAACCAAAGGTGGCGCCTTTGCTTGACACATAACCACCATCACCACCTGCTCCCATACCGATGAGACTGTCAGACGAGGTATTGACTATTCTCCCGTACCCTTGCTTCTCCATAGTAGGATACACTGCACCAATGAGCATAACAGTGCCCAGTGCTGCAATCTCCCACGTCCGGCGGAAGGATTGGACGTTCACGTTGTCGTGCGAGCTAGCTTCGCCAGCAGTGCCTGCATTGTTGACAAGAATGTGGATAGTTCCATACGCCGCTAGCGTATCTTGCACAAGCTCTTGAACCTCGCTCTGGACAGAGATATCATGGCCATCTGCGATGGCCTCTCCACCCTTGGCTTTGATCTCGTCAACGACAGTCTGAGCACGAGATATAGTGCCCCTCTCGCCACTTAGAGAGCCACCGTAGTCATTGACGACTACCTTTGCGCCGTATGATGCGAGAAGAAGAGCATACTCCCTGCCGAGGCCGCCTCCTGCGCCCTGTAAAGAGCATCGTCAGTGCCATCACATGTACAGTCAGACGCGAAAAACCTACAGTCACGATGGCAACGCGGCCTTGAAGAGATGTCAATTTCGTTTGGGGCATGGTCAAGTGTAAGTTCTTGTTGGTAGAGGTCGGAAATAAATTGAATGGTAGGTGATAACCATGCTCACCAGACTCGTTCTATAATCAAGATTTCCCCGCACTTTGGGGCCGATGGTTTAGTGCCCGATAGCGCGCTGTTGAGTCAATGGGCCGCTAAATCTCGGGTTTAGGGGACCTCGGTGGGCTTGAGTCAGTAAGCGAGTCAGTGGACTGAATCGCCTAACTTAGTGGAACCCATGTGTCCAAGGATCAGTTGAGAGGCCATGATAGATACGCCACTTATTGATGCACGATAATCCGGGGAACAGACGACCTAACGATAATCACTTCTTGGTGTGCGAAGAGCGTTGTGAGTAAAGCATTTGCGACAACATGCCAGACTTCAACACAATGTTCGAAGATACGAGATTGACCGCGAATTTGATCCTATTAAAATGTAAGCCAAAATGGAGCATATCGGATCAAGGGAAAAGGCTACTGACATGGAGGTCTTTTCAGACTATGTGATTCCTAGGACCAGACTACGAGCCCTTATATCACGGATCCTTGGGAAGCAAGAACCGACACTTCGGCATATGCTCGCCAATGCTACGATCCGATGGTGAGAATTGGTAACCTTGTGTACGTTCCGGGGCTGAAATTATGTCTAGGCTGTCATCGACCCTCTCGATACACCAATTCAGAGCTATCAGTTCTGGCCAATGTGATGCGAATGCTCTACTGCAGAAATGCCCGACTCTCCTCGAGGAGAAAGCCACGACCGAGACGGTAACCATTTCTGTAACGATTTGATCGCATTCATAGTCTGACGAGAACAGATCGTGGGAGACGACTATAGGGGGCATTACCTAGTCAAATATCCCAACCCGACACACATCATCTTCTATGTGTACGGGGGCGGCTTCGTCAGCGGCTCGCCAGGATCTGTGATGCCGTATCTGCTGCAGTTCAGCGTTGAACTCCAAGCCAGGGGCTTCAAAGCTGACATGTTCGTCGCCGAGTATGACCTTGCCCCAGAGTATCCCTACCCAGGTGCTCTGAGACAAGTCGTCTCAGCATATAGACACATTGCCAGTCGGAATATTCCCATCGTTCTGGCTGGTGACTCGGCTGGTGGTAATCTCTGTCTTGGACTTCTTCGACACTTGGTCAAGCCCCATCCAAGCATTCCACCAATTATGCAGACCCAAGGAGAAACTGGACGTGTCATGGCAACTTGCCTGAATAGTCCGTGGGTCAATCTGCGAAACAATGGGGAATCATATCGGCAGAATGCAAGCCAGGATTGCCTTGACAAGGGCGCTCTTGACCGTTGGAGGAAGGCATATCTAGATGGGAAGCCCTTGGACGAGTATGCAAACCCCATCGATTGCTTAGATGGTTGGTCAGAGATTTTGCCCAAGGACACACTCTTGGTATCCGGCGGACTAGAGCTTTTTATAGCTGATATACGAAACCTGGCTCAGAACGTCCGCAAGTTAAGTCTACCCCCCGACACTTTGATGACTCTAAAACTGATTATCATAGTAGAGCGGGTACAATAACCTGGAGATTCACGTCGAGCCTAAGAAAGGGCATGTCTGGAGTCTGGTTGACTTTGGGGGTACGCAGCCTGGGTTACCAGCGGTGCGGGGAGGACAAGAGGAAGATCACGCGTATTCCGGCATCCACTTACAGGCTGACTGGATTGTTGACAAATGTAGAGTCTGAGAGGGGAGGGTGGTTCTATGTCTTTGTTTGTATATGTATTGGGATCGGCTGCATTCGAAAGGATCTGATAAATTCTCGAAAAGAAACAAGTATTGGCCTTTACGATTGATCTACTGCGCGTGAAAAGCTTGAGTTGCCATCAGTAGGAAGCTAAAAGAATCGTTATGTGGTTTTTCTTAGATCAACGAACTTGTTGGCTTGTAGCCCGAAGAAACTACAAAGTATAGAGAGCTCATGTCTGCCAACACGCATTTTTTCGCACTTGGTATTGTGGGAAGCCTCTGAAGCTGTTATTGCAACGGATAACTCAGAGTTTTACAGGCATGCTGCGGGGGACGGTTTGTAGCAAGAGCAGTACTCAAAATAAATGACTCATTGTTGAAATCAAACTAATTACAGAGCACCGGCATGGGAAGCACTCAAGGTAGGTAGATACCAGAACACATCTCAACCAGTATCATATCCAACTTAGGCTGTCTTATCATCAGAACCTGCCGCCTCGCCCAGATGAGTCTTGTGGAAATGTCGTGGCTTGACATTGGCAGCGTAGAGATCATCGAGCTCTGCAGTAGTTCGGTTCTTGGTCTCAGGAAGCCAGATCCAGCAGCCAGCGAATCCAATGAGAGTAGTAGCACCAAAGATGAAGCCAACCTTGCCACCGAGATTACCGGCATCTGGGTTGAACATGTACGGGAACACGAAACCAATCAGCCATTGAACGATACAGAGGACGATGTTGGAAAGACCTTGGGTTCGTGAGCGGAGACGCCAGGTTGGGATCTCTGCCACGACGGTCCATGCAACTGTACCCAAGGTGATCTGGTAAACGAAGCCCTGTCGAGACACGTTAGAACAGATATGTTATTGAGGTGGGGAATTATTGACTTGCCCAAACGAACATGAAGGCAATGGTGACGAGGTTCGTAGACCGACTACCAGGCAAAGAAGCTCCACCAACAATGAACAACGTGATTGCACAGATGAACTGTCCCCATACAATAAGAGGCCGGCGACCAACGACAGTCAACAGTGGCCAAGAAAGGATGTTGGCCACAAACATGCTGCAGTTGTTCAACATGCTCAGCAAGAAGGACATCTGGGCACCAAAGCCAGCTAGCTGATAGTAATAAGATTGGTAGCCGAGAACAAAGATGATACCGCTGAGGTACTGGCATCCGTAGATAAACATGCTGATAAGTGTGCGTTGTCTATCACGCTTCTGGAAGCACGATGCGTAGGAGACAGAAGACGTCTCAGAGCGGTATTCCTGCTCATGCTGGATAGTCTGCTCGATAACAGCAAGGATGGCCTTCTTGTCAATGTCCTTTGAGTCGCCGTGGAGACGATCGAGGGATTTGACCGCAGCGTCTCGGCGCCCAGCACGAACCAGCCAGACAGGTGATTCGGGGCAGAGCCAGATGGTAGGAAGAACGATGGCCGGGATGATCCATTGACACACAAAGGGGATTATATAGGAATCGCGATCGTTTCGGGGACCAAGCTTGTACATGATACCAGTGAAGAGAAGAGTACCACAAAACTGGATAAAGTTGGTCATGGCTGTGAGCCAACCTCGAAGCTTGAGCGGTGCAACCTCTGAAGCGTACAGGGGCCCAATGATGAGCCATGCGCCGATGGACAGACCATTGATGGCTTTTCCAACTGTCAACATTGGAAGAGAGGCATCGCGGGTTGAGTGGTACTGAAGACCAACTCCAACGATAGAAATAGCACAGAAGATCATGTTGGTGTATCGTCGACCGATCTTATCAGCCAGCCATCCAGTAACGGCAGCTCCAAGAACAGCTGCCAGTTGAGACACGCCGCCGTAGAGACTCTGCCAAGTGGCAGGGATGATGTAACTGGTCGTGCCGCCTTGGGTGAGTGTAGTACCATAGTCTTCGCTAGGTGCAAATCAGTATAAACATGCGGATGAGACGATGTAAGAGTACTGACCGAAATTTGGGGATCGCGAGTAGATTGCCCGCGATGATACCATCTATACCATAGCCGAAAACAACAAGCTGGACGTATAAGATCCAGAGAGTACTTCGCCAGAAAACTCGAACGCTCTGGGCGAAGCTAAGGGTCTTTTCGTAGGCGATTTGGTTGGCAGCGGCTTCAGCATGGTCTTCCGCCTGCTGCATCTCAAGGTGTTCAGCAGTAGTCATTGCTGTAGCCTCCTTCTTAGTATCCATGACAAATTATCCGATGAAGAGAGGTAGGAGTCGAAGAGAGGTCTTGATTCCTGTAAAGAAAACAAGTTTCTGTAAGGATCGAGGGGATTGAAGATTGTCGTTATTGACAAGGGGTTTTGTAGTTGGACACGAAACGCCACAATAATGAAACTGTGTGTTCTAGACAGTGTAGCAGCGCAGTGCTAGTGGTCAATGGACCTGGTTGGTTACCAAAGATCGAAGAGCTACCAGCATCGACCCCATGGGGAAGCGGTCCTCGGTTTGCTGCACAGGCCACGATAGGGAACAATTCCCCGCGTGGAGATGTTGACTCGAGTCGAGAGTCAGCTTTGCGGGGTTGAGGGTGCTAACCGTGCTAGCTTCAGAGTCATGGGGGCTAGCTTAGTCTGGGGGATGGAGTCAACATTGGCGGTTGTCAACGCGGGGTCAGTAACCGAAGATCTGGATTTGTCAAGCGTTGGAGTGTTTGCTTGCCAAGACCCTGTGGTTTATTTCTTAACCGTTTCTTCGCAATCTGAGGCTAATTCGTATCTTCATACTCATCCTTGTCGACTCACTTAACCATCAAGATGACAGTCTCAAACGGAAACAGCTACGCAACAACTTTCGACAATCGGGTCGGTGGTACACCCATTACTCGCGACAATGACGGTCCTTACCAAGTATCTGAGCATATCCTGTGCGCTCTAAGAAAGCTTCGTGTTGGATGTATAGGAGCTGGAGCGTCTGGAATCATGATGTGCTATAAGAAGGAGAAGGAATTTGGAGATGACATTGATCTGGTAGTTTACGAGAGTAAGTAAAACATTCTACCCAAGAAATGTCTAATTTGAGCCACTGTGAGCTAATCTCCAAACTTCTCAGGGTACCCTAAGCCCGGCGGTGTCTGGTACGCCAACAAGTACCCCGGTTGCCGCTGCGACGTTCCTTCACCCGCCTATCAATACCCATTCCATCCCAAAGCAGATTGGTCCAAGTACTACTCTCCCGCGGCTGAGATCCAATCGTATTACGAGTCATTTGCCAGAGAGAAGGGCTATGTGGACAACTACATCAAACTATCTCATCGCGTCGACAAAGCGACTTGGGATGAGCCCAATGGACAGTGGATTCTGACCGTGACAGAGACTGCTAATGGCCAAGAGAGAACCTTCGAGGACCGAGTCGACTTCTTGATCGCAAATATTGGCATCTTGAATACCTGGAAGTGGCCTGATATTCCTAACCGCGAAGCATTCCGTGGACACATCACCCATTCAGCGGACTACGATACCAATCTTGATCTACAGGGCAAGACTGTGATCGTCATCGGATCTGGTGCCTCTGCCATCCAAATCGTGCCAGCCATCAAATCGACAGCAAAGAAAGTTATCTCGTTCTACCGAACGCCGCAGTGGATTGGACCCGGTTTGCCCATGGAAGGCTACACGGACTCGGAGGGACGAAACTTTATCTGTGAGTTGAGCAAATCTCGTTTGCAGGTTTGTCTAATATGCTTTAGATACCAAAGAGCAAAAGAAGAAGTTTGCAGAAGACCCAAAGGCGTATTTGGAGCATCGCAAAGAAATGGAGACAAAGATCAACACGAGTTTCCGGAATAACATCGCCGATCACCCGAACCAGAAGATTGCTCGCCAGGTAAGTACACCGCTCCTCAAAAGACAAGACTCTGACATGTATCTGCAGTTTGTGGCTAAAAGAATGGCCAAGATCCTCAAGAACGACGAGAAATTGACCCGGCGCCTGATCCCGACCTTTCCCATGGGTTGTCGTCGCCTCGGCCCAGCTGAAGGTTTTCTTGAGTCTTTTCACGAAGACAACGTTGAACTAGCCGAAGGCGAAATCGAGTCCTTTACCGAAAACGGTCTCCGTGTTGCCGATGGAACAGAGTATCAAGCAGACGTCATCATTTGTGCGACGGGCTTCAACGTCAGCTTCAAGCCACATTTTCCCGTCATCGGCCGTGATGAGGTGTCGCTTGCTGATGCCTGGAAGGATGATCCAGCTGCGTACCTTGCACTTGCTGCGAGTGGCTTCCCTAACTTCATGTGTGAGTTATTCCAGCATGAGCCTGATTCTCAGTACTAATTGGTGTTTAGTGGGCTCGTTGGGACCAAATTGTCCTGCGGGTCATGGATCGTTTATCACGGTTCTGGAAGCAGCGCAGAACTACATTTGTAAGGTCATCAGGAAGATCCAAACAGAGAACATTCTCACCTTGGATGTCAAGCCTGAGGTTGTCGACGAGTACAATGAACATGTCCACGAGTGGTTGAAACGAACGTAAGTATCCCTTCAAAAGTGCCAAATCACTTCGGTCCGCTAATGCTCAAGTTACAGTGTCTGGGCGGCTGGTTGTCGCTCATGGTACAATCAAGGTCGACCGAATGGCAAGATAACGGCGCAGTATCCAGGATCACTCGTTCACTGGCGGTTAATGCTTGAGAATCCCCGATACGAGCATTACAACATCCAGTACAGAAGCCGGAATAGGTTCGAGTTTATGGGCAATGGCTTCACGCTGCCAGAAGTGAATGGCGGAGATTTGGCATGGTACTTGGATCCAGAGCATATAGCAAAGCCTCTCTTCTCAGAATAGTTATAGATACTTGTATGATTCGAAGTTAAAATATTGGTATCAGGTTGTGTTACCCTTCCATTGCGGGTAACGATTAAAGAATTCCTTATCCAGCTTCCAATTGTTCAGATCCAAAATCTTGGAGACGAGTTGCTGCGGGTCATGTACTAAATCAGACTCGGACGTTGAGATTTCGACGGTGAGGTATTTCCCAATATCTGTAGAAACATCATACACGCGATCTGGATCTGACATGGACATCTGGACGAGTCCCTCTCTTATCGCGGGCCTGCCAACTGTCAGTGAGGAGTCAGCTTGGACAGAGCCATGCTTACCATGCTATGAGATCAGCTGCCATTGGGTGATGTACGACGAGCTGCAAGGGTGTAGGTCGAAGCCAAGGCGGTAAGCTATGGTAGGCATCTTCACTACGAACAATTTGCCACTGCGGCATGTTAACGACAGTTAGGCATAAGCGAGTGGGAAGCATACCCTCAATAATAGATACAGAACCCAGTATGTTGCAAGATACTCTGATGTCCGCCGTGTTTTCCGCACGGGCTCCAGATACACCTTCAGGTCAGTCGACAGCGAATTCTGTTTATTATCAACGAGAAAGTCAATCAGAACTGGGGGACCGATGGACTCTGGGTTCTGGCTAGCACGCTGTATCATCTCATGTAACAGTACGTCTTTTGCAGCGGATGAAAACATTAGCATGGGCATGTTTGAGCGGAAGGCAGGTAGGTTGTGCTTCATGCATGCATCGAATAACTCTGTGAAGCCGTCAAGAGGATCTGGGGTACGTTGCTTTTCGTGCTGATGCGATGAGCTGTCCTCGACTTCTGGGAAGTGATCGATGTCGTCATCTTCACGGAGAAGATGGCTTGGGCTGGTTATCCATCTCATGGTCATGGCAGTTTCGGACTCATGCGCTCGAGGTGTCTGCAACTGCGATGAATCCATTGCAGAGAAGTGGTCTGTGTCTTTATTCCTGACAGTCAGGGATTGCGAGTGAGTGAGTTCGGTCGTGGCCCTGTCGCTTTCATCTAAATGATCCATACTGGCTAGCTGAAAGTCGTCTCCCAGAATCGCATCCATCTCATTACTGTCTGCGCTTAGTAGGTGGGAGCCATCATGAAGATCCAAGGTGTCGCAGCGGATCAGATCGTCTGTTAGATTGTGGCTCGACGATGTGTTATGAAGCATAAGTCCATCCAGATCAGAAAGTCTGGTGGATTGCAAGTGGCCATCCACGACAGCAGGTACCGGTTGCACTGCAGGGCGCACTTGGGTGGTGTCGTTGAAGCTTGAAGACCTCACAGCAAATGCCTGTGCCGAAGCGTCCCTCTCATTATTGCTATCGTAGCTGGGCGTTGGACTACCATCAGAACAGACCAATGGCGCATTGAGTATCGAGCTTGACCTGAGGTCGCGTTGGCGTTGCAGTATGTTCTCCATCTCGTCCCAGAGACCACGCATTTGTTGGAGCTGCCGACTCAATTAGCCACTTCACTTCAATTGTGGCGAGTATGGAGATGAACCTCATCTTGTAATTGCAGGTTCTGGGCTGCAAGCTGCGAGGCTTCAGTCTTACCGGCTGATTTAAGAAGAGATATCTGAGCCTCGAGTCCTTCGATGTACTGCTTCTGACGCTTCCGATGCTGTCGTTGCGCATTCCTGTCTGTTTGGCGCTTCTTTGCGCGTCGCGATTCGGCGTCGGTGGTCATATTGAGGGCGTCGTTTGCGCCAAGCGACGGCATCGATTGCACTGAAAGGGTAGTAGAATAAAGAGTACAAAGTCTTTTGTTGGTGTCGCCGACAGCAGTTACTATGTCAGACAGTCAATTAAAGGCAATGGAGGTGATGAAAACGAGAGAAAGATTATTTGCCATCAGACCCTTTCCCCCTCTTTGCGCTTCAGAGCATGTTCCCCGAATTAGTTAGGCTAACGGGGTCCTTGTAAGCCCCGGAATCGATCTGGACCCCGCAGATCCCCCAGCTTTCAGGCGAGCTAGCCCTGTAGCCTACAGCCTACAGTGCAGGTTGGGGAATCTCAACATCACCCAGCACTTATCATAATCATGCCTGTAACGTTGATGTTTGAGGTATACAAGTAATGCAGGGTAAAAATTGGCCAGAATTTCTAAAGGGAAATGTTTCCGTATTGGCTATGTTTCTGATTTTGAATGCATCCATAATTCTATGTAGACTGATTTCTACCTAAGCTGTTGACCTAAGTTCTGTCTCGCTGGATCGCGTATAATGCCGCTTCGTAGCAAAAGTAACAGGCGACGGAGAAGAAAACTTCAGTGTCAAGTTTGATGTCCACAACGATCTCGTTTTGATACCGTGAAGTTTTATCAGTATCACAGATCTCGACTGCCCTCACCAGGCCCAGCCAGGACTTTTACACACTTCCTTCTAGACCCCGACTCGTCTCCTAATGAGCTGTGAATATCTAACGAGAATGAGCGGCGAATGTTCAATAGGAATAAGTATCAGATCGAATTATACCACGGACTGGGAATAATTTGACCACGTACGTCTCATCCAAGTCAATTGCTATATGGTACCCCACGCTGTTCTCTTACATTTGAAGCCTAACCTCAAATGGTCTTAGTGGTGTGTTATAACCGACGACTTAAGCTGACTCGACTCAATGACTCGACAGATTCCCCCGCATCCCAGTGTCATTATTCCCTGCATGGCGTCCCCTCAGTGATCCTACCTTCGGCTATGTACCGTCAGTCCGGGTCAGATGACACCGAGTACGCTCTGGGTCATGATTTGAAGATAATGAAAAAGGCCTGTTCTAGCTGAGAAAGTATTAATTTGTCCAACGCACGTTCGTTGAACTAGCTCGTCTCCGATCTTGAACTGTCCCACCATCATGACTATCTCGCAAAGCAACAATGAGAGCAATGGCACTCAATCGCCAAGAGTTCGAAGCACACAAGGATATGGTCAACATCCACTTCACGACAGATCACAGAGACCATTGAAAGTCATCGTCGTGGGTGCAGGCCCTTCAGGAATCGCAGCGTTGATTGAGCTAAAGAAACTCTCTCACGTTGAGATTCTATGCTTCGAGAAGAATGCGGATGTTGGAGGAACATGGCTCGAGACGAGGTACCCAGGCGCAGCGTGCGACGTTGCAAGCCACGCCTATCAGTATTCGTTGGACTACAAGACGGATTGGTCGCGACAGTGAGTAATCACGGATTGAACATGGATTGATCTTATCTCTAACGATCATAGCTTTTCACCTGCCGAGGAAATCGGCGAGTACTTCATCTCAGTGGCCAAGAAACACGATCTGTACAACAAAATCACCTTCAACTCCCGCGTAATCGGCGCCGAGTGGGACGACAATACAGGACTTTGGCGGGTTCAAGTGGCGCGCGACAGTTCGCCTGAGAGTGATGCTCTTGTTGAAGACCATCATGCTCATGTGTTCATCAATGCAGGCGGCATCTTGAATGATTGGAAGTGGCCCGACATTGAAGGCTTACACAGCTTTAAAGGAAAACTCATACATACAGCCGCTTGGGTAAGATGGAATATTCCTTAGTCTAAAGGCTTTGACTAAAATGATTAGGACCCCGAAATCGACCTCAAAGGCGCGTCTGTCGGCATTATCGGATCTGGAGCGAGCAGCATACAGGTAGTCCCAAGCATACAGCCACTATGCGACAAAATCGGCGTTTATGTGCGATCACCCACATACATTCTACCGACGGTTGGGTTCGGCATAGAGTCCTCCAACTTTAACGCGCCATGTATGGAACTATGATCTTGTCAAATCTCGGATATTGACTTTTGCTAGATACTGAAGCGGATATCGAACGATTTAACAACGACCCGGAGTATTACAAGGCTTTCAGAAAGCAAATTGAGCAACAGATGAATGAAAACTTTGCCGCTAGCATTAAGAACTCGGAAGCACAAGAGAAAGGGAGACAGGTATGCTGACATTCGCACACCTGAGAGATACTAGCTAACCGAGATGTAGTGGGCAGAAAAGATGATGAGCTCAGCGATTGCCTCACCAGAGTTGAGAGAAAAGCTCATTCCAAGGTATGTCACTCCATTATTCCCTCGCCAAGCATCGCCAATAACTGTGTAATAGCTGGGAGCTCGGATGCCGACGACTTACTCCCAGCTTACCGTATCTCCAAGCAATCCAGGAGCCCAACGTGAATGTCATCAGAACAGGCATTCGTAGGATTAATGAGAAGGGGATTGAGACAGATGATGGTGAGATCCATGAAGTTGACACGCTTATTTGTGCAACTGGGTTCAACACCTCCTTCTCTTCCAGATTCAACATCGTCGGCAAGAATGGCGTGAGTCTTCGTACGATGTGGAAAGCTAGAGGCCCAGAGGCATACCTAGGAATGGCGATTGCAGGCTTGCCCAATTACTTCAGTAAGTTACAATGAACGGGGAATTTAGGGAGACATACTGACGATTATCAGCGTTGCTAGGACCTAACTGTCCTATCGCCAACGGCTCTCTCATCCCCTGTATTGAGTCTAGGTATGTTCCCATTTTCTCCCGTAAGATCACATGCTGACATTTCCTTGAATAGCGCCAAGTACATCGTTCAAGCGATCACAAAGATCCAAACAGACCAGATTCGCTCCCTGGACGTGAAGCAACCCATCCAAGATGCGTTCAATGACTATGTCCAAGAAGTCCACAAAGATCTCGTTTGGACAGGATCTTGCCAGAGCTGGTGTATGTTCCTTTTTGTCCCGCTACCCGAAAATCTTAACCGATTTATGATTTCTGTAGACAAAGACCGAAAGTCAGGCCGAGTCGTTGCAGTCTGGCCCGGATCAAGTATTCATTTCATGGAGATGATTGCTAACCCACGATGGGAAGACTTCGACATCAAGTACATCAATGTGAGTAAGATGATCTCTAAGGCGATTATGGCTAATGAAAATAGTCGAATCCGTTTTCGTTTATGGGAAACGGAATATCTCAGCGCGAGGCGAAGGGTGAAGATTTGACATATTGTAAGTATATCACTTACATCAGAACTTAACTTTGGCTCACACAAGCAGACCTTGATGATATGGTGTCGGAATTAAAGAGATGATTTGGGTCGAGCTCATGGGGTCCCTTTGCCGCATTGGAAAGGAATGCGTTTGTAGCATAGACGCTGAAGTAGATCGACGTTGTTAAGTAGTGCCCACTGTTAGATTCGGCGGAATGCAATGGAACCCGTGCCAAGTTGAAGATGTCATTGCCCGTGATTGTCCCGCATTGCTACCTATGAACGCATCGTGATGATATCTATCTAACGCGATCTTGTGTGCTAATGACTTTGGGGCCCTTTATTCATGACAACTTGCGTCGTGGGTGACCTGGTGCAGGCTTGAATCGTTCGAGTCAGCTTGCCATGTCATAACTGCCAGATTCCGAAGTATAACTGTCCAAGATCTCCCCACCTCTTGTCCTTCCAATGGCCATCAACATTTATCTCGCACATTCATCTACTACCATGACATCCCAAACCCCCGAGAAAACATTCAGCAGCGGCGTTGCTGTGATAACAGGAGCCGGAGGTGGTTTGGGTTCCAGTCTGGCTCGGCATATTGCCTCATTCGGAATGGCCGTCATCATCGCCGACATCGACCTCGAACGCGCCGAAGAAGTGGCTTCTGACATTAGGGCCGCCAATGGGAAAGCAGAAGCAAGAAGTGTCGACCTATCGCGACCTGATGAGCTGGATGCACTAGCTACATACGTTCACACTCAATATGGAGATGTTACGCTGCTCATCAACAACGCCGCGATCGAGACCTTGGGCTCACTATGGGAACTATCTTCCGCCCGGTGGGAGACTACACTGAATGTCAACATCCACGGCCCTATTCATGGTGTTCGGGCCTTTCTACCCCACATAATGGCATCCGGGAAGGAATGCTGGATCGCTAATGTTTCGAGCGTCGGGGCGTTTACCACTATCCCAGGCCAATCAGCATATGCCATCACGAAGCACGCCGTGCAAGCCTTCACCGAGTCACTACATGTAGAATTGAGGTCTCAAAAGACGCCCATACATGTCAGCTCTGTCATTCCAGGTCTGCTGAATACTGGTATCTTCGACCGTGCTCAGAGAAATACGTCAACGGTTGATCCCGCTTGGGAGAGACATCGAAAGCTAATGGCTGAGATGGCGCGGGAGAAGGGAATGGGAATTGAAGAAGCGAGTCGTATCATTGTGGAACAGATTGCAGAGGGGAAGCTCTGGGTGTGTACCCATCCAGCTGTCATGACTGAGATTTTGCAACAGAGGATTCAGTACTATGAGGGCCAGGGAGAGCCTAATATTCCGCCAGCATAGAGACCGTAGCCGATGCCAGATACATTCTATCTACTAAATTACCTAAGAAGCACCCGCTATCAACGTAGGACTGAGATTCAACTCTCGATTACCCGACTCTTGTACCCAAGCTATATAATGAAATCAGACCATCAGGGGTTTAAGTAACTTCGGTGGTGATACAACGGAGAGTGAGACTCCAAATATATGGATATACTAGAGTTAACCATGCGAGAAAAGGCCGCGACTCCATATTGAGTATATAATCTACAGCTTCGCTCTCTGCGACTCCGTCTTTTCTTTCCATGACGCCTTCAACACACGACGGAGAATCTTGCCAGAAGGACTCTTTGGAATCTGATCCATGACCTCAACACCACCACTCAACCGCTTGTGCTTCGCCTTCCTCGCCACAACAAACTCTTGTAACTCTCTCACGACCCCCGGTCCACCTTGGACTCCACTTGCAAGCACCACAAAGGCTCTAGGCGTCTCGCCAGAGTAATCATCAGGGATGCCAATTACGGCAGCGTCTTTGACTTTGGGATGCCCATGAAGCAGGTCCTCGAGCTCAGCTGGAGCCACTGCATGTCCTCGTACCTAGTTCATGAGGGTCAGTTCATGGGCCCTTGTATGGAAGAAGGTGAGACTTACCTTAATCATCTCTTTGATCCGATCATGGATCGTGATGAATCCTTCGTCGTCGATGGAACCAAGGTCACCGGTCTTGAAGTAGCCATCTTCTAGATATGATTCTGCAGTTTCTTCAGGACGATCCAGGTAACCCATCGTAACTTGGGGGCCCTTCGCCCATATCTACCAGACAAACAGTCAGCACCAACACCTTTCATGACGGTGGGTTTCTTACCTCTCCAACACTCCCAGCTGGTACATCCTCTCTTGTATCAGGATCTACAGCGCGTATTTGGGTACCTGGAACCAACTTGCCGACCTTTGAGGCATTATTCCAGGTGCTCAAATCCGGCGGAGTCACCGTCAAACAGGAAGTCGTCTCTGTCATACCCCAGGCTTGTCTTACAGCAATATTCGGGAACTTTCTCGCAAGTTGTGCGATCACTTGATCAGCTAATGGGGCTGCGCCTGTGTTAAATTGTTTGACAAATGATAAGTCGTATCCCTGGGCCGCTTTGTCGTTCAACAAGCGGATCAACAGAGCTTTGAAAGTTAGTTCTAGAATCCCTTTGACGGATAACATGGTTGACTTACGAGGCACAAGCCACAGCTCATCGCACTTGAATCTCACGATGGTCTCCATCATCTGCTTCATATCGAACTTGGCCATGATAACCATTTGCTGCTCGAGAACAAAAGGCAGATGAAGTAAATGGACCAGACCGGTGACTAGGTCTGTCAGTAAAGGTCATCGAAAGAGGTCGCTTAACTGACTGTGATAAAAGGGCAGAACGCCCAGTACTGTCCGCCTTTGGTTGGGCGGAGTGAGTGCGCTGACCTGACGGAGTTGACTGATGACGTTGGCGTGAGATATCTGGACCTGATAACCACCAAGATCAGCATCGCCTCATCTGAAGAGTTCCATTCGCCTTACAGCTTTAGGCTTTCCGGTTGTGCCAGAGCTCCAAGAAAGAAATGCACATGGCGAAGCCTCATTGTATTTCGGTCCCCACGATTCGGTGTATGACGAAGGGTAGAGTGATTCTCCTCGCTGCCGGAGATTCTGGAGGCTGTTTGCCTCACCCACAGATCCATCTAGTCTTAACACATTCTTTGCTTGTATTCCGATCGTTTTGCAAGCGGCCGTGACTTCACAAACGGCACCCTCGTCAGTAAACACCAGCGCCGCCTTTGACGTTCCAAGGAGATAGACCAGATCATCCTTCATTGATCCAGGCGGTAATAGTGTCACTACAGCACCCAGCCGACTCGCAGCTAGCATCGCAACAGGATACCAGATAGAGTTCTGTCCAATGATGGCGATCTTCTGCCCTGGTCTGACATCATATTCTTGGTGAAGAATTGTCGAGACGACGATTGCAATGGACTTGAGGTCATGAAATGAGAGGAATTCGCCTGTGGCGCTATCATGGAATCCGCGAGTTTGTGATAGTGCTGGATCCGCTGAAGTAGATTGGCCTAACATGAGCTCATCGCCTTCGAAGATCCATTGCCATATGGAGGGGTTCCCACTCACTGGGCAACAAAAAGTTAGCGTCACTCTTAGTGGCTTTCAGAAGGATGACCTACGGGGTTCTAATGGCGGTCCGGAAAATGACATTGTCAACAGGTGGAAACTAAACAACTACAGCCAATGTCTCCTATTACCTCATATCAGAGTCAAGTTTTATTGTATCTCCTGTAGGCAGTGCGTTGTGGACAATTGCGCCGTGACATAGCATGATATCGCCATCTGCCTCGGGTGGAGAGCACTGACTAGCCAGGCTGACCCGAGCCGCCGAGGTACAACTAGGTGCATCGGTGAATGTCACCTCGGACCGAAACCTAATTTCCAATGAAACTGCGTCAAAACATTTGTATCATTACATCTTGAACTACCCAGAGAACAGCCAAAGACATAACCGGTCTTATATCTCGGCTGAAGCATCGGTCTTCGGGTACCAAGCCGTACAGTTTCCCATCCAGCCAACCCCTCATTGTATCTCCAAAATGGCAGCTTCACCAATAACAGTGGCCGTTGTTCATACTCCATACTGGAATATCTCAGATGTCGCTTTCCTCAGAGAAGGGCCGCACACCGTCTTAGTACCTGCACTCCTGTATCTCAGAGCCACAGATATTGAAGCGACACATCCAACACCCCGCCCGCCGCAACGGGCCCACGAACGAAAGAGAAAACGACCTCGAACAAGCCATCGTGACTCATGTCATAAATTCGTTCACCAGTATTCACCAAGTCCAGAAGCAGAGCATTCAAAATTGGCTCCCTGCTCAGTCGACTGCAGCGATTCGGCCGGCGAGCATGATCAAGACCCTGCAGACATTCTTCATGACCTGAATGTGACGGAGCACGAGCGATTACTACTCCATGGTCTCCAAAATGATATACGGCAAGAGTATTACGGTTCGACACCAAGCTTTGAACCCGAATCCAAGAGAATGAGACATGACATTGATGCCTTGAGGGCGATGGAACAAAGGTCGCTAGAAGAGGAAAAGGACGAATATGAACGATGGGTAATGGGCTCATGGGATAATTTGTTCTCAAGAGCATCTGTTTACCCCGAGTAAGATGAATAGAAAAGATCGTGTATTTTCTGCATTCTTGCGATTGCATAGAAGCACCATATCGTAAGTCGCTCTCTTCTCTTGCCTGAAGCATAGCTAACGGATCAGATAACCAAGCACAGCGGCCTTAAAACCCGCACCATTCCTCATCCTCGGCAAGGGAGCCCATCCAGAGTCCGGTCAACCTGATGATTGACGGTATGGAGGAAGAGCATCAAGCTTGAGTTTTACCCAAGCTAAGAGTATAAGAAAGGCCGGAAGAAATTTGCCAAACTCGAAAGTCCCCATCTTGATGATGAGGAGACGACGATTCACCTTGATGGCACCCAGTCGCTTGTAGTAGTTGGACGAAAGGGTGAAGAATAGCCATCCTGAAGCTGGTCAAAGTGGAAAACAGACCGAGGCTCAAGAAAGGGCGATGATGTGTAACCAAGGCGGTTTGGGTTTCGTCGAATGATGAAGCGTTCTGCGGGCGAATAAGATACTCAATAAGAGCCTAGCATTAGGCAGTTGTCGTTATGGATGGCATTATACTGCGAGTCTGATAGCTTATGGGAGTAACCACTGTTATGAACTGTGACTCTGGGACCCATATCCGGAAACCAAGCCCTTGTCTTTATCAATTTATGTGTGCTTCTCTTGCTGAAATGAACAGCTTCGTTTATTGGTAGTTCATAGAATTGGTTCTAATAGCAAGCCAGTGAGTTAACCAAGCTGGAGAGAACTGGCCCATCTGGGTATGCCTGGGCCTTGAGAGCTGGAGGTTACTGTAATCCAGTTTCTTGCTATCCTGGGTAACTTTATGATCCAGAGCAGAGGCTCACACAATCACATACGACCATACCTATCAGAGAACTCGGGATCCCGTCCGCTCTCCCATAGATAAGCTGGTAAGGGGCGGATTAGTAGTTGGGTCGGTGNNCGCTGTTGTATGTTTTTTGGTGGATGGCCTGCTACCTTTTTGCATATGTTCTCGTCTGATCCAGCATTGCAGTCCTTGATCCTCTCGTGATGTTGAATGGTGCTAGCGGAAGCTGCAGGTATTAAGCCCCCTCGGCAGCTTCTCGGGGCCACAAGAAGAATAACAAGAAGATAGAGAGAGCAAATTTTCAAGGCCGATGCCGCAAGACGACGGATATCCCGTCGGGGATTAACAGGTCAAGAGAAACGATGCTACATGCCGGGTAAAGGTCGGAGACGTTGAGCGATCAAAAACTCAATCACTAACTCAATCAAGGTCACATTACCGGCTCGCGCATAATTCTGGGGTAAACGCAGCCAAGCTTAACCCAAAACCAGAAAGGCGGAGGTGGAGAAAACTGGGGAGATGGCCTGCTCCCTTGTCACCCAAAAGTCGGGGAGGCCAATGTCAGGCGACGACGTGCACCCCACAGTCCCAGTGACCTCGTTAAAAGGCCCGAATATCCTCGACCGTTTTCTCTAAGAGTAACGCTATTGCCGAGTTTCCTGCCCATTTGAAAGCATTGCGTAAAGGCTAGAGACTGTGATCCATTATTCAGAATCACCATGTTTGTCTGCTCAGTTCCCCGATGGTCTCGGGATGAGTGGACAGAGGAGCCGATGCGTCTTGCCGATGAGCGGGGGATTGATGGGCGAGTCGTCTTGGTTTTGCATGTCGTGAGGTTGAAAATGAGTATATAAAGAGCGCAGATCCTGAACGTAAGTGAAATATGTCCAGGCATCGAGACAAGCAATCGAGTCACAATGTTTCCTTCTTCCATATCTTGTTTAGTGGCCCTGACTTTGATGAGCCAGGGTCTGCTAGCTCAGAGCCAACCGGAAAATGTCATCACCGATGATACCTACTTCTACGGTCAATCGCCACCGGTTTATCCTACACGTGAGCATACTCTCGCTACAGCTCCAAGAGCCGAACTGATCTCTTGACTAGCGGAACAGGTAGACACCGGCTCATGGGCCGCCGCCGTATCCAAAGCCAAGAACTTGGTGTCCCAGTTGACTCTTGAAGAGAAAGTCAACTTGACTACAGGAGGTCAAACAACTACCGGCTGCTCTGGCTTCATCCCTGGCATTCCCCGTGTAGGCTTTCCAGGACTGTGTTTAGCAGACGCTGGCAACGGTGTTCGCAACACAGATTATGTGAGCTCGTTTCCCTCAGGAATTCACGTCGGCGCAAGCTGGAATCCGGAGTTGACCTACAGCCGGAGTTACTACATGGGTGCTGAGGCCAAGGCCAAGGGCGTCAACATCCTTCTCGGTCCAGTATTTGGACCTTTGGGCCGCGTAGTTGAAGGTGGGCGCAACTGGGAGGGCTTTTCCAATGATCCCTACCTGGCGGGTAAGTTGGGTCATGAGGCTGTCGCTGGTATCCAAGACGCCGGAGTCGTTGCATGCGGAAAGCATTTCCTTGCTCAAGAGCAGGAGACCCATAGACTTGCGGCGTCTATCACTGGGGCAGATGCAATCTCATCAAATCTGGATGACAAGACCCTCCATGAACTATATCTCTGGTAAGCACATTGTATCTTGGCTTTTGTAGATGAACCTTGCTAACGCCCGAACTGGCCTTTTGCTGATGCAGTCCACGCCGGACTTGCCAGTGTGATGTGCAGCTACAACAGAGCAAACAACTCACACGCCTGCCAGAACTCGAAGCTTCTCAATGGCCTTCTCAAGGGCGAATTGGGATTTCAGGGTTTTGTCGTCTCGGACTGGGGCGCACAGCAATCTGGTATGGCTTCCGCGTTGGCTGGGTTGGATGTTGTGATGCCTAGCTCGATATTGTGGGGTGCCAACCTTACCCTTGGTGTGAACAACGGAACTATTCCCGAGTCACAGGTTGACAATATGGTTACACGGTACGCTCGAGTTTAGACTCGTCTCTCAATTATCCTTTCGCTGACAACCGTGCAGACTTCTTGCAACCTGGTATCAGTTGAATCAGGACCAAGACACTGAAGCCCCCGGCCACGGACTTGCTGCCAAGCTTTGGGAGCCTCACCCAGTAGTCGACGCCCGCAACGCAAGCTCTAAGCCTACTATCTGGGATGGCGCAGTCGAAGGCCATGTTCTTGTCAAGAACACCAACAATGCACTGCCATTCAAGCCCAACATGAAACTCGTTTCTTTGTTCGGATACTCTCACAAAGCACCTGACAAGAACATCCCAGACCCCGCCCAAGGCATGTTCTCCGCTTGGTCTATTGGTGCCCAATCCGCCAACATCACTGAGCTGAACCTCGGCTTTCTCGGAAACTTGAGTCTCACTTACTCCGCTATTGCACCTAACGGAACCATCATCTCGGGTGGAGGCTCGGGTGCTAGCGCTTGGACTCTTTTCAGCTCACCATTCGATGCATTCGTTTCTCGGGCGAAGAAGGAGGATACTGCGCTTTTCTGGGACTTTGAGAGCTGGGATCCTTATGTGAACCCTACCTCCGAAGCTTGCATCGTTGCTGGTAACGCATGGGCCAGCGAAGGCTGGGATAGACCTGCTACTTATGATGCCTATACTGATGAGCTCATCAACAACGTCGCTGACAAGTGCGCCAACACTATTGTTGTTCTTCACAATGCTGGAACACGACTTGTGGATGGCTTCTTTAGTCACCCCAACGTCACCGCTATTATCTACGCTCATCTTCCAGGTCAGGACAGTGGAGATGCTCTTGTCTCTTTGCTCTATGGCGATGAGAACCCATCAGGTCGTCTCCCATACACTGTTGCTTGCAACGAGACGGATTATGGTCACCTGTTGAAGCCAGACTTGACTCTTGCCCCCAACCAGTACCAACACTTTCCCCAGTCCGACTTCTCCGAGGGTGTTTTCATTGACTACCGACATTTCGATGCCAAGAACATCACTCCTCGCTTCGAGTTTGGTTTCGGCTTGAGCTACACAACCTTTGAGTACGCTAATCTCCAGATCTCAAAGTCCCAGGCCCAGACTCAGGAATACCCAGCTGGTGCTCTTACCGAGGGAGGCCGTTCAGACTTGTGGGATGTCGTTGCTACTGTGACAGCAAGCGTCAGCAACACTGGGTCTGTGGATGGCAAAGAGGTTGCACAGCTGTACGTTGGTGTTCCAGGTGGTCCTGTGAGACAGCTGCGTGGCTTTACGAAGCCATCTATCAAGGCTGGAGAGACGGCTGCTGTGACATTTGAGCTTACTCGCCGCGACTTGAGTGTCTGGGATGTTAATGCGCAGGAGTGGCAACTTCAGCAGGGCAACTATGCTATTTATGTCGGACGAAGTAGTCGAGATCTGCCTCTGCAAGGTACCTTGAGCATCTAGTTGTGGTTTGAGAAAGATGGCTCAACATAGTTAGTTCAATGTATATCACTAATACTTATTATGATCGATTTCATGATTTATTTATCATATCTACTTTATACTGTAATAAGTGCTTGCGACAATGCTTGTATTTCAATATCGTAGCCTGTTCTGTCATTTCTCTATAATGTGTGACATTCCTGAAGACCCGACATGTTGCCCGACCATCGGTATTGCTAGAAAACACGTTCTACAAGAGGGAAGCTGTAGAATTCAGTGTCAGTGCAAAGTCGAATCACTTTCTAGTACGAGTGCCCGGTTGACTACAGTGGATGGTCTCTCGCACTCCTTTGTCCGCCCCATCAATCTTTCTCCTCTTCCTCTTCCTGTTTTCCTCTTCCTCGTCATAGTCATCGTCTTCATCTTCATCTTCACTGTATCCATCTTCTTCATCATCTTCGTCTTCCAGTCCCTCTAGAAGCCTTTGAAGTTGAGCCTCAGCCTTCTCAGTGCTAGCCAAGTATTCCTTAGCCTTCTCCTTTTCTTTCCGGAATAGGGCATGGAGCCGCTTGGCAAGCACCTCAAGAGAACGAATTTGCTCTCTATCACCATAACCCGCAGGGAAAACTGGTGGAATAAATGTTCCGTCCCCGTCCCCGGTGATGGCAGCATCAATCTCCCTGTTAATGGCGGCTGTAATCTCCTTGGCCTTGACACGGAAGTTGCTAAGGATGAAACCGAGGGATCGGGGATTCGTTTCCCACTGCTTAGGATACTCTTCCTCATCCTTATCACAGAACTTAAGATTAAAGTCTGGAGCGAGAGTCGTGGCGAGGTCCATGTCAGTTTCGGTGATCTTGTCTGCGTTCTTCAGGGGACCTTTCGAACTAATATGCTTTTCATGAAAGCGGCGGAGCTGACGCGCTCGCAGGCGAGTGTTTTCTTCAGCTGATGGCCAAGTCATGATCGATGTTTGATAGTAGAATAGTATTTGCTGTGTTGAATATGGTGGTGTAGGTTAGAATGAAGTTGTTGTTTTCTGGATGAAAGGCAAGCTTAGATGCTGAGGACTAAGATAGATATAAATACCTACAGATTGTAACATTGAGCTTCATAGACCCAAATTTGAAGCCGAGTGTTCTTCAAAGCTTGCAACTGGCACTCTACATGTTCGTGAGAATAACGTATGCTAAGGCGGCATTGTTCGGCCAGTGCCTTCCATGAGTTCTTTGTAATATTTCTTATGTTCACTGAAGAGGTATTAATTTATTTCCTCGATTAATTGCTACGGCATGAACAAATGTCAGTACAAAGCTCAGGTCAGAGGTTCTGCTTTGTCTATGTGGTCTACAGAGAAAAGCTCGTACAGAATTTGGAGAACAATCATCCTCCCTTTGACACCATTAAAAAAATTTCCTATTTATTCTAAATATCTAACGAACAACTTGTTGGATACTGCAGTGATCGCAGTTGAACAGAAGAGACGTGACGAACATGGGCAATAAGAGGTAGCTATTTTGAAACAACAGGCGCCACGGTTCAACAATCCATATTTCCTCACAGCCTAGAAGCTGAAGATGACAAGTTAAGTATCGAATCTCTATGTGGATTCTCATTTCTCTAGTCTGCAATAGCAAGAGGCCTTGACTACAACATCGGTACCTGCCAGTGCCTTTTGCAAGTGGCCTTCAATTTCTTTCGCCTCCGTATCTCTCCCCAATCTCGACAAACTTTCGTGAAGGCCGTGCAGTGCCCAAACGTTATTAGGGTGCCTCAAAGCTCGAGGTAAGTTATCGTTGAGTCCCAAGTCTGTCTTATAAACCTCAACTGCCTCCTCGAGATGCCCCTGCTCCATCAGCAATGCACCATAGGCGTGGCGGGTAGGCTGCATCCATCCCCATGGTTCGTCGTAAGGAAGATTATCCTCACGACGAATAGCCTCACGAAGGTGCTCGAAAGCGGCGTCATAGTTCTTTCGCCGGTACTCTAGTTCACCATCGAGCATAGCTTCACCCACTCGAAGGATATCAAGACAAGTGTTGTTGAAAAGAGTGCGTGAGGTCGGAACTCTCTTTAAAGACTCATGGAATAGTCCTTTGTGATGCTCTGATTCTGACACTTTGCCCGTAGCAGCAAAGGCTACACTCTTCGCATACAAGGCGATTGACGTCGTCATACAGTATAGGTCCTGGTCTTCCGGTAGCTTCATATCAATCAGATCCTGCCACTTTCCGAACCTGACTAGGATATGAGCACGGAGGGTCAGGAACGCCTCGAGCCAGTCAGCCATCGGCGGAGACTCGATTTGAAGTAGGCCCTTCGGGATAGTGGACTCTAGTTGACTCGCAGTGTCGATGCAAATTTTGTACTGGCCCGCGAGCATAGCAGCATATACTCGAAAATGAAGATCGTGGCATCGGTACAGAGAATAGAAGTTGAGGGGTCCAGCTTTGGTCAGATACTTAGTATCAGCTTTGATCGCGTCCGAGTTCGAGTCAATGGCTGCTTGATAATGTCCGCAGAGGACGTCCAAGTGAGTTGGCATGTGGTGTAGATGTCCTCCATCAGGTACGAGCCCACGAAGATGGTTGGCAGTTGGAAGAGCATCTTCTGGTCTAGGAGACATCTCCATCAGATGGATGTACAGATGGAGAAGGCCAGGATGCTTCAAGGATCCATTGAGCTTTAGGCCATCATCGATGATCGTTTTGATCTTTAGCGTGTGAGCTCCAGGTATAGGCTCTCCTGTCTTAATATCCCAGAGGTTCCATGGATTCAGGTTCATCAAAGCGTCCGCATACAGCGTAATGACATCCAAGTCGTCCGGAAAGTCCCTATGCACCTCTTCCATTGCATCAGCAAAGCCTTGGTTCCAAGAAGAACAATTGGAAGGTCTCTCTTGTGGATAACGGTGCTGAAGCGCTTTGATAAGGGCTTGTTCAACAGGAGTGCAGGCCGACATCTTAGCCATGGCTGTGCGGGCAGCTTTATGGCCACGCGCAACTGCGTCGGCCAGGTCTTTGTCGTCAAAGAACGACCATGGTTTGTTGTAGTTTGGCCCTAGGCTGTATGCCACGCCCCAGTAGGCCATTGCGCAGTTGGGGTCGGCAACAGCGGCCTGCTCGAAGCAGAAGACGGACTCCTCATGGTTGAATGCATACGCCCATATGAGTCCACGGTCGAACCAGGCTTGGCTTTCGGGGGAGGTAGTCGAGACAGTTCGCTTATAGAAGCCAAGATCGAAGGCGTAAGTGGACGACATGGCTAGTAAGTGAGTGGCGACGTTTCAGGTGCACAGTGTCGGAGCTATGACGTCGGTTAAGGTAGTATCAAAAGTTACCCTGCTATTCGAAGCATGCGTTATTTTCGTTTCTTAAGTACGTGTTCCCCTCATCAAGTCATGGGACCAATCACGCGCTTGACTTCAGCCATTTAAGCTTTCAGAGATTAAGATGGTTTAGGGTAGCTCCGAATCTCATGGTGACAGGACTTGTTTACCTGTTAAGAACCCAACCTTTTATCTTCCCCTCTCCCTAGAAGACTCTTGTTCTGTAACGGCTATGAATTCTGTAAACTGAGGCGGCGTCACGCTACAGACTATCACAATATTTCAATCAAGTGTAGGACTGCTGGAATGAGCTGGTGGCCAAGATCACAAAGCTGGGATAACTCGGGTTTAGCAAGGTGCACCATTCCACATTCATTGCCAATCAGCTTATCGGCTCTAGAATATCTGTTACAGAACTACTGAGGCCTTCCATCCCTTTAACTTAACATCATGGAAGCAAAGTCCATGTACTCCTTAGGTGTAATGTGATCATGGTCATCCCGATCTGTAGCATAGCTAACATCCTTCCACTGATTCAGCAGATTGAGTTGCTCCTCAGATTTCTGTTTTCCGCAGTCGAAGGCATCAGAACCAATAGCAATACTAACCGCCCATGGCTTTCCAGCCGCAATCCCCTCACCCTTCATGATATCCACCATAGTCTTTGCGACCTTATCCAATTCGCCTGTCCTCTGGGCGAATGCCTTTGCAAACATGAGTCCAAGTTCCCCCGTGAGCTTGTTGTAGTCTGGAATACAAGGTCCTTGGAGTGCGAATTCTTGTCCAGCGTCTTCCCTTGGGTGGCCAAGGTTGGTGGGAAAGTTACCGCACATGAATCCTACACAAGAAATGCCAAAACGTCGGACCTCCTTGTGAAGGCTCTCGATGTAAGTGCTAAGAGCGGCCTTGGATGCTGCATAGTGGGACATAAAGGGTAGAGGACCCCACGAGCTGGCGGATGAAGTGAAGCCAATGCGACCATGGCCCTGGGCACGAAAATGCGGGAGTATAGCGCGAGTGACGTTCATGTGTCCAAAGACATTGACCTGGAAGAGGGTTTGGACATATGCATCTCTGTCATTCATTATTAGCTCGCTTCTCAATCGAAAGGATGTTAGGCTTCTTACTCAGCCTCTTCTGCGCACTTCAAGGCAGAAGCACCAGCGTTATTCAACAAAATGTCAATATGTCCAAAGATGGACCATGCCTCGTTAATAGTAGCCTGAACCACGGTCCATGGGGCCGTTATGTCTAGTTCCAAGACGGCTACATTGTCCGACGTGAGGTGGCCGAGCTTCTGGTTTGCTTTGCGACCGGAGGCAATGACCTTGTCGCCGCGGGCAACGATTTCATTTACCAACGCAGCGCCAATACCAGAAGTGGTACCAGTGACGAGCCACACGAGAGGAGCCATGATAAGCTAGTTGATGTTTTTGAAGCGGGTAGAAGAGTTGGTGATGTTTCTGTGAGTATGCTGATGAGGGTGAGTCAAAGGAGGGAAACTTCCCATCTTCTTATAGTTTAATTTGCCCATAATAGAATTTCAGCTGGACAGCGAAAATCCGAATTTGGCCATATCTTTCACATCAACGGACGGAGATATGATCAATCACGGGCTTACGTCACGTGATGCGGACCAAACTCGTCCGTCTCACCATGAGCTCTCTCGCTAGCCCATTGTCGCTTACGCATCATTTCACTCCAATCGACAGCCCTAGTCGAATAGAACGAGGAAGATTTCGGCCGAGCAAGGCTCTCCTCAGGTGAATCTACCCGATCCGCCCGGTATACCATGTCCGCCACGTCTGCAGCCCCGAGGGCGATGCCAAAATCCGTAGCGGCTAGACGGAAGATGAGGAAGGGGACGCATAGCTGCAGTGAATGTGAGTCACCATTCTACTTTGCATTGAACATCTGTATGGGTGACTGCGGGTAAATGTTCTAGACCTGTAGGTCAGAAGGACATATCTAGCAAGCCATTTCTATATGCTGCAGAAAGATCGTCGATCGGTGAATCAGCATGTCAGGTACTACCAGGATAACCATTGCCTTAGGTCGAAGGAGAAAGATAAGATGCAAATTTGAAACTGGAACTGCATCTCCTTGTATCCCATGTGCTGCCCGTGGGTCCCGTTGTCTAGATCAGCGAGATGTGACTCCTGTGAATGAGAGCAAGATTGATACCGAAAGTGTGAGCTTGCGAGACAGAGTCGCTGTTCTCGAAACGATGGTCAGAAACCACGCTATAACGCAAGGACCAGCCCTTAGTCATGAAGAGGCTGATCCTGAAGACGAGCCAGTCGAGGCAGATGAAAGGGCGCCCTTTGTGTCCATGCTCAGCAAAGCCGAGGTATGTTGGAGGGTAATGGTCGTTTAGGCTGGTTTACTGATTGTTTGCAAGGGCTCGACGGAAAGTCACCCTCAAGTAACCCGTTCTATTCAGGGAATCCCATATCGCAAAAGTCCGCCATTCTCCGCGCAAAGCTCGAGTGAAGCATGCTCAAAACTTCGCTCGGCTCTACCAGAATATGATGTCTTGATATCTACACTGTCTAAGAATGGGGCATGGTGGAGCAGTTTCCGTCACAAGGTTGAGGCCATTTGCCAGGGATCTTACGAAGACCTGGCCGCGTTTGCTGCGCGTGCCTACACAAGCAGTGATCCTGCCATACTTGGCATGCTTGTTGTTGCATATGCTCGTAGCACGGGGCATCACCATCATCTATATGGGGTCGTTGACAGATTAGCCATCCCCAATTCTGCGGAATCTTACTCTGCGGAGGCAATGGAACTTCTTCTGTTGTTGGCCAAAGCCTACAGTGATATTGGACAACCTCGGCAGTCTTGGATGATGTATAGGAAAGGTCTTGCTATTTCCGAAGTCATGGTAATTCTATCCTATATGTACAAGTCTGCATAGCGCTAACAACGTCACAGGGACTGTATAGACGGGAGGTGGTTTCTCCTCGCCTCAAGAGTATCTGGTGGGCTTTTTACCACGGAGATCGCTTTTCGAGTCTCCTTCTTGGCCTTCCATATGGATTCAACGACGCTCATCTGGGTCCAACCATCGAACCATATAATGCACCTATATACCCAGAGCAGCGCTTCGTTCTGCGGTGTGCTTCCCTTGCAGGAAAGATCATTGACAGGAATATGATGCCTGGGAAGCCATCTTCTGCAAGTTCAATGCTTCTCGACGAACAAATGGATAATATTGCCTCTTCTATGCCCTTGAGCTGGTGGGATCTACCCGAGTCACTTCCAAACTCCCACGCCGAGACAGATGAGCTGAGAAACCTTTTGCTATTGCACTTTTACTTCTTTCATGTCAGAATCAACCTCCATCTGCCATTCATCCTCGGGACAGAGTCGACATCTCCTCGAGGCTCTCACAGACTGGCATGTTTGGAAGCTTCTCGACAACTTCTCAAACGCTTTACCCTTTTACGTACCAAAATCCAGGGTTTTAGTATCTTTGACTGTAAAACAAGCGACTTTGTCGGATTCATGGCTTGTGTATCTCTAATCCTATGTCTGTCTCAACCAAGGTCAGACGAGATCACCGTTCCGGTTCCAGACGAGGATCAGAAGCTGATTAGTCAAGTCAAAGGCATATTCGAAAGAGAAGAGAAGGCGGGATGTATGATTTCCTGCCAATGTCGAAGGATGCTTGACATATTATCGGGTATTACCATTGATAGTAACGGAAGCTCATCTGGCAAACTACCAAGTAGGATTGCAATCCCCCACTTCGGCTACATCCGGCGGGATGTAGTACAAAAAGCCGGATTTCAAGCCACAGCAGGAGTCTCCATGGGATGCTCGAATGAGGATATCCTGACAGCGGCTCCAACCGTCTCACGCGATGGTCAGGGTGCGCTTGGAACTGGGTATGGAAGTAGCAGTTGGCCAGATACAATGGATACTGGAATGTGTTGGGAGTTTGGTGGACTTGAGCATTTTCAGATTGATGATGATCTTTCGTCGTGGCTTGATACTGCGATGCTGGATGTGAATCTAGAATGGGACATACCGTCAGATAGATTCTTTCCTAGCAACCCGCTTTTGTAGTAATATGCTTTAGAAATATTGAGTTTAAGAACGCACAGGACTTATATTTACGATATCCTCCAGTCTATAGGATTATTGTAAATACATATGGTGGTTATGTCAATCAAAACCGTAGTCGCCATTATAGATAACCCACAATCTATTCTTTGCTGAATCCAATCAGTTGAACACCCACCACCACAAAATCATCACGAGTGACACCACGTCCCATCTCGTCAACGAAGAACTTTAGCCCCGCGGCGCGGTTCTTCTTCTGCGCTTGCAAAGGCAACCTAACCGGCTTCTCACCTACACAAGATCCCCAAGCCGGACTCTCCCTCCCATCCTTTGCAATGAACTGCAGCCCTGACAGTGTCAGCTGCTCATCGATCCACAGCTGAAGAAACTTGAGATGCGACCCCTGGACATCCCACTCATCTTCGGTGTAGTGAGGCTTCTCCTCTAGTTCTGGTTGCTCGCGTTGTACGTCTGCGCACCAGCACCAGTAGTGCCCACCGTGGTTTCTGTTATCCTTTGGTGCAGTGAACTTGGTTGGGCCGATGGATTTCGTGGTCTGGTCGTCGGCGTATCTGAAGGTGATTGCTACCAGAGGGATTTGGTTATTGTCTGAACTATGGCAGAACGCCACTTTGATCGATGCGATGGGCCTGCTGCAGTCGAACCATGAAACAACAGCGTCTTCGCTCGGCACCTTGTGAACAACGTTGGAAGGCGGTAGTCGAAACTCCCGATAGCCATAGATATTGCCAACTGCCAACACTCCTTGCGGCGGGGCATCTGGGGTCCAGAAGTGTTGCTCATGCGCATCCATGGCACGTAACGGTGTCTTATCAACAAGACGATCGAACTTGCGAGAAAACCCACCAATAAAGATAAAGTCAGTACCGAGAGTATGCCTGTTTCCCCAGTGGCAATAAATGCCCATGAGAACATCACGGCGATGGCCTGGGGCTTGCTTTGGAAAGACAATTTCTGTTCTCGGATCCGGCTTTCCAACGATGAAGTGGCGGCCTCTGTTGGTCAGGAATTGTATTCAAGTTGGGTAGAAGGTTATTCTCGAGTTGACATAGAGAATCCTCTCTCCACCAGCACTGTCGATGGGGAAGGACTGCATCGCGTTTGTATGGCCGATGGTGCGAGATTCTCCATTGCTGAAACAGACTTCGAACCCTCGGAACTGAGCATCAACCCCAACGGCGGTGATCTTGCTCAAGTCGTCCTTCGTAGTACCAAAGATGAGTGATTCCATGATGCGGTCGCCTCTGGTAATATCGGAGTTTATCATACCATGGCGCGCAGGTAGAACCTGGAGTTCTCTCGGGGGCAGGTCATTCTTCCACAAGTGAACCGAAGCCTCTGGATCATTGAACGGAACTGGATTGCCAGACTCATCCAAATACTCTCGAGGCTTCAGCCGGGAGAGGCACTCCTGGAGGGCCTTCTTGAAAGGTTGGAAGAGCAGGCAGAGCTTGCTTATAGGCTCCCCGACAACCCAACCAGCTTGGAACCCAACGATAAAGTTATTAGCGTCCGGGAAGAACAAGCGCTAATCGCCTTTGGCTTGACCGACTTGGACTGGATCGCCCTTGGAGAAGATGAACTGTAGGCCAACGACCTTGCCCACGACGGCGTTGAGACTAGCATTGTCAAGGCTGTTGAGATCGCTAATTCCATCAAGTTCATCTTGGCTTGTGATGATCAGCTCAGTGATCCAATCATCTTTCCCGATAGGCACTTTGTCGCTCGTGGCAAAGATATTCTTTGATCCAACCGTTCTCATCTTCCCCTCGGCATTGGTAGAACAACCAATGCCGGCGAACTCGCCATCCGCTGTCCAAAAGACCTCGATGACATGCTCAGCGCTGGTCATGTCAAGAAAGGTCTCTGTAAGACTGGCTTTCGACCAAACGAGGTTTTTGTTGTAAGGGTACTTCAGGATGTCCTGCTTTTTCAAGAACCACTGTTCTGTTGGCCAGTTCTTCTTCTCTTGCTTCTCTTCTGGCCCAGTATTCGTTTAGAATCTGGGAGCAGATGCCCCAGACTCTGGAACGGTTTCGGAGACCACCAGTGGTGAAAGGCTGACGTTGATCTTGGCCTTGGCTGATTGACCTTAGAGCTTTGTATACCTTGAACCAGTCGATCTGAGGGTCCTCGGTGTCTCTCTTTCCGGGGAAAAAGTCAACGATCCATGGCATCTCAGAGATGACTCTGTTCTTCCAAAAGGCGTTCGAGGTTGTCTCCTTCACTGCATTCCGTGAAGCGAGACGGATCGAGCAGAGGCTCTCAAAGTCCAGACACTGTAGCACGCTGGACATGAGTTCGCCCGGGAGTGATTCGAGCGCATCCTTGCTCGCTCCATCGCCTTGAGCATATGTACTTCCAGACACAGCGGGCTCTTCAAGCTGTGATTCTGCCAGGATCCTCTTGAAGAAGTCCTTGACGCGCGGGATCTTGGTCGGAGACGCGAGAACATACTCGGTCCCGTCGATCTCCTCCCACGTCTGACCCTGGCACGCCTTTGCATCTCCGTAATCAAAATCGAGACCCAAAGCATCCGGGGCAGCGCAATGTGGTCTGGAAGTCTCGTAAATGACATCAGGCTCGATGTCATGCGGCGCTGCGACTTTCTTTAGGATCTCATAGCAGTGCATGTGGAATGGGATCAAGACATCATGATGCTCAGCCCAATCATAACTTACAATCAAATCAGCATTGAGCGTACATCTTGATGTAGTACATACACTCGAACTTCGCCGTGCATGTGACGGTCGTACAGAGGATTGTTCTGTGATTGTGACCTGAGAATATACCAATTGTAGTGGCTATAGTCGCCAGGTCCAGTGAAGGTGACAGGACTACGACCAGGTTAGAATGACTTACTCAGCTGCAATGGCTGGCTCTTACCGTGGCGGTGAAGCTCGCTTGTTGGGTCGACCCAGGATATTGACTTCTTCCAGCCATTCTAGACTGTTGTCAGACACCTTGCTCTCATCGTAAGATTCAATGTCGATATCATGTGCGGGTACGCCGCAGATAGCGCAGTAAGTGTCGGTGTCGGACATTTCTGCTGAACTGATGATGATGAGATCAAGGGGAGATGCAAACTGAGGTACATATAAATAACCATTTTGTTGATGCTGAGGCACACATAGTGTACCCATCCCTTGCGTTAGTGTATGATAGTGTCCTATGAACCTCTCACTCAAATGCGCATACTTGTTGATACCGGCTTAACATTTTAGCACCTACCCCAACTATTGCCCCACTTACTGTGGTATAGTATTTGCCTTTTTATGCAGTCTTCAGGGGCTTCGGGGGCTTTAAATGACAATCATTAACTAATTAGGGTTATATTTTACTATTTTATACTACTCCTGTTTGAAAACATGCTTATTTTAAATAAAAGGGGGAAATTAAAGACTACACCTCTATATACTGAGGTTGGGTGATTAGGTCAGAGGTACAAGAACATAATGTCACGCTGTGTATTTTGAGAGAAACTGTATCTGCTTGGGTTATCTCCAGTCTTAAGTCTCTATTCAAGTCATCGAATGGGAGTTATCAATGTTGATTAACTCAGCTCGCCGGTCGCCCAAGCCCCTCGACTTTCTTATCCACCCAAATAGGATATTTATTCAGGCTCTCATACCATTGTACCACACTACCAATCTGCAGTTCTACGTCAACCAGAGTCTTCCACAAAGTGCTGTCGTACTTACCAGAAATGCCCATGAACCTATGAATGTCGAGAGCGTGAGTGCGTACTCAACACCCGGATGCGTAATGCCAAAGCCCAGCGCACCACAGAGAGTAAAGCCAATAGCACCAATCAAGTTCCATAGTCCGATATGCCATCCTAGAACCCCCGGCGCTGGCATGTACCACCGAGGCTGCACTTCGACCATGAACAGGAGACTTGAGACGATGAAGCCTGTTCCTCCAATTACTTGAGGGAGCCAGTACACGCCGTTTTCAGCTGGTGTAGAGAGACCGTTGAGTATAGGCGGCAAGGCCGTAAAGCCTGATATCCAGAAAACGGTGGCGCCGAATGTTTGTGACGAACAGGCCAAGAAGCCAATGTCGAAGAAATAATGCGTTCGGAGTTCATACCACGTCGGCCACCAAGACCACATGCGGTCTTTCCCTGATGAATCTGCTACGTTGTTCCCCAAGGATCTAGAGCTTTGCTTTACAAGGGTCCCCTTCTGCGCATGTGCATGCTTGCAGTTATGCGCGTGAGTGAGATGAAGCATTCCGTCTACACTCTCCTCAACCGCCCAACCAAAGCAATCCGATCGATTCTCATTGACGGCTTCAAGCATGAGTAGGAATGAGCCAAACTCAAAGACCGTAGCGCCGATGAAAGCTGTCAATCCACCGGCCCAATCAGATACCTTGGTTGAAGGGTAGAGAACAGGGAGGAATGAGTAATAGCCATTAATGACCCAAATAATCGACCCTTCCAGTCATTAGCTACTGTTTTGAGTGATGAGGTGGTGAGTACCTATTGTGAAGACGACTGCGACGTCGTACGAGACATCCCAAACAGGGTATCTGACAAACATCTTCAAGATACCGCGGAGAGTCTGATGATACGAATTCGATGGCCTTGGTCCTTTCGTTGCTTCATGCTTGTGAGGATCAACACTGATGGCTAGCGCATGTCGTCCTTTTCTGTTATCGCGACTCCTCCAGACATACGCGACCCCGGGGCTCTCAGCACTCGGTCGCGATTCCTTTCCAGCGTCAGACTCAGCATTGGGTGTCTTCTTGTCGGCGATTAGATATCGCTTCGTTGGATTGAGCGCTTTGACAGGGCCTGTTGTGCGTTCAGCGTGATAATGCCGACCGTGGAAATGGTCGTGAGCTCTTGGCATTGTTGCGGTTGACGCGGAATAAACAAGGAATGGGCGCTGTGTCGTTTTTAAAGTTGGCGATTGATTGGATGACGTGGATGTTGTATCAAATTGGATTAGCGCTGAGGTAGTCTCAAATGGCACAGCGCGACGCTATACGAACATCGGTGACAGTGGCTGATTGCTAAGGACTAGCAAGGCATTAATGATGCTATGTCAGCATTCTAAATCTCGGTAAACATCATTGATTTAGTTACCAGATAGTATTGGCAAGCTATAACTCAGATCTTTTTTCCACACAACCACGAAGCTATGCGACTTTCTGAACCTTGATGAAACAATAACCTCCTAGCGTTGCCAGAAGCAAAAGCCTCAATCTCATCCTCATCAAGAATCTCTTCATTTCGGATCGTCTCTAAATACTCTTTTCCAAGCTTATTATCGCTGAAGGGATAATCAACACTGAACATGACTTGACTCAGAGGCATGTTTCCCAACAGACAACGCAATGAATGCACGTCAAACATGCCCGAAGTAGTAATCCAGATGTTATTATGCATCACCTCGACAAACCCACGCTTCATGCCGAAGAATGCAGTGGCCTTGTTGATACGGTCAAACATATACGGTATGAGCTCGCCCGAATGACCAATGATAATTTTGAGGTTCGGATGCCGGTCAAAAGTGTTACTGGCCATGAGACGGAGAATCGTGTTCGCAGTACTGGCATGCCATCCGAAAGCAAAAGCGCCGAGGGCAGTCGCTGAGTTGCTGTCCGACTGCAAATTGCCGCCTGAGTACAAAGCCTCCTTTAATTTTTGGCTCGGCCACGCGGGATGTATATAGATCGGCACATCGAGCTCCACAGCCTTTGCCCAGAGTATATCATACTCGCGACCGTCGTAAAAGTTGCCGTTGGAGTGGTTGTCGATCAGCGCACCGACGAAACCATGCTGCTTGATACATCTTTCAAGCTCATTAGTTGCTGCCACGGGATCATCCATCGAGAGACACGCAAAGCCAGCGAAGCGACACTTGTTCGATTGGATAGCTGTAGCGAGCTCATCATTTAAAGCTATTATTGTCGCAGCTGTGAGGAAGTTTGTTGGAGTGTGAGAGAGGACTTGAATGGCTACATTGTTCTCATCCATGCTCCTTATTCGCTCATTATCGATGTCGACGAGCTTGTTGATGATACCAGTAGGGAATCCATGGATCGGGTCGTCTTTAGCTAATTCTGACGAGTGTGCTGCCCGAGAGAGAAAGTGCTCCTCCAGTGTAATACTCATTGAAGCGATAGATCACCTAAACGTGTCGAAATAGAGCGCAAAGGGCAGGAGTTTACAACTGTTAGAACTTTGAAAGACAAGACGAGACCTAGTGGCATATGGCTCATATACTTATACACTGTTCGGAGATCTCGGATTAAACGTTTATCGCCATACGATATGGTGACGAGGTGATGCGGTCGACCTCGGTGCCGATTCGGCAAAACAGACAGTAGTGACATAACACTCCTACTCGAGACTGACTTACATGGATCTAATGCAGCGCATTCGAGTTAATGTATACGGCAGCTTGCGGGATCCCGGGCTGCCGTCAGCCTCGTTTCGGGACGTCCCAGTTTCGGCTTGAGCCATTCTGATGTGATACTCTTCTCAGTTATTAACAACACAAAGTCCATTTAACCTATGTTGTAAATACGACGTATTCACTATCTGTCCCAGCGAAGCGAGACTTGTTCGCTCGGACTGCTGCAGCAAGCTTATCGTTATAAGCAATTATTGCCTCAGCTGTAAGAAAGGTTGTTAGAGTATGAGACAGGACTTGGATCGCTACGTTTTTCTCATCCATATTCTTGATACTAATGATGCCAGAAACCTAATTCAATATATATTTTACGACTACAATAGTCTTTACCCTTCATTCAAGCCACAACTAGTAGGATCAGCCCCTTCGGCTGCCAGTAAGAGTTCGAACAGGCTTTGGCATTGGCCTTTGCCATGTGAATTCTGCCTCCTCGAAGATGACTTGGACCTTGCACGGTAAACCTTCATGACTAAAGACAGGGTATAGCTTCCTGAAAATCACATCGTCGCCATAGGAACCTATCGAACACGCAAGCAAGTTAGCTGAAGCAGCCTAGATGGCATAGAAGTCGTCTTAACATACCAACGATGCGGCCGTTGAGAGTAAAGAAGTACTCCTCTTTCGAATAGTCTATCCCACAGCCCACTGTGTCGCCTATACTGAATTTGATATTCTCAGGGCTGTTTTCTTCGTCGCTGACGGGAGGACATTCCAGGGGCCCACCGATGACCCCATCCTCGCCGCAGTAGCCCACTGTCCAAGCCCGTGAGCCCACACGAGCTTTTGCTAGGTCTGTGAATTCTCCGCAGAAACCGATCTCAATGTTGAACGACGACTCGTCTTCAGAATCATCCTTACTGTTTCCGGACTCAGAGTGCTCTTCACCACTACTGGATTCCACAGAATTCTGGTCATTGTTCGGTTCCGGATCAGCTGGTAATATCTTAACTTCGAAGTATCGTAAGTGATCGCTATGCGGACTGGTAGGCCTTGGAAGGAATGGGAAGTTAGCTCGTAAGGTAATGGGGGCGTCCCATCCCTCTTCGCGGTCCCTTCTTTCTGCAACATTTGTCAGTTTCTGTGTCTTATCGTCCCAAGTAACAATACTCACCCAAAAGGTCAACAACAAGCCCATCATCGTGAATGCTAAGTCGCTTTTGCAAGTCTACATTATCGCCACCCCATTCTGAGGGCGATATCATTCTCTGTGGCCTCTTGCAGGTTGTCAGTGGCGGCGGCGCCTCCGCTACCGGCGTGATTCTCCCGCCGCTCTGATGCACAAAATGGTCAATGGACCAACCATCTTGATCAGACTCGGTAACAATCTCTTGCCTCAAGAACTTGAGCTTCTCCCACATGGCTGGCTCATCCAGCTCAGTTGCGATGCGTAGCTCTTTGAACCCTATGCCCAAGGCCTTGACGTCATCGATATCCGATGGGATGTAATCAATGCAGAGTCCAATGAACTCCGATTTGAAAGTTCGTCGTGATATCATACCCAACTCTAGGGCCGATCTGCCATCGGCATTACAGTGCACTATAGGGTTCGTTCCAGCTTCCACAAGACGCTCAGCTATTTCTTCTTCTTCCCCTCGCTTGCCTCGGTTATGGAGACATGTCTTCAGAGCATTCATGCCGGTTTCTGGAGGCTCTACGGTCTCCAGGAGCAAATCATTCTTCTTGATCAAGGCTTCGACAATATCCGGGTACTCCGAGTCCGTCAGGTCCTGGTTATCGCGCAACATTTGGCAATGCAAGGTGATGGCTCTCCAATATGCAGGCTTCAGCTCATCCAGTGGCCACTTGTGGCTACCCTCAGACACTTCCCCTCTATCCAACAGCAATTGCAACTTGTCAAGGCGGCCAGAGTTGACAGCCAACACCAGGTCGGACGCTTGTACAGTTTTCTCTTTAGGCATCAGTATTTTGACCATCTCAAGATCACATCGAGAGCCTTCTAACGCAATTTGGAAGCCTGTCTGGCCATCTCCCGTGGTCAGGGTTGGGTCTCCTTTGGCTTTCAACAGAAATTCAACAACGAGAAGTTCACCCCATAGAATAGCGAGGTGCAAAGGAGTATATCCGTCTCCTTTAGGCAGATTCGGATCGGCTCCATTGTTGACGAGTAATTTGGTAGCCTCCAAATCATCAGCACTAACATGGAGTGGAGACCAGGCGTCGTCATCGAAAGCTGTGATACCAAGGTCCGGACCGTCCGGTTTATGGTCGAGAAGGATCTTGAGGGCATCAGAATTTGCATTGTACGCAGCAAAATAGACAGGTGTTCGTGATTCTTGATCCGTGGCGTTGATATTTGCATTTGACTTTAAGAGTTCCTCAACCACCTCCGCCTGATCTTCCTTGGCTGCAGTATGGAGAGAGGTTTGGCCACGGTCGTTGCGGATGTCAACATCGGCCCCCTTTGAAATGAGGAGTCTGACATTCTCCACGCGTCCATTCTCAGCTGCGGCATGTAGGGCACTCTCATCCGACCACTTGAGATTGACATCTACCTCTCTGTCCAGGATTAGCTGAAGGATTTCCGCCGATGGACCTGCCGCGGCGCTGTGGAATAACTGGGCGTCCAATGCTTTGGACATATCTAGATCCAGAAGGTGATGGAAAATGGGGTAGTCTGCACATTCAACTGCCCAAGATAGTTCCCTGTGCCAGTCGTGGCCATCCTCGCCGTGGCTACAGAGCTTTTTGACCATCTCAAGATTTCCATTATGGATAGCATAGTACAATGCTGTTCGTCCCTTGTCATCTTCAGCCTCAATCTCAGCCTCCTTTCTTAACAAAAGTTCCACCGAATCTAGGCAAGTGTAGCGAGTGGCCAGATGTAGCGGAGTTTGGCTGAGATTATCCTTCACATTAGGATCGGCGCCATTGTCAAGCAAAGTTTGAACTGACTTCGGATGCTTGACTGCCAAATGAAGAGGCGTCTGTCGGGTTCTTGACAGGCCATCAATACTTGAGCCTTTTTCCAATAGAAGATCGATGACTTCAGGCTTTCCATGGATTGCAGCAAAATGCAACGGCGTCTTTCTATCCACATCCGCCGCCTTTACATCAGCTCGGTGTTGGAGAAGCAACTTGCAAACGCTTAACGTTCCGTTTTCAGCGGCATGATGGAGAGGTGTTTTGCGTTGCTTGTCATCCGATACTAACGCTGAAGCTTTAGAGTTCAATAGGACCCGTACAATCTCTGTGTGCCCGTTTGCAGCGGCTTCGGACAGCGGAAATTGGTTGTTGTCGATAAAGTTGGGACTTATGTGATACTGACCTCGCAGCAAGTATTGGACCACGACCAGTGACCCCGCGCGAGAGGCTTTGATTAAACATTTACCCTTGTTAATATCAGATGTCTTGGACAAGAGCAACTTGACAGTGTCCAGGTGGCCGTGGATCGCGGCGAGTTCGGCGGCTGAAGCCAGTTGATCGTCCGTCAGGACTTCATCGTGGCGCAGTAATTCTGCAACAATATCTCTAAAGCCCCCCTGCGCAGCGTAGTGTAGCGGTGTCATATTCTTTCTATCCACATCTCTTATGGCCTCCTCGTAAAGGTTGACGATATCGGATGTTGCTTCAGAGTTTCCTACTCTTGTCGATATATGCAAGGGTGTACAATCGTCGTTGTCTCTTATACGCACTGAATCATGGGTCATAAGGCTTTGACCAATACTAGGACAAGTTAGAATTGCGTAGTGCAATGCTGTTTTGCCGGTGGAATCCTGGCTACACGCAAATGCGCCACCCTCGAGTAAAGTTTTCGCTGCATCCACATGACCCTTTCTGACAGCGATAATCAAGGGAGTTTGTAGACTGCTGTCCACGCTATCCATCTTACCGGCAATCTCGGTGATTCTGTACTCGTCTTCGGATGCGTCCTTTCCGAGTAATAAACTGATGACACTCGAACTTCCTCCACTTGCAGCCATGTGTAGTGGTGTCGTTCCATCTTTTGCCTTACAGGGACCGGTCATCGACTTCAAAAGCATCCCGGACACCTTCAATGCACCGCTAAAAGCTGATTGATGGAGTAGATGATATGGGATGGCTTCGAATTCCAGCGCTCTGAGAAAAGCCCTTGTTGCGTCGACGTCGTCATTCGCGATAGCGTAGGCAAGGCAATCAGCAGATATTCTGCCGCGAAAGTCAATTGTTCTTTCTAGGCTTCCTCGCCGTGTTCTCAGAGAGACAGCCTTTTCAGCTGATGGATCTTCTCCAAAGAGCTCGGATATCATCGGACCAAGGCCAATGCAGCAGGACATGCCAATGGCAAAATCATGACGGCTTATCCGCTCACTTCCCTCAGCCCCGGACTCCTCATCTTCGCCCTTCATATCAGGCGGATCGGCTGCCGAGATTGGAATCCTTCCCTCCTCAACTTTCTGAAGTAGACTCGGAGGTTGACCATGGCAAAAGACGTAATACTCGAACCACTTCTGCGCTTCAGGTGACAACAGAAATGAAGCCACCTCGTCTTTGAGATCTTTTTCGGGACTCGCAACTTGCAAAAAGTGCTCATGCCAGAATCGGCAAGCGTAGTCAAAAAATTCGAACCCATTCTCACGAAAATCGCCACTTACGCTTTCTTTGATAAGGGTTGATCTGGACGGGGACTTCGGTTGAAAGTACTTCCCATTTTCTGTTCCGGTATTGAACTCTTTCAGGACTATTTTGAGGTATCCCAAGCAAAGCTGCGTAAGTTCAAGGTGGCCATTCAGATCAAGGTCCTGCTTCGGAGTTGCGTTCAAGATGCCCCTTACGAACGAGTTGGCAATGAATGCTTGGCGATCTTCAATGGCAACTACGAGACCCATATGTCGCCTTAGATCCTGTGCTATATCCATCGAGACACTGTCTTTGATGTCACGGAATGTTCTGTCCTCAGGCTTGACAGCAGCAGCGACCGCTAGTTCCTCTAGTCGAAGTGTTCTCATGGATCTCATGGTCCAAGAAACCGCTGATAAAACCCAGGCTCTAACATCTGGATGTTTGCTTCCGAGGGCTAAGACCTGGGGCTTGTAAAGTTCCTCTTCAGTCCGGGCACTCTCTCCAATGCGACTTTGGATGACATGGGGAGTTGTTAAAGAGAATCGCTCGAACAGCGATGTCAGATAGGTCCCAGTCGCTGACAAAGAACCTTGAAAGGCATCAGCGGCCCTTGTGATCTGCTCAGTCAATTCAGTTGTACAGTGACGGTTCAGCATAGCTGAGCCGTAGCTCCGATCCAAAAGAAAATCCAATTTTGCGTGTATAAACTTCCTACGATAGGTCGCATAATCCTTGTCTAAGTCAAGTTGCATTTCCTTAGGAAAGAACAAGGTCTTGACACTGTTCCGGCTGCTGGTAATGAATGTAAACCTCGTTCTGCAGGATTCGAAAATTTTTGGCAGTTCATGTGAAAACCACAAATGAATTCTGCTTGGCCAATCTTCGTAATCATATATGACAACGAGGAATAGGCTGTTCTCAGCGTAGCGCACAAGCGATGTGAGCACAACGCGTAGACTTTCTTCTGTCCAAGCATCGCGCAGGAGTATATCCGCAAATATGCTTTCGACTCGATGGAACCAGCTGGGTCGTTGAGAGATGATCTGATGGATGAAGGTGTTGAGCAAGCTGTAAAGGCTTGGAGTATTATCCGAATAGGGAAGGCAACTATCGAGAGTGATTGTTGATGTCTTCTGGCTGATGTCCTGGATAATCAGCTTCAGAAGCGCCGACTTTCCGAGACCATCCTTCCCAATCACCTGAATGGATTTCGTGTCAAAGACCTCATCTGACGTAATTCCATTCAGAAGGGAACCATAAATAGACTTAAGCGCGATGGACTCTTCGAAACTGTCAAGTATTCGAGGCTCATGCAAAATCCAAGGAGAATTCGATAATGTACGCAAAGCCTCAAAGTATGTGTTTTTTACTTGATTGTAGCTTGATTGTCTGAGGTGCGAGTAAGCATCTAATGTTTCATTAGCATCGCTAGGTTCGATAAATCATGAGCCCTCAACATGCAACTAGATAGCAGCAGATAGTTCAATCAGAACACACAAACGATAGTCACACATACCGCAATTCGACGCTTGTGTCGGGGTAAAGTGCCGCCTCAGCATCTCCAAGTCATCAATTGTGTCCAAATCATAGTTGATAATACTCTGGTATGATGCTTCTGACCGGGATACAACTTTCTCAAAATCATTATGGAATTTTCCCAGGTCACCTATCATCTGTTGCTCATGGTAAGCATTACGACGCGGCTGGTTCTTCGGTGATATATACCGGTATAGTGGAGTTCTCGCCAAGACCTTCAACGAAATTGACGATCGAGTATTTGGAAGCGAATTTGTGGAAATTGTGAGACAGGTGAGAGACTGAGTTGACAAGAGTGGAAAGAATATGTGACAACCTGACAGTGAATTCCATGTCATGAGCCTCGATCATGTCCAATAGAATACTCTCCCACCCTCTCTTCTCGACAGAACGGTGAGCGGTTGAAAAGAAGACCTTCAACGATGTCAGATAGAGCTCATTAGATGGGGCGGTTCGATCGTCGTGCACTCACGAGCTTAGAGATATCATAACCGCTTTTGTAGTAAATGGGATTCGTGTTTGCTAAAATAATCGCCTGTGCTACTGTTAAGATTGCGAAGACAGGTTCATTCAGGTTTCCTTCACTTACCTGTTTGATCACGAAACCTCCAAACCCATACCCTGCAAGAATAATCTCATTCCGTTGCCCGCATTCATTCTCGTAGGCGTTTTTTTGGAGAGCATCGAGAAGAGTAATCGCTTCTTCATTAATTGTTCTCGGAACAAACACCTCTGAGACTTCGATAGAGCTTGTTGCTGTTCTGCCGACTGGTGCAGGTTTGGGCAACTCAGAAGGAACAACTGTATTGGGTCCAACAATCCCTTCATGGTTTTCTGGATGCGTCTCTGATTCACATACAATGGAGCTTCCGGCATTAGTGACTTTACGAGGGTGGCCTTCTGGGACCGTGTCTTCTTTTGCATTGGCTCTAAGTGCTTGTGGCATGGATGAAGAAGCTGAGGCTACCTCTGCCCTGGTGAAAACCGGGTGGAAGATGACTCGAGCCTTTGGACTGACGTGCTTGAGTACTTCAAATACACTGATTGGCGGCCCATCAATGTTTGACGTCTCAAAGGTGGTCACTGGGGCCACTGCGTAGATCCTTGAAAAAGACAATACTATTAGCGAGCTATTACAGCGGAATCGTAAAAATAGAAGAGGCATCCATACGTTAAATTCCACGGCAGTTCAGTGTCTTCCTGCGTAGGTATCTCCGCCATAGTTGTGAATATAGAGGTAATTGATTGCGCGATGTCTAGTATGTAGTGCTGTGCTGTGTAGAGTTAAGTCTTGAAGTAGAGCTAATATAAAGCTATTAGGTACTTATTTACTTTTTACTTTATTAAGGTTAAGAGACTTTATTTAAGATATAAGATTATAGATATATTTTAAGAAATAATAAAAGTAAAGTATTATTAAATAGAAAGCTTTCTATAATTAAAATTTATATAAATTACTTATAAATTAAATAAATTAAATATTATTAAATATTATTAAAAATAATTATTAAAATAATTTAATAAAAACTATTTAAAATTAAACAATTTAAAATTTAAAATTAAAATTTAAATATTTATTAAATTTATTAAATTTATTATAAAATAATAAATAAATAAATATTATATAAAAATAAATATAAAAATCTTTTAAAAAAGAATTTTAATTTAAAGAAATAATTTTAATTATTATAAGTAATATAATAT